TGTCCCTGGGTTATGACCACGGCACTTACAGTGTAGATGCCTGCACCAGCAACAAAGATGTTTGCCGAACCTGTCATGACCACGGACCAGGATTGATCACAGCCATTGAACTCATTTCCGGCAGCACATGTATAATCCGGGTCCCCCGGCAAAAGGCCAACAACAGCAGCGAAAGGAGCTGGTGGTGGCGGGGTCGGTTGGAAGTACGGCGATTCGGTCTGCAGCATACCAGCGAATATGTTCGCTGCCGAGTGGAAATTGTACTGGTAGAACACTGCGTGCTCAGACGCAGTACTATAAAGCCTAAAGTCCAGTAATGAGGTCAGTTTTGCTGGCTGTGATGGAAGGAGAAGATGGGAAAGCTTCCATACCAAGTGGGCTTTGTACTCTCAATCAAAAAGCCACGGGCAACATAGATGGACGTTTGCACCATGCTATTGTTTCCGCTGACAAGATCAGGGTCACTAGAAGCAGATAGGCAGTTGTTAGTCCAATCAGTTACAAGAGGTGGTACCAGACCTTTACTCTTCTTCCTGCCCGGGGAACATTGGAGTACAACTTACTCAATCATGTGGTCGGCTCCCCAAAGCCACATGTTTTCGAAGTAACCGGACGCCGAGGACGTAAGGTGCATCATCAGACTAGCAGCAGAGCAGCCTGCATTGACACCGCTAGTGATGGGAGGACACTCTGCGGGTGTCAACTTCGTCCCGGTCGCACCTCCGATGCGGACGTGGCAGTCCCAGAGCCCGGCGGAACCCTGTGTAGCAGCTTGGATGTTCCATTGGATGACAATCAGACCGGCTGTTGCACCGCGTGTCGTAAATAGGAGGTCTTGCATTTCCACGTTGCCAATGTCTCCAACATTTCCAACCTTGATCATGACCTTGGGATTGCTACAGTTGAGACAGACATGGATCAGCGTTGGGATTAACGAAAGATGAGAGAAGGAGCTCTAACGTACCTGGCATCGGAGAAATATGAGCCCGACGCAACTAACTGCGACCATGCTTCACCCATGATCTTGGCTCCAGGAGGGATAGTGACGGTCGAGGTGAGAATGTATGATCCGGCGTCGACGAAGAGGATCTTGCCCAAACTTGCGTAGAGCGCCGCCTGGAACGCCGCTGTGTCGTCGGTAGAGCCATCACCTTTACATCCGAGGTCCTTTGTATGCAGAAACATGGAAGTTGCTTGATCCTCGTACTGAGGCTTGGGGCGTTCAAAGTAGTTGCCTTGGGAATCCAAAAGTGTCGAGTGCCTTCGATAGTTTCCAACTTTCCCACCCATGGAGAAAGAACGAGCAGTCGTCGATCCTTCATAGACAGGTCCAACGACCCATTGGTCAATCACAGGCGAAGGAGCCAGGAGCGTGGCCCCAGTCGTGTCGGCAACAGCAACGGAGACACCTGAGAGGACAATGTTGTCAAGTGCGATCCCAGTGCTTCCCTTGCCCGGAGTTGCTGTTATGGGATTGACGATGACAACAGTCTCGACATTGGTAAACGACGAGTCCATGATTGAGACAGAGCCGACTACAGGCAAAATGGGAATTAGTATGATGGGGCCAGGTAATAAGAGGGGGACACTCACTGTTGCCAACGCCACCATCTCCGACGAGCTTAAATCCCGTCTTCACATTGTTCATGGTAATGGACTTCCATACCCATCCCCAGTCCCAGATGACTTGGATTCCCACTGTGCATCCATTGAACTTGAGGCGTTGCGCCGTGAACTGCTGCTCGCCGCCTTTGAGACCGATTCCACCTCCGGTAAAAGTGACATCGGAAATGCCTCCACCGCTGCCATTCTCCGCGTAAAGCCCTATCTGGGACGAGCCAGGTGCTGCTCTCAACTCGACGTTCTGAAGGCTTGTGGCTTGAGCGACTTGGTAGTGGAGACAGGTAACCAAGGTTCCTGAAGTGACCTTTTGGATGTCTATCACGATGTTTCGAATTTGACGGTAGAAATTGGCGGTGTTGACATAGTATCTGAAAGGTGCAGCTGGAGTCAGTCACGCATGTTCTCGAATAGGAAACATGGAAAACAGATAGGGGGTAGTTATGAGGACTGAGACAGCAGGAAGCATGGACTGTTCTGCAAGTGTAAGAAAGGAAAAAGGGTATCAACATACTCAGGGTCACCGCCATCAATGCCTTTCCCTTCGTCCCCAGTATACTCATCCGTGGACAAGACACCTAGACCAACAAAGCTCGGAGCAGCGACAATGGTCGGCCGGTTGTTAGCATCACCGATAACCTGTGTTCCGAAGGGCAGGGGTATGGTCGAGGATACAAGGTAGGTGCCAGGGGGGAAATATACGATGGCGTTCTTGGTGGTGGACCCATTGCATCCTTTGCCACATCGGGTGCTGTTTGTCCCCATGGCCCTGTTTATGGCTTTTGTGTCATCCTGCGTACCGACGAGGGAGTTATAAGTCAGTATGATCACAGGCACACGAACCAGCGGACAGTCAATACAACAAGGCGGGGTGAGGGGTGGCGGATGTGTGTATGTGGGATGGGTTGGGCTGCTCTTTCAGCGCATCGAACCTACCGTAATACCATCTCCCACAGCTCCATAGTCGAGCACATTTCTGAAGATAGCCTGCGCATTTTGGTTAGCGGATGAACTATCTTGAAAATCCGGACGGGCAATCTGGACAACTCACGTAGTTGGGTTCATCTCCCCAAGGCACTGTGCCTTTGCGATCAAGACTGCGACGTTGCGACGGATGTAAGCAAATCCGTTCTTTGCATTGTTGAATGGAGTTGATAGTAGTGTTCCATCAAACAGGAAGACATACCTTTGCATCCAATATGTCCCGGTGCTTGCCGTAGCCGCACGCTTCGTGACATTCTTCCATCCACCCACCGAATCGGCCTCAGCCACAAGCGCTGCCGCTGCCGCGATCTCATCCGTGATATCCAAAAGCGGCGGTACATCCTGCTTGATGGATGCAATCCTTTGCTTACCTGGACTGTCACCTCCACCCACAACAGTCCCGGGCTTCAAGCCATAGTTGTTGCGGAGGGGCTGAGCCACACGTGCCTTGTTCAGTCTCGCCGAGTCGGCAAGTGCCTTTTTCACGATATTTCGCGCGACTTGAAGCTCTTTGGCTGTCGATCTTTTGAGCAGCGGTGTAACGTGATGCTCAGGAACATTCCGTCGCCGAGGAGCGATTTTCTCTGGTAGCGTCCTGGGAAGCGTCACGTTTTGGTTCCGTCTTGCTTGCTCTTTGGCCACTGCATTCTCCTGGTCCCAGCGTGTGAAGCTTTCCACACTCAACATGCCAGGCATCGTTTGACCTAACAGATCAGACTCGGCGACCTAGAGGTGTTAACAGTCAGTTGACCCGTGCTGCCGGTTGAATGAAGTGGACATGGATCGTGTGGCCGGTCAACTTACCTCTACATGACTCAGATTGGCGTGCACCACATATTCGTACGCTCTGCCCGCCTTGATGTGCGCCTCACGCTCGGCAGGCGTGAAGGATCGGCGAAAAAGAGAGGTATCATTGCCTCCTAGTGAGCGTTTCGCCTGCTTCGTTTCCCTGTCGTTGTCCTTAATCTGAGTAGGCGTGTTATAATCCTTGTAAGTAAAGATGCGAGCAGCTACGCCATCGTTCCCTCTGTTCTCGGGTTGAAATTTGAAAAGGAAAATCGCTCTCTTCTTGTTGTCCTTATAGTCGGCAAGGTCCTCGGCTAAGGCTAAGCGTATGAACTCAGATCGAAGTTGCCCGTGAATCAGTCCTTGCCCTATCAATAAGAGAGGTTAGCAACAGGTTGAACCATTCTAGATCAAAAGTTGAAGAATGGAAAGGATCGTAATGGGTCTCACAATTTTGTTCCGCTTTAATCTTTTGTTTCGGTCCGTTGCTCTTCGAACAAGAAAGCGCGGCACACCGGGTTTTGGGCAGGGTTGTTGTACGAGGCGCCGCTTCCACCCTCAACCCTACAGGCAGGTATCAGAATCGTCATTAGGTGGAACGAATCATCATTTATCGAAACGGGTTTGTACATACCATGAAGCCGGTGGGAACTCATCACAAGTGTATCGGATTTTGCTGTAAGCGATCACCTTTCCGTTTGCATCTTTCTTGTTTGCCAGTTCGTTGATGTCTGTGTTTGGCTCTTTTGCGGTTGTGAACCACTCGCCATCACTTCGCCAAGGCTTCTTTTGATCAGTTTCCGGACAGGGGTGGGTATCTTTCCAAGAGGTGGGACATGATTGGTCGCGACGAGCATCCTGGTGAGATGACGGCTGTCCAGGCCCCTTCTCCCATTCACCTGTATCCAAATCATAGCCGTACACATCGTTTGGAAGACCGCTGACGGGGTGGAGGTTTTGCCCTCGTGGTGTGGCCGCAAAGTTTTCGGCATTCTTGCATATCTCCACCATGTAGTGACAGTTGTAAATCAGGACCACCGTGTAGGGCTGAATGTTAACAACCTTCCAAAATGCGACGGTTGAATAAGGCCGACTTTGTAAGTAACCATGAGATTAGCAATGGTAAACATCCAACACATGGATTGGACGCCAGGGCCGCCAGGGCGTGGAGAGTTCCGGGGAGCCTTGCTTGTTCCAAGTTGGCAACATGGAGAAGTCTGAAGAGAAGAGGGAAATGGGTTAACTGACTAGAGGTAATGTCCAGGTTTGGTGGTATCCGCGGTGTAGTCTTGGAGGTACTGAGCCACTGCCACTTGGGGGGAGAATAGACAGAAAATCTGCGCAAAAAGCGCGAGAAGCTGCAAGACGGCCATCTCATGAGTGTGACCCAGTCTGCAACAACAAGGTAAAAGAACTGGCATACACAAAGCTTGAGTTTCTGGGGGAACAGTACCAAGTCATGGTTTATACTTGAGCAACTCTGCATGTATCAAGACTCCCTGTGTGTGTCTTTACCAATCACCAGATCCACCAATGCTCTTGAGCTTGGCTAGGTAGAAACGGGCAGACCAGACATCTCGTATCGGAGAGAGAACAGCTTGGGCTGTATGAGGAAGGTGTGTTTAGCATCACTCGGTGAGGTATGACTCGGGGAACACTCGCGGAGTTCGCGACCCTTGGAAAGGAGATTGGTTTCCGTCTTCCGCTTCTCATGTTAATCACACCCAAGAACACGGAAAAGCGGCATTAGCCTGAGGACAGACGAGAGTCTGGATCGTTTTTGGTGCACATGACTGAAACATCCGCCGGACTCAACCACATATCAAGCACTGGTCGAGAACAAGACATAGAGGTAGGTAGGTATCCTAGATGCTTGTCAACCATGGGAACTCTGCCAGAGGTAGGTAGCTACTCGCCACCGCTTTACTTACCAGGGGTAAGATTAAACAATACCACGTTTCCCCATCTAAAGCATTTTTTTCCTCCGAGCAGCCGCGGCCTGTCAACGTCCCACATGGGTCGTCTCTGAAAGAGAAGCGCTCGGAAACATATGGGAGTAGGAGTACAGTGTATATTGGCGAAGTTCATCACCACTGTAGCTCTAAGGCTGTTGTTTGTAAAAAAAATCGTGTTGCCGTCTTTGTCTTGGACTCGTGGTTCGCCGTCCATGTTGTTATTCGATTCGCCTACAACGTGTAGGATGGAGAGTGTTACATAGCCTAGAGGTAACTGAAGCTCTAAAGATGAGGGGATGTGGTACTTTGGTACCTACCTTGGGAGATGGCCATGCAAATATTCATGATGGCAAGGATGCAAATGTTCATGTTGGTGGTGACAGGGACTGGATGCAACTTGAAGATTGAGTTTACGCGGAAAGGACCCCTACGTAATTTTTTAGCATTGTGTACTGTGTACACTGCAGAAGAAGAGGGAGGTCCAGGGTGAAAATGTGGTGCAGCGGCGGGTGCTTGTAATGAAAAAAAAATGGAAGCGATGGTGTTGATCGGATTGCTGCCTAGAACGTGAGGTAAAAGAAATGAATCCCTGAAGGTTACAAGCCAAGAAAGAGGAACCGACCGACCTTTTATCCCCCTGCACCTGTCAAGAGCATCCACCATCCTGATAGGTTGCAGTCCATTCAAGTCCCCACTTGCCCCACTACACGATGCCGGCACGGGAATGCGGACCGTCCGGGAAAGATGCATGTGTCAGAAGCTTAACGGCAAAATCCGCCCGACAGGGCTAACGCTTCATAGCTCCTGCCTACTTGAGCTTGTAAGCCGCATGTTTGCCCCTCTGTTGGTTGGAAGTCGCACTCGCGAAGCTAGCGGGGAAGTTTTCGAGTATCACACAAAAATTTGCAGTAGGATGTCACATTGCCCGGAAATGGTGGAAGGGACGGACGGGATGAACGCTCGCTTCCACTTCTGAATGGAATTGCCCGAGAAAACTAAGGTAGGTACGCATTCCGTTCCATTGGGAAAACATCCTCAACATGGAAGGCACGGCACCGGAGAGGAAGTCCTCTCGCTCTATGTCGCCTCAGTTGTTCCATGGATGGCATTGCCAGTGAATATCGTTTCAAACAATAACTGCCTTGTCGTGGCCGCCCATTCTCGGAGTTGGTTGTCGCCCTCGCTCAAACCTTCCCGCATCTCATCCCCCCAAAGACTCTTGCCTACCTCTAACATGCAGCTACCCCACAGAACAGCATGGCCTCAGCGCCTTGCATTCTATGTCGTTGCGCTCTTCTACCTTACAAGCACAGTTTGTGCAAAGGAAAGCGAGTGCCAACCTATATACTGGCAACCGGGTCAATTTGAGAAACGAGACCTGTCCGACACCACTTCTGCTCTCAATTCCACAATCACCGGAAGTGCCAGTGTTTCCAGCTCCCTACCCGCGACGGCTACTTCTACCTCCGCCGTGCTGGTGCCGGTCACCATCAGCCCGCTCATCAACGAAGACCCTCAGCCGGGTGAAATTAACTGTCGGTATACCGCCAGCACGGAGGGTATGGAGATCAACTACTACACATGCACCGCACTTGCTACGAAATATAGGATCAGTGTCGATACATTGTTCGGGTTGAATCCAGGGCTGGATCGTGACTGCGGCAACATTGAAGCCGATACCGAGTATTGCGTTCGAGGCTGTAAGTGAAAGACACAAACTTGGGATTTCCGTCTTATCAACAGACTAATGACCTCCGCTTACATAGTTATCGAACCCCTCAGAGCTTATGACGGTCTCTGCGGTCCTCCTCACAACAATGCTACTTGTCTCGGCACCCAGTTTCAGTGTTGTAATGCACTAACTTGGAGATGCGGCGACTCTGCGTGAGTCCCTGCCCGTTGTAAGCAGTACCTACATGTGATTAAGTATAAACTAACGCTATGTTCCAAATTCAGAGAAGACTGTGCAGAGGGAACATGCTACGAAGGTGCATGTGTAGGAGATTCTGTCTATAGCACAGACGGCACATGTGGCCGAGACCACGGCTATAGGACGTGTACTGGCATATGGGGAGATTGTTGCAATGCAGCCGGAAGATGCGGAACTGGCCCTGACTTTTGCGCATACGGCAAGTGCCAGTTGGGAAACTGTGACCGCCAACCAACCTCTTCCATAACCTCATCTTCCACAACCACCGTTAAAACGAGCAATCCCGTAACCGCCTCTACTTCAAAAGCTTCAACATTAATCGCCACGACTAGTACCACGACCAAGTCAACATCCACAAGCAGCTCCAAGACCACAACCTCGAGTTCCGCTACCAAAACAAGCTCAACCACAACATCCAAATCAAGCACCGCGGCAACTACAACTACCACAAAACCTCCCAGCACTACAATCCCCGGTCTGGCCGCTTTGCCCTCATGTGGCCAGACGTGCTTCAACAACATGCTTGCCCAACATTCCGCGCTGGGATGTGCCGCTCTAGACAGCTACTGTCTCTGCAACAACGTCGACTTCCAGAACGGCATTCGCGATTGCTCAAACGGGGCCTGTGGAACTGCTGTTGGCAGCACAGTAATCTCTTTCGGAAGCGCATATTGCTCTACAGCTTTTGCTACCCACACCGCCACCACCACCGGCTTGGCTGCTCTGCCCTCTTGCGGTCAGACATGCTTCAACAACATGGTGGCTCAGTATTCGGCTCTTGGTTGCGCTAGTCCCGCGCCGTCTTGTTTGTGTAAGAATGCTAACTTTGGATACGGTTTGAGAGATTGTTCAAATGGCGCCTGTGGGACGGCTGTTGCTTCGAGTGTAATTGCTTACGGAAGTTTATATTGTGCGTCTGCAACGGCTGTTTAAAAAGTTACCGTGTTAGTTGGATAGCGGAAATGTAATTGTGTGGAGAATCATGAACTTTTTGGAATATTCTATCTCTGGACATCGTGAATGCATATCTCATGTACTCTGCGAACCAAAGACCAAGCTACTGTGTATTAAGAGATCTCAATACCCGCCCCATGGGTTTTACCTCCCTATCTTGCCACTAGCTGCATCGATATTGCACGCCTCCTCCTACTCACTCCTCAATGCCCTTTTCCTCCTCGGTCGACACCTTTCTCCTTTTTCCTTTTTCCTTCTCCTCATCCTCCACTTCCTCTTGTCCTTCGCGTTTCTTCCCCTTTCCCTCTCCCTCAGTTTCCTGTTCCTCCTGACCCTCGGCTCTTTCCTCCTGTCCCTCAGTTTCTTGTTCCTCCTGTCCCTCCGTTCTCTCCTCCTGTCCCTCGCCTCCAGAGTCAATATGAATAACAGACACGTCCACCACATTACCTCTACCCCCCAATGAACGCATCATCGCGTTAGCCGCGTCAATGCTAGCTTGACTAGGCGGGCAATGGCTGCGAACCCATTCCCTCTTCTCTTCCAACCTATGTTTCGGCTCCCCGTCGTAAAAAGTCACCATCCATTCGAATGCCGATGCGTCGCATCGATCATACTGTCTGACGCCCCTAGCTTTCAAAACCTCATCGCGCATGCTCATAAGCCAAGTATGAACAGCTGAGGTGACGCATCGTTAGCAAAGATCCAGGAAATGAGAGGGAGGTAATTGAACGACCAGACAACAGGGTTGGGAGTTGTTCCTCATTGCAGGCATCCTTGCCCAAACGCTATCTGGCAGATCATTGCGAAGCGGGCCATGATTTCCAGCCCAGTCCCTCTTTTCTTCTATCCCATGTTTCGGCCTCCGACCAGCACCGGTGAACACCACCATCCATTCGAGTGAGCCTTCCACTTGAGAGCCATATGCCTGAGGACGTGCGACCACCCTGGCCTTGAAGATCTCACCGCGCAAGCTCATAAGCCAAGGGTGGACAGCTTCGGTCATTCTCACAATCACAGTTGCCAAAGCCGAAGCCAAACACTTAACAAAAAAAAAAAAAGAAAAAGAAAAAAGAAAAAAAACTCACCACAAACATAATCCCCAACCGTAACAAACCCCTCTCCACCCCTTGGCGTGACCTTCAACCTCCTTCCCGCCGTGCGCAGCGGCCTATCCTCCCCGCAGCACTTAATCAGAAACTCCGTGTCGGAATCCTCCTCCCAGTTTTCAGGATCCTCCTCATTCTGTTCCTTTGCCCACGGCCGGACGTCGTCGTCCAGATCGCCGTAGGTCACAAACTCGCCCTTTTCCTCGCTGTGCCATTCGTGCCACTCCACCCAGTTGGATTCCCATGTGTCGAGGTCCGTGCAGGATACGGAGATAGAGGACGCCGGTGGTTCGGTCATGGGGAGGAGGGCGATGGGGTGGTATGTGCCGGTGCTGGTGGTGGTGCTGGTGCTGGTGGTGGTGTTTTCGGGGTCGTTATTTTCGGGGTTCTGGTCGTCGGCTGCATCTGCCGGTTGGAAGAACGGTTCCAGGTGTCCTTTGGCACCGCGGCGGTTGGCCATGACGGAAATTGCCGAGGGAAAGGCGCCTTTGAACTCCCAAAACAGTCGATCGATTTCTCGAGAGAGGCGGGCACCGCCCGGCAAGCGTTCAAGCTCTTCGTACGAGCGGTAGGGAGGCTCTTCTGACTGGCCTGGTTGGGAAGTTGTGGAAGTTTCCATTGTTGTCCCTGTGTTGGATGTGTTGAGGTCTGGTTGGGAGGAGGTGGATTTGGAACCCGAGGGCCGGGAAGTTGTGAGCTGGGGGAAGATTGGAAATGGGAAACCAGGGAAAGGGAGCAGGTGCATGGGATATAAGTAGGTAGTAATAAGCTCAACAGGGGTGTCTCAAGTAGGCAGGAGCTTAGCGTAGCCCTGTCAGTATGATTTACCGCTAAGCTTCCGCTACTACACAGTACCCGCCTACACATGCATCGTTCCTGGGCGGTCCGAGTCCCCGTGCCGGGTTGCCGGAGATTATGCCGTGTTATCTGTCATGTTTAATCGGGTAGCCGGGGTAGGTCATCAGGATTCGTTATTCTTTTTCCCCTAATGTTAACGTTTGCTCAGTGAGACTCAACTCTCGCAAGGATGGTGGAAACTTACCTTCCTTTGGACAGTACCTACCTAGGTAGAGGTAACTTGTGGATGCTGATATCGAACATCACCACATCAGGCACGTAGCATGCCCCTGCCCCTGGCGACTGACATCAAACACCTCAGAGAACCAACAAAAACATGCACGCAAAACAACAGAACATCAAGCTTGTTCGTTCCTACCAACCTTAGTCATCAACATATCCATAGTCCATACTCATAATCATAACGTGTATCGCGTGTGCAGGCTCCCGCTCCGCACACTTCTCCCATGTCCATGCCGTCTGCGTAACATGGAACCTATCTCAATCTCCCCCAAAGGCTAACCGCTAAACACCAACCCCTTCATTCCCCATATTCATAACCAAAACCTCCCGCTCCAGTCATCAAGAGTAAATCATCGCCCGCAGAGCTCACAACATTCGCCAGCTCACAACATTCCACGCACACCTCTACGCTAGTCCTTCCAGTCCCCCCTCCCCTTCTAGTCCCCCCCCGCCCCAGCACCTACGCTACCCCTCCTCCTCCTCCCTCGCCGCCTTGCACACTACACACCCGCCTACAATCCTATCCCTCAACAACCTTGCATGCGTAACCTTCGCTCCAACCAAATGTGCACTTCTTTCCTCCGCTCCCTCTATACCTCCTAGCAACACGTCGGCGTCTACTGATTTCCCGGGGTTCAAAGCTTCTAGGAGATGAGGTAAGTGAAAGACGTGTCCGCAGGCGAACCCAACTAGGGTATCTGTTTCGTAGGTGGTGAATGGCGAGAGATATGAGGCGTAGTGGCCGGCTTGTGCTTGGTACTTTTTCGCGGCGGCGGGTTTCGGGAAGCGGCGGTGGGTTCCACTTGGTGTTGAGGGGGTTGGTGGTTGTTGTTGCTGTTGCTGCTGTGGTAGCCTAGAAGTAGCGGCAGTTTGCGGGACGGTCTTGGGGGAGGTGAGCCCAGAGGGAGATTTTTCGGTAAGGGGTTGTTGAGTCGGGATATCGGTCGGCTGGACGTCGACGTGCTCGCCGGCTGCTTTGACGCCTACTTGGAATTTGACGCCCTTGCGTTGTCCGTTGCGTATGGTATTTATAGCCTGGGTAATTTCGTTGCGGAGTACTTGACCGATACCCTCCGCGATTGAGTACTAGATTTCGTACTCTTTTATAATATATTTTATTCCTTCTCTTAGACCGGGGATCTGTAAGCCCTCTAGTATCCTCCTTACTAGCGTAATAGGGTTGATAGCCGTCCCGACTTCCTTTAATAAGGCGCGGATGAACTTGGGTTTGTTTATGGAGTACTTGAATAAATCTTTCTAGAGGTCGGGGTTATCCTATTCCTTAGCGAAGGCGATGGCGCGCGAGACGTTACCGAGACGCTCGATAATAAGGTACAGGACGCGTTTCATCTGGCCCGTTTTAGAGTAGAGGTAAACGAGTTCGGGGATATAATTGCGGGTTTCGCATTCTTGGGCAGCCTAGGATACGAGGTGGTTAGTAAATAACGGGTATAAATGATAGAAGACAAGGGGAACTGACCTTCTCAAAAGTATAAGCCGTTAACGTCCTTAAGAACTAGTTCAATAGTAGTTGATCGTAAATGGCAAAGAGGTGGACGGCCAAGTCGGCGAACTGGTCCACTATGGTGCGGCTATCGAGGACCACGTAAAAGGTTAACGGCCACTAAAAAATTATCGCTTTTCACTTACGGAAATTAATTTTAATAAAATACAATTACCCTATTTATAATAAAGAAATATTAATAATTATTAATTATTTTAACGAATAGTAAATTAAATTGTGTAATAACAGATCGTTTATAATTTTAATCGACTATTAGAATTTAGAATATTTTATAATTAGGTAATACCTTTTTAAACGATAAATTTATTAGGTTAAATTCTTTTCCAAATTCAATTTTAATTTATAATACCGACTCAATAAAAAAGTAGTAATACTTAATACTTTATTCCGGCGGGATTAAAACCGGCTTACTAAGGAAGATTAGAATATTCAAAACTTCTAATTTATTTTAGATTCGGCTCTCCGTAATTACGTCCGTATTTCCGTTATAAGTATTCGGCTGGGGTAAAGGAAGGGGAAGGGTATAAAAGTATTCGAAAATCCGGATTTATAATAGTTCTAGAATATTACCGTAGTAAAAAATACCCTCTATTAATAAATTCTCTAAGTAGTAAAAAATAACGATAAGGACCTCTTCTTAATTAAATTCCGACTCTAAATTATAAATTATTCTATAGACGATAAAGGTCAGCTTCGGTATAAAAGTAGGTTCTAAATACTTAGGAGTCCCGTAGCTACCGAATTTAAAATTATAAAATTCTCTAATACTAATTAGGAATTTAATACCCTCCGTATAAAAATTATCCAAATTACTTATAATTGTCAAACTCTCAATTACCCCGGTAGGAAAGGTATTATCGCAACCTTTTCTTATTACTTTTATTAATTATTAATAAACGTTAACGTTCGTTAATTCCTCTATAACTATTATATTTACGGCTCTATAAAGTATTAAAAAAATTAATAGAAGGGTTTCCTATAACCTTTACCAATCCTTAAATAATTTTTCTATAAAATCTAAATAGATTTTATTATTAATTTCTTTAAATTTAGAGGTAACATTTATTTATTAATTATAAAAGACCGCATTAGTAAAAACGTTATCTTCGAATTAATACTTTCTATAAATATTAAAATTTGTATAGAGCGCTTTTTAAATTATTTCGTCTGGTATTACGGCTAATTACAGTCTGTAATTAATAATTAGGGCTCTAATTAGACCGGGAGGTTCTAAAGAAAATTCTATAAATTTTTAAGTATTAAATAATTCTTTAATACGATTTACTACCTGTCACAGCACGTAGATTTCGAGAGATAAGACACGAATAATTTAGCGTTATTAATAAATAATTAAAGATAAAGAAGGGAAGCTAAATCTACATAGGATAAAAGGAGTAACGTCCTTCTTATATAGGATAGTACGACTAAACGTGTATATAATCCAGCATATCTAACAGCGCCATAATATCACCCCCCCCCTCGCAAATAAAACTTAGCCCCAGAGTCTAAAGAGATAAAAAGAAAAATAAAATAGGGTTTTAATATTATTAAAACGTTTGAAACGAAAGCAACGCAATCTAACGCATATAAAAACAATAACAGACCCAATAGTAATAATCTAAATAGGCGAAAGAAAAAATAAAACATAACATAACCCAACAATCTAAATAGGCATTAACATATAAAAAGGTTAATCAACATCTTATTCTACTCCCGTAAACCATCCTCTCAAATTTACACTCGAAATTAGGCTCAAAATCCGTTAAATAATCATATCCAAACTCATAACTAGAATCCTCGTCATCATCATTATTATCTAAATCCTCCTCATCGGACGAAAGACCTTAAATGAAATTGAACTATACTCGTAAATAAAAAGACCCTACATACTTGGCTAAACCTACTTTGGCAATATTAGAACCCGATAACGTTTTTTACACTTCCAAAGTTTGGATGGCAACTTGAATCGCGTTAATATCCATAGCATTGGGGTCCTTAGTACCCTTATAAAAACTAGTAAAGTAGATAGAATTGAGCATTTCTTTAAGCTTGGCAACGAAATCCACGTAAATTATTAGCATCAGCCGGAATCGCAACGCCCTTTTTCTAATCTCCTTATTAAGTGCCTGGCGCAAGATAGATATTTTCGAATCTTCTACCCAAATATTCGCTCTAGACTTATAAAGTAACCGTTCGAATTTAACAATAAAAATAGCGAATAAATCCTCGTACTATTTAAGAGCCAGGAAAGCATTCTAGGCTTACTAAACTTTATTAGGATTATCGAAAATCCAATTCAACTAGTCAATAAGCTCTTCCGGGTCAAAGGAATCTACTTCGGAAGCTTACTAAAGTTATAGTATCACTAAGGCTTAAATCTTATTATCGAACCAGTTATAAACGTAGAAGAATTAAGCTTCTACATTACCAATAACTTCGCTATCAATCCGGAATTTGGCACGAAAACTAAGAAGCCAGGTCTTAAAAGAATAATTTGCTCCGGTAAACTTATCAATATCTAGAAGGGCTAGTTTAGGCCTCAGCTTATCTTTTTCCTTCTTACCAATAGTCTTAAATAGTGCAGCGGCTTAGCCAATCAGATTTGCAACGCTAACTTTGAATTCGTTAATCTCGTTATTCAAATTCGTAATTTACTCTTTCTACTTCTTAACTTAGCTCACAGTCTTAATAAAAACCCCTTGGACTTCCTTCAAGTCTTCCTTAGTAGCTATAGTAACGAAGGAAGCACTAGTAAAAAAAGCCGATAATTAGTAATAAGAACGGAAATATAAAAAATAAGGTTATCTCAATTGAATAGGTTAGTAAGAGGGCTAGATCTGGTAGGATGTTACGGGTCTACTAGGTTTGCATAGTAGTGGAGTGATAACTGGAATTGAGATTGTTTAATAAGGAGGAAAAGGTATGTAGGCTGGGAAAGGCTTGCGTAGCGGAAGATTAAATATAAGGTTTGGATAGGTGGCCTGATTGGGTATGCCTTATAGCGGGGAAAGCCGGGTTGTAAGCGGGTTCGCTCGACTGAGGAATGTTTGGTTGTAGGTTAGGTTTAACTTCTGGGCTTTAACCCCTTATATTACTCTCCTATTCCCCCTTATAACGTTCGGCGCCTATATACATAGTAAAAATGAAAATTAATGTACAAAAATCTTAAACCTTGCAAAGCGATAAGTAAAACTATATTGTAAAGTATACTACGAGTATATCCAAACTAAATATTCGAATAAATAATTAAATAAATAAATGGAAAATGAATTATTTGTAGCCCTATTATAAATATTAAGCCCTTGGGAATTATATTATTTTATTACCTTATATAAATGTGTAACCGGTATTAGAATTGGCCGATTCTATAGTATTTTTAGCTACCTTATAGTTATCGTATTGTAATTAGTTTATTTAGCCGTTTAAATCCCTATTTTATATTATAATCGCGTAAAGCGTTATAAATTTCGAATAAATTTCTATTATCCAGCTAAAAGGTATTTACTACCTTATTATATTCCTTCGTAGGTATGGGAGAGTAATGGAGCTTTAATATATTTCGACGTGGTTATTAATGGTCTAGATATTTAATAGAATAGTCTAATACTACTTCCCCTTATGCTAACCCAACTTAAATAATTATAGCCTATTATAATTTAATATCGTTGTAAATAGAAGTTATTGTATAGATTAAAATTATTAGGGGAGTATAAGACGGTATTAACCCCCTCCGATTCTATACGTAATATTTTTAAGCTAATTTTCCCGTTTCGAGGCTTATAAAAGAAGCTAATTTATTTAATTGTCGTTATCGTATTCGTTATTATCTAAATCCTTAATCGGTTTAATAATAATATTCTATAGCTGTATAGTAAGTTTACCCTTTTTTTATTCTTAGAGTATGCCTTCTATTAATAGGATTTAAATTTATAATTTATATAGCGTTTTTATTTTTCTAACGCTACTGTTATTCTTTAATAATTTTCCTAAAGTATTTAGAGGAACTTAGGGAAGTTATATTAATTAAATGTTTTATCCTTATAATACCGATAATTATAGAGTCCATAGTATTATTCCTACCCCTAAAAAAGTAATTATTATTATTTAAACGATGTAGGTATTTTTGTAGAGCGTTAAAATTCTTTAGAATATCCGTTTTCTCTTTTAACTATGTACGCTATTCTTTATTTAAATTACTTATAAAGAATATTTATTTAGAATTATTTATTTAATTATTCTGGGCTTTATTGAGTACTTTATTAAACTGTAAAAGGTAGGGTTTAATAGATTCGTTCCGGCTCTATAGAGTATTAAGAAGTTTTTAGGCTACGTATTTATTAAAGTTCGCTTTTCCGTAAAATTGTTAAAGTTTCTATAGTAATTTAATAGGTGTATAGTTCGCTTACTATTTAGTAAAAAAGAGGAAGGGTTTTTGGATAGGCGGTAAAAGGTTGGAATAGAAGTAATAAAATTAAACTTCTAGATTACTAATAGCGAGATTATCGGTATGTAGTTTCGCTTCAGCTGTATATAGTTAGGTGTTTAAATTAGCGCCGGTTTCCCCAAAGTATTTAACGAGATGGGGGAGGATTGGTTTGGGCTAGGGAATCGCGGGTATAGGAGTAATAGATTGGGCGGTTTTGAATTTAGTAATTTAGTTAATTAGGGTTTAGATAGAGATTGCGAATTATTATTAGCGTTCTTAGGCGCTCTAAAATTAAGGGACGGATATAGCGAAATAGGTTTTATAGCGATAAAAAAGGGCTTTGTAGCGAAGGGGGAAAAAAGGCGTGCAGAGACGAAAAAAGGCGTATAGAAACGGTCGGTAGGGCTTTCCCGGGCAAATATTAAATTAGCGATCTAAGAAAAAAGGTATTAAAGAAGAGGGTCGAATAATATATTACGGGTTTATTAAGTTTATATAGTAGTAGGGTAATAATTGGGATTAAGATTGTTCGATAAGGAGGAAAAGGTATATAGGCCGGGAAAGGCTTGCGTAGCGGAAGACTAAATATAAGGTCTGGATAGGTGGCCTAATTGGGTATGCCTTGTAGCGGGGAAAGCTGGGCTGCAAGCGGGTTCGCCCGACCGAGGAATGCTTAGCTGTAGGCCAGGTTTGACCTCTGGGCTTCAGCCCCTTACATAGGATAAGATAATCTGGTGGCTAATATTGAAGAGAGAAGATAACACCAATTGAGTGGGATAATCGACCGCTAAGATAGATTTGGAAAAGTATAGTATAGGGAAAGTAGGGTTTAATATAGGAGAATAGAGAAAAGTAGGGTTTGGATACGGGGGAAGGGACCCGAGTTTAAGGCACCGGCGGTCGTACAAATATATAAGCACCCGTATAAACTCCGTCAAAATCCATTAGAACGCGGTACCCGCGCTAGAGTCAATAAAATAAAAGACCCGAAATAGTAATAGAATAACCAAGTGGCTTAATAGGGGCCTCGGCATTCAATTACGACTACGAGCGGTCCCTACGATCGGGTAAGGAGGTAGGATAGTTTAATATTATACGACGTTCACCTATCCAGACGAAACGAATCCCGCCGGATTAAATAAAAGAAGGATCTTTAATTAAGTATCACAGTACGTAGATCTCGAGGGATAAGACACGAATAATCTAACGTTATTAATAAATAACTAAAGATGAAAAAGAAAAACTAAATCTACATGGGATAAAAGAAGTAACGTCCTTCTTATATAGGATAGCACGACTGAACGTGCATGTAATCCAGCATGTCTAACAGCGCCATAACACTACCCCTAAACGGACGGTAGCCTAAAATATATAAATTAAGAGGTTTAAACCTTCTTGAAAGTATATATTAATTAGGTTTAGAATAATTAGTATAAATAATACCCTACAGTATAATTAGCGATTAATAGCCGTATTAATATATTTATTAGTATATTACCTTTTTTTATTACTTACGGATTTAACTCCGAACTAATAATTCCGGTAGTCCCCGAGACCCTAGAGAGTTCTAGCACCCCAACTAGCATTCGGGCCTAATAATTTATTAAAAAATTATCGTAAATTATAAATATTTATTAAATTATTATAGCCGTAGCGGCCTAAGAATAAAAAAAAATATATTAATTATAACCGTCGCCTAATAAAGAGATTCTAAGTCGGTAATAAAATTTAATTCAATTTTAAAAATTACGCCTCTCCCAAACCCAAAAAAAAATTCGATTAATTATATATTAAGTATACGGTTTCGAAGGTCCTCTCCCCTCCAATCGTTGAATTTACTAAATTACCGAATAATATTTACAACGTTTTTTATATAAACCTCCTTTAGTAAATTATAAAAGACTTATTACCGGGATAAAAAATTACCGATTATTAGCCACCCCTTATTTTAATAAATAGAGAAGAAGAATACTTTATAAAGAAGATTCTACGAATAGGAGGCTCCCTTATTAACCGGCTGGTCTTCGTAAAATAGAAGAGTTATAATAAATTATTGTAGTACCTACTAAATAATTTCTTAGAAACCGAAGCGCTAAAAGAATTCGAAAAGTAGTATAAAGATATTCGAAAGAACGACGACCTATTAGAATTTTATTTATATTATGCGGAATAATAAAAAAAGAAAAATAAAAAGAAGAATAATAATCTAATGTTAAAAACGTTAAAAAGGCGTAAAGGTCGGATAAAAGTAATTAATTAAAGGGCTTCCCCTAAAATAAACGAACCGAAAGGTTCGGGTTTGGATTCCGAAGAGCTATTAATACCGAAGTATTCTAATACCCCGGATACCGTAACCGAAGGTTTTTTAAATTTACAACTAATATTCTTCTTTTTTTTAATAGGGCCTTCGGCCCCGGCCACCTCTTCCTCTACTTTAATAAAATAAACCCTTTTTTTAATCTTCTAAGGCCTTCGAGACCAAAGTAGTTTATTAGCAGAATTGGACTATTTATTCCAAGCCCAGAAACCTGCCCTTGTCACACCCAAATAGAAGGCGGCGATCTGTGTACTCCAAACTGCAACGCATCTCGCCAGCCTTGTCCCAAAAATCTCAAACATATCTACTTTACCGGTCAATGTGGCTCCAGCTAGCTGCTGTAACTGTGACGATGTTTATTCAGGCTTCCGGCCCCATGCAACACGCCCCATGAAGTATCCGTGGATTTTGGGGTTATTCAAATCCCTTTTCAGGTGACGGGCAAAGGCCTTCGCTTCATCCGGACTCCAACCAAGGACAGCATTCCACATGTAGTTGATCCATCCTAGAGCGTATTGTTAGGACCAACTGAATGAATGTTCATTAATGCTGGGAATGGAGGGGAGCTCGTTCACGAGCAAGCTTACCTTCAAGGTCCGCCTCAACGGCTAGCTTCCACCAAAGACCCCTTTCTGCCTCTTCCTTTTCGGGGTGCCAGACACCAATCGGGACTTGGATATCCTTGAACTCGATATCAACAAACCCAGCCGCCTCCATACATTTCCGCTGGAGATCCTCTTCATATACTGAAAACGTTCTTCCAAGTTTTTTACCACCCTCCCGAAAGACTCTACCCCATTGGTCTAGAGAACTACCTTCTTTAACTGACCCGTCATCAGACAAGAATCGAGATGATGTAGTATAACACTCCACATAACCACCGGGCTTAGCGACTCGATAGGCGTTACGATAGAGAGCATTCCAATCATCAACAACGCCCATTAGACTACGCAAATTAATGAAATCGAACGTATTAGCGGGCCAGGTCCATTGCTGATTGCAATCCTCAATCTCAAACTGAACGTTCGGGGGGACCCAAGAAGGTTGGATGGGGGTGACATCTGTGCCTATAACTTCCGCATTAGGGAACTCGTCGGCAAAGTCACTGTATACAAGGTTAACAGGTAAGCAATCCGAACACAGCATGAATATACGGTTAGGTGGACCATCCGAGCGGAAGACAACGCAAAGGACAAGACTTACACCGCCCACAGGCCAGCCCCCGTCGCAATGTCAAGTACCTTCTGAACCTTTTTTTGCTCAAGAGGAGAGAAATATAGCTTTCCTCCCATATGTACTAGAATAGCGTGATGCCTTCCCCGATGGTCAGCCTTCTGCCCTCGAAGGTAGGGCTACGTTGCCAGAGGATTGTGCAGACGCTTACACGATTTCCATCGCATCAACGTGGCGTTGATCATTGGGCTCCCATGACTCGGCGTTACCAATTTCGGCGTGGTAGGTTCTCCCGTGGACTTCGCGGTACCGGTAAATGCTCGTGCTTAGGGAAGCTGTGGTGGAATTGAATGAGCCAAGGCTAGACGCCCCATCGTCAACATCCTCTTCGGGAAGCTGCAAACATGGGTGGACGTATCAGCAAGTGCAAGCCAACTTTGTGAATAGGAATGCGCTTGAGGTAGTTACCGGTTGCTCCGTCCAATAGGTTGCAGGAAGAATACCAGCTGCGTCTTGCGCCTCAGCGCTGAGCGGAGTCGGGGCAACTGCGGGTGCTGGCGAGGTCACTTTGCCCTTAGGGCTCTTGGGGCTTTGAGGACTTTGCGTGCTGGAACTCATGGTTGTGACTGCGGCAAGGACAGCCGAGTCGGTTTAGTGTTGGGGGAGCGAGAGTGAAGAAGCCAGAAGCACTGGGGGAAATTGTGTGGCGTCGTGAGTTGAGGACTTGGGACTTGAGAGAGTCGTTCCATGGGCAGGACTTTAAACCAATTTGGTTGAGAGGTATTGTACGGCTAACGGCAAGAGTATACAGTCTCTTTCATGGTCACGCTACTGTGAAGCACGCACGAGACACCACAAATTGCTGGAGTTCCTTCCTGATGCGGTCTTAGGATCATGCACTTGGTGAGACCGTGATCGTACCGTGGAAGACTGGGTTCTGGATTTCCAGGGATGTGTCTGTCCGACCAATTGACAGGTGCCAAACATCGCTTCAGCAAACTGCGGGATTCAAATAGCTCCTGTTTGCTATGCCTGTGGTATGCTGCAGTCCCCTGCCACCGAACGTTGCAACGTCGGTTGGTCGCCGGGCCGACGAGTTCAGTCTACCAAAGAGCGTTACATTGTTCAATGGCCGTCAGGACGTTCGCCCCATTCGACTGTGCAAGCCAAGAGTAACCGCCAAGGCGTGGATAAACCGTCAGTCGAATTGGAATCCGCACTTTTTGACCCCGACGAGTTCTACATCAACTTGTAGGGGCTCTTTTTCCCCTGCAGTGGCCTGCAGCAGTAGAGGGCGGAGGATGCAGTTGCGTCTCAATCTGGTTATGCTGCGTAGTGACAGGTCTCGAAAAGGTAGTGTACATGTCGTTTCCATCGTTGGACTGGCAGTGAACAGCATGTTGAAGGAAAGTTGTGATTCGATAAAGCTGACGGGCGTTCACCCCACCCGGCAAGTTGATATGGAGACATTTGGGCACATGAGAATGTGACAAGTCATGTGGATTGAATGGCGGGCCTCGTACCATTTGAACATCAAGTGGTTCTTACGATCGGAGCGAGGAAGACTCTAATCTGTTTTCGTATTGAACTCAAATCGTCGACGAGCATGAAGCGTTGGGCTGGGCTGGAAGAAGAGCTTTCCCTTGCGCTGAGGTCTCTCCTACAGTGCAAATATGCCAAGGATCAGTATGAGAGAAGTGGGAAAAAAACGAAAGGGAGTGAAAAGGAAAACGACAAGAAGACAAAAATGGGGTTTCTATTCTTCTTTCCCCTTTTTTTCCGTAGATGTAAAAAGGTTGATTTGTTGTTGTTGTTGTTGTTGTTGTTGTTGTTGTTGTTGTTGTTGTTATTTTTAACGTCTACTTCCGCCTCCCGTAGGCCATGAGACGTGCCACATCGGAGAATCTAGCGTACAAACATAGGAGCAGTGCCCTAACAGTCTACCAAGACCATTAACCCGAGGGCAGACCGAGGCCTATTGCCAGTGTAAATCGCGTGTTGCCCATAGCATAAACGCGGCCCAACACTTCCAGTCTAATCGCCCAATGGGCGAGGCGCCAGTCTATGGCGGGACCCGTAGAACAAAAGAAAAGACATAAGAAAGGGCAAAATCACTCCTCTCCGCTCTCGCTCTCACTCTCCTCCTCCCGTAAGGCCTCCTCCCGTCTCCTTACGCAGTGAACTAGCCTGTCCAAGTCCATCGTAACCCTCTCAATGTCGTGGCCGTGGCCAACCTTCACCCCTTCACCCCGTAAAAACCCCGTAAGGTTATCAGCGGTGCCCCCGTCGTCGATGTGCTGTTGCCAGAGTGACCGGCGCCATGCCTTTCTCGTGCAAGTCCACGAAAAGAAGTGCGAGGTCTGGATCCGAGCGATGAAGCGCTGCCAGTAAATCCCAATGGCAAGAGAGAGATTCTTCCGCGTAGCCGCTTCGCCTGTGACCGGGGAAATCGCATATGCCTTCCTGCAGTGGAAGGGGTGGAAAGGGGTCTTCCAGCTGCCACAATAGCATGCTAGTAGCGCGTCCTCGTGCCCGAACCTTTCGTGATAGTTTTTGAAATCGCCGTGGCCAGACCTGGCCGCGAGGAGGTGGTGTAAAGAGCGTCTGTCCAACTCTATTAGTTCGTCATTAGGCTTGATAGAGACCCCCAACCGGTAGTCTGCATAAGACTCTGGCTTGTTCGCGGCCCACCATGCCTTGAAATCCGTACGCGCCTCCCTCTTAGCAAGCCGTCTTGAATGCGCAAGGGTAGCCAAGCCTTTATTGACTATCTCCCCCCTTTCAGCGCCCGCCTTAGCGAGCTCGTGAGCAATCTCGTTGCCCGTGATGCCCTTGTGGCCAGGAACCCAGCGGATGTCCACCAGGCTGGGGCCATAGCCCTTGCAGGTGGCGCGGAAATCAAGGAAAGCCGCTTGTGACGACGCAGCTGGGGTTCCCTGGAGTCCTCTAATGACGGACGTGTTGTCGAGGCATACCGTAATGCGTGGCCGGGCCTGTGCCTCCGGAAAGAGCGCCACAGCGGCCTTAAGACCATGCCGCGCCCCTTCCGCCTCCGCATCGAAAACCTCCGCATATTCTAGTTGACCGCATCCGCGGCCAAGTTCTGTCTGATCTTGGAAGATTACGTAGCCAAAGCCTACGCACTCGCCCTCTGGTCTTTCTTCTTCAGCGTCCGGGTCCTCCGCGTGCGCTGAGAGGCCCATCTGCTTAGCTATCATAGAGCCGTCGGTGTAAACGACGATCTCCGAGGAGTCTAGCTGGAGAAGCCATTCTTTAAAATCCTTGGCAGCCCTGTCCTTAGACGTGGGCGCTGGTTCTTTGTGAGTGTCTCCGTTATAGACGGGCGGCTGTAGAACCGGCCGCGGGAAAGGCAAGGCGAGCTGGGCAGCCGTCTGTAGCGTTGTAGGGCTGCAAGGCAGGCCGTGCGGCGTCGCTCGGGATTCCGAAAGACGCGGGACAAGCGGGTGGGCGGGATCTAAGGTGAGGAGGCGCACAGCGTGCCGCCGACGGGCCGCTTCCAGAAGAAGGGGGACGGGGGGCAGGCTGGCTTCGCGGTAGAGAATGGCAAGGCGCGTCGTTCTCCACACCGGTAAGCTGGCGCGGATGGCCATGTTCACCGCCGTCTGGACTTTATGGACGAGGTCCGCCAGTCCGTTGTTAATAAGCGGAAACTCCCCTTGTTTACGGTGTAGGGCGTGCTTCTTATGGCCTGGCCACCAGATTTCAGAGCCAAATAGGGCCTTTGGCAGGACTTCATAGCTTTCACCATGGAGCCTGGAGGGGCGCCGTGGTAGACTCTATTGAGACCGCGTATGTGGCGGACCACCTGCTTGGCGGAGGCGAGCCTGTGCTCAATGTGATGCTTCCAGTTCAGCTTGCTGTGGAGCCAAATCCCCAGCCAACGCATTGCCGGCTGTGCAGCCACCTCGACTCCTCCGTGCGTAATGGTCGGAAAAGGCGCAGTGAGTCTTTTCCTGGAGAAAAACTGGATTTCGGTCTTGTCCGGGGAGAAATCGACAGCGTTGTCTACTCCCCATCGGACCATGGCATTCAACTCTCGTTGGGCCTTCTCTGCAACCTCTTCGTTCGAAGAGCCAGTGACAAGGACTGCACAGTCGTCTGCATATCCAAAATGCTGCGCTTCACTCTCCCCGAGGCGATGGACTGGCTCTGTGTAGAGCAGGTAGATGATGGGCGAGGCTGGTGAGCCCTGGGGGAGCCCGCATCTAAGACGGCGCATAGGAGTAGTCACCCCCGAGTATCGAACGCAGGCCATACGGTCTGTCATAAAAGACTCAACCCAGCGGACCGCGCAGTCTGGCCACCCTTGCTCTCGCAAACGTAAAACTAGCCTATTCACTAGGACGGCATCAAAGGCACCTTTGACATCCATAGCTACTAGTGCAGCAACGAGTCCCTTGTCGAGTGCAGCTTCGATATCGTGAACCAGAGCTTCCACAATGTCAATAGCCGAACGCCTTGGGAGGGCGCCAGCCTGCTGGGGATTTAAGACCCCGTTAGAAATAGCCGTCCAAGCGATCCGTCTGCCGATTAGACGCTCAATACCTTTTCCAAGGCAGGATAGGAGCGAAATAGGCCGCCATCCCTTGGCCGTCGTCTGGTCTTTCCCAGGTTTCGGTATCATAACCACTTCCGCCTGTCGGAAGACTTGGGGGTGATAGCCGGTAGCGACGCAGCCCTGATAGAGTTGCTGGACAGAGTCTTTGATAGACTCCCAAGACGCTTTCAGCATACGGACTGTAATGCCGTCGGCACCGGGGGACGTATTGCCGGTGCCGCACAGGGTTTTGTAGACTTCGTCCGCGTGGACGAGGGATGACCAGGGAAGGCGACGGCGTGGTACCGTAGGTACCCAGCCAGTTTCAAGATCTTCCTCTTCGCTGTTCCTTTCTAGAAGGGCCGTGCGGAGGGCCTCCGCCTTGGCTTCTGGCTCAATAACCGTCTGCCCATTGATAACTAGCGGTGGAGCCTCCATTTGGTCACGGGGCTTGTGCCACGCCACGATCCGAAAGATGTCCTGGTCATTTCGCGCCTTTGTGATAAAGTCGTCGAAAAACAGCTGCTTTGCTTCTCTGACTACCCTTTTAAACTCCTGCCGAAGAGCTTCTACCCGTTGGGGGATGGGATTCGGGTTGTTGTGCCGATAGTTGCGGAACATTCTAGAGGCCTGCGCACACGTCTTGTTCCACCACTTAGCGTTCTTCTCAGGTCTCGAGGGTCTGCAAGAGATTTGGAGGGCCTCTGTAAGGACGTTGCAGAGGGCCTCGGCGAGCTCGTCGAGCCTTTCCGGGGAGTCTTCGCCTGTAGGGAGGAGCGGGACCAAACCTATGAGAAACGAGACGTTTTCGGCATATAGTCTGATAGCCTCTGGGTCTTCACGAAGAACTAGTCGACGGCGAGGAGGCTCTACCGGTTGGATTGGAATGTCCGTAATGCAAACTTGGTGATCCGAACCGCAGTCCGCCTCTGGGGCAGTCCTTGTTGAGCAAAGCGGAATGTTCGAAAAGGTAAGGTCAATAGTATTGCCGCAGTTGTGGGTAGGAATGCCAGGAGCCGTCAGCAGATCCAGGCTGTGTTCTGTAACGTAGTCTACAATTCGTGTGGCACCTTCTGATGTTTCCGCGCCAGGTTGCCAAGAGTGGTGTTTGGCATTGAAGTCGCCAGCGAGGAGTGTCCTTGTCGTTGGTTGCCAATTTTGTAGTAGCTCGAGGGCCGAGATGTCGTTTGACCGGCGGTAAATATTCACAAAAGTGACACCCTGCGTCTTTACCCATAGTAGATCTCTGGTATGGCCGAGTGTGAACCCTCCTGCTGCCGTTTCCTTACGAACGTACGTAGCGACACGTGGGTGGGTAGCCGTCTCCTTTGTCCATGTGCGGACAGGAGTGTAAAGAGCGTAAAGGGGTGTCCGGGAATACCAAAGCGACCCTCGTAGAACCACACTCGTGGCTCTTGGATCATAATCACGTCCGCTCCAGCCTCACTAGCAGCTTGGAGGGCAATCTCGTGCGTGTCGCGTGCTCGTGCTACATTAGCCTGAAAGACGCGTAGTCTAGAATTGTTCGGGCTATCACGAGAGGGGGTCGAATGTCTACTCATAGGCCAGCGGCCCTCTTGGAAGGCGTTTTGTGGCGGCTAGAGCGGCGGACTGCGTCGTCAGAGGACGTGTGTTCGCTCAATTGGACCACTATCATATCCTCATCAGCTGGAGACTGGCTCCGGTTAGAGCTGTCGGAGTATTCGGGCCCGGAGGGGGCGGAACTATGGCTGGGCAGCTCGTCGGAAGACGTGGTGGTATCTTCCTGGCTGTCGGGGGGGGGCGGCGCGGTCGTATTTTCTAGATAATAGAATACCGCCTTCACGGCGAATCTTCGCCCGTTGTTGGGGGGTCGGGCGGGTGACGGTATCTCCTTGGTGCTTTGGACGCATAGGACACTCGGCATGGGTGGACTCAAAAGGGCCACGGCAGTTGGCACATTGAATGTGACGGTCACACTCACCGTGGGCAGTATGTCCGCATTGTGGGCATTTAGCAGCGCGAGCGCACCCTCTACGGCCATGCCACTCAAAGCATTTTGTACACTGGTTTAGTGGGCGGCGTTTCTGGACGAGGCGGCTGATGTTGCTAAGGTCAAAAAGACGGAAGGGAGGGACAGGCTTATCAAAGGAGATCAGCCAGGTTGCATAGGCCTCGCCAGGATGGAAGTACTGGGAGGGACGGAGGGCGACAGGCTCTTGGCCGGTTTGGACGAGGACCTCGTCCTTGATGGTAGTGGTAGTGTCGACAGGGACCATGCCAATCCGCATCGTCATGGGCACATTCTGGACGGCGTAAGTGACCCATTTCTTGGGCACTTCGACTTGGACGCAGCCGAAGCGGGCACCAATCTCGTCTTTATGGGCCAGGAGGGTCTGGCGGACAGTGTCATTCTTGGGCACGAGGGCAAAACCAGAGGGGACCTTGTGGCAACCAGGGATGTCGGTGGGGGCGAGGCGGAGAAGAGACTGAACCTCTTTGCGAATAGCAAAGGCGTCGGTATTGGCAAAAGGGGAGTCTTTATCTAGTCGAAGAAAGACACGGCCGTCACTTTGGGGTAGGGCAGCCTTATGGGTGAGGCTGGAGTGGGACGTGGAAGCAGAGCGGGAGGCGGGGGTGGAATCCGCACCGCGGGCGGCAGCTTCGGCGAAGGAAATGGGCCCCTTTCCCTTTCTGGTAGGGGAAGTGGAGACCTTTTTGCTTGTTGGGGCAGTAGAATCCGGAGGAGGCGAGGGAGGTGAAGCAGAACTTTTCTGCAGGGCGGCGGTGATGGTCCGTGCGAGGCTGTCAGCTTCACGTGCGTGAGCGGGCGAGACGGCGGAGAAACGGGGGAGTTCGGTGTCGAGGAAGGCGGCGAAGGAGCGGTAGACCTCCGCTTTGGCGAGGGCTTCAGAGATGAGGGTCCAGCGAAGGACTTAATGGGGCCGGAAGCAGCAGGGATGGCGGTGGTTGCGTGGGCGGGACGGACTTCCTCGTCCGCAGTCCGGGCTCTCTTGGCCGACTGCGCCGTCGTGGAGGGCGGGGGCGGGACGCAAAGGGTGTCCGGCAGGGGAATAACCGGTATCATGGCCGGCGGCGGTGGTTTGGGGGCCCCAGAGGGCGAAGGCGTAGTCATTTCGTCGCTGCGGTTGTTGGGATATCGACCGTGAAAACGGCGATTTTGGTAGTGTTAAGGGTTTTGCAGGCAGCCTAGCGTCAACACTAACACTTGGCGCCAAGACTTTTTGATGTAGGAGGAAGATGGTCTCATGCCCTACGGGAGGCGGAAGTAGACGTTAAAAACAAACAACAACAACAACAACAACAACAACAACAACAACAACAACAACAACAACAACAACAACAACAACAACAACAACAACAACAACAACAACAACAACAACAACAACAACAACAAGATGGCCAGATCATCTCGCCTATTTCAGCTACTTTTGTTTTCAGAGACGAGGAAGGGAAAGCCGGCCAGACCACCCATGCTCAGCTGTGTCTCCGTTCCAACGCTCACGCCGAATCCGCTCCCATACCATTCAGCAGGATCGAGGTCAGATTAGGGGAAGGTTATCTATGGGGGGAGTTTTTAACATAGGTTTGGATGACAGCCAAAAACGCCGCCGCCGTTTCTGGAACCGTTTTTATTGCCTTCGCCATCGAGTGCACCGTTCCACCTACACCAAGCCCAGCTGAGTGGACTTGCTCTTCCTCTAATTTGCTTTTTCCTCTCTCTATCTTCCCTCATATCACCCGACTCTATACAGCGAAGGACCACCCTCCAGGAGCCACAGAACGCAGCACAGCAAAGGTGCACATCGACTCCGCTCCCAGGGGTCCCATTGCTTATTTGGCAGGAGATGCAGCAGCAGGCACGAGAAGAGCAAGAACAACAACAGGAGCAAAATGAGCAACGGCAAGGACAGGTGCAACAACAACGACAACAAGACCAAAAACAGACGCCTATCCCCAGGCGCAGGCTAATGTGTGAGGAACTTGGGAGGAGCCTTGGTCCAGCAGCAGCGGTCGGTAAAGGACTGAAATCCCTCACCCCCCCCCCCCCCCCCCCCCGGCTCCAGACGCCGCTTGGATTACGTAAACGGAGTGACGGGACATTGCACCATACAACACGACAGGGTCAGGTCATCAATCTTGAGGAGAAGAGGGAAAGGTCGTTATTTATGAGGTGTGTAGAGGGTCGTTCAGTCGTTCAGTCATTATTGGCTGGCGCTTGGCACCTTGCCAGGCTCCCCGGTTTCCAGGCTACTACCTCGGCCCTCCCCTCCATCCCCTTGCTCTCGTATCAGCTTTCCACTGCCTAACAAAATACCTCCTCATCGTCTCTTCACAGGCGTTGTACGTGACCGCGCTCAAGGGGTTTTCTTCTAAGTGACCCATTACCCTAGCCATCTCCTCCTCACTCATCTCCGCAGCGTGGGTCTTTTGTACATCTGCGACGGCGGCGTAGAGGGCCGATTCGCTTGGGTGGTTGGAGGTAGAGATAGCACGTCCAACAGCGCCAGCGCTTCCAGGGCCAAGCCACCCGCTCCTCTCTATAGCCTCCACTACAACCCCCGCCACCCTCCTCAATACGTCCTTCGTTGTCTCTTCCTCGACTTCTTCCTTGAGTTCCTCCAGCTTTGAACAGGCCGTGGCCAATCCGGTGTCAATGCCGTCATCGATTTGTTTCCGGATACTGGAGGCTTCCGAGGTGTTGTACCGGCAGTTTTGATGGCATGTTTGGCTGTTGTGGTCAGGATTGAGACGGGCGACTTCGAGATGTTCGACGCGCTTTGCAAGGGAGGCTAGGTTGCTGGTGAGAAGCTGTTGGAAAAGAAATAATAATTTTCGTGTGTCGGTTGAGGCTTCTTTGACGTCGAGGGCAGGGAGGGGTGGGAGGGATGGCGGCGATGCGAGGTCAGAGGGGGTTGCGAGTCGTGGGCGCTTTCCTTTTCGATCTGTGGAAAAGGAAGTTTGTTAGCGGGTAACTAAATATTATAAAGGCGGTACTTTAGGTTAGGGGGACGTACCCGATGGAGGGAAGAATTGCGTTGGTTCTTGACCCTGGGGGGCGTTTTGCTTTGTCGATTCGAATAATCGGTGGTTGGTTGGACTTGTGATAACGCATTTATCTTCGTAGGGAGGTTAAAGCCCGCTTACGCTTGCCGATCGTTTATGCGTTTGAGTTAATATTCGCGTAGTATTTTGAAGTACGCTAGAGGTAGCATGGGCGAGATTGCTTGGTTGCGCCTCTTGGACCTCGTAGTGTACTGATTCGTATATTGCAGTCCTCGGGTTAACAACTTGCCCGCCAGCACCACCGTACAATCTTAGAAGAGATTCATAATCTATGTAAGTTTTTGGTCGATTGCGAGAAATAATTGATAGTAGCAAGGCCAATTATGCTCGAGTTTCGATCGGGAGGTAGAACAGATCTTGGTAGAAGGAAATATCTTTAACTGTAGCGAGGGAATGTAGGGCATCCAACAGGGCTTCGGAGCCGTGTTTTGGTTGTAGAGGCCGATGCTTGGGCGCTACCAACCTGGGCGGCTGTGTCATGATGAAGCGCAGACGGATGAACCTATCCATATGAGATACTGCTTCCTGCTCCTCTGTATGAGGAAGCACGCTTGAAGTGTATGATATCTCAAGAGACTGAATATTCTCCGGGTAGATGAACAGAAACAATGAAACACTTGCGGGAGTGCCGGTCTTGAGGATGCATTGGCCGCGAAGTAAAAAGAAAGCAGTCCGGTCGGTCGTGTCAACGTAAAAATCCATCTTCAAGTCAGGCGTGTATCGAGCGAGACCTTTATCCTCCCAAACAGCTTGACCCGGGCGCGCAACCAAGTCTATCATGCAACCTTCGTCATGGTCTTGTGCCTCGGACGCAGTCGATATATTGTCGCCGTGGAACTCATGGGCACTATCAAGCAAGTCGTCAGTAAGAAGTATCAGGCAAGCTTGGGCACTGCACGTTGAAAACGAGCGACCTGCCGCTCTCACGTGTCAATCTATAACTCTCGGCAGGAATTCTATGAACGGGAGGCAAGACAGTAGACAGGCCACTGCCCCTGGAAGCAGCCTCTCTACCCGCGGCCCTGCCAAAGAAGCCCCAATCCATTCAACAGGCGTACCTGGTGAGTAGGAGCTGGCATATTTTTACGGCTTCCCGGCCCATAGAACGCGTGTTTCAAGCCACAGTCGTCAGTGAAGAGACTGGATCGGCCATGCATTCGGGGAAATGCACAGCACCCAGGACCGCACCAATCGGGGAGGGCAAGAGGGTAAGAGGCAAAGGGGAGGGAGGGAGAATGGGGTTGATATGAACAAAACCTTGGATGGGCTATTGCCTCCGTCCGAACGATATGGATATGGGAGCTGGTGGTTCAGTTTTTTGACCCTACCACGTGATTAAAAGACCCGTTTCATGTCCTTCCCGCTCCCATAGATAAGCCGACATATCGAAATCGCACCGGGTTGAGGCTCTCCATGATCCCCCGGCTCTACTGAAACTGAGGCATGAAAAGCACGAGAACAAGGGATGGCTTAACCCTCTAATCCTGACAAAGATAGGAAGAGTCGAGCATTCCGAATTCAACTGGTGTCTGCAACTTGTGAGGGACTACTGTTCTCGGAACATGAGCTTCAAGGAAGATACCCTGAATGCCTTCTCGGGGGTGTTGCAACATCTACAATCTTTGAAGCCGCCGATACTCAGCCTGTGGGGCATCTTGATCATTCCAAACTCTACCACGTCTTGGGAACCGATCAGCTATAATATTGTACGCGAACTAGCCTGGTCAAATAGGCGTGAGAAGCTGTTCTTTCAGAACGGTTTTGGGAAGCTGGAACAACCAACCATACTACCAAGAAAAGGGATGTTTCCAAGCTGGACATGGGCTGATTGGAGGCCAAGGACAGCGACAGTGGTGATGTTTTGTTACGTTACGACGACGACGACGACGAATTGTACCGAGGTAAGTTTCGTTGTTACCTCAACAACCGCGGCTTGGCGATGACGCTGTTACCCGCTGTAACATTGCTTAGTCAGATACCGTGGCCGCTGTAACTTGCACTGTTCTGGGAAGCCCGGTCGCTGGACATTGTCGCAGAACAATTCGAGAACAAACGAACATTTCTGGAACACCAATTTGCGAAAAACACCAAACTTTGTGCGACATCATCGCCATGTCAACAAACCCTACAAGGAGTCACCAAAACAACCACAAGACTCACGGCGGCCCTTGATCCGCTTCAAACCGCATGCGTCACACCCGCTGCATTCCGTCATTTTCCGACTCACATTTGACACATTCCCCGCGTTCAACGACAGTCCACAGTCCGATAGCATGCATTTTCCTACCTTATCTTGCGTCAAAGGTCCAGACTCTCTTCAGCCGCTCATGGTACAACGGATCAAAATCCTTCGCGCCCTTTGAATGACAAGATGCCACACCCGATCACACATCAAATCTCAAGAACAGGAGCGGTCAAAGACGGTTTATCACGGTTCTGGAAGGTCCTCATGATCCTATCAAACCAAGACTCGATAGCGTACCACAGCAAAATAAACACGAGCCCGCCAGTGATTCACCGGTGATTCTAGGGCTGACAGTTGAAAAAGAAAGAAGCAATAGAATGTCAATGTGGGGTTCTATGCCGCATCTGGACGCAACATGCCCCTGTCCTTGTCTGATGCGCCGACAGACAGGACCCCGCAAATGACAACATCCGACGATCCGGTTCGGCAAAGAATCCGATGCGGAACGGCTGAGAGCGGGCCTGCTGGAGTCACGACGTCTCATTTTGATATTTGAAGTCGAGATATCTCACTCACTCACTTACGAATCGCAAACACCATCATCAACTGTCTTTGCTCATCCTCAGCAGCAGCAACAGTCACAATGGTAGCCACAGCCGTCGAGCTGCCTTTGCAGCAAAAGACCGATGCCAACGCTCAACAAACCGGGCCCGTGCCATTCGGCAACTCCCTCCTCAAAGAATTCCTCCACGACCCTGCCTACCGGAACCTCAACCACGGTCCGCACCCCCTCTCTCCCTCCCTTTTATTTCCATAACCACAGTGTACTAACAAATTCGAAGGCTCCTTCGGCTCCATCCCCCGCTCCATCCAATCCCGGCTCCGGCACTACCAAGACCAAGCCGAGTCCCGCCCGGACTCATTCATCCGCTACCAAACCCCTCTCCTCCTCGATGAATCGCGCGCCGCGCGTCTCTTCCCTTTTGGGAGTACCCATCGAAACCGTCGTTTTTGTTTCGAATGCGACACTAGGCGTCAACACAGTCCTGCGCAACATCGTCTGGAACACCGATGGCCTCGATGAGATTTTGTATTTCGACACCATCTACGGCGCGTGCGGGAAGACGATCGATTATGTGATTGAAGACAAGCTTGGCGTCGTTAGCAGTCGTTGCGTGCAACTCACATACCCGGCCGAAGACGAGGATGTCATCTCCGCATTCCGCGCCGCTATCCAAGCCAGTCGCGCCGAAGGAAAACGACCACGGTTAGCAGTTATCGACGCAGTGAGCAGCATGCCAGGCGTGCGCTTCCCCTTCGAGTCTATCGTCCAAGTCTGCAAGACCGAGTCCATAATCTCCTGCGTGGACGCAGCGCAGGGTATCGGAATGGCTGATTTGAAGATCAGCGAAACCGACCCCGATTTTCTGGTGACAAACTGCCACAAATGGTTGTTTACCCCACGCGGATGCGCCGTTTTCTACGTACCGCTACGAAACCAACATCTTATTCGGTCTACCCTCCCTACATCGCACGGGTTTGTCCCTAAACAGGGGGATAGATTCAACCCGTTGCCACCGACAGAAAAATCAGAGTTTGTTAATAACTTTGAGTTTGTCGGTACCGTCGATAACTCACCATTTTTCTGCGTCAAGGATGCGATTAAGTGGAGGCATGAAGTGTTGGGGGGGGAGGAGAGGATCATGGCTTACACCACCTCCTTAGCCAGAAAGGGGGGAGAAAAAGTGGCCGAGATATTGGGCACCAGGGTCCTCGAAAATCGGAGCAAAACCTTGGTCAGGTGCGCGATGGTTAATGTTGCGCTGCCACTTGTTACTGGGCAGAACCCGAAGAATGAGGTGAAGCTCACGGAGGCGGAAGAGGAGGAAACAAAGGGGATGTATGAGATCCCGCAGGAGGAGGCGGCAAAAGCGTTCAATTGGATGTATAAAGTCCTGCAGGAGGATTATCATACGTTTGTGCCGATGACGTTTTATAGGCGCAGGTTTTGGGCGAGGTTGAGCGCGCAGGTGTATTTGGAGGAGGGAGACTTTGAGTGGGCGGGCAAGACGCTGAAGGAGGTTTGTGAGAGGGTGGCGAGGGGGGAGTATAAGCTGTGATTGGCATTTGGATTGGGATTGGACTTTGGAAAGGCTTTTTGGATACCAGAGCGGTTCGTTCAATCTACCTTAATACCCTAACTTGGTCCTCGACGCGATGATATTACACAGACAGATGAAAGACAGCTCTAGTTCGGCAACGTCTTATCCGCCGGCGCACGATGTCCAGCAATCACCGGATACTTCTCCCCGACGATTCCCATCTTCCTTAAGCTCAGAACTGTATCAGCCACGCTCTGATTGATGTCTCTATACTCCATTCCCAGCACTCTCTTGCTTCTCCAGTTGTCAAACCGCCAATGCCTGTTCGGGTAATCATCCAACGTCAAACAACGCTTACAGTACCCCGAATACTTGTAGGGCCTGCCTTGTAACTCCGGGCTTAAAGACGCCGAATGCACGATGGCCGCAATAAGCGGGTTACTAAAGGTCCCTCCAACGACATAGAACCGCTTCCCTCCTGCCTCCGGCCTGACCATCGCTCGCACATGCGCAACCGCCACGTCGCGAACGTCCACGAACGTGAACACCGGTGCTGTTGGCGGGATTTTCTCGGCCCATTTACCCTGCAAGCAATCCAAGATTCGCTTGTTAGACGTATTGACCTTTTGTCCATTGCTAACATCAAGACTCCTCGGCAACGGCCCGAATGTGTACGTATTACAAATCGTCGCCAGATCCCAGGATAGCTCATTTTCCTCCATGAACTCCCACGCCGCCATCTCCGCATACTTTTTCGAGGCGCGGTAGGTGGTGTCGCCTGGCGCGTTAGGGTCCGTGGCCATTTCCCAGTTCAGCGTCTCATCGTCGGGCCAGGAGGATTCGTCGTATGACTCGCGGTGGTTGGGCGGGTTCAAGATGGCGGCGCTGCTGGAGGTGTAAATGACGCGGAGCAGGGAAGAGGAGGCGTATTTCTGGAGAGAAAAGAGAAGTTCGATGGTGCCGTTGATGGCGGGGAGGAGACAGTCGTTGAGAGGGTCGGAGAAGGAGAGTTGGTAGGGCGAAGCGGTGTGGATGCAGTAGGTGAAAGAGTTGGATTTGATGACCTGCGAAAGATGGTTAGTACTGACGGTACTTTGGAATTGGAAATTGGGGTGGGAGGGAAGGAGGAAAAGGACAGACCTCGTCAAAGGCACCCGGCTCAGCAACGTTGGCGACCACGGCGTAGGTGACTTTGCAGCCGACAGCATTGACGATATTGGGGGCGTTGGCGATGGAGGCGAGGATGCGTTCGCCTTTGGCTTGCGAGCGGGCAGTCACAACGACGTCGAAGCCGCATTCGAGCAGGTGGTCGAGGATGTGTGAGGCGATGAAGCCGGTGCCGCCTGTCAAGAGCACTTTGCTCTTGGGGTGGCCGGGGATTCCTCCTAGCATCGGCATGTCGACAGTGTCCCGGGAGGTTGCGTGTTGTGGTGACGTCTCTTTTTTTCAGAGGGAAGAAGACGACTCGTTTAAATTCAGTTGCTTGGGGGAGGTTGCGGGAGTCGGGTTGGGCCGATGGCATAGATGATTGAGAGGCCCAGGGCGCCAAGCCCGGAAAGGAAAGGCGTTGGTCAGCCTTTACTGTAATGGAGAGCTGCTCTGAGTGGGATGGGTAAAGAGGAGAAGGCAATGCATTGGGAAGATGGTCTTGATTGGATGCTTGCTCGCTCTGATGCCCTCCACATCACGTGGTTGAAAGTCACGGTGAGCTTCAGGGAAGAAGGTACATTCAGGAACGGTGAGGTGAGGAAAGAAAGGTGTGAGCGTAGACGAACTTTCCGAATGTGAAGCCTCAAAACAAAATCCCAAGATTACCACAGCGGGTTAGGGTTACCGCCGAGCACCGAGAGGAAGTTTTGCCCAGGAACGTAGAACGGCCGGGCGGCGCGTCATTCCGTTGAGATAGTATCGATTATAGCCGTGGCTAGAATTCCCGAAAGAGGCTCTCCATAGCATTTGGTCCTCGCCATCCATTGCTAAAAGATTGAGCGTCCCCAAGTATCTCGGAGACCGACTGGAACAACAGAGGAAGGCCAACACCATGGAACTTGTACTTAGTATTCGGAGGGGAGGTTGGCCATGGCTTCAGACTAGGCAGTCTATGGGTGTGTTGCAAGCCAACCGCATGGTTATGACGTGCCAGGATGGAAGGGAAGAGGTAGGCTGATGCAGGCAGATGAAGGTAGGTTAAGGTAGGTACATGAAGGAGGTCCATCGTGATCCAACAAGACAACAGCGAGAGACTCCCTTGCCACGCTCTCATCTGCATACACGTAACTGGGCCGAGGAGTACAAAGAACCAATCAGGGATGGTCTTCTGACCGAGTGCAATCTTGGTGTTACCCGTGTAAAAGATCTAGCCGCAGTGTCAGGACGGTCAACTTTTCTTGTAATCCACCCAATTATAGTCATCTTTTTAGCGCCGGCTCCCCACTTACCGTAATGCCTCCGTAACGAACGATTTAATACGGGAGGTGATTGTTCAGTTTTTTGACCCTGCCACGTGATTGAAAGACCCGTTTCATGTCCTTCCCACTCCTATAGATAATCTTAGTGAGGGCCAGACTAGTAGTTGGGTCGGTGACGACCAGCGAATCCCTGGTGTTGTATGTTCTTTTGGTTGTTTTTACACCTTATTAATCTACCTTTTTGTTCCTGGAACTTTCTGTTTATCTTTCTCCACTTTTCTTCTCTTTCCTTTTTTTTTCTTGTTTCTTTCTTTCCGGCTTCCCCTTCTTTGCCTTCCCGCGTGGAACCTCCACCTACACGAGACAGATCAGTAAACGTTCAATGATAATATCGTACATACATACCCCTTCACAGCTTTTCAAGAAAGGTTGTGTGATGCAAGTTTAAAGGGCAACCATTAACCGTTGAAACCCCAATTCCGTCGTCTCGGGTTGGTTACTTACTACCAGCATATCAACAAGATGGCACATCTCCCAATCAAAGTTTTGATATTGACGGTCTTGAACAGTGCCCATGGACTTCAACCAAGCCTCGAGATATACGCCTTCCCGTTCCTAAGTAAGAGCGTAAAAAGTAGTGACACAATAAATGAACCGCTCGCCTATCGTACAGTAGCGGCATCTCGTTGTGCTTACTTCATGTGTTTCGTCACCATCATCGTCTTAATTCCCCCCTTCCGCTTACGTTATGCCCCTCCTCGAAGATCCGTGAGCTGCCAGCAGCGAACAACACCCATCTGAATCCCCCTTTATCTACCATCACCACCACCAGACGTCCTCTAAGCCGTATAAGCCCCATTTGAAAAGATTCTAAGGTATTAATCATTCATTACAATCATTATTACCCTAACCCAATGATTTTCCTTCATCCCCCCAATCCCCATCCCCATCCCCCATTCACTCAGAAAAACCTCTCAGAGTCTCCCCCCTTTACTCAGTGAAATCCGTGCCCGTGCACTCCTCCCTCCACTCCTCCATCTGCTTCCTCTGCTTCTCCTGCACCAGCGCCCAAAGCCCATACGCGTCCTTTCCAATGATCAACCTCGCGGGCAACTCTCTATCCGCATACTTGCCGTTCCCACTGAGCGCATCCACCACCACGTCCGCCAACTTGGCCGGGTCACCAGGCTGCTTGTTATTCTTCTCCTCCCACTGTGCCAGCGTGCCCATCATCTCCTGGCTTCCGTTCTCGCCCCTAAGCTCGTCGATCGTCTTGGCCGGGTTCAGCAGATGGCCCTGGTCGAGGACCGGCGTGCGGAAATAGCCCGGCTCGATAACGGTAACCTTGACGCCGAGGTGCTTGACCTCGCCGGTCAAGGCCTCGGAAAGAATCGAGCACGCGGCCTTGGTCGCCGAGTAGAGACCGGCGCCCGCGGGGCCCAGATACGAAAGAATAGACCCGACGTTGGCAAGAACACCGCCACGCTGACGGCGCAAGACGGGAAGCACGGCGCGGCCGACAGCCAGCTGGCCCAACACGTTGGTGTTGAAGGTCGCGAGAGCCTCCTCGGCGGAAGCCTCCTCGCAGCCGCCGGCCAGGACGTAGCCGGCCGAGTTGACGACGATGTCGATGCGGCCGGAAACGTTCTTGGGGTGGGAGACGATGCGCGCGACGGTCTCGGCGAGGACGGCGTCAGGGGAGGTGACGTCGAAAGTCTCGGCGATGCAGGATTCTTGCGAGGTCAAGGAGGAGGGGATCTTGGCCGGGTTGCGGGCGGTGGCGAAGACGATGTCGCCTTGGGCGAGGGCGCGGAGGGCGATCTCGCGGCCGAGGCCGGAGGAGGCGCCGGTGATGAGCCAGACTTTGGGGGCGGACATTTTTGTTTTGTTTGAGTGGGTGAGAGTGGTGAAGGGTTTGGGTTGTGATTATTTGATGGAGAAGAGAGTGAAACACAGGTTCGGGGAGGTGGCTTTTTATAATCTGGGTATCAAGCAAAGTCTTGAATCCATGAGTTGCTTATAAAATCTACCCGCAATTCGGCCGCTGTCGTTCCGGGTCGGGGATCCGAAAGGGCCCTGTGGGACTTCTTCGGGAACCAATTGGTGGGCAAGAGCCCCTATTCGCTATAAGGGCTGTCAACACCTCAACGCCCCCACGGCGATCTAGGGACTAGCTAGGAGGCTCCTTGTTGTGAGGTGTTTAATGATTTCCACTCACCGTCATCCACGTGGTGGAGCGGCGACCGTTTGATCATGATTGATGTGCTGGATTTCGGACAATTCAGATGTGATGATGCAGTTTCCTGTGATGCCAATGTCTTTACTGCTTTTGCTGCATGTAGGCTGTCGGAAATATGAGGTGGACACGGCTGATGGGAACAGATGGGGCTTTTCGCTTCTTCCGGTAAAAATTGCGAGTCTTTTTTTCCCAATCTCCAAAAGTTCATGATCGATTCGATTTCGGGCTTCTCTGGTCTAAACACGTCAAGGGACTGGTGGAGAAAGATGGGGTAATCAGGGGGATGGTCCCAAACACTAAACCTGGGCGTCCCTCTTTTGCATTGTAGGCGGTATAGAAGTTTAGTAGGTTGAGCGGAAAGGATGGGAGAGTGGGAGAGTATACAAACAAGAAAAAAGAAGAAAAGAAAAAGAGCAATGAAAAAGAGCAATAAAAATGCAAGTCAGAGAACACCTACAACCTTTTCAAATACCAACTTTCGTCTCCCACTCCTTCACAAACTCCTGCAGTGACGACAGATATCCAATGTGAGAAACATAACCGTCAGGCCTCACCATTACAAATCCAGCGCTCCCATTGTCCAATCCAAGCAGACCATGGACCCGACCACCCGGGTCCGCATATGAAGCAACGGCGTTCTCCCCTGTAGCCGGCTGCTGTACCTGCTGCAGCTCACCATCGCCCGCGCTACCAATCCGATCCTCTGCAACGTGGTAGAAAATGCAGTGAAGTGAGCACTCACTTTTGACGACCGCCAATACCCTCTCGCCCGCCAGTGTTAATCCCTCAACCGTCACCGCATCACGATCTCTTGTTCCTGTTCCGGAGAACAGCAACAAATGCCAAGACGCACCTCGACACAGTCGGTGCAAGCTCGTTTCTTTCCTCTCATCCTCCTCCAACAGGTCCGGAGCTCTTGTCCCGCCACCTCGCCCACCTGTTCGTCCTAAACGGGGTACTAGCTCGATCACCTTCCCATCCGGCAATCGATCACCACCCCTCACCTTCTTCAGCAGCGATGACGATGACGAAGACGTGTTCGTCCCAACCACGACGCTTGCCCCCCTGTTCCCCGAATATGTCGTCCCAAACCCCGAAATAAACGCATAAAACCTCTTCCTAATCCATTTCACCCCAACCAACCACGGCACCACCCACGGCAGCACTGCATTCCGCACCTTCAACACCCACGGACTCGCCGCAGCCATGAAGCTGAACATCCTATCCGTCCCCTGAAGGAGCGCCTTCCCCACGGGGTAGCGCTCGGCATGATAGCTGTCTAGCAACGCCTCTTTTGCTTCATCCGTCAATCTGTCCCGGTACTTGAGCACCGTACCCAGCTTCCAGCCCAGATTGACGGCGTCCTGGATCCCGACGTTCATCCCCTGTCCGCCCGCGGGACTGTGGATGTGCGCGGCGTCGCCGGCGACGAAGAGCCGGCCGGAGCGGTACGCGTTGACGCCCCGGTGGTGTAAGCGGAAGCGGGCGAGCCAGACGGGGGAGTGCACGGTGCCGGAGCCGGGAGGGGCGAAGGAGTCGAGGAGGGATTGGAAGTGGGCGAGGGTGGGGGGTTCGTGGCTTTGTTCGCCGTGCTGTTGCTGTTGCTGAGGTAGGGAATCGGAATCAGCGGGTCGAGATGGTTGCTGAGTGGCCGAATGTCCTCCTGATGCGATGAGGCGGATCAGACCGTCGTCGTTGTCGTCGGCGTGGGGTGAGATGGGGAAGAATGCGAGGAGGCCGGTGTCGCCGAGGCAAATGGTGAATCGGTCCCGCGCAATATTGGAGTTGCGTAGGCGGGCGTCGCAGAGGATGAAGTCCTGTGGGTAGGCGTCTCCGTCAAAGGTAAGGTTTTCGGCAGAATGTCGAACCACGCTGTGGGCGCCGTCACACCCGACGACGTATTTGGATCGGATCGTTATCTGGGTGCCGTCGGGCTTCTCCAAAGTGGTAGTGACACCATTGGCGTCCTGAACGATGCTGGTGGCAGTATAACCCCGCTCAACGGCTTTGCCATACTTGGCCAGGGTCTCTTCCATGAACTTCTCGGTCTCGGCCTGAGAAACCATCAGAGGCAGGGGATATTTGGTGTCGGTGATGTCAAGGTCATCCAGATCTACTCTGGCTACCAGTTTGCGGTTGATGTTCATCACCGCGCCACGAGCGATAGAACCTCTAGGGATGAGCTTGTCAACAGCTCCATGGCGGTCTAGCAGTTCCTGAGTACGAGGGTGGACGACTAATGCTCTGCTATTCTCTGAACGGGCTGGGCTTTTGTCGATGATGCGGAAGGATACGCCTTGTAGAGCCAGTTCGAGGGCTAGAGTAGTCCCTACTGGGCCAGCTCCGACTATTAGGACGTTGCAGTGGTCCATTGCGGAGGTAAGGTGTTGCAGTGCAATGATGTGTAAATGCGGGTGACACCAAACAGGAATGATGATATGATGCTTTCAATGCTTGGAGTTGAGGAGCTCCCTATACCGCTTGCTGGTAATAAATAAGTACGATACGCTTGGACCTTTTTATAGGAGGTTCGAGTTCGTGATATCAAGGGTTGTGGAGTCATCGCCATATGGCAGCTGACTCCTACGGACATGTTCGGAAAGAGACTCTCTTCATCGCTAGTGGTAGTTAGCTCATGACAATCAGCCGGACAGATCTCCCTCCGAGTAATATTCTCAGCAAGAAAATGTCGCATCTGACGACGTCGCTACTGGTGATCACAGAAGAGCATTGTCGTGGAGAGTAGTCATCATGGTCTTGGCGATGGCTGAGCGCGGGAAACACAGGAGGTGACCATGTCGCCGACATTTTCCGCAATGAATTTAATACAGGTAGTCCAGCAGTTAAATCCTCGTATAGATGTTACTATTCCCGGTATTTCCAACCAGTCGCCGGAAATGGCAAGTGACCAGTTGGGAGACTGGTAAAAAACGAAGCAATGGTGTGTTGATATTTCCAGCATTGGCGAAAGCAAAAATTCTCGTGGAGAAATTGATCAGTTCCTCAAGGAAGCACAACATCGAAGATTGAAAGTCGATGACAAGACAACAACAGGTGAAGGTGCTCGAGGTGTGCAAAATGCCTGCCGGGATTGAGCCGCGTTGCTGAGTTGCCGCCGGCAATCTGACTGACTGCGGCCCTTGCTCCTGCGCTTGCAGCTGACAGCGGACAGCAAGCAAAAAGATGACACTTGACGGCTGTCCCACAGCTGCAAGGGACTCCACCTTAAATTTCGCAGCTTGCACTCGTGCACAGACCATAGCCAACAAGGCACAGACCAGGACCCAATCCCTATTTAAGACCGTCCCCCCGGCCCAATTTTTACCTGGTTTTTTCCTTTTTTTTTCTTTAGCTCTCTTTGCCTTTTGGCTTAGATCAAGTGTAGTATCTGTTCTTTTCAGTTTAATCTCTGAAAGTGCTCTACGGAGTACAATCGTGATTATTCTAATTTTTGCAAATCGGTCGGTGTTCCTCTAGGCTTGCCTATGAACACCTTCCACTGTGTCCCTGGTATTACACTGCCTCCAGGCGACGCGAACTACTACTTGTTTGTGCTCACGACTTTTTCGTTGCAATCCTGGGCCATGCGCTTGGGGTGTGAGGAAGAAGGTTGTTTTTTGCTTGTCGTGAACATGTGAGGTGAAGATGTTGATTGTTTTTGAGGTTCATGCGCGCGGGACGGCCGCAGTGCTCCGCAGTTGACATTCATGTTTTGATGACAGCTGAACATGCCGTTGGTCGCGACGGGCCGCAATGTGACGCACCCTCCACGATGATTTCGGAACCAACTCAGGTCGTAGTCTCGAACCGATGTTGGCGATGCGACAAGTGTTCCTTTGTGTGTACAACGCATCTAGCATCCTTTCCCCCCTCCAGCCGCAATGGCCGAGGTATGTTTTGCGATGGAGACCTCAAATTGATGGCCCTACGCTAGGCAACTGAAGTGTGCAGGGAACAGCGGTCCATGATGCAAGTTTCATCCAAACCTCAGCTCTCACTCTCAGAAAGCGGACGGAGCAATCAAATCATTGTCAAAGTGTCCAACTTGCGTGTGGAACCATCTCACCTCCTTGAACCTCAACACCACCATCCATCATAACCTTGCGATCCACGACCATACCTCTGTTATTTCTACTGTTGAATATCTTGTACATCATTGCTGTCGTTCAGCCGCAATTCGCTTTCATTCGCCTGACCGCACCCGACCAACCAACAACGTGCGAGCATCATATCGCCACACATTTCATCATGGCAGGAGGGTTAATGAACTCGATACATGCCCCAAAGGCCCATCAACCACCGCCAGCCTCATCGCCGCCACCGTCTCATTCTCACCGTGAGTCGCCCAGCAGCTACCCCATGCATGTCCTCAGGGGTCGCAAATATGGACTGGGTGCACGGCATTGATGGCATATGTGGTATTTTGGAGCTCATATACCGCCTTAACGGGCTTGTCTCTTGAGCGTCAGGTTCCCTCAAACCACATGCCAAATGACATCCTGCATTCCCAACCATGACCTAATGACCAGTGACTGACATTGGATTCTATAGACTCCCATGACGAGGGCGGCTCTTTCCACGATGGACCAGGTCCAAAGTCCAAGAGGCACAGACCACCACGCGGCAAAAAGCAGCTTATGAAATACATCCCAAAGCCAGACCCCGAGCCTCAGCAACAGTCACCACCACCTCCTTCACCACCAGCGGCGGCAGCAGCAGCAGCAGCGCCCGTTAAGCCTCCTTCTCCGCCAAGGGCCCGGGTCTCCCCTAAACTACAGCCGCAGGCTCAACCGAAACCATCCGTCGCCATTGCCCCCAATCCTCCACCTCCCATCACCACTACTTCCATCCTCATCAGGACCACCACCACCACAACCACCAGCAACACCTCCCCCATCGCCAAATCACCCGTCCGCGTCAGCCCCTCCGCCAAACACGAACTAATCCGCTACACCAAGATCGTCCGCCGCCTCAAATGGAAGCTCCCCTTCCTCGCCTCCGGCTACGCCCTCGCGCTTAAGGGGCGCGACCCTAAGCATGGAGACGCCGTGATTAGCGGTGGCGTGCTCAACGAGGGGGAGATCATGTTCAAGCTCGATTTCTTTGAGTACTACATGCTCATTGAGCGCGCGCTGGTTCACTTGCTGGGGGTGTTTGGCATTACGGTTAGTGGGAATGGGATCCAGGGGAAGGGGTTGGCGGGGAGTCGGTTTAGTGGTCAGGGTGGAGGGAGCCGTGGGGGCAGTGGCAGCCGTGGGGGAAGTCCTAAGGAGGGTTCACCTAATCGTGCTGGGCCTGTGGCTGGGGGGGAGGGTGCTGCTGGGAATGGGGGTGGGAACAAGTTTCAGCATCGGTATCATGCCCATGTGCTGGAAGCGTTCGATTCCCCTGTTCACCCGCTACATGATATCTTGGGCAAAGGGGAGGTGCGCAAGCAACTGCAGCGGGCGAAGGACCTCCGGAACCGATGGAAGACGGCCGATTCAGAGGCGGAGGAGAAGGAGCGGGTGAAGTTGACGGCGCCGTTGGAGAGTTATGACGTGGAGAAGATGCTGGAGACGATCTTCCAGGGGTTCGATGCGGCGTTCTTGATTGCTGAGTGGCATGTCAGGGACAAGGAGGGTGGCCTGGATAAGGGCGCGCAGTCGTCGCTCAATTGGGCGGATGATGATGATGAGGATGGTGATGCGACCATGATGGATTGGGCGGCGCAGGAGGCGGATCAGTGGGAGTTTATGGTGGATGCTATGGATTGGGAAGCTGTCTGAAAAAACCTTGCCCTTGATGGCCCTTCGTGGTTGTTTTGTGATGTGGTGTTGGGAGCTAACTGGTAATATAGGACTAAGCTTTTTTAATGTATTATTATGTATGGTATCGTTATCATATGACATTTTGGGTATGGCCAGATCTCGGCCATGATGAGCTGATGATCCCACCAAGTAAGATAGGCTTTTGAAGAAAAGGAAGAGAACACCAGCTAAGCTTAAAGATTCGTTCATGGACGGAAAAAACGGACTAACCCTTCCCATCGTCCAAAGAGTGAGTGAAAGACACCTTGGCGCTTGGAATCTTCCAACAATTTCTGTCACGATAAGTCGTTTGTTCGGATGTTCCCCGCACCCAAATTGAGTCTTAAATCTGACGACGGTGGGCGACGAATGGGATGCCTCAATTGCGCGCTTATTGACGAGACTGTCTTCTTCCCGTCAACTTCACTCCAGCATCAACACCTGCTCTTCATATCTCCTGCCATTGGCATTTGGGTATCTGATCGGATGTACTTGCCCATAGCATCATCAGTGATATCCAGGAAATAAGATGGCCACAACCAACGAACGCCAATTCACCTATGACTCGATCCTTCTTCCAGATGCCACTACTCACATCCGCCTACTGGAGCTTTGCCCGGTTCCTGATAACGATGACGAGCTCTACTGCAAATTATACACTGCGCCCATCACAGACTTGCCAAGGTACAGCGCGGTGTCATACGCATGGGGCAGTAACACCAAAACCCACAGCATCCGGGTCGTTGACCACGACCGTGCACAAACCTCGACGGAAAAAGGCTTGGAATACAAACTGGAATACGTCTCTTCCCTTCCTATCACGTCGTCCTGGGTACCTGTCTGCGTCAATTTCGTACATACAAAGAACTCCGCTTGACGCCTCTCTGGATCGACCAGATCTGTATAAATCAAGACGACGACGAAGAAAAGTCATGTCAGATTCAACTCATGAAGCAGATCTACTCGTCAGCAAAGGAGGTTTATGCTTGGCTCGGCCTCGACGCCGATGGCTCCGACGAGGTTATCCAAGCCTTCTGCCAGGTTGCCGAGTGCATGTGGGACTCTGGGCTTTTCGGCAAGCACCGGGCCACGAAATGGTTTCCTGCTCCTCGCGCCATCTTTTACAACAGGATAGACACTCCCGAGGTCCAAGCCTTGCTGCGGAAGGTCATACCGATAGTTGTCCCGCTGTTGCGGGAGAAGAAGATCTTGGCTTGGTACAAGAGAAGCTGGTTTTCGCGGATATGGACCATACAGGAGTTTTGTCTCAACCAGTATACCTTCTTCGTCTGCGGCGACAGGGCGGTCCTGGATGAAATAGTGCTACTGGTCTGGGAGCTCTTTCTCATTCTCCCCGATTTTCATCACGACAGAAGATTCCGGAACGCCTTTTCAGAAAACCATTCCGAGATCCTTTCTTTGATAGATTCACTGCCAGCAAGCCTGATCCCACCTCCAATGCAACACCTGTTTGGAACAAAAGGGTCGTGGAAACGTGGGAAACTTACCTCCCTACGAGAATTACTCGAAGAGGTATCCACGCGGCTTGATCTCGGCGACAACCGCGTCGATATTCATTCAACAAAATACCGGGACAGAATCTATGGCCTGCTGGGTCTAGCGGCCGATGCCGAAGAGCTAGTAGATATTCGGCCAGATTACAGCAAGACCACCACGACGGCCGAGGTGCTCACACAGGCAGCGCGGAGTATCATCAAAAAGGAAGATAGCGTTTACATCCTTCGCTTCGCACAGTTCCCCAAATACAATGTCGAAGACCCAGACCCAGAAGATGAATCCGGCCACCGGCGGCACCCGGAACAACAACTCCCCTCATGGATCCCGGACTGGGGAAACGGAACAAAATACAGCTACCAATTCCTCGACGGCGTATTCTCAGCCTGCGGCAAGTTTTCAGACAAAGTTGACCTAATCCCCACTTCCTCCCCGTCCACTCTCGGCCTTCGGGGCCTGGTGGTCGACAAAATCGAGGCCGTGGGACGGTTGCCCTGGCGAGCAGATTGGGGGTTCAAAGAAGAAGGGTACCATCACTACATCCTCCAGTATTTCGCCATCATCAAAGACATGAGGCGTCGTTCGGCAGAGAAGAACGGTGACATATACCCCAACGCCTCAAGACGCAACCAAGCATTATGGCGCCTGCCCCTCGGCGACTGTTACGTGAATGGCGGCCCCGGCCAAAAAGAGAGGAAGGGCTAGCGCGGATGACGTTCTCCCGGTCTTTGTGGAGTTGATTGATCATTGCAACTTTTGCTGTGCAAAGGACGAGGAACTACAGCAACGACGGCAGCAACAACAGCAACAACAGCAAAGCGACAACGATAGCGGCAACGACAACGGCAGCAAGCCAGAACCAGAGCCAGTACCCGGGCTCGACCAGGAAACCTTCGATTTCATGGCCGACCGGTGGGAAGAACTTCAAGCCACAGGCTCCTATCTCCACAACATGATGCACATGGACAGGAAACGTCCGTATCTCACTGCCAAAAAGGGGTATCTGGGCATGGCGCCCGAGCATGCGCAACCTGGTGACGTGGTGGTCCTTTTGTGTGGGGATAGCATACCTTATGTGCTCAGGCCTGTCGTCGGAGATGGAGAAAGGGATGATGATAATAGGTATACATTTGTTGGCGAAGCCTATTGTGATGGGATCATGGATGGGGAGCTGGAAGAAAAGTTGGCGACAGAAACAAAAAGGGAGGATTTCTTCCTTGTGTAGGTAGTTAGTGTAGAGGTAGTAGAGTATATAAGGGTACTCTTGCTCAGTCAGTGTCAGTCTTGTAAATACGGTGGGTGGGAGACTGGGAGGGAAGTAAATAGTAACCGTAATTTATATAAAGCATGGCAGGATAAAAGAATAAAAAGAGTGGCTGGCTGTTGGTCACTTACATACCATACCGTGACTTACTCCTTCAGGTAAAAGAGGGTTTATTAGGTTCCATTCACGAGGAAGGAGGAGGAGGAATATTGGGAGTTGAACAGAAACAGTGCCGGCGGGCGGCCGGGCCAGACTTCTCAAAAAAGATACGATACGATACGATACCCATTACCCTTTTCATTGCCGTTTTGTAAAAAAAAAGAAAACCCTAAAAACATATTTACTGTAGTATGTAGTGTAGTAGTGTGTTCATCCCTTGCTCCCACCCCCCCCATCTCTGCCTTCTTGTCATTACCACCGCCAGTCCACTTACCTTGGTATCCATCCATACATCCTCCTACCCCCTCAACATGCCCTGGTTGGGTATTTCCTCCCCTGGGTTTCCCTGTCCTATCTAGCGATTCAAAGTCAACAACCCTTCAATATATCTCCTAGTATCCACACCAATCCCCTGAGCCAACTTGGTCGCTCCGTCTGTCCATCCTCCTCCTCCTCCTCCTCCTGTCCCTTCTCCTGGTGCAGCAGTAGTAGCTCCGGTCCCAGCCGCACCACTAACACCACTGCTTTCCGAACCCTTTTCATTACCAGCGCCACTTCCTCCAGCACCCGCTGCAGCAGCAGCCGCATTCACAATACTCCCAACACTGCTCACACCCCTCGTGTGCCCGAGATGTCTATCACCACCAACAGCCCCAACAGACAATCCAGTCCCGCTCTCCCCCGCTGTAGCTTTGCGGATGAGGAAAATCTCTTTGGAAACTTCAACCATGTCATTCCCCCTTCTCCTCGCTGATGAAGAAGATGAGCCGGTAGCGCTAGCGGAGGCGGGCATAGCTGTTTCACTTGATGTGTGCTCTTCTTGGTCGTATTCTTCCTCATCCCCATCTTCGCCTTGTCCTTCGTTGTCGGCGTCATCACCAGGTAGTTCATGTTGTAGTGGTAGTTGGTCTGCGGGAATGCAAGCTGTGCTTGGGAGGGAGTCGTCGGGTGCGGACGCAGCAGTGCCGGAGGGATTAGAAGAGGCAGCGGCGGGATCAGCAGCGGGGTCAGAGGAAGAAGCATCAGGATTAGGCGACGAAGAACCAGACACCCTCCGCCTCCGAAGAGTTTTATCACTTGCCGCCCTCGCACGTCGGGGTTTATTGACGTTGGCGAAAAGAACCTGGTTAGCGTCGGTGAAGGAGGCGACTGTGGGAGAGGAAGCAGCGGCCGGGGAGTGCGTTCTTGTAGTAGCAGAGGATGGAGAGGAGACGGATAGAATATGCTGGTGTTGGGACTCGGCGGCGGCGGCGGCAGTCCGTTCGAGAATGCGGTTCCAAACGATCCACCATCCTCTACTTGTCTTGCATGTTCGCTCATACCCGGTGAGGTTATCGTCGCGCGTGTTGATGAACATGTTGAGGATCTGGTTGTGGGTGTTCAGGGCTTCGATGCGGCTCCAGGGTGCTTTGGCCGCCTTGGCCGATGCTGTCTCTGAACCACCAAAAACTCCCGCCGCCACAGGAATGGGAGGCTCAGGGATGTTAGGAATCGTTGAATGAACGGTGAGTTCCTTTGGGTCCCAGACTAGATCGTAGATCTGCCCACTTCCTCCCGCTACAGAGTCAAAGGGACGCTCAGGCCTGTAAGCCGTAGCCCGCAACAGCGACTTTCGGAGAGGGGCCATTTGCTGGTGCAAGTTCCGGTAGAAACCTTCCCAAGCGAGCGAATCGGTGCGCAGCTGAAAGAGGAAGACAAAGATGAAGGGACGCATGACGTAGACCACCACCCGCAGCTTCTTGGTCTTGTTGCGGTCTTGGGAGTCAAAGCTGGTGGCGGCGGAGGTGATACCCGTAGTACCGGCGCTTCCTTTGCTACCCAACGACGACGTGTGTCCTGAGCCTGAAGGGTTCACGGAACGAGAGGCTGCCGAGCCGGTTTCGAGAGTCGGCGTGGGGCTGTTGGCTGTGGTAACGGTGGTGACGCGGCGATGGCCATCATCGTCAGTGACGGTTACTGTGCCGGTGCTGGTACCCTGGGGATCTGTCTCAGCGAGCTCGGTGTCATGGCTACCGAAATCTTGTTGGAACTGTGAAGCGTGACGGTTTTCGCCTTCGCTTTCGATTTCGACAGTGAGGGTGCGCAACAGCAGACGCGAGTTGGAGTCTTCAGCCTCGAAGGGGTCGATGGGCTCACCGTCGGGGCTGGTGGCCGGCGTACCCTCCAGATCGCCCATGAGACCGATCAAGAACTGGGAGTCCTTGGGCGGCTTCTTTGGCTTCTGATCCTCAACCTTCTCCTTTTGTTTTTCGGCGGGTTGAGAGCTGCCTCCCATACCCAAACTCCAGTGGGTTCCATAGCCCATTTTCAGGTAGCTAAACAGATGGCCCACGCCTCCTTGCTCATCCGTCGTCAGGCTAGCCGGCGTCCCCGTCCCCGTACCCGTGGGGCTCGCAGGACTTTTGCCCTTGGTCGGAGGATGGAGAGAAGTAACCGGTCTTGGTGGTCCCGACGGTCTACCATCCGAATCCGAAGTCGTCTTGCTCTGCTCCGGCTCCGACTGCGGCGTCGATGTCGGCTTCGGTTTCGGCGGCGGCAATCTCAAATCCGACACCTTCAGTCCAGGCGACATCACCTCCCCAAGCGAGGCAATCTTGGCCCTACTGCCCGTCTGTCTATGCTGCCTCCTCGGCGGTACTCTCGTGGCCGTCGGACTCTCAATAACCCCATACGCGTTCTCTCCCCACGTATACATATCCTCCATCCACCAGACGACCGAGCGTAACGACTGCCTCGACAGCGCACCTGTGCCCAAGAAAATCGCACCGTCGTCTGCGCCCGGTTCCGCTCCGGTACCAAGCCACTCCGTCGACTCCTTTCCTTCCTCCCCAGGCTCTCCAAATCTGCCCACCACCAAATCTACAAGCCCCTCGACTCTGTCCACCATCCCCTCCAACACCTCCCTCTCTCCTGAACCTCTATCCTCTTCTCCCACTCCAACGCCCAGCTCTCCACTGGCAGCGATCTTGATCCCGCCATAGATGTTGCAAGCCGGGTTACCGTGCAGCAACACGTTCCAAGTGGACAGGAACAGGTCCCAGTAGCGGCTGAGCAAGGAAACGAACTTGGGCCGCTGGGCGCGCACGAAGAGTGATGACAGGGAACTGTCGTGGTGCAGGAGGAAGCAGGCGTGGGCGCGGAGGAGGTCTCGCAGCAGGAGAGCGGCGGGCTTGAGTTCGCGGGAGGAGTATTCGGCTTTTTGGTCTTGTTCAGTTGTCGATGATGCGCCGCCTTTGCGAGGGCTGCCGGGGATGGGAGACTGGGGACGGGAGGCGGGGGTTTTGCTGTTGCTGGCACCGCCTTGGTTGGGGAGGGGAAGGCGGGTGAGGTCTATGGACTGGTTTGTGGTGTTGATTAGTTATCGTTCATGATGGGATGAAAAAATAAAGACTTACAGCCAAAATCCACCAGCCCGGCTCCAACTCATGAAGCACCACCCTGCTCTTCTCCGTATCAATCGTATTAACCGACCTCCCGCCCGAGAAACTCTTGCCGAACTCGACCATGCCCTGGGCCAGTCCTATCTGCCTGAGGCGCTCATTCTTCTCCTCTTGAGAGACAGCTTCCGTGCCGGGGGCAGCTGCTCCAGTCACAGAATTGGTTGGCGCATGACGGCGGCGTGATGATCTATCCGACCGATGTCTTCTACGCTGCTGGTCCTTCAGCGTCGTGACCGAGGCGTAGTAGACGATCTGGTCCTCGAGCGTGTCGTCGGTCGTGCCAAGACTGGGATTGTAGATGGCTAGGAAGCCAAGCTGAGCGGGGACGATGCTGTTGTTGTTGATGTTTTTTCCTCCAGCGCCTGCGCCGGATGGCCCCGTGGGTGCGCCCGACGCCATGATGCCGGCGACCTATGTTAATGTTAGGTACTGCTAATCTACCGGGCTCGGAACGGAAATAAGAATGTGGATATCGATCGGTATGCCCTGTCCGGGGCGGGGAATGTCGGCCGAAGTGCGGGCGTGCGGCGGCGGCGGAGGCGGGGGTACGGGGTACGGTAGTCGGTATGGGTATCGATGACTCGGTGGTATGGTATGGGTACCGTAACGGAGCGGAGCGGAGAGGACCCTTCGGGCAGGTGTTGTGGGTTTTGACCGGGAAGCGGTGAGTTCCTGTGTGCCGCTGATGGGTGATGCTCCACAAAGCGACACTCTTGTCGTGGTCGGTTAGAGAATGGAAAGAGTGAATGTTTCAACCCGTTGGTGTTCCGGGGCCGTACTCGTCACTACCAGATGACGAAGGGAAAGGCACCATCGAAGTGTGTTGCTTTGTCTCGACTTTGGTTTTGTGATGTCTCTTGATCGAAACCCTCTCGGGGACTTTTTTCACAATCGATAGCGATCGAGATGACCTGACTTGGACACTTTGGTGGATAAGGTCCCAGGTCCCGGCCTCGTTAGCGACGGAGCCTGGGGAGCTGAGCAATGGAGTCGAGTCTGTTGTGGTTGGAAAAGGGCGGAAAGACTGCCGGAATACCGGTACGAGTCCGATGGAGGCACTGTCGTCATCGCTCCTCTCTCTGACTGGGACAAGGGCTGTTTCTCGCTGCAGTGTGCGATAGTGGGGTAAACACAGCCATATACACAACGGGTACCTCACAAACAGGCGTCACCAGATGTCTTGATGTTTCACCACAAGCATGTTCGAAACATTTACCAGGGAAGCTTTTCATGCTTGTGTTTCCGCTGCCATGTGTTGAGAATACTTTTACAGTAATTCAATTTGTGAATAAACAATTAAAACTAATACAGTAGAGTAGTCATTCCTTCGTATACTGCCATGCCATGTTAAGGACTTTTTCCTTTTTTAGGCTTGTCCTCATCCATTCTCGTAGATGCTCCCCGTCTGTAGCAATCTGAAAGGCGAAAAACCCCAAATCAGTAGCCATTATACAGACTGATGGTGACCATTTCCGAAACAAACCTCAAAAAGCAAGACATGTTATTGCGCAATTCCCATAGTGAACCCCAAAAGAGCACACGAATCGCCGTCGAGAACTCTCTCCAATGCATTGCTGGCCAACTTTCTGCGGATATTTTGAGTCAATCCATGCCTCCCACCCATGTCTTAACCCAAAACCCATTTGAGAGAACATCTACCGTTTCCCGTGTTTGTATAAGCTAGCCAGCCAGCAAATACCCATTGTGATGTGATGTTATGCGTTGAAGCAGTGATGCAGCACCGACAGGTGCTGTTAGAAAAACAAAATCAAGCAGAAGACAGACTAAGGAGAAAAGAACCATGTACACACAAACAAAGAGACGAAAAAAAAAAGAACAGATGAAAACACCAACAGGAAAGAAATGCGAGCGCGAACCAACACCATGGTATCTCGAAAATCAGGAGCCTCTCACGCTCCCGTAGGCCCGCGCGCAATGAGGTTTGTCGTCAAAACAAAAAGAGCAAAAAACGTAGCAAGAAAGCAATAATAACATGACAGCCCCCTCGAGAACTGTCATCAGCGTCGTAGTTCTTTGAAGGACCTAACGGAATCGGATTGATATCACAAGCACAAGAGGCTTAGACATCAATCTCCATCCTCGACGCAATATCCTCACTGACCCCCCGGTACGGAACATTCTCAGAACGCCAACCCCCCTTGGCGGCCGAAGGTTGACTCCGACCACCATTAGTGTTATTGTCATTGCCATCTTCTTCCTCTTCGAGGTCTTCGTCCTCTTCGTAATCCCCCAGGATCTCAACGTCATCATAGTCGTAATCGTCATCGTGATACTGATAGTTGACATCACCATCAGCATCGCGATTCCATATTAGACCATCATCGGCCTCCAACTCGTCGTCATCTGCCATGACACGCTCGGCAAACTGGTCTCCGAGCCAGTACCTCGCGCGCTTGTTGGCTCCGCCGTCGTCGAGCTCCTCGTCGATCCCGTAGAGGGCGCGGCGTGGGCGCACGAGTCCGCCTTTTGCTGAGATGATGGCGTGGTGACCCGGTATTCTCGGACTATGGGACATAACCGGCATCCCGCGCACGTAGAGGTAGCAGACGCGCTTGAGAGTTTTGTTGAAGAAGAAGTAGTGGAGGGCCCAGATGGCGCCCTCTTCCTCGTCGAACGGGGCGTCGACGGGTTGGTAGGAGAAGATGGAGCAGTCCTTGAGGTCCATTTCTTTGTCGATGGACGCCCACATGGCGGGGCCCCAGACGGGTGACATGGCGAGGCCTGAGGAGCCAAAGCTGGAGGCGGCGGCGGGCGAGGAGCCCATGCGAGGTATTGTGACGTCCAGGAAGGAGGAGTTGGGCCGCACGCTTTGCAAGGTACTATCAATGTGGGCCATGACACGCCTCAACTCTTTCTCGCGCTTGAAGTCGTCGGGTCGCAGGACATTGGAGAAGTCGTAGTCGGGATGCGACGCATTGAGAGTGGCTATTAGGTATGCGTAGGTATTGCGGTTGGCCTTTTCGTTGAGCGAGCCGAATGGTGAAGACCGTTCGAAGTTGATGGTCTCGGCGATTGATTCGCGCTGTGGTGGTGACAGTGACTTGCCAAACTTGATGAGGTTGTCATGCTGAGTTTGGAGAGACTGTTGGATGTTCTTGTAAAGGCGCTTGTCGGAACCCGCAGCCTTGGTGGTGTAGAGATCGCAGCTGCCGGTGATGTGACAGTCTGGTGTGTCGAAGTTCAGAGCGCTCGTCACAACATCTATCGCAGGAAGAGATAGAAACTGTGAAAGGGTCAATATTGCTTTCGACGATCAACCGCTCCTGGTATTTGGAGGGTAGCGGTGCCCGGTCTGACCGGTACGACGTATACTTGCCTTCATTTTGCCGGTGGTTGCGCTGGCATGCGACTTGTGAAGGTGATGTGAGGGTTAGGTAATGGTAGAAACTGGAGGGGTTTGGCGGTTGCCGTAGTTGTTTGTATTATATTCGCGATGCTGTGCGACGAATTAAAAGAGACGGTGAGAGTGGTAACAAGGGCGATGAACAAGTGGCAGGCTCAGCTCCGCAATTGTTGTGGTCGTTGGTTGGAAGTGGGAGGGGTCGAGCGATGGCAAGATGGGAATTGTTTGAATGTGAAGTGAGTTACCGCAAGGATTATTCTTGTTTGTAGGAATTGTCAACCAGTGATTCTTGATCCCGGGTCGATCCGTGATGGCGCAACAGATTGATGCGAAACGTTGATATTGTTGTTGTTGTTGTCGTCGGAAAAGGCGGTGCGGAGGAAGTGGGAACAGGGTGGTGAACGGGGGATGATGTGACCAATCTAGGTCCGACGAGTCCGTGAGTTCGGGGGAAAGCGGTTAACGTGAGATAATGGAAATCCTGCCTAGAAGTATCGTTTCCCAGACTAAGTCCAGATGTGAAGAAAGGCAGACACGGGATGTATGATGTCTAGCGCGATGTCGAGTCCAGATAATGAAAGGGTAGAAGTAGGTAGTTAGAAGTGGGGTTGTTGTAAGTTGGTATGGGGAGGAATAGGGGTGACGCTATCGTCAGATATCTGAGGAGTCTCTTGGTGATGTCCTGCTGCTTGGTTGAAGTGAGGTTGAGATCAGTTTGGCAAACAAGAAGTGGGAAAAGTGGGAGGAGGGACAACTTGAAGAAGATGAATCCCATATGATGTTCTTTCCAATCCGAATGGGTGAAACCAAAGGGACCGCCGGCTATCGGGTCGGCATGATTGCACCGCTTCCGTGTTCAGCTTGGCTCCTCTTGTTGGTCATTGAAATCAGGGCCTCATGCTGGTGCCCGGTTGCGGTCTCGCTCCTTCCACTTCCTCCCGTCAGTCCTTCGTTATCTGACGTTCCAAGCCGTGCCATCAGGGCCAGAGCCGGTTCGCTGACGCTGACGGTAACAGGTGGGTGACCTTTCGGGTGAGTGGCCTGCTTGCGCCAGCCCACGTTGGCCTTGGCTCGCTGGGGATTGCTGGGGTGACGTTGGGGTCGACCCGCCTAAACCCCGGTCATGCGGGCGCTGCTGGCTCCTCGAGTCGGGTGGAGTCGCACCCCCTAAATGATCGGCGTTCCCTTGTCACCACAACGTCTCCATTCCCACTCCGCCGTTCCGCCTGGAAGCCTCCAGTCATCGCAACCATTTCCTGTGTGTCAATGTGTGTCAATGAAAGAGTGTGTGTCCCGGCCTGAACGCTGCTCATGTTAATCATCAACCACAAACACCTGACGAATAGAGTTTTCCTACCCCTCCACGAGCGTTGCTTCCAGCGTCGATGTGGACAAACCTTTCTTTGGTGGGCATCGAGGTAACGCCAACCCAACCTCTCCCGAACGAGTCGACCTGGTTCTGCGCATATACCCGATTGTGCGAGATTATGAACGGATGGATCGGTATTGGCAACGCGCCGTTGAACCGTTGTTGTCATTTAGCACATTGCCGAGCCCATGCCCAGTGTACCGGATACTCATCCACTTGATTTCCTCCCATCATCGTCCATGACCGGGACATCAGTGGTGTATCCGGCCTCCGAGTGGCTCAGATTTGGCAGCTCATTAATCTACAATGCCCATATCTATATGAATAAGGAAAGGGAGTTTGCTCCCTCCTAATGGGTAGCTGTAGCCCCGACTTCCTGCCACCACACCACACCCTTCTTCCCTTCTCTCGGCGCGATTAGTATTGTCCTCCCTGGTTGCATATGTTGTGCTCTCGTGCTTTGGGTCGCCCCTCTCGTCTATCCATCCGGTGCCGTCACCTAGTCGAGGGACTATGGTTGCTGCCACTGCTTCAGAGAATTCCGACCTTCTTGAGTGCGTTCTGAATCTCTTCCGCATCCTGCATCAGGGGTCAAAGTATTGCATTAGCGTATGCTGCCAGGGTAAGTAGATGTCGACCAGTGGCAATCGCGAGTGTTTGAGAGAACCTGGTCCGGTCGGTGATGATTATGGAGAAAAAGACACCACAAGGCTTGTTCAGCCTTTACATGATCTTTGTGACTTCATCCTCGACCTGAGGAAATGCAATAAACGTGTCAGTGAGCTCGGTGGTTTACGGATAGGGGTTGTAACAGGGTGGGGGAGCGTGTAGGCGTAGCAACGCGGGAAGAAGGCGAATTCTGTCCGGGCAAGCGGTCACGGCTCCAAGTAAATGGTTGTACGCACCTCCATGTCCTCTAGCGAGTCTTGTTGCGATATGCATCGTAGGACGTTCTTCTTGCTGCTTTCCTGCAACTCTCCCGCCAGCAGGAGCTCGTCGAGAATGTAGTAGGCCTTGGTAAAGGAGAAAATGATGTCGAGCTCGCAGACGTTGCCGTAGTACTTGTCCATCTGTTCGACGTAGCGATGGATGATCTCGAGGGTGATCAACTCGTTGTCCTCGGAGGAACATCCGGCGATGAAGAAAAGCGAGGCATATCGGCGGTAGACAATCTTGGTATCTGCAGACGAGCGAAGACAGTTAGCCACATGCTGCGATCCAGGAGAATTGGCGGAGCTTGCCTTTGTATTCGAGAAAGTTGCACATGCGAGTCCGCCTAGCCAGGACCAGCTGGGAGACGTCCTTGACGATCTTGGCCTTGTCCTTGGGAGACAGAGTGGTGAACCATTTGGCCAGGCGCTGGATATTTGAGGAGGTGCGGTTAGTCGGGAGAAGGACACCGTGGTTGGGGACGAGAGCAACGCCCGCGGCGGGTAAGACGCACCACTTTGCCCTGGCGCGAGAGGAGGATTAGATAGCTGCAGAGCTCCAGGTCAGCTTGGGTTGCATGTCAATAGCAAAATCGAGACTAACGGGGCGCATACTTAATAGCCATGATGACGATGATTCCATCAGGTACCCAGGATCTCGTTGAGCGGGAGTCGACAATGTGATCATGGAGGTGTTGTCACGGGCGGGAAATTTGACAAGGACACCACACGGCCGCCGCCGACAGCCTGGACTCCTGGAGCTGTCCAAAGGGGCGGGACGACGGCCGTCCAATGTGAGAAGGCAAGTGGGGCTCTGTGGTACTAGAGAACTGTTAGTGCATCTGGCACTGCTCGGTTTCAGAGGGCCCTTCAGCAGTATTACAGCGCATGATATGCTCCTGAGTCGATCCAAGCTTAACATTGGTGTTTGTTGATTGTGGAAGACATTGTCAAACCATCTGGTTGGCTGTCGCCTTCTTTTCCTTCTACGGCATCCCGCGTCTATATACACCAAAGTGTGGTTGAGGACGCAACGGACAGTCATCAGATGCCGAAGCTGGTTTAGCTGCCGGTATTCCAGCAATGTCCGCGATGTGCATCTCTGGCTTTGAATACCCGAACTTGTTTCTCCTGGCGCCTTCCCCGTGTAGCTCTGTGCGTAGAGGTTAAGGTCCGAGAGTCGGATGAAGATCCCCGATTTATATACTATGCGATATCCCACCTTACAGAAACTCTACCTTGTCTCCTGGCTTACCTTCTTAGTTGGCGGTGGTTATTCTTATCTCTCCAACATTTAGATACTCCTCCCTATCTCCGGTGATACTATACTACCATCGGCGTTTGTCACAAGCTTACAAAGGTATGTTGAACTCCCAAATCGGAGCACCAAACCCCGGACCCATGCCCATGAATCATTAATAATCGGTTCTAGGCTCCATTGAACCAAACAAGTCGAACCCCACTAGTCAAAGTTCAAGAGGTAGAGATTCGTCCTGCGCCTGGTGAATCTTGACTTTTCCTCCCCATCCCTCAAAAAAAAAAAAAAGGCTTCTTCAAAAGAACTTCCAGCAGTCATGGCCAAGTTAATACTTTCTACCGGGTATGTCCCTCTCTCACATCGTGTGGTTCCGGTCTCAAAGCAAAGACGGCGCAGCGCAGGGCATGTGTTTGTCTCTTGTCTCTACGTGTGCGACCTCGAAGAGAAACTAGGGAAAGATAATCTCTTAGACCCAAATCACTAATTGCGTGCTCAACTTTTTTTCAGAAACATCGTTTCCGGCGGCCCCTCCATCGTCCGCAAGCCCGGCGCATCCAACCTCGAACTCATAAACTCTCTGAAAGTCAGCTTCCAAGATGCGCAACTAGACTACGCCGACGAGATCGAAAACGTGAACGTGAACGGGACGACGACGACGACGACGACGACCAATGGCACCAGCAATGGCGTCCACGAAGCCACGAATGGCGACAGCAGCAGCAGTAGCAGCAGCCTTGTGACAGGCCCCCTCTACTGGACAGCGCGAGACCAGCAGAAGAAGGAAAACGACACAATCTTGGTGCCCCGCATCGACTGGGCAACCGCCGGCCTCTCGGAAGAGCGTTCCCAGTACGACATCACCGTCAAAATCTTCTTCCTGCCCACGACGACGCCCGACGTTTCCAGGCGGGCGGCCTACACACAAGAAGCGATGGAGCTGGTGCTAAAAGAGCTTGGAGGGATCTCGGACGTCGACCTGCTGGTCGTTTCCTTCCCCGGCATGTCCTTCGACGGCGACTGCGAGTGGGAAGCCGACAAGCTGAACGCCGCGCAAGGCGACGACGAGTCAGAGATCGCGACTTGGCAGGCGGCCGTCGAGGAGCTGCACCGCCAGGGCCGGGTCAAGAGGCTGGGCATCTCCGAGTTCGGCACCGAGAAGCTGGCGCGGTTTATCAAGCGCTTGGCAATCCCGCCGGCGGTGGACCAGATCAACATCAAGAACTGCTGCAACGTGCCGCCGCCGCTGGCGAAGCTGGCTAAGGAACAGAACGTGGAGTTGTTGGTGCATAGCGATTGCACGGATATCTTGCCTGAGGGGACGTTGAGGGAGCTCTTGGGCCCACAGGGGGCTGGCCTTTTGGCTGATCCAGCGACGGGTAGCGGTGGGTTGAGCGGAAACCTCACGCCACAATGGGTGATTAAGTATACGGCTGTGGTTAAGAATAGGGGCGTGATTGAGAATAAGGGATACTTTGCTGGTGCCGAGTTGAACTAAGGCACTTTATCAGGGGTAATAGAACATACAAGACCGACCTACATAGCTTGCTGCATTAGCTGGGTCGAAGGGAGTTTTTGGATGGGGCGCGCAAGGCAGGCAGGCAGGCAGGCAGGCATTCTGATTCTCTTGATATTGATACCAATTGCGTTTGTCATCGTTGTTCATGGGAATGGGATTCTGATTTGCATGTTTTCTTGCAAAGTTCACTTTCAAGCAGCTTCAGTGCGCCAGGACCTCCGGTCAGGCTTTGCGGAAGGATCATCAAGGCAAATTGTCCGTTTATATATGTGTAGAAAATCCCTGGGTATCTTTTTCTCGCCCTCCTGTGCAAAGAAGTGTATACACCATTTTTACCCAATCATGCTCCTCTTCCTACCACGCATCCTCACATCCTCCAACTTATGTAACACCGACGCCCCCTTCTTGAAGCTCTGCTTGTACGACTCCAGCAAGTGCTCAAACAGGTTCTCCGCCCTCGGATGTGTGCTCGCGAACGCCCTCTCGAGGACATACAGATCCGTCGCCCGGTCTTCGTCCGACTGGCTCTGGTTCGCCAAGCCAAAGTCGATGATGACCACATCTCCCTCCAGCAGCTTGGCCTTTTCCTGTGCTTCTTCACTGCTCACCCCATTCGTCTCCCCCTCCTCTGTCGTCGTCGTCGTCTTGACGGGGGGTGGCCTCAACATCATATTACTAGTCGTCAAATCCCCATGCACCACCCCCGTCCTATGCAACCCCGCTATCGCGCTGCCAATCCTCTTCATCAGTTCCACCAACGGTCCCTGATCCTTCTCCAGCGCCGCCTTTTCTTCTTCTTCATTCTTCGGCCTCTGACCAAGCCACTCGTTAATCTTCACCCTCACCGGCGCGCCCTCAATCCACTCCACCGCGATCCACCCGGCGGCAGCGTTCTGCGCGTACACAGCGGGGACGGGAACGCCCTCGCGCCGGCACCGCTCGAGGACTTTGGCCTCGAAGGCTAAGCGGGCTTTGGTCAAGCGGGCGTCGAGAATCGGGTGTCGGTAGGGCTTCGGGGGCCGGTACTTGAGCGCGCAGGGGATGTCGGGAGAGAAGAAGGTCGTTTTGTATAGCCGACCCTCGGCGCCTTGTGTGATGAGGGTGGGAGGGGCGGCGGAGGGGTGGGTGAGGATCGGGGGGAGAGGGAATTGGTGCTCTTGCTCTTGCTCGGAGGAGGCGGCGGCCGCGGTCGAGGTCGAGGTCGCCATTTTGCGCTTTTTGGTGGGGGGTGATTGGGGGGAGGTGTCCATCAATCTGGTAGAGTAATTCTCGAGAGGGTCGCGGGGATTGAATGTGCGATTGGTATCTGGTGAGAGGTTTGTTGCGCTTGGGTTAGGTTGTGCCGTGGTTTTGTTGATTATCGCGAACTTTTGTTTTGGACTGGCCGGGGCTTGTCTGCCATTGCGCTCTGGAGGGGCAGAGGGGCACATTCGCTGGGATAGGGAAAGCGCCAAGCTCGGTGTACAGGGGCCCCACACAGGGTGAGCACAGGGCAATATTGTTAACACTGTCCTCTGAAGTCAACACCAAGAGCGGCCGTTTGGTGAGTGATCTCGACCCTGAACAACACCTCAATATCAACTGGGCTTTGATAACCTCACAGCCTCCCAAGTCTTGGTCATCCTGCGAGTTTATTTGCCTGTCGGCCATAAATGGACGACCTTGTTGGAGCTTTCGACTACAGTTTTGTCTGTCATTGGATCAAGTCTTTCATTCCAGAGCATTGGACAACACTTCGGTCTCAAGCGACAACACGTTGTAGTCTTCCCCCGTCATATGGCTTCGGGGTGGTATTATCCATGGTGAGTTCGGATGGTGTACCTCGATGCTCGCACATCAAAGCGCATATTTCCCATCTTGCCCCGAGTATACCCAAGGCCTCGACTCCGCCCTCGACATCCTCAAACGTCCCATAAACCACCAAAAAAAAAAGGAAGGAACATACAACACCAGGTTATTCGCCGGTCGTCACCGATCCGACTACTGGCCTGGCGGTCACTGGCTTATCTGTGGGAGATCAGACGGGATCCCGAGTTTCCCGAGTGCCTATGGTCGTATGTGATTTTTGATGAGTTTGAGTTGCCGGGTTGTAATGTCTGTCAGCGAGGAAGGTCTATATATATGGCGAAGATCAAGCCGAGTATCATCGGTGTTGACTCGTTGAGTACATCGAGCAGGTTGGCTGTCTTTGCGGGATGTCACACCTCTCTCTGCCTTTCAGGATTAGGTTTACCAGGTATCTCTTGACACCAAGATATATCGACAAACGGTTTCTCATTCTCTGGAGATGAATACGTATTGAATCTCCAGGTCGGTACCTTGCACGAGTTGGCCGTTGACGTTGAAGCCCCGGGCCCACGTCCACTTGCCGACCCCTCCTTCCGGGCGGCGGACAAGCGGGCAAGAGATTCCCCGCAACCCCCGCTGCCGACCGCCGGCCCTCAGATGTGGGGAGTTGGCGGAGATCATTGTGGAGGAAAGGCGGGGTGGGATGCCGGCTATGGCCCGGATCTGTGGATGTAACGGACCTGCGTCACCGGCTTCAAGCCGATGATACGTCCTCGTGCATGCAGCTGTCAAGTCGTCAAGCTATTTCTTGTTATCCGCTGTCTTCTATCTATTCTTCCCTCTTTCATCTCACACCCAATGTCCCTTTCCCCAAGACATCACCTCCGCAGCTCACTACAACACCGGCTATCCCTGTATTTACGACTTACACGACCACAACCCTCACCACCACTACTCATCACCACCAGATCACTCACCACAACCCCAACCACCAAAATGCGTCTCCCCTACGTCCCCAACCCCCCACCCACCTCTTCGGAAGCCGAACAAGCCATCGTCGACCGCATCACCGCCCGCCGCGCACCTCGTCCCCTCCAACCTTTGGACCTGGCCCTGCTACACTCCCCTCCCGTCGCCGACGGGTGGAACTCCTTCCTGGGCGCCATCCGCACGCAAACCATCTTGCCCGCCGACGAGCGCGAGCTGGCCATTTCCCGCGTAGCCGTCTGCAACGGCGCCTGGTATGAGTGGCACCACCATGCGCCCCTTGCCGTTCAGGCGGGTGTCAGCGAGGGCGAGGATGGATTGGGTGTGGTGAAGAGGCAGGAACCGTTGCTGATCGAGGAGGGGGAGACCAAGAGGGGAGGGTTGAATGAGAGGCAGTGGGCGGCGGTGTGCTTTACGGATGAGATGACGAGGAATGTGAAGGTTAGGGATGGGACGTTTGAGAAGGTTAGGGGGCTGTTTAGCGAGAGGGAGGTGGTGGAGTTGACTGCTATTGTGAGTTTAATCCCGTCAAGTCTTTTTGGTGTTTGGGGTGGGTTGATGTGGTGGGGAGGGTTGAGAGGAAGAGGAAGAGAGGGGAAAGGGGGAGGAAGGAGAGGATGAGAGTGAAGAAAGAGAAGAGGACCGGAAGATTTGGTCCAACTCGGAGGGCCGAAAGACCTCGGGCGGGTGGCGAGCAAAAGGTCATGAACTGAGTGCTCGGGGCTAACGTTCACTCACTAGATTGCTTGCTATAACTGCGTGAGCCGTTTCCTTGTTGCGCTGGACGGTAAGTCTTATCTCGTGGCTAATTTGGAGATCCCGATACTGATAATGTCGTGCAGTTGGAGAGAGGAACGGCACTGGTCCGGACGATGCGGCTCACTGATAGGGCCCTGATCGGCTCAAACTTTTTCTGTAAAAAGTTTGGGTTTTTAGGTACTTGGTTGACAGGGGTGGTTGTTGATTCCCCAAATGTCTCTGAACTTTTCTGCCAGAAGTAGGGTGCACCCTACTTCTGGCCTCGAAAGTTTGACAACCAAAAAGTTTGGAATAAATTGATTTCATTGGTACTTGGCAATGACTTGGCGGGAGCTTGGCAGTGGTGGTTCGAGCTCATGGGAGCTCCTTGAATCGGTACATGCTCAGAAAAGTTTGAGAGCTTGAAAAGGAGGCTAGCCAAGACGCTATCGCCATGAAAGGGAAAGTCGACGCCCATCAGCGCCCGTGCCCACTCGAAGAAGGAAAGCGCCTGTGGTAAAGAAATAGTCACGGACTTTTTCGTGCATAACATCCCTGTGGCTCTCAAACTTTTTACAGAAAAGTTTGAGCCGATCAGGGCCTAGTTAGAGGCGATTTATCCTGGTGATAATGGTACTTTTAGAACAGTACGAATCGAACATTGTGTTGAACATCAACCTCAATTAGGTCCTGATCGGCTCAAACTGTTCATGGAGCAGTATGGGGGTGTTTGGTACTTGGGTGACATGGGGTGGTTTTGGCTTTCTCCAAAAGTATTCAAAAGTCCCAAACTGGAGGTCATACTGGAGGTCATACTGGAGGTCATACTGGAGGTCGGACCTCCAGTATGAAATTGTGAGTTTTTGAGCCAGAAAGTTCGGAATCAATTGATTTCATTGGCTCAGCACGGTACTTGGCAATCGCTTGGCAGTAGTGGTCTGAGCTCAGAAAATCGGTACATGAGTAGAACAGTTTGAAAAGTTGCAAATGACACCCGCCAAGACGCTATCGCTACGAAAGGGAAAGTCGGAGCCCGTGCCCGCTCAAAGAAGAAAAGCGCCTTTAGTAAAGAACTAGTCACAGCCCTGCTAGTGTAGAATATCCTTGAACAACCTCCATACTGTTCCATGAACAGTTTGAGCCGATCAGGGCCTTAACGTTACATACGGTTTTCCTTTTGCAAATAGGTGCTTAGTGCATCTGGGCCTTCTATTCTTCTTAGTCACTGCTCTTTCTGTGGCTGAAGCTATCGACTTCGAACATCTTATGTTGACGAATCGGTTAAAGAATAGGTGAGCCTCATGGCGTGCTCGTGGCTAGCCCGTTCTTCGCCGCCGTTGCACGACAAAAAGCTATGGTCGTTGACGTGCTGTGGACATAGTGAGTATATATCGACATCGGAGACATTGTCTCGAGATGGCATCTGACCCCCAAGACCACTCAAGACCACAATGAAGAAAAGATTGTGTATACACCACGCCAAAGAGGATACCGAATCCTCACTCACCTGCTAACCGGAAGCAACGATAGCTGCAAAAGTCACAAAAGATGGTGTCCAGTTGTGGACAACGCACACACGATAGTCGCGACTATGGGAGAGGGGACGACTCAAAGACAAAGCATCCATTCTGCACCAGAACGGTGTCACACTTGATATCTCGGCCCGGGTCTCCAGTCATCGACCGAGATGAACGCCCGAACCGATCACAAGAGACAGCCACTTCCACGTTTCTTCTTCCCTTCAAGCCTCTTGCCATATTGGGAAGGCGAGATATCTCTGCGGCGGAGTGTCTTCCTTCTCTGATTTTATCAAGCGCTGAGAGGAATAGCGACGCCACGAAGAGGGGTGAAGAGGAGAGATGGATCACCGACTTAGTGCTGGCAACACCATCAAGGTGAATTTCACTCCGAAATGGTGCAGCGTCAAGTGGACAAGAGGTGATAACGGCAGGGTGACAAGAGAGGGGAAGTTGTTCTTCGCGAATGAGAAGCATATCCATACTTGTGATGGTGGGAGTTGGCGGATTTCCAAGACAGTGAGCGGGCGGCACAGGTACTCGCTTACTTCTCTTAAACGAACATTAAAGGAGGCATCATGGCCAGCTTCGATGTTGATGTCTGGTCTTCAGCCCTTCAGGCTATCCCTTCTTCAAACCAGAAGCTGAAGCCTTTCCCTAGGTATCTCTCAATCCCACATCACATCAAGAACATCTCCACAACCTCACTCATATCACAAGAACATCACAGCTGGCCCTAGGTCCAGCACCCCAAGACACCATGGACTCCCTCCGTCTCCTCGCTGGCAAAACTCGAAATTGCTATCCATGTCGCAAACTTGGTCGGGCATGTTTGACTTTTCTCCCTTTGTGACAGGAAGGACAGGCACATGTCAGAAGCTCCAGAGACGACATAACAGGAGCAACCATACGTCTGTCTAGTGGACCGGATACCCCGGTCAGCAGGTTGAAGTATACGTTGAGTTGAGGGAGCAGTGGGCTTAGACTAGGGGATTGGCAACGGGATGAATATGGTAAGAGAAACATCATGGTGGTGTGTAAATGTCTGTCTGGTCTGTGCTATGGTTGGCAATGAAAGACAGATAGGTATGATTAAATCCACCATTGTCCTATACGTACATGTGGTTCTAGGAGTCATATGCAGTCATGTAGTCGAGAAGAAGTATTGCCTATCCAAAATGACAAGCAGTGAGGTAGGGGTGAGTCGGGTGAGTGACGCTGACCAAAGACCGACCGACCACCTTACCTTACTTAACTGACACTTGTAACCGCGAGAATAAATACCTTGCCGGACGGACCAGCTCCAGTCCAACTCGACCTTTAATGAGAGCACGGCAAGCAAGCAAGCAAGCATCACGTAATGAGGAGGCCAGGTAAGAAGAAGAAAACGTACAATACCCAGTAGGTAGGTAGGTATATGTAGCTTTAGCAAAGCCTGGTCTGGTCGGACACATCGTTATCTCGAATAATGATGACGCCGTACATACCCAAAGTGAGTCTACCTACGCCAGATGGTACCTACAGAGGACGTATAAGTGGCGGGATGACGTACGTACGTACCTAGCGTAGCATCTCGCCAAAAACGCATCTATATCTTCACGCCTTACCCGGGTCGGGTCCAGTAGGTTTCTGGCCCAGCAGCAAGTTTCTGACGGGGGCTGGCTGGCGTAGGTGCACATGGGTTAGGCATCAAAAGGGCTCACTCAAAGAGTCATCAGTCAAATCAAAGTAATCTTGGTGTGTAGTATTGGGTTCGGGTTCCCTTGGGCACGGGCTGACTGTGTGGCAGACGGATAGATGACGAGAGAGAATCGAAGAAAACAATGGCATCGACGACGGAATGGGCACAAGAGTCAGTCCACTTCGATATTGAGGTAGTTCAAAGTGAACTGAGTAGAGTGAAGTGAAGTGAAGAGACAGTGACGGCAAGGTCTGTTAAAAATTGAGGAAAGAGCAAACAGTAACTCAAGTGATGTATATGATCTTACACTGAGAGTCAAGAGCCCATCTCTTCACCTCGTCTGTTTTGCGTTGACCTTGCTTCACCTTGGCCTATCCTCTTCTCAATCTCTTCCCGGTTTCTTCTCACTTCTACTTCAAGGTGAGACCGATAGTCGGGATAACCAAGATCAAACAGAGTGTATAGTAACTATAATCACATTCAGTTCTTCTGGCTCTTCAATTGGGAAAGCCTGGTCTCGACAACAATGTTCATTACCCATACAAGCGTACAGTGCCTGAAATTACCCATGACATGACATGCTTTGCTCCGCGTAGACTCGCGTAGACGATACAGCCAATACAGACGGTACAGACAATACACAAGGTACAAAGCTTACAGAGAGGTAACGTAATTGTCATAAAAAGAACCATCATCTTCATCTTTGCTTAACGTGACGTGACTTGACTTGACTTGCTTGAGTTTGGTATCTCCATCATCCCCTTTGTGAAGCAACAACAACCAACCGACCCATCTTTCTTTCCCCTCTGGTACACCCCCCCTCTTGGCCGACCCCATTCACCACCACCCTTTCTGCGCGCAAAACCCATACTTCCACAAACAGTATACTACTAGCTTTCATTCATGAGAATCTCTTGACAACAAAACCTCGACAACAGCAACAGCAACATCATAAACACGTTCGTTCATCCCAAGTCCCCGATCCGATCCCGTCCCGTGCAGCGCAGTGGAGTGCGCCTGCTATATCAAACTTCATCAAAGATGCCATCAATCAACTGGGAATACACCCCCGAGCGAACGACTCCTGCAGCTGATTGATCACCCCCTCACTGCTACTGCTCGCTGTTGATCCTAACTAAGCCTTAGCCGGCGAGCTGACCTCCTCCTTCTTGGCGTTTTGTTGTGTGCTGTTATCCGCCGCCGCCGCGGCAACAGCAGCCTGCTCCTTCTGGTCCTGGTCGGCAGCCGACGTCTGGGCGACCTGGTCGTTCTGTGTTGTGCTCGAGGGGGACTTGGAGACTTGGCTGGCGAGATCCTTGTCCTCCTCCGCGTTGTCAAACATCTCGGTGTCGTCGGCGTCGGTCAGGACCTCGGTTCCGTCGCCGAGGAAGATGATGCGACCCTTGTAGCCGCCCATGCCAAAGGGCTTGCCCTTGTTTCCGTTGTCCTCGAGATCATACCCGCTGTCACTATCATCAAAGTTGTGATGCACACCGGGACCGCGGAACTCAGCTATAATGTGCGGGAAAAACAGATATGGTATTAGTGTCAAGCTCATAAGAATATGTGCCAACGAAAACGAGCTGGGTTATTTGAAGTACACGTGTGTTTTAAGAGGGATATATAGGGAAATACGGGGAAGTTATGATATGGTGAAGTTTGTGTTATGATGAAAGCGGTCAGGGGGATGGTGTTTCCCTACCATATTCGGGAGGAGCGCAAGGGCCGTCGCCGTTGGCAACGCGCTTGGCAATCTCCTCATACCACTCCTCCTTAGTCCGTCCCCTGAGGAAACCAACAATGGTCATGGTCATGTTGTCACAGCCAACGCCGCCCGTCTCCGAGTTGGAGGCCAGGCAGTTGTCCATCATGTTTTCACAGATCTTGTCCAAATCCTGCTTGGCGGCAATGCCTCGCCTGACGAACTCGACAACCGCTTGGGAAGACTGGCAGTCCCAGATACCTAGCAGAAAACATATGTTAGCTAAATGCGCGGTTATACGCAGGGTTTGGCCTTCTCTTACCGTCGCAAGCAAGTACGAGGAACTCGTCATCATCGGCCAGGTCGTGGACCATAACATCGGGGTATGCGGTAACGATCTGCTGCTCGGGCGCCAGCTCGGCGCTCTTCTTGAACTCAAAATCGCCAATAGCTCTCGAGAGAGCCAAGTTTCCGTTCACGCGACCAAAGTCGACGAAACCGCCAGCGGCAGTGATACGAGCCTTCTCGCCTAGAGAACCACAAACAAGCACCGGTTAGCACGGACCCTTTTCATCCAAAGAACCAGCAAGCGCGCGCAACTGCATACCTTCATTCTGGGGCTTGTGGTCGAAAGACAAAGGTTTCGCGCGGCCCTTTACGCCCAATACGGCTCTCGAATCGCCAGCGTTGGCCTAAGATAGACAAATAGGGTTAGGGAGAGCCGTTCGCGAGCGGGGGTTGGTTCCTTCCGAGGGAGTATAACTCACCACATAGATTTTATCATCGGTGATAAGACCGACGCATGCGGTGCACCCAGAAACCTCCTCCTCGTATTTGGGATCTGCAACATAAGGGGGGCGAATATTAGTTTCCTCGTTTCTCGTTTCGCACCGTACGCAGCACGCAGCACACAGCCCACAGCTGCCAAGGTGAAAAAAAAATCTGGGTTTTTCATAATCGTACCGTTCAAAATTGCCCGGTCAGTCGCCAAAAAGCCGTCCTTGAGAGCCTGCTCGTAGTTGCCGGTCTTAAATGTGTCCTGCTTCGCAATGATGTCGTGGATGTTGGCGCCCGCAAATAATGCCACCTTGTCGCCGCCGTGGCCGTCAAAGACGCCGAAGAAGGAGAGCTTTTGGCTGTGTTCCTTGGCCTCCTTGGGGTTGTTGGCTAGTAGGTCGAGGACTGTCGTGTGCGCGTCCTCCATGCTGATACGCCAGCCCTGCATGGCCGACACGCCGTAGATGAGCCGCTCATCCCCGCCAGTTGCCGACGCCTATAATGAGAGAACCACATCAAGTTAGCCAACTGGTTCTTGTAGGGAAGTCGTTTGTGCTTCACATGGTTGATTCCGGCTTGGTCAGCCCAGCGCGCGGGGCAAAGGCGGGGTGCGGCGTAGGTATGATTTCAGGGCAGCCGATGGCAGCCAGCGGCGCGCGAGGAGCCAGCATGGGTGCGTGAGGAGGGGGAAGAGAGCAGGACAAGGCCACGGCGTCTTTTCGCGAGGACCCGACGGTTGGGCGATCCGAGGGCGGCAATGAGCAGGACAAACAGGGAGATAGCTCAGTAGCGCGATTGCGATGTGGTAGAAGGTGGTTCGACGTGTGTTTGTGCTTTGCCAGCAGGGAGAGAGGTGATGGAGGCAGTACTCGTTAAGAGTAGGTAGACCAGGAGCGGGGACGGCGTTCACACAATGAACGAGTGGTCAGGATGATTGCCACGCACCTTTTCGACGACGGGCTCAGAAAGCGTCTGGCCCATGATGAGATCTGAGAGTGGTGGTTTGGGAGTGGGTGTGGTAATGTGGTATAGTCGGCGACGAGGCTCGTGACAAAGTGAACTGTAATCGTACTTTTGCGGAGGAGAAGCTCGAGTCGAGAAAGGGGTGGAGGTGCAAGTGGTGGTTTGCTGTTCGGGAGTGGATTGCAGCAGATTGTTGGCAAGATTGGGTTCTTTGGCTGGAGGGACGGGAAGATGGATGTGCAGCCAGGTCGGTCTCTCTCAGGCAGAGGCAGCTGGTCGTCTGGTAGTATGGCAAGGCCCTGCCCATCCGGGTTGACAGGTGTGGATTGGAGTGCTACGGGTCCAGAACAGCTCCAGATAGCAATCGATAACGGAAACTAACTGCTTTGTAGTACCTGCCGGGTTGCGAGCTGTTACTGCACGCTAGCAACGATAGCTCTTTCTGTATGATCTTGGGTCGGGTATCCGCGTAGGTGCGTAGGGTTCATGGGCAGGTCTGGATGTCTGCTTGCTGGATGGCCACACTACGTATGTAGGTAGTTCAAGTTGGCGACGACTGTTGGAAGTGGAAGGTTATGTAATCCCTTGTTCTGATGATGCCCTGCCGCTGTGGTGGTGACTCTTGACTCTTTTGGTTGGATCCGGTTTTTCCTTGGCCCGTCTTGGTGCTAGGAGTCAACAGAGTCTAGTCACTCCACAAAGTAACCAAAAATACCTTTTGACGTGACCGTCGAATCAGGGTAGTTACCTACTATAAGTTTCCGGTATGGGGTTTGGGGATGTGTCGTCAATTCAAGCAAGATGTTCAGGTCTAGAAGCGCAAGAGCTTTAGGATGAGAGAATGATAAGTTGGGTTTAGGTAGATCTTGCGCGGTTCACGGTTCGGGTTTGAACTGAAAAGGTTCAATCTCATCTGTCTTGAGGTACCGCCTGCCGACAGGACCCGCTGGTCAGCCTTGCGCCCGCGCCCCGGTGAGGCCGACCGGTGGGCAGCTAAAGACGAAACCTACCTTAAGTCGTCATCACCTGAGCCCTACAGATAAATCACCTCCGTCACCACAAGAGGGAAGAAACTGCTGCTGGTCGTGAAGCGGGGTTCCCTGGCTGTTTCATCCCGCAAAAGCTCAGGGCAGCTGCTGAGCTTGAGCTTTTAGGCGCCGCGCTTTTGATGCTCCCCTCCCTGGGGCTTCTGACAGCGAGACCCCTAACCCCGAGTCCTGCACAAAACTCACCAACCCCGAGCCGCCGACACTCGACAGACCCAATGTGGGGTAATGAACTACAGGCTGGGGATGGGTGGATTCCAGGTTGCCTCCGCGCGGGTCGGGTATTTCTTGTACAAGACCTGGAGACATTTGCAGACCTCAGCTGAAAGAGGAAAGGAAAAAAGCCATTTCACCTCAACCTCGGATGACATTTGAGGATCAACAACGAGGCAGACTTTTCACTTTGGTCACGCGATGAGTTAACCAATCTGTACTGAGCTCTTCGCCGTTGAGTTTGTTGAAAAATGCGCGCGGGTAGCTGAGGGATTGTGAGGGATTGTGTGACTGCGTCTGAGTCGAACGAGAACCTCATCGAGACTCGAAGAGGATAATACTGCTCAAGGCAGCCGGCGCTTCGTTGCCCGTCGTCGTCGTCGTCAGGTCAGAGAGTTCAGTTTCACTGCACTTTCTACCAGGGCCCTGGAGTCGAGTCGGCGGTGTCTGTCTGATCCGCGGGGTAAACATGCCATCTTAAGGCGGGGTCACAGTGCGCTTTTATATGGCTCGACAGGCTCGACTCTCAATCAACATGGGAACTTTGCCGTATTTCCATGTACTGTTCTCCGTGCAGAGAGCCAATAGATGGGCACTGTCCTGGGTGCTTGTTTCTCCAAAGAGGAAACAACATCGCCTTTCAGGAGCTGGAGCCCTTGCTAGGTACACACACTCCTTGCTACCTACAAAAGCAGAAGGAGAGCGTCACTGAGGATATGTAGCGGTGTCCTCCACTCTTTTTGTTCTTCTCAGAAAATGAAGGCGAGTAGTAGGACGAGAATAGGTGTACAGAAGGCCAGAAGGGATGAGCGAACAGGGAGGGCGACAATGCCCCTGGGGTAAAACCCCCGACTGGAGCGTCATCGAACAACTTAAAAATCAATAGTATCCGTCCAAATCCACTATCCACACTTCCGGTTTGGGATGGAATTGAAGGCCAATTTCGTCATCAATCCATTTCCCTCCAAAAAGTCACATTCTACAGTCGAACCCCCTAAAAGTGCATCCTCCAGGTACTGCATATACGCTAGTTAGTGCATAGGATTTGGCTGGCAGAATTGTTTCCCAGCTACAACTGCATAACAGCATACTGCATGTACGGTCCTAGGACAATTTTTGGTGTGTATACGCTTATTTTTCCAGTCCTAGACAGTGAGATTCTTAGCAAAGGGTCGGAATTTAGTGTCTCGGCCTCTGGATGGCTTCCTTTTCGGGCCTGGCTCAGGTCTAGGGACTGCATATATGCCATTTAGTGCATAGAATTTCCCAGTATGAATTACATGCAGTTTCAGGGGACTCTACTGTACTACAAAAAAACTTGAGTCCCGCATTCCATTCCATTCGGTTGGGAAGAATGAAACGAAACGAAACAGAACGAACCACGACTCGAACGAGTCCATAGACAAAAAGGAGGCGCGAGCGCTCTTGCGAACGGGAATACTAGACTAGGGATGAAAAATTGAAGCGAGCCCAGACAGCACCAGATAGCCGGGAATACCTACTTGAGACCGTAACGACTGTGCGGTCGAACGATGACGACACACACACACACACACACACACACCCACCCGGCATTTGGGTTCAGGCTTTTTCTTTCAGCCCTCATTTTCTTCCCCTTCCGCGGCGTGTGCGCCCCCTTTTGGTTTTTGGGTTGCAACATCGCGACGAGACATTGGCAAGCAAGATCCAATCTCTCTCGTGACCTGTCTGCTGAGGCTTGTGCTACTCTGTAAAAATATTATCAGTTTGGGTTTCGAACTGAAACTGAGGGGAAGGGAACACAGCATGAGATTGGACCTGCGGACCGCTGATATCATCATTTTTTTTTTCTGCCGCCACTGGTTCGTGATGACGGCACAATTCATTGGAACTACCCTAAAATTTGGACTATGGTATTGTAAAAAGGTAAACTAAGGTATCACATGTGGCTTGTACAATTCGAACTGAGAAGCGCCAGTGACACTTGATATCCATACCCGCACACAAAAATCAAATGTTCAGGAGGACTATTAAAAAATAAAACAGAACAAAAGGGGCTATTAAAGCTCAAATGTAAACCGCAAAATCCGAACTCGTCTTGCTTTGGGAAGTCACCAACGATATCGGCTGCGGTGACCGAAACCTTCCATTAAGAAAACCACTCGTCCCGCCTGCCCATTTGTTCTCCTTTTCCGCGTCCTCATTATGCGTATTCCCATCGCCATCAAGCCAAAACGACGAAGGCGCCTTTGGAAACCCGACAGAACCAAGAGTAGGAGCGCGGGCATGCCCGCTCGCCGAGTTTGACAAACCCTGTGAGGCGATAGAAGATGCATCACCAAGAGGTTTAGGCCGTGGGATAGGGGCAAAGGACCATTGACTCTGCGGGTACTTGGAGCTTGCGGCATCATTGATGTTGGAGAGCGAGTCTTTGTACGGTGCCCAGTTTGGCTGTGATGCCGACCTTGAGCGTCTGAGACTGGAGCTCGGTAGCATGCTGTCGGCATTCTCAAGGCTCTGTATTGTCTCGTCGTGCCACTCGTGACTGGAGGGTATTGTTGACCATGTGCTTGACTGGTGGAAGGGTGAGTTGGATACCATGTCTGCGTAGGAGATCCCAAGTGAGTTCCTGGAAGGGCGGTCGAAGCTAGACGTGGGTGAAGCTTGCTTCTCGTTCAGTGGTGGTTTGTGACTGTCTTCAGTCGGACCTCCCACTACTTCGACCTTTGTCGACACTAGCCTCTGTCGTGGGATGATGACTCGCCCTGTGCCAACTGCTCTTCGCGTCACTGGCCTTGGATGTTTGGCCATTATGGGCCGCTTCGCCCCTTGCGGCGGCGTTGGGAAGTCGGGGATGCCCGAGCTATCAGACTGCTTATTTGATACCAGCGATGTGTCTGGTGTCTTGTCGTGTAAGGACGCTTGGACACTGGACAGACTGGGCAGACCGGCCTGTGCTGCTTTCCCAAACTTCTCAGCAACACCCTTAATACTGATGACACGACCTTTGAACCAAGGCCATACGAGCTTTCTCGCAAGCATGGCTGGGTGGATCCGGGCAGTGCTTGAAGGGTCATCATGAACCGAGCCTATCGCAGGAGATCTGTTGTGGACAGATGGGCCGGAACCTAGTTTGCTCCAGTATGACTCGCCCGTGTATGCAGAGTTAGGGGTGGGTTGGATGCTAGAGACATCACCAAGGCACGGAATGTCGACTTCAACACCGTCCCGAAACGAGCCTCTTGTGTTGCTGTTGCCGAGGAACTCCAGAGTATTGTCAATGGTGATTCCTGCGGAGTGCTCCTCATAGTAGCTAGTCTCCGATATGTGACTGAGGAGTGTCTGAGTTCTCTCGTGCCGCCGATTTCGTGGAGTTCCGGTAACAGCACCGGACATGAGAGGCGAACCTGTGACATCCAGAAGGCTACTGCTCGCCGGCAGCAGTTCTTCGTTGGTAGGCAGCATGCGAATTGTGCTGAGCGGGCGTGGCACGTCACCATCGAAGCTTGGGTGGCGGCTGATACCCGATTCAAGGTCACTCTTCCGGTCCTGTTCAGCCATTGACATCTGACCTATCGTGCTTTGCGTGTTGTGTGGTCCTGTTATGTGCTCCATGGAACTCTGCCCATCTGGACCTGTGACATTGATGGTGAAAGTTCCCGGAAGAGGGCCCGATATATCACGGGTGCTGAGCTTTGGCCGTTTGACTTCTCTTCGTCGCCTGAGGCAACAGACGAGCATACTCATAAGGGCGCCGAGGAGCAAGAGTCCAGGAAGGATAGTAACCAGCACAATGAGTCCGACGGGAGTAGGTGCATGCTTTCGACTAGGCTTAGTTCCGCCCGAATCCCCAGTTGATGTCGAGCCCGGACCCGAAGCGGCGTCTGTCGTGTCTGCCGTGTCCCCGGATTCCGCCAGCATGTGCACGCTCAGCAAGATTGACTCTGATGCTCCCGAAGCTTTCGAAGTCAACCTTATCGTAGCGCTCACGATGGAGTCTTTTGACGAGTTTGGTACGTCGCCGAAAATGGTTCCTTCGCGGACATGGATCCACGAGGGCGAGGCACCGTCATCGATAACTATCTCTGTGCCATCGGGGTCCTCTAGATAGGGGGCAAGATCGAAAGATATGTGCTCGCCCGCCTGTGCCTGGATAACAGGCAGCTCTTCCTTCAACATGCCAGAGGCTTGCGCTTGATTGCCGCTGACCTGAACCATGACAGTCAGATTGAATCTGTCCGCGAACCTGTCCTCGAGTGCAATGGTGAAGTTGGTTGATTTTGCTACCATGGGAGGGGTGCCTGCGATGCGCAAACTGTCCATCTCCAGCGTGAGCCAAGACGGGATATTGAAGGTAGAGGCCACAATCAAACCATCGCCAGAAGTCATGGGTTGGCCATCGACCTCGATGCTCTCCCGCAGTCCACCATATGAGAAGGGCTCCCCGGCCGTTGTATTGATGACAACTGTCGTCTGATCGGCCGTAACTCTGTGGTTCCCGACCACAATGTTGAACCTCAGAGAGGCACCGGCGAACCCAGGTGTGTCAGTGGCCAGGAGTTGGAACTCGAACGTCTGGGGTGGGTCTATGAGAGCCTCGAAAGATGGAGTTTGTCCCGAGAAAGCAAGCCGGCCAGCGTCAAACGATATCCAGGCCGGAAGAGGAGTGTTGTCCGACATGACTGCATAGTATGCCAAGGGCTTGTCAGAGGATGTTGAGAAAGTCTTTGGGTCCAGCACGAAAGAGAACTGGTTCCTTGGCGGTGACAGGATGGTGTAGGGGTTAGAGAAAAAGCCAAATCCCGGTATCTGTTGGTTGAGAGGAATATCGAGCTTAGGACCGGCCTTCCTTGAAACGATCAGAGTGATGTCGAGTGTTGTCGAGCCTGTCTCGTCGGTTGCCACCAATCCAACTGGAACATTCACTACATCGCCCGAGCTAACATCAGTCTCCTTTGGTGTCCCGTAGAGTTTCCGTGCATCGCTGTCGATCGAAAGCCATCTTGGCGAGTTGGTGAGGGAGTATGTAATAGCTGATGTCGAGGTAAATGTTGACTTGGAGAACACAAATGAGAAGGGTTCTCCGATTCTGGCAATAGGGGGAATTTGGGAGCTGATGGGGAAGTAGACTCCAGGGGCAGCACTAGATACTGCAACGAAGAGGAACAAGGTGAGGAGACGCATAAAAGACGCCATGGTGATGATAGTAACGGCGAGCAAAGCGCTGCCTAGGGTATCAAGTCGTAGGTAACAGAGGTGACAACAATATTCACAAAGACTGGAAGGAAGAAGAGACTCATCGTGGACACCAGAGCGAACAGCTCTGAGGGCATCAAGCTAGACATAAGAGACAGTAAAACGCGAATCTTCAAAGAGGGAGGCTGACCCCGAATTTCTTCACGGGGCATGTTCCCTTGCGTCACGCTCTCCATGAATTGCTAAGGGGGGCAAGTCGCGACTTACCAGCCGCCCCTTGGGCTTTAAACGCGAAATAGAATCTGAAGGAGGCTCGTAATGAACCTCTATAGTGGTGTCGCGAGCCCACCTGAGCAATGTGGGATTGGCATTGAAACCTCCGAAATGGGGTTGGTGAAGTGGTTGAAGCATTCCAGTCGAGCCTCAAGGTGAACACCAGCCCACCAGATGAAGTGTCCATGCTTCAGGGAGGCGTTCCATCGTGACACATTTCGGAGGGGGGGGATTAGGTAAAGACGGAAATGTCATGATCGATTTGAATTCGAGCATCAATGTTGATGGAAGATATCGCCGATCAAATGACAATCGCCTGCAGCGGAGGCCTTGAGCAACCCGAAGCGAGAAACTCTGCTTTCACGCAGTCGGCTCGACAATATTCCGGCCAAGAAATTTTTCAAGCCTCGACTCTTGACTTTGATGGCAAGAGCGATTACGGCAATCTCGACGGTCAAGGTGTTCAGGTTGTTGCTCAATGATCGTCCCTTCCCGTTGTGTCATGTCGGAAGGTTGTTGGTGGTGTCTCTACAACCCCGCAAAATGGAAGGGAGGGGAATTTTTGGTGGAGACTTTTTGTGCGCTTGCCCGAGCGTCTAGACCACCACAGGGCAACGACGACGGTGATGCCGGATAGCAATTTCTGCCCAACAGTCAGCGTTATCCCGAGAGAAAAGGTCAAAACCACCAACCATGAGCGCCCGATCCCGATCATCGTCACCCGAGTTTGATCCGTTGGCCTTCGACCAGGATTTCACCCCCCTACCGGAGTACAAGGCACCTACCGACACGGCTCTCGACTTTGGTGGTCTTCTGCCCGAGCCTTTGAAGCTCCACGAAGATTTAAAGACGGGATGCGGAGGCCAGCTTTGGCCGGCCGGAATGACCCTCGCCAAGCATATGCTGCGCTACCATGGCGATAAGCTGCAAAAGGCTCGGATGTAGGTGCCTTTTATGCCGGCTCTTCATCCACACCACATGGCACTGACATGTTTCCCCCAGACTCGAGATTGGCGCCGGCGGTGGCCTTGTCGGGCTTGCAGTTGCCAAAGGCTGCAGCTATGAAACTCCCATGTATATCACAGACCAACTGGAGATGGAAGAGCTCATGGCACACAACATCACCCTGAATGGCCTCAATGACAAGGTCAAATCCATGATCCTCAACTGGTAAGTGATTCAGTCCTGTGTGACGGCTTTCCCCGCTCTCCTCCTGCTGTGAGCATCGGACTGTTGTTCTTCCACGGTCCCGACCAGGATCGGCTCACTCGGGCTCGGGTTCTACGCTCATGCTATTCTGACAACCTCTTGTGATGCAAATAGGGGCGAGCCACTACCAGAGGAAATCGTTGCTCTCAAGCCTGATACTATCCTGGCTGCTGATTGCGTCTACTTCGAACCCGCCTTCCCGCTCCTCCTTCAGACCCTGAAGGATCTATTGGCCCTTGAACCCAACGCCACCGTTTACTTCTGTTTCAAGAAGAGACGCCGCGCAGACATGCAGTTTCTCAAGGCTGCCAGAAAGACTTTCAAGATCACCGAGCTTGAGGACGAAGACCGGCCCGTGTTCACCAGAGAAGGCTTGTTCCTCTACGCGTTTACCCGCAAATAAGAAATGAAAAAGGTTTCAGCACCTCAAAGTTCAGCCAGCATCACCAAAGGATCTTCAAAGAGGTCGTCTCCGCACCCAAAGGATTCAAGCGAGGCATTTTGTCAAGAAGCCTCCAATCAACCGACGATGGCAACCAACGTGGGACGCGGAGTTGACGTTTTCGCCAGAGTCTGGCCATGACAGGCAACATCACATACATATCCAAAGACACCATACATATTGCAAGGCGAATGTGCATCTTGCCGGCCTCTGGAGACGCCCACGTAAGACGAGCCTGCCGAGCCCGCATATATCGACTGCGACAACGACGTGCCCCACATCTTATCACTTATTCGCAGGCATGACAAACAACTGTGGGAATCGAATAACGGATACCGGTCAGTCTTAGTTGCTCAACCTTCATCACATCATTCTGGTCGTCCAGTCGTATTGACTTGTCGAGAGGTTGCGGAACCAGGCCTGACGTCCGAGGCCGGCCAAAAGGAGGGGGGAAAAAGGACGCATCGGGATTCAGAACCGCAGGTCTGCGGCATCATATTGGTGAGTGACCATTGCTTTTACGAAAAAGCTTTTGACCTGTCAAAGAGGCCCTCTTTTTTTCCTTCACTCACGTCCACTGTGGCAAGTCGCAAATGGGCCATTTCTCTACCGGTATGCAATACATCGACGATGCTTTGGGGGTAGGTATACTTGCAACTTTTAATCACATCAGCACATCCATGCCCTGGACCTTCTCTTCCGTCTCTATCCGTGCCGCCGTTCGCGGTTTTCCGGACGAACAGGTCGTTCATCCTTAATCCAACATGTTCATTTTTACACTTTTCCTCTCAATTAGCAGTGAAACACCAAAAGGCATATTGTCCCACCACACGTCGGTTCTCAGCCGACTCCTCGCAGGGCGCCACGGTGTTTGGCATTGTAAATGCCTTTGAAGTTCCCCTCATCCAGCGATGCGCTGTGGAACAACGTACGGGACGGACGGCCCCAGTCTGACAAGCTGTCGGGCCTGTGGGCGACAAGGACATCCAGGCACGCGGAGACACGGCAGAATAAAGAATTTTCGAAGAGCGGGGCAGATCGCCGGAGGAGTTCAGCGGCGCGCAGGAGCCCAGCCAGGCCTCGGGATCGCCAGCGACCATGATTGGTTGGAACCATCCCGTTCAGTTGGTTCCTGGCCGTTCCTGACCCAAGAAAAACAGGGGCCCGGCTTTTGTTCCGCGTCAGTGCCTTGCAGGTCAGCTGCAAGGGCCAGCCAGGTCTCCCGCGTCGCTTCTGGTTATGTAAGTTTTTCAATTTCAGCGTCATTGAACTTCTTTGGTACAATGCTACGCCGCCACATTGCGAGATTTGTTAGGTCGCTACATGTCCTGGATCGAAGGACCTGGGCTTGGATGCGGTTCCCCCTCCTCAGCGGTAATCTCGGCGGTAACTCTTCGCGGCCCTACGAAACCACGGCACGTCAAAGAAGCTTTGTGGGACGAATGCAGGACACCTGCAAACATCGGGTGAAAGCAAGGGTCAAGGTCTCTGGTTGGGCTTGAGGGCATGTCGAAAGCAACCGCCAATTCCTTTGTCCAAGGCGCGGCCCACGATGATTTGCTTGATTGCCCGCACTGTCACAATGCTGTTTGGCACTGGACAAGCCAGCGGTCTGCTCCTCGTCGCCAAAACAGGAACCGCACTAACAACTGATCGAGCTTTGGATGGTATCAAACACGTGGTAAATGGGGATGTTTGACAACTCGGTTGGGACGATCGAGTCGGGCCTGGCTAAAGCATCTTCGGTAGGATGGGGCCCAACAGGTGTGAACGGCCCACTCGCATGGGGGCATTCACACGTCCAAGCAGGGGCAGGGGTGAGAAAAAAACAAGGGACGCTTGCCTCCAGCCGGATCATCAGCCTTTTTGGGCCATCCCAGGCGTTGTCATGCTCGCCCGGCGGACCACCCGTCCCCCCTTCATTTTGTTTCCCCCAGCCCTAAGATCGGACTTGTCCTTTCTTTTATAAAGGTTCATACCCGTTCCGTCTCTCCTCGATCCCATCTTTTCACTTCTCACAAGCTCCCCTGCTCTTTGCTGATCGAACCATTTGGGAACATCAGCTGTACATTCCTTCCTCGAGCCGGCTACGAGAATCACCTTCCTTGAATATCAATCTCGACATTGACGATCCTTCACATTCCAACAGCTTACACAGCACGGACAAATACCAAGGATCCTTCTGCCTACCTACACCCTCCCTTTACGGTAGCCAAGACCACCAAGAATCAACCATCAGTTTCTCGTTGACGAGAGACATATCACAATCCTTTTTTGAAACTTCAACCACCATCAACATGAAGTCGACCACTGTTATCATCAGCCTTTTGGCTTCAGTTGCTCTTGCCCAGCCTCGCCACGGCCATTACCACCAAAAGAAGGACCATGGTCACTACAACAAGCGTGCTCTTGTCACGGAGTGGGTGACTGAAACCGTCTATGAGACCGTCACCAAGGTCATTGACGCGACCACCACCCAGGTGATCGTTCCTCCAAAGGCCACTTCAACCCTCATCACCTCCGTCTCGCAGGCCCACTCCAGCGCTGCGCCCGTGGTTCCCGTGGTTCCCGCCTCTTCTCCCAAGGTTGAGGCTCCTCCTCCTGCTCCTGAGACCACCAGCTCTAGCCAGGCCGCTCCTCCGGTTCAGACAGTCGCTCCTGCCCCTCCTCCTCCTCCTCCTCCCGTGGAGAGCTCGTCTGCCCCGGCCCCTGTTGTTCAGCCCGCCGCCGCCACCGTTGCCTCTCCGCCGGCCGTTGAGACTGCCAAGACGGAGTCTATTTCCAGCACTAGCAGCTCTCACAGTGGCGACCTCACCTACTACGATGTCGGCTTGGGTGCCTGCGGTTTCGACGATAACGGCTTGGACATGTCCGACAACATTGTGGCCCTTTCCCACGAGATGATGGGTACCCAGTCCAACGGCAACCCCTACTGCAACAGGAAGGTTATCATCAAGGCCAACGGCAAGACCGTTACCGCTACTGTCCGCGACAAGTGCATGGGATGCGCCTTCAACGACATTGATGTTTCCAAGAAGGCCTTCCTCGACGTCTTTGGCGCCCTTACCGACGGTCGCAAGAATGTCGAGTGGGCTTTCTCCGACTAAAGAATTGGTCACACCATTCAATGCCTTCACAGCAAGGCATTCTCATTTTCGCTTCTCACACAGGCGCGTAAACTCGTTTACCGCGCATTGAAAAAATTGGTTCACGCGGATCTTCTCCAGCGTCTCTTTTGGACAAAGGACGGACCGACTCGCAGGGCGATGATGACTTTTATGACCCTTTCTTCCCAACCCCTTTGTCATGCTTTCTTCTCTTCAATGTCAATTCTTTCTTTGGCAACGGAACATAAGAACAACACACAAAGGGGGAGCGGGACAACCACTTAGAAAGATACCACACACAAAGAAAGGTACAGGACGGAACGGCGACTGGCGCGCGCGGGAACGGATCGGAAAAGAAAAACTTTTGAGGGGCGCGCAACGACAAAAAAGATTGGCGCCGGAACTTTCTTCTGCGATGAAAATGTGGTTTTTTCTCTTTCTTTCTCGAACGATTTGATGACAAAACTTCAAAACTTCTTCAGGTTTATGCCAAAACTTTTTGCCAGGTACATGGTCCTATCTCAAACACACTTATGTCAATCACCATCCATGGTGGTGGAACTGGACAATAAGTGGGCTGAGAGCAGGGAAGCTATCTGTTTCACCTTCTTCTTATTCTGATGTAGATGCTTGCTTAGAAAAACATTGGCGGAGGATTTTTTGGGGATTGAATGAAAATGAGACACATTCACTCTCTTGACAAGACAAGCAAACCTGGTGTTCAATTGCTGCTTCTGTGACATTGGTTTGTGCACTTCATTCCGCTACTAGTCGGCGCCGATTTTGTAGGCCTGACGAGTAATGCCTTCAATTGACGGAGTCGTCGATTGCCCCAGCTTCAGCTCTTCGTATTTGGTGAATATGCTTACCAACGATCTCAAAACCAATACCCCATAAAATCCATCGTCGGAGTTCGTATTTACATCGTCGCGACGTCAAATGGCTATTCTACGTACGTATCATAGCGGAGTGGCTGAGCAGTGATGGCTCCCCAATAACGCCGGCAACGCCAAGAAAAAAAGTAAAATGAGGTCCCGCGGAAATATGGTGATCTAAGCCACCACCGCTCCGAAGCCATCATCACCAACGGCTGAACTAGTAGTGGGCCTGGCCCTGACAATAACGCTTCCAATAACACGGGTAACGGAGATTAATGCGTTTCGAAACTTTTGGTCTGGGGTTGTGAGGAGGCCGCCGAGTTACTGGGTTACCGCTCAGGTTCGATCAATATCGATGATATTTACATTCCAGTGGTTGTTTCCATGGTTTCAACGCTTCGTGCAGCGAACCATCTATCTGCTGGGAACAGCAAAGTTGCTATTTTTGACTTTTTTTCCACAGAAAAAACAATCAAAAATTAAGTCAATATGGCGGTGAAACTTTAGAGAGGTCTTGACATACATCCTTTAACATCATGTCGGTCAATGTTTCTCTGTTCCTATAATTCATCATTTTTGAGTTTCGTCTAAAATGGATGTGACTGACTACAAGCTTGCTTACATTCAGTCATCATGGAGGAATGGATGAAGTTTTTCTCCATCTTTTGCTCGACTCGACTTGCTTTATTGGTGTGCTCCTCACTCATTGTGTCTGTCGGGTTATTATCAACTGTTTGTTGGTTCGCAAGGTGTCTGTCCCTAGAAATATATCTATCTATGTGTTTGCCCTCGTGTATTGTATTGTGATCATGCCGAGTCGAGTGTTGAAATGTGAATGCATTTTCGTGTAGTTGAGTCATTCCAATCCATTGTGATTATGTTGGAGGTGTCCCGTGTCACGTGCGGCCAGCCATGGCTCCCTTCTCCCTTCACTGGCCATGGCCCCACCGCACAGGGACCTCCCTTGCCCTACTTTTAGACCTCCAGACTTTACACACAGTCTGACCTCTACTCTACTCAATACATCACCATCATCATTGATTCGTTCGTTGTCGTTCAGCCTATTCACAGATTACCTCCAAAGTTCGAGGGAAAGAAACATATGAAGTATATATATATATATACGGCATGTCTACCTAAGAAATAGGTCACCACACACACTTTGTCGAGGTTGCTTTTGGTTTTTCTCCAGGTAGAAACATGGAGTGATGTATGCGGTGAATAGGTACGAAGTGATCTCGACAAATAAATAAAAAAAATGTTGACGTGAATGGGAAAATAAGTGGCTTCAACTACCTAGCGAAAGCGAAACATGTTCTGCAATTTGAATACACATCGTTCGGAACAACACTCTGGAGACATTTGCGAATTACACAACAAAATCTAGAAGTTATGACTTTGGCAACTTATTAGGAACGGCACTACACCCGTGCTCGTCAATCTACCTATCCTACCTATCCTTCACCCTCCCGATGAGTAGTGAGTGTCTGATCTTGTTCCGTCTCTGGAATATTGGGCTACGCTCCTTCCTTCTGTTTCAACTGAGCTTCCATAGTACACCGTCGGTCGGGTCTTATTGCGCCTGACACTGCGCCGCGTTTGAGTTAAGTAGACACTACTTACTAGGCCACTTGGAGGATGGAGTAACCCAGTAAATAGACGAAAGGAGCGTCATAGCCGTGGCCGTCTTGGCGTTCTCGGTCTTTTTTTTTTTTTTTTTTCCATGAGTAGAAACTCGGTCACGAACCTGAAGATGAATCACGATACTCTCTGTCTGGTAAACTATCCTTCGTTCCCTCTTATCTGCACCCCATACACCTTTTCTCCAAAATTCTCAATCCCCCATCACCAACGTCACTAGCAAGGTTCTCACCTCAAAGACACATCCGCATCACCACTCAGCAACCCACACAACGATCAGCTGATGCAAATAAACACTTTCATAACCTATATAAAGGATATAATATGCACTTAAGACTACCCACTACTAACCTCCTAGCAAGACACCACTGCAAACTTTGCAAGCTTTCTCAGGCATAAACCTGAATGCGAATGATAATGATAATGATGGATGAATGCCAAAGAAAACCTGTAGGAGAATGAGAATCGAAAACAGCCCATCCTATCCCAGCCAGCCAAACTATCCAACAACCCAAACCTGAACGTATATAAAGATAATGCTTATCGACGACAAACGCATGCATGCTTTTTGTTTTGAAAACAGCCAACCGCGCAAAACCCAAGAAATGAAGTATAAGGAATACTGTCCCCGTTTCTGTCCCTGCCCATGTCGTGTCCATATCGTGTGCAGTCCAAACTTTGTCTCCCCCTCTTATTATCATGACCGAGGGTACTGTTACTGTGTCCCCCCTCGTCGAGCCTCATGAGCCAGTAAGCAAACCTAACCAGCCTACTTTGTCTGAGCATCACCATGATTCGGCGCCGGCGGCTGTGCCGGTCCCGAACTGTCCACTCCCTGCCAGCTAGGATCCCAGCCCTTATCGGTATCCACGCCGTACTTGGTCTCTCCCTCAACGACCATTTCCTTGACATCGCTCCAATACTCAAGGCGCCTGACTTCCTCGTCGGCTCTCTTGACAGCCTGGTGGAGGTTTTCTTCTCGGCGAGATTGTTTCTCCTTGAGCTCTTCGGGGCTGAGGGGTGGTGATCCAGGCGAGGACATGGCTCCGTCTGTTGGAGGAGTGGCATTGTCCTCGGTGGACTTGCCCTTGTCCTTCTTCTCCTTATCTTGCTTCTCTTCCAGTTCCTTCTCTTTCCGCTCCCGCTCCTCAACAGCCTTGTCATAGACCTCCGTAAGTCTCGCCAACAGCGCCCGTCTCGAAGCCTGGAAAATGAACATGGACATGATATCGTGCATAACGCCCGCCAGTCCTTCCAGGTTATCACCGGCGTGCTCCAAGTAATTATTCACCGCCTCGATCTTCTCGCGATCGATCCTGCACTCCCTCAACACACAAAGCAGCTGCTCGACATCCTCAATATCCTCCACCATCTCATCCTCCTCCTCATCAAGCGCCTCCGAAATACTCCGCATGCTCGCCCGACTGCGCCTTGAGTTCATCTGCGTGCTAGCCCTACTGGGACTGCGGCTCTTGCTGCGTGTCCTGCTCCTGCTCCGGCTCCGGCTCCTCTCCCTGTTCATCTCCGCGGAGGCCCGGACGGTGAAGTACTCCGGGTTCAGCATGGACGGGTCCTGTCCCTCATGCAGAACGTCATGCCCAGCTGCTTTTTTCACACGTTTCCGTATCCATGCCTTCCTTCTTACAAAGGAATTCCACCCTTTGGGCCGGTGCCATGAGAATTTCTTCCAGAACGCAAAGCTGTACTCCCACCCTTCTTCATCGGCGTAGTCCTTCTCGTGGTTGACGCGCCATTCAGCCCACGCCCACTCCCATGACGGATCGGGAACCTGCGCGTTGGTGATGTCCATTGGGGAGGCTGAATGATGCTTGTTGGTCCATGGTGGCGTGTCGAGGGGGCCGAGGGCTTTGGAGGAGAAGAGGGGGATGCCGCAGAGGAAACAGCCGCGTTGGTTTTCGTAGAGGATGTCGATGGCGGATTCGGGGGTGGTTAGGGATTTTCGGCGGGTGCTGCCATTGGTCTCGCGGGAGGCTTTGGAGGCCTTCGAAGCCTTGGAGGGCTTGGACTTGAGAGATGGAAATGATAGTTTGCGTTCGACTTGGTCGGGGTCGGGGGTGGGTTCTGGTTCGGTGGTGTTAGTATCGTCATGGGACCCGACGGTGGATAGAGTTGGACTTACGTTGGACATAGACGGACGGACCATCCGGCGGTGCTGTAGCCTTCACGTCACCGTCTGCGATTTCGACGCGATGTGGAGTAGCATCTCCGTCCTCTATTCCGGATCGGGAGTCGGTAGAGACGGAGAGCCGTTTCTGTCGGCGGGAACCGGAAGGCTCTGCTTCTCCATTTGTGTTTGTGTGCGCAAGAGATTCTCTGGAACTAGCTGGCGAAACGTCTTCCTTGTTTACCAAGGTGATTTCATGGTCGAAGTCGCTGTCCTTTGGCGGAGCTACGCGACGAGATGAACGACGGTGACAACGACGGATTTTGGGCATGGCTACTCGGTCACAACAGCCGAGCTGTATGTAACAATATGGATGAGGACAAAGACATCAAAGTACTATGGCGTAGGGGTCGGAGCCAACGCCGTGGAGACGCGCTCTCTGGGGTCAAACGTCGTGTGTTTCTTCTTCTACCTACTGCTCATAGACACGGACATCCGGATTGGAGGGTTCGAGAGTGGACGGCAGCAGGCAAGCAGGCAGGCAGGGCGTTTGGCTTGCAGACGGGAGTGATGCAGGTTTGGATGCTCGACTGGGACGCCGACTGGAACTGTGAGGAACGATACATGTTCCAAGGTCAGCGCTGGGCTGGACTCCCGTCTGGAGGCTGGTACCAAGAGTCTCTATAGCAGGCGCAACTGTAGGGCCCTGTAACTTTTGGGTTCATGTGCTCAATCAGGCGCGTCCACCCAATGATGTAATTCGTCTAGGCAGGTGTCCACACTGGCTCCAGTTGAGCTTCAGGGCTTACCTTAACCAAACAAGTGGGTCCAGATCTAGTCTTGGCATCCACGCGTTTCCCCACTCTATCAAAGGCCCCGCTCAGGGCCAGAGCGACCTACGTCATGAATTCATGATTGAATGGCAGATGGACGGAAGGCACACAGCAGCGTTGACAAGCACGCAGGCAAGAAGCAGCTCCAACCTGGAATTGGAGAATTACGGGACGGGAAGTGGAAAGATGAAGGGATGACATATGCATTCTGCGCATTAGAAGGAGTATATAATATCGTCCGTCGTCTACCTTAGCCAGACCACTTACATCAACAACACAATAACCAACAATAACACAAACAACCACTCTCGCGATAATCGCAACCACGCAATAACAACACCAACAAACACTTCACCTTTAACAACACCACCACAACATCCAAAATGCCTCCTAAGTCTCGCGTTCTCCCCATGCTCGGCGCCGGCGTTGTCGGTATCGGCGGTTACTACATCTATAAGGCCGGCGGGAAACCTTCTGCTGCTGAGAAGAAGTTTGAGGGTATGTACACCATCTTTAAATTATGATCCTTTTCTTCGGCACGCGATACTAACAAACCCCCCAACAGCCGACATGCACCGCGGCGCCGCCAAGATCAAGTCCGAGATGCCTCGCTCTTCGCAGACCGACGCCCGCCAGGAAGGCGCCCAGTACGGCAAGGAGATTGGCAGCAAGATTGATGAGGCTGTAAGTTTACATTCTCTCCCCTCTTCCTCTCCCTTCCATTTCTAGATCTAAAGATTTTCCCATTTTGCTCCCCTTCCCGCCGGCCACCATCACTACCAACCACATCATCGCAAAGTTGGATACTGGCTGGATACTAACAGAAACGCGCAAAACAACAGGTCTCCCAAGCAGACAAGACCTACTCATCAACCAAGTCCCAAGCCGAGGCGCTCGCCAAGGACACCAAGGCCGAAGCGCTCAAGAAGATCGACCAGTTCGATCGCACCGTGGAGCAGAAGGCTGCCGAGGCCAAGTCTTGGTTTGGTAGCGGTAACTCCAAGTAAACAACCAACTATGAGAAAAGATGGAAAGCAACAACATGACAACACAATCCAGCATTGTCGGCGGAACAAAAGGCGTTTTGATCATAATGATGAAGGGTTAATGATATCATGAATGAGTTGGGGGTTAAGGTTTACTTACTACGCTATGCATCAATGGATGCAATGCATTGACAACACCATGGATATGGTGTGTTTTTCCTCTGGGTTTTCTAGGACTTATTAGGACATTTGGAGGGCTTTATGACAAGAAGTTAATTCGAATAATGCGAACCATCAAACAAAGACACCGATGCTGATCATGATTGACCGTGGCTGTGACTGATTCAATTCAACTTTTGCGCTGCTCTATTCATCCATACCTGATGACCCAGCGTTGATCAACCCTCAACCCTCAACACCATATTACCATCACAAAGTAAACAACCCCCTATCTCCCTCCACCTCAAGACAAAGTCTCCGCCACCAACTTCAACACCTCCTCCGTCTTCCTCCCCGCATTCCTCGGATCCTTCGCCACCCTCGTCCACTCCTCACCATGCCTCGGATCATTGAGAACACACTTGGCCACCAAATCCGCCCTCTTCTCCTCGGTCCCATGCTGCACCAAAAACTTGTAATACCACGCCCACGTATCGCCCACATCTCTGTCCAACAACAGCGCCTTCTCGAACCAGTTCTGCGCCCGATCCAGTTTTCTCTCCGCCCACAAGATCCTCGCCGCCGTAACCAACAAGATCGGGTCGTCTTCCACTTTCTTGACGGCTTCTGCGAGCAAGGATTTCCGCTGCGTGCGCGGCTCTAGATTCAAAATCCTTTCCGCCCACAGCAGTCCTGACTTGGGCATCTGCTGGAGTGCTTGCGCCATGAGCGACTTGGCTTGGTTGAGGTTGCCCGCGCGCCGCTCGACGCGGATGAGTTCCGTCCAGAGCTCGGGGGACTTGGGGACGGCTTGGCGGGCGCGGTCGAGGACCGAGCGCGCCTTGACCACGTTGCCGGCCTTTTCTTCTAGACGCGAGTACAGCAGCCAGAGCGGGATGGACGAGGGGACGGCGCGGACGCCGGTGCTGTAGGCTTCCCGCGCAGGGCCAAGTTGGGCGAGGTCCTCGTAGATTTGGCCCTTCATCATCCAGAGTTTGGGCTTGGAAGGGAAGAGTTGTAAGGCCTGTTGGACCAGGTCCAAAGCAGCCTCGTTGTCGCCTTGTTGGCGCTCAAACGCCACGGAGCGCATCCACACGCGGTCGGTGGGCGCGTTCTGGCGCGCGGTTTTGAGGAGTTCCCTCGCCTTGTCGATGAACCCGTTGTCGGCTTCCAGCTTGACGGCCGCCAGCCAGATGTCCTCGCTGTCCGGGTTCTGCTTGAAGGCGCGGGCCAGGACGAGGCGGGCCTCGTCGACGCCCGCCTCGGCGGCTTTCTCGCGCGCGAGCATGAGCCAGAAGACTTCGTAGTGCGGGCAGGCCTCGACGGCTTTCTCCAGGGCGTGCCAGAGATCTTCCTTGCTGCCATGGTTGCGCTCCAGATCGATGGCGGCCGTGTAGAGGGATTTCGAGTTGGGGAAGACGCGGATGGCGTAGGCGTAGATGGCGCGCGCCGTGGCGAACTTGTCCCGGTTGATGGAGGCGCGTGCGTCTTCCATCCAGAGCTCCTTGCGGTCGTCGTCCTCGTCCAGACCCCAGCCGAGCGTTTCTTCGATGATGTTGCTGCAGGTGATGACGGCGCCTTCTTCTTCGCACTTTTCCGCTTCGGCGATCCATTCCTCGCGCTTGGGCATGGCGTTTTGCTTGGCGAGGAACTTGACGGCGTTCTTCATCACTGGACGTCTCTTGCCTTCGCCTAGTTGTTCCTCCAAGCGGGCGGCGGCGATCCAGAGTTCGTGCGAGTTGGGAACCTTCTTGACGGCCTTGTTGAGAACCTTGCGGGCGTTTTCGGGGGTCTCGAGACGGGCCAGTGCCAGCCAGAGGTCGAGGGACTCAGGGATGAGCTCCGTCGCCTTGGCCAGTAGAATCCGGGCGTCTTCAACGTCCTCCTCCAGGTTGACAGCCTCCTTCCATAGTGCTTCGGACTCTTGGTTGTGATCGAGAGCTCTCCGAATAACCTTCTTCTTCGACCTTGGATCGTTTTCGAGCTTCATCGCTTCCACCCAAAGTTTGACCGAGTGTGGGTTGGCTTGAATAGCCTGTGCCGCAATGACCTTGGCGTTCCGGTTGTCGTTCAAATGAATGTTTTCGAGCCAGATATCCTCGCTCTTGGGGCAGTGTTCGCAGCCCTTTGCGATCAAGCTGCGGGCAGCACCAGGCTTTCCAGCCGCAATCTCCAATCTAGCCGCGGCAATCCAACTGGCTGCCTGTTTCGGGTTCGAGTCGACGGCCGACTTGAGCATTTTCCTGAACTGCTCGATGTCGCCAATACTCTGTTCCGCACCCTGCATACTCGACAAGGATGTCAAGTAGCCCTTGGGGTCAATACTCGTCGCGCTTCCCGCCGTTGCCACGGTACTCGACTGTGATTGCTGTTCCAAACGCGCCCTCAACACCTTGTCGCGGGCCGCGCCGATCTTGGCAAAATCTGTGACTGTGCCATCCTTGTTGACCCCCTCGGTAGCGGTGCCGTCTTCTGCAACGGTGGTTCCGAACTGGCCGGAATCTCTCGCGGCAGCGAGGACACTGTCAGGAACGGCATAGAAGCGCTCCATGCGCGCCTGGCGTGCCCTCTTGGTCCTGCCGGTAAGGTCCTTGGGATCTGGTAGGTTTGCCCATTCTTCGTCGGTGACCGTCTCGAGCGCTCGTTTAAGGCCGGCGAATTGCTGTTGGATCTTTGGGTTCTTTCGTTCGTATTCTAATCGTTCGGCTTCTTCTCGTGCTTCCCTGTGAAAATGCGATTTCTGGTCGGTACTTTGCTTTTCATCTATCTTGACCGATAAACCACATGCTTGTTTGACTGGGAGGGTGTGTTGGGGGAGGGGAGGGGCGGCTTGTGAATGGATGTAGATGTCAAGTGATGTATAGGAAGTGATAACTAACCTTTGCTTCTGTCGCCGCTTTGCCATCCTGTCGTCTACCTCTTTCCATATCTGATCTGCCTCCTCATCGTCCTTTTCGTATATGCCACCGGCAAACAAACCGACCTCGTTGTCGGGATCCTGATACCGGCCATCGTCGTCGTTGTCGTCGTCCTTGGCCTCGGTCAGGCCTAGCTGTGCAGATCTCTTCGCAACGGCCGCCTTGATCTGGTCTTCGCTAGGACCCTCGCGCGCGGGACCAAGATCGGATCGTGTCGTGAAACCCGTGGCACCACGACCGAGACCGGCGACGTAGTTCTCAGGCGCAGGCTGGCTAAGGAAATCCCGTCTAGACATGGCGACGGTTATTCAAGAGAATGTGGTTGTAAATGTATTGTAGACACGCGGTGCCTGGGGTTGTGACCGTGGTGGCCGTAGAGGTAGCTCCAAACATTTAAGTTGGCGGCAAAATACCGGCAGGCTGCAAGTACGAATGGCCCCCGGTCCAGGCACTCTTGGCGCTTGAAGGCACAGTGCTAATTAGCGAGTCTATGACTCGGTCCACTTTTTGTCGCTTACTAGTACACTGTCAGTTTATTTACTTCCTCCTTTCAATCAACTCCTTCCCTTCCTCTGACCATCACCAGCCAGCGGAGTCATGCCCCTGGTGATTATCGAAGACTGTTAACAACCATGATATGTCAATGCTCCTGCCGTCTTTAACTGAAATGGCCTTGCTTGAGGCGTAAAATGGGACGAGTTCGTGGTACAAGTTTTCTCGCAGTCCCCGCCCGGTTGCTCATCTGTTCTTCGTGTTGCGACATCACCCTCCCATTTTCATTCTTCTTGTACATCTACAACTGTTATGTCTTGCCCTGTTCTAACCTCCACGCTCAGGTTAACGGCAGCGACCGCATCATGCGAGGCGGATAGTCTTTATCAGCCAGAGTCCCACAACACAGATCTTCATGTTCACAAAAGCATGTTGTACAACGACTCACGATGGCTGAGCCTAGACCTTTCCGGCCTTGCAATGAATTCAGGCTGGGGTTTTGTCAGTTGCCGTCCGTCTAGCTTCGGTCTGATAGGACGTTCCTGATCAAATACATAGCGGGATCCGAGTTCGCACAACCGTTCGTAAACAAAGCACTTTCCGATATGCATACAATGTCTCGTGGTGGCTCAAGAAAAGCTACTCGAGCACCGCCCACTTGAATCACGTTCAATGTTCAGAGTCAACGCCCTCCCATTGATTGTTCCAAACCCATAAGTATGGGCATCAAGCTTGCTTCTTCGCTCTTCACAACCACTCACATGTTCGTTCCATACCTCGCTGTTCATCGAATAGAGTTTAGTCATGGAGTCACTGATCAAGAACCCCATGTTTCCTTACAACAAACACTCATCGAAGGACTCTGCGGGCAAAATCCCTTGGAAACCAGGCGGCCTCAGACGTTTCCCCTGGTTTGGGATTATCCCACTGGTCTTTTGTATATGTTGTGAGTACTCGTTCTTACGTCTCTTTTGACACTGCGACTGTAGCCAGATGATGACATTGCTAATTGCAAGAACTAGGCACAGGAATTGCTATAGGAGTCGTTCTCGAGAGTGATGGTGGTCTGGAAAAGGACTGGTCCGGGCTCAAACAACCCGGTGTTCTTTTGGCCTACACGTCAACTCTTGCAAATGCGTTGATGGGGCTTGCCTTTGCCCAAGCAGCCGTGATATTCTTCTGGGTACAAGCAACAACGCCGGTACCAGTTGAGTTCCACCATTTCTCGGTCATCGGTATGATATCAACTGACACAACATGCCTGGCAGATTAGCAGCCTCCATCATAACTGGGCTGGGTCTTCAAGCACCATGGGCGCAATCAAGTCTATTTTCCAGGGAAAGGCGATTCGCGTCAGTTCAGGTTAGCATTCCATTACTTCCCTGCCCCGGTCATGACCACATCCACAATATCTATGGCATCATGACTGACATTTATATAGTGTCTATCCTCGTCACAATCACGGCTCTACTTCGCGGCCCTCTGATACAACGATCATCATCCGTCCAGGTCATCAACGTATCGCAGAACGGCACGATTGATCTTCCGATTACTGTCAACATCAGCAACTTTTGGGCCGGAAAGATGAGCACTTTAGATGACTCTGATGATGGGCAGTTCTCGCCCGGATTTTCAGATGTGATTCGGGACTTCTTAGACAAAGCACCCCTGCGAATTCCAGGAGCACGGTGCGAGAATTGCACCTTGACCATTAAGGTGAGATGTACTTTCTGGATGATATTTTTTTTCAACGGGCTTTCCGTCTTGAGTTCATCTTTTCCTTGCCCATAACTAACTGAGCTCGACGTTTTAGGCTTTCGGCTTCGATGTTATTAACTGCACTGAAATCAGTCCCAACACGGATAAGTATGACCTTGATCCTAAACATCTTCCCAAAAAGCACCAAGAAGGGACGCCTTATGGTAAAATACCGATGTTCCAGTCATCGGTGACTCCAACCATCAACTACAACCTCTCGGAAGACGATTTATGGTCGGTTAGGTGGATGTTCCAGGTTACCACAAGGCGGAAAGCTAATACTGGGTGCACCGGTGCTTACCTCAACCATACATGTTTTCTTAACCCTTCAGCAATGCTGTATGACTTAAGTCTCCAGGGAGAAATTGCGACCTTGCAGTCAAAAAGTTGGAAAAATGACTCTTTTGTAGAGCCCCTGTAAGTCACTACCACTAGCTTTGAGCCCTCCTTCCCCAATCCAAATTCTCAGGCTAACCAAAATTGACATTTCGAAGTGTTATGATAAATCAGGTTTTTATTAATTATCAGGATGTAAAGGCGGGAAATAACTGGCTGCCACTTTCGCAAGTCGGAACTTCACTGTTCAACTCAACTTCATGGCTGAAGTATTACGATCGCGAGTCGTACAGAACATACAATGAAGGACTTATCGCCAACCTATACGCAGCGAACTGGAGTAGCACTGACTACAACGAACCTTGTTATCAATACTTCAACGATCCGATGGATTATATCATCAACAGTTACCGTGAAATAGCCTTTCGAATGTCTATTCGTTCCGCTGCCGATCCTATCTACGATCTGACGGGCGAAATAACCGGCGAACTTGGCAAACAGCTACCCCCCATTATGCAGAAAGGAGTTCCCTACACTCGCCATGCCACCCAAGTACATTACGTTGCAAACATACCAGCCCTCATCCTCGCAGTCATAGTCAGTCTTGCCGGACCACTCGCCACGCTTCTGCTTTTTGGGGGTTGGTGGCGGCTGGGCCGAGACTTTACGATGAGTCCTTTGGAGATCGCAAACGCCGTTCTCCAAAGCGGGAGGTCCAAATCCGAATCATCGGGGGACGACCGCCCAACGAGCATTGATGGATCAGCCGGCGACGATACAAGTATCCAGGATGAAGCACCCGCCGCAAGGACACAGATGAGTTACAACAGCATCAGAAACGGCGATGAACCTCAGCTACAAGGACAATCACTGGCCCATGTCTTCGCCGGTTGCAGCGGCAACGCTTCAGCTGACGAACTAGCCAAGCATTTCCGCCACCGCGGCCGAACGAAGAACCCCAATGATGGGGATGAGGAAGAGGAGCCGAAGGTTCAGTACGGCGTGGTAGAAAGCCAAACGGGGGATTGTCTTGCTTTTACTGTGGTAACTGGCTCACAGGGGGCTGCTGTTCGTCGGCCTTGGAAAGGCGAGACGTTGTAGCACACACATCAGCACCCCAAAACATCACATCCTATTTCAACTTGTCCTTGGATTATAAACAGAGCTTGGAAAGATAGTAAGCACGTACGACCATACCCACTGGAAAACTCGGGATCCCGTCCGCTCTCCCATAGATAAGCCAGTGAGGGCCAGACTAGTAGTTGGGTCGGTGACGACCAGCGAATCCCTGGTGTTGTATGTTCTTTTTTTCTCTTCCTCCATTTCTTTTTGGCTCTGCTTTCCTTCTTATCCAGATCACCACATCTTGGAACTGGCTGGAGCGAAAGGATATGATGGGTGTCACTCAGTGTTATTTATTGTTGTTATCAACGCACAGTGTCTACCTACCTATCCCTCCCCCGGTCCCCCAGACCACTTATTTTCAAGCTTAACAACGGTATACCCATCCATTCCCGCACCCAGCGGGCATTCTCAATACCACCCGTCGTGTCTCCCTCCCAAGTGCAATAATCCATTATCTGGCCTCCGGTTTGTGCGAGCGACGTGTTCACTATATTTTTCAGAGATCAATCACAATTAGCAAAGCTCTTGCGAAAAAGCCACCAGACGAAGACAGATAAAGAAATAACAGAAAAAAACAAAAAAAAAAACTCACGCCCAAAATCCTCTCCGCCTCCGCCGCGCCGTATCAGCCAACGTCCCACTCAACCTCGCCGCCCGAGCCGCTCATCCACAGCGTCGTCGTCCCCCCCCACTAGGTAGTAATCGTGTAGTACTTCTCGCCTTGAGCCTTGAGCAGCCATCTCGTTGATCACGTTGATGGCGTCGCCCATTGCACGTTGACGCGCGAGACTGCGCTGCTCCATGGGTCACCGGCGCGTTTGGAGATCTTTTCTTCTTCGGTGGAAGAAGTTTCGGTGGAAGAAGTAGAGGTAGAGTTGATGGAAGCGTAATAGGTATGCTTCTAGGACCTCTTCGGGGGTTAGGGAGGGCTATGGCGGAGGGGTTGAGGAGGTCTTCTACCCACGGCATTCGGAGAAGGTGAAGGGTTTGGTTTCGGAGGAGGAAGAGGGGGAGGAGGAGGGGAAGGAGGAGGAGGAAGGGGAGTCGGTTGAGGGGGTTGAAGTGGTCGAGACGGTGGTGGGAGCGGCGAGGGAAAGGGCGGTGAGGGCGAGGGCGAGGGACTTTGTGGTGACCATTTTGAAGGATGTTGTTCTTTTTGAATGTCGAGGGAGTTTGGAAGAGGAGGATGGAGGATGGAGGATGGAGGATAGGGGATGGATGAGTGACAGACAGACAAATGATGGAAACTGAGAGCGTAAGAAACTATGGTTTATAGATCCCTTCCGAATATACTTGTACAAGAACTAGTTTACACTACCTACTACGCTTTCCTCATCACACACACATACACAAATCTCATCCCTCAGCTCAGCTAGACCAGCTCTCTACAGATCTGCTAGATCCTCCCACTTCACCCTCTTCTCCGACGACGACGGTAATGGTGGTTCAACACCGGCTTCTTTTGTCTTTCTCTCTTTCGATGATTTTGTGGGTGTCTTCGTTGACGGTGGTGATGATGTCGTTGGTGGTGTGGAAAGTGTTGGCGGTATCGTTGGTGAGGTCTTCTGCGCTTCTGCCACTGGTGCTGGTGCTGGTGGTGTCTTGGGCTTGCTTGGTGTCGCTTTCCTTTCACCCCTCTTATGAGCTTCTTCTTGTGGTGACCCCCCAGCCTCGACCTCAACCTCAACCTCAGCCTCAGCCTCAACCGTGGCAGCCGCAGCCGCGGTCGCGGCCGCGGGTTGTTGCTTTTGTTCCCTTGTAACAACAACCTTCTTCGACTTTGGAGGAGAACTAGGCTTGGGCTTAGCCGCCGCCGCCGCCGAGGCCGCCTCGTCAACACTGGCGTTCTTAGCAGCAGCAGCAGCCTCACCATCACCACCACCACCGCCAGACCACTGATCCACAGCCTGCCTCCTCATCGCCGTGCCAAACGCCATCGCCTCTTGCACCTCTCCATCTCCATCCCGATCACCTTCTTTAACTCCAACCTTCTCAACCCCCCTCTTCATCGCCTCCCTCTCCCTCATAAACAACCTGCGCACCTCGGCAAACGCCGGTTTGGTTCTTGACTGTGTCGGGATTTCGATCGGCTTCATTAGCTCTTCAACGTCAAGCCTGTCGAGCCCGTCTTCCCTGAGGGCCAAGTGAAGCTCGCGATCGCGCTCGAGGGCTTGCTGGAGGAGGGAACCGATGGGTGCGGAGGGTTCGAGGTGGAGGAATTGGGAGGTGAAGGACCAGGATTGGAAGGAGCCGTAGATGTTGCCCCATGTTATTGGTTCTGTTTGTTCGGAGGAGTGGGACTGGAGGATGTTGTGATTGGGGTTGGGTTGGGATGGGTTGGAAGAAGTGGGTGATGATGATGATGATGGGGGTGTTGTTGGGCTGGAGGAGTCCACGAGGGATTGAGATTGGAACCAATCCCCCAACGCGGTCGGTATTCCTTCATTATCCTCCTCTTCCTGTTCGGCCATCTCTTCCACCCCCCGCTGGTGTTCCTGCTCTCCCTTAGCAATACCAGCAATAACCTTCCCAAACACCTCCTCACCACCATTCGCCTGAATAAACTCGCCTATCAAGAGCTGTCTCAAAAACTGCACCCTCTCCTCATCCCCTAGTTTGAGTCTCCTCACCAACTTCTCCTTCTTTAGTTCCGTCTCGTCCATCGCCAACAGGTTAGTCCCCCTCCGCCGCATCTCGGAGGTTGTAGCGTTCACCAGGTGGGCATACCGCCAGATCGTGCTGAGCACATGCGGCTTCTTTTGCCAATTAGCCAGGTCGAAGAGGATGTCGCAGGCCATCTTATCCAGCTTCAGCGGCGTTTTCGTGTTGTTGTCGGCATTGTGACCCTCAAACAGCTGGATGAACTCGACTGCCAAATCCAGTTTCCTCTGCGCCTTGCAGTGCGTGAGAATGGTATTGACAGTGACTTGATCCGGGTACGCAACCAGCTCGCCGGTGAAGATTAGATCGAGCAACTGCCGGATCTCGGCGAACTTGGAGTAGGAACCAAACACGTGGATGATCTTGTTGATTGCGTCGATGGAGACCCATTTCCTTTCGCGGCCGTAGAGTTCGTCCTGCTTTGCCAAGAAGGTCGGCACGTCCCAGCGCAACTGAACGGCGCGGTACGCATCGTGGGGCGCCATCTCGTTGGCGATCATGCGCAGCGCTCCGTGGGCGTTGAACAGGCCCCTGTCGTTCATGGCTTGCAAGACGTAGCGCTTGACTTCTTCTGCTTCGAACATGCGCAGGAACAGAATCCAGGTGCGCAGGTTAGGCTGGTACCCGCGCGTGACCATCAGGTACAGGACCTGGCTAAACCGATACAGCGAGCGGGTCTTGACGGCCGCTTCGGCGAGGATGTTGAACACTTCGACGTCCAATTGCATGCGCCGCCCGCTTTGTGCGTAGTTGAAGAGGGAAAGCAGCTCGGGCCGCCAGGTCTCGCCGCCGCGGGTCATGTAGTGCAGGGCCATCTTGAAGGCGGCGTTGGAGACGAACTGGGCGGCGACTTCGTCGTTGAAGACGGCGACAAGCTGTTCGATGACGGCCAGTTCGTGCCGGCCGTGTTCGGGGTAGAGCTTGGAGGCCAGGCTGGGGGGCATGCGGGATTTGATCAGGACGTCGACGTATTCCTCAAAGGTCTTGCGGGTCCATTCTTCCGGCTTGGGAAACTCGTCGGCGCGGATGTTCACGTTGTAAGGCGCTAGCGGAGAGGGTGTGCGGCGGGCGTAAACGTATACGCTGGGCGCGGGGAGGGAGAGGTCTTGGCCGGCTACTTTGCCGTCCCATAGCACCTCTTCCGTGTCCTGGGTCCTGGAAATGACGGTGACCCTCCTCGTCACACTCAGAATCTCGTCGATGGCGGTGTTCACCGAGCGGTGGTAACCCTTGAGAATCAAATACGGGTCGTGGTCCTCAGTCCCTTCCTCGTAACCGGCGTCCCCATACCTGTATAGTACCATCCTGCAGCCGGTTCGAGACTTGATATCCCACACACTCCACTCGCTGTCGGACAAGAGCCGGGGCGCGGTCTCGCGGGGCATGATCACCTTGACGGTGTCGGCAAACTGCTCGGGGAGGCACATGGGCGTCCATTGATAGAGCTTTCGGAGAGTGGCGCGCCAATCTGACAGGTCGGTAGGTACCCTAGTTCCCAACACCTTCTTTTGACGGGCGTTGTCCTTCCTGTGACTCCTCACGCTCCCTCGTGTCTCGTACTGGTCGGGATATTCGGTGACGGGTCTGACGAAGACGGATTCGAGCGCAGGATGGGCGCGGACCGGAACTTTAGCTAGACGGTTGACCAGACCGGGGCCTTTATCTCGGACGTTCCGGGCTCGTGTTTGAGCTTGTTCTTGAGCTTCTCGGGGTGGTGGTGGTGGTGGTGGTGGTGATGCTCGTGATGGGTCTGTTGGTGTTTTGTATTCGCCAGAGTCGTGTACCTCAGTAGTAGTATGCTGCACATCGTTGGCCTCGAGCTCGTCGTGACTGTGTATGTCCTCAGACTGAGACTGGTCGGAAAGCGGCAGCCGGCTGTGGAGGGCGCGAAGAGTAGATCTGCTGGTGGGAGCTGCTCTAGTTAGTGCTGGGGCACACTCCCTGGGAATCAGGGAGAGCCCGCGAGCGCCATTGGAATTCGACAAGGCTCTCCATAGCTGTTTGACTCCCAGGGACATTGGCTATAACACGGGCATTTCCGTACGGCGCTTTCCTCGCAGCCGCCGTGTTGAATCGTGGTCGGAGTCGTTGTCGCGTTGCGCTGGTTCGGGTACTTCTTCGCCTGGCTTCTGCTGCTGTGTGCTTGTCGCGGAATTTCGGTGATCGTCGTCAGGTGTTATGGCCGTATTATCGATAGTTGTCTCGATTGCCCTAAAGCTCTGTATACTCGAAAAAGGACTGTGGACAAGATGCGCGCCAAACTAGAGTCACTGGAAATCCCAAAGTGTTGAGAGGTATCGGCGGGCACGGGCCACTCTGATGTTTCTCAAGCGGGGATGCTGTTCAAAAATTTGGCTCAATTCCGTCCATCCATCGGGCCCGGTCCCGTTTCCCCACTTTCTCCCGCGGACTTGCAACGGCATGGGCTCGGCCTTCGGTGGATTCGTCCGGACGTCACGGCGGGTGCGACTACAGTACCACTTACTGTGCACCTCCCTCCATCACTGCACCAGTCAACAAACCCCCTTTTTCATTGAATATTCATAGTGATACTTAATATAGGTATAGTAACCAAAAAAAAAAAAAAACATAACATGCTTCGCTCTCGCACGCTGGCTGGCTTTTCAGTACCTACTAAATTAGATATTGCCTCCTCACGGACCCCATCGCATCACCAGATTATCCCGAAAAGATATCCAGCACCCCAGTCCACTGCCCACCACCCTTCGCCCTCTCCTCCCAATACCCCTCCTTTCCGCCCTTCAACTTCCACACCTCCTCACCGTCCTGGCCCGTAGCCACCTTGACGAACCACTTCGGCTTATATTCCTCTCCTCCCTCCTCCATCTCCTTCCTCCGCACTCTCTGCGCCTCCTCCAACTTGACTTTCCACTCTTCCGCGGAATCCAAATCTCCTTGCTCGTGGAACCGCTGGTCGGGACGCAACCTGCTGTCCGTAGGCGGCAGTTTGCCCTTCTCCAAAGGAGTGATCTCGTTGAGCGACGCAGCGAAGGTCGTAAGACCGTAGGTATTCGCCGCGTTGGGAACTAGACTGCCTGCCTTCCAGATCTCCTTGCCTCCGGGAACCGTCTTCAAGCTGCTCGTCCAAGTGCCTGTGAGCGCCTGGCCGGTGTTGGACCCATCTGGACCGAACGTCTCAACGTGAACTTCCTCGCCTCTGCCACCGAACATGCCCTTAGCCGAGCGGAACTCGACGACAGCCTTGGCGCCCGAAGTCTCGTTGTTGACGTTCATGCTGCCGACGGGCTCGACGTACTTCTCACCGTAGACGACGTTGCGGAGGAAGACGGTGGCGATGTGCCAGCTGTAGAGCTCGTCGGTGCCGTCGGGGAGGTGCAGGCTGACACGCACGCGGCCTTCAGTGGTGATTTCGGCACTCTTACCCCAAAACTTCTGCGAAGGAGCTGGGGATTGGGAGAAAGACCACAGAGCACTGTCGGCTTGCACCGCGAGGCGTACGGGGCGGTGCGATACCTTTTCAACGAGCACTCTAAACCCACCGGGCACTTCGTTCTCGGAGCGCACCAATTCGTAGGTCTCACCCAACAGAGGGTTGAAGGGCTTGCGCGTAGCACGCTCCTTGGCACGACTGTTGCTGAACTGGGAGACAGCAAAGGCCGTAACATACAGAAGACGCTCTTTCGCGTCAGTCTTCTTGGCAGCCTCCGTGAGAAGCTGGCCGTACTCAAGCTGTTCCGCCATACGCTGGCACAGTGACAAAGGCTCGTTTGAAGAAACAGGCATACTGATCGTACTAAGATCTTTACCCACGTTCTTGCGGACGAACGCGATGAGACTGGGAGGGGGCACCGTTGCAGCAGGAATCGTTGTGCGTCTGGTAACCGTGTCTGTGATAGGCAGTGGCGCCAGAGACTTCGGCTTGACGGGAAACAGACTGTCATGGTTCTCCGTTCCGACGCCTTCAAACTCCTCCTCTTCCTCGACAGAAGAAACTGATGAAGAGTCGTGGATATCGACCTCCTCCGCATCTGAGCCGGGTGTGTCCTCTTCGCTCTGACGAATAATCATAACCTGGTTCTGTCCCGCGCCGCCCGTCTCACCAGCCTCAGCATCAAAGAACTCATCGATAGTAGACGTCGTAGACTCGTAACTCTTTCTAGAAGCCGCAGGTATCATGTTAGGGGGCAGCATCTGCGAAGGGAGCCTTCGGCGCTTATTCTTAGACAGCAACTGCGAAAACTCGACCACAACAGAATCCAAATCGCTCAAGAGAGCCGCACAGTTATCGTAGGTGTTCCGCTCCTCATTAACGGCCGTCGCACTGGTTGGCGATGGCACCGCCAGAGCAGCTCCAGTCGTTGCCTGAACGCCTGGTTGCGCGCCCGGCGAAGCATTGCTGGTCTTGCGCTTCCAGAACGGCCTGCGCGTGTCTGTCGAAGGGGTGAAGTAGGTCTCAGAGTCCTCCGCGATCGCTGGCGTATTAGGTGAGAGCAACGAGGCCTGACTAACACCAGGCGCCTGCTTCTCGGCAGCCATATCCTTAACTAGCCGTCTGAGAGCATCTCTTGTTCCTGCAATCCTGCTAACCAAGGACTCGACTTGCGCCCATTCTCTTTCATCCTCTTGCTGTGCGCTGGGTACGCTCGTGGAGGGTCGCGAAGCCGGTCTGTCAACACCGAGGGATGCGCCGTTGTTAAGTGTCTCCAGACCGCGAGCAATGCGACTGGCCTTTTCCAAAGCCTTGGCCCAGTCGTTGAAGTCCTTCGGACCAGACGCCTTCAAGTGCCAAATCTCGGCGCCAGAATCGATAGTAATCTCGCGCCGTCTCTCATCAGCGGCAATGGCGGCCAAGCTCAAGGGAATAGCTCCTCTCAGGGCAGACGAGTTGCGGTTGTGATAGTAGGATAGTGTGCAAGTCGTAAAGTCGAGAGAGAAGAAGCGGCGGGCAAAACCTTGGCCCTTCTTGCGACGTCTCTTGAGAAGCACACCGACGTGGTAAGTTGCGCCCGGTACAAATCCGCCCTCGCTCCTCGCGTTTGAGACAGCACGGCTACGACCACCGGCGACATGACTGGTCAGACTATCGACCGAGTCGGAGTTGGTGGCGCCAAGTCGGGGGGTAGCACCTGTTCCCAAGCTCGTTCTGCTGGCGTTTGAGCCGGACCCAGCTTGTACGGTAGGCAGATGGTGGGCAGTCTGAGGCGGGGCTCCGGTAGGGTATGTAAGGAGGACGAAGGTGGCCGTCTTGGACGTCTGCTTGGAGAAGGTGTTGTCGAGGACGAGGCCGTACATGCCAGCACTGGTGACGTCGTATGTGCCCACTGTAACCTTGTCGGCCTCGCATTTGCCGTGCCACTTGATGGGTATAAAGCCTTTTTTGGCAAGCTGATCTTGCGCTGTGCTGGCATCTCTCCTGAACAGGCCTGATTTCGCATCGGAGACGGCGGTCTCGGTGGGTGGCTGTTCGGGCGTGGCAGTGGCCTCGAAGGTCTGGGAGCCGGCAGTTGTACCGCCAGTTCCTGGGTGCTTAACGATGGCGAAGTTTCTGTAGTCGAGTTGGTTGCAAGGTCAGCGAATGTTTGAAGCTGGGGCGAGTCGGTGAGGAGAGACGAGGCGGGGAGGTTATGGGATTTGTAGGTATTCGTACATGGACTTCTTGTGTGGTTGAACACTCCATGATATCGTGTGGCCTTCCTCAACCTTGACCCATCGCACAATGTAGGACTAAAGGGGTGAAGAGCGGTTCGTCGGTCAGCAACTGCCGTTCGTGAAGTTTATGGAAGCTTAGCTCGGACATGGTTAGGGAGCGTACCTTGCTGTGAATCTCGAGCTGCTCGATGCCCGCCATGGTTGTAGACTATGATCAGGAGCTTAAGTGTCGTACTATATATGACGGATGCAGGGAAGGATATAGCTCGGACGAATCGACAATGCGACAGTGAGGGTGAATATGGATGGATGCGGGAATCGAGGTCTGATCGTGGTGCCTGTAGAGTGTAGGTAGTCGGAGGTGGGCTGCTTGTAGCCTCCCTGTCCGCCTCTTCAGCAGCTACTCTGAGAGTCGGAGACGAAGGTTCCTTGATCAATGGATGGGTTGGTGATGGAAGCTACCCATTAGCCAAAGCTCCAATGCTGTGGTATGAGACTAGGTTTAGGGGTCTTGTCGATGTTGTGGAATCGAAAGGAGGGAAAAGGTGGTGAACGCGGGAGGTTGGGAAACACAGCACGTCCACGCTCCAGCTGTTCGGGGATGTCAGTGGCAGTCAGTGGCACCCTCCACAGATGGAACCCGTGGACGCTTCTTCGGGCACTTGGAAAGACGGGACGGTACCTTGGAGCGGAGCCTTGGAATTACCGCATGGAGAACCACTAATTAATTCCCGGTTAGCACAGCAGGCACCGTCAACCCACCGTAGCACTCAGTGGCCAGCCGACGGGACAGGGGCGTTCCCGTCTATTGTGTTCAGACCGCCTTCGTCAGGGGGAAACAAAACAAACCGAAAGTCCCCGCCCAGAACATCCAATCCCGACCGCAGCTCCCGTCCCGACCGATATTCGCGGACAGCGGGCAATTCATCAACCGCCGTGCCCGCCGTACATGAATTCTTCAATCTTTGCTCACATCCCTTCTCTCCTTACGTAGCTATGTATCACTTTGTAGATATATGCCTGTAATACCCCGATCCGATCCGACCCGCGTTTCCATCTCACACCGAGAGACATGGCATGGCATGGCATGGCATGGCATCAGGCATGGTCACCCCGACGACGGGACCTGCCATGCTAATGCCTGGAGGTTGCCTAGCGCTCAGCCTTATACAGCCAAGCTTACAGGATCCTGCGGGTTTCCATTGGTCAGAAACAGTTGAGGTGTCGGCAATGTCGGCATCTGTTGTCATCCTGGATGTTTTGTCTGAACGGTTCGGTGTTTTTGCATAACACCGATTCACGACCACAGGTCTTTCTTTGGTTTCTAGTATTTTTGATGATAAAAGATATCATCTGTTCCAAGCGAAGGCACGATGAGGTCACAAAGGCTTCGATGGATAGCCAAACCTGTTGGAACTTTCTCGGTTATCGCCAAGGCATGTCTTGAGTTGTAAACGAGCATTGGCACAGCAACAAAATGGAACGTTGAAAGTAGGAAACAATGTCCAATCATTCCAAGCATGCCTGATAACATTTTTTTTGTAATTCTCCATTACTGTTCCCTAAACGTATGAATAACTATATCGGCTTTTTGTAAGGTCCCATGATCCACGACCCAATCTGATGTAAATACGTAAAAGTCTATCCCTCAATGAACAAATGCGCTGCCTCTTCAAAGCCCCAGTGTCCACTGCGGTCCAACCCCTAAACACAGAGAGAAAACGAGATTGTTTTCCATTGCAACCGGAGACCCTATAACCAATCAAGCGAAAACCCATCAAAACCCCACTATGTCTGCTATTGCAGTACTATCTGCCTCCCGACTGCTGCTTCAACATCTCACTCTGGTACCGAAGCTTAAAGCCGTTACAGAGGGCCCTAACATCTGGGTACTGGCTCTTCATAAGCTCGAACGCATGAGGGATGACGCGCACCGGCCAGGCGTTGACTCGCGAGTTTCGGCTGGCCTTGAAGCAGAGGAAGAAGTAACCGGGGTGCTTGGTGTCGATGCAGAAGGCGTATGTTGACCGGTTGGGGTTGGCGTCCATGTAGGTGGTGAGCCATTTCTCTGTTGTTGTTGTTGGTTAGCATCTGGGTCATGAATAGGATCAATGGGTAGGTGAACTTACCAGTCTCATTACGGGAGCCCTTCTGGAACTTGTCGCACTGCATGATCTCATCCACCTTCTTGGCCATGGCCTTGACGTGGTCCACGATCAACTCGTCCAGATCCTGGTATGTGTACTTGCCCACGCGGAGAACACGGCCGACAGCGAACTCGTTCTCCTTCTGCAACTCGAACACGTCGACATGCTGGAACACACCATCCGCCACCTTCCAGGTAATGGCGAGGTGATCGTTACCTTTACTAGAAGGTCGGATTACAACCTCGCCAGACGGCTGACTGCCCAGATACTCCTCGGCCTGGGTGCTGTTGAAGGGCTTGAACAGAGGATGGTTGACCACTCTCTGCGCACGGCCCGTGGTCTTGTCCTTCTCGCGGAGCTCCTCCCTGTCCTCATCCTCCTTCCTGTAATCCCACTGGTCGCGACCGTGGTCAAAGTGCCTTCGGAATGGTCGCCTCATTTCCTCATCCCTCATCGATAGCTTGCTCACAAATTCCTTGCGGTTGAGATCAATGAGCTTGGCCTGAACGACCTGTCCGACATGAAGCACATCCTTAATCGAGTGGCGGTACGAAACATCGTGAGACTCAACGCGTCCCTCAATGCCGCAGTCCAGCTTGACAATAGCAAAGTCATCCTTCACTACCCGCACATTGGCCGCCACAATCATGCCCTCGCAGAGCGAGTCGCGGTTCTCACCCGTGAGCATGGTGAAGACCTGATCCACGCTAAGGCTCTCAAACTTCTTGCGCAGCTCCTCATATGGCACCTGCAACTCAGCCCGGATGGTCTCCAGCGTAGCACGCTTGCGCTGTTGGTACTCGCGTTCTAGCTGCTCGGCATATTCCTCCAAGATGAGCTCGTTGACCTTGTCCTGCTCATCGTCCTTGAAGAGCTTGCGAACAATCGCACCAGCGCCGTTCTCGTCAGTTTCGGCCTTGACGTCCTCCTCGTCCAAGCCCAGTGCATCGGCTGCCACCTTCCGGGCAAGGTCGTAGTCCTCAGGATGGATACGAGTGTTGTCCAGCGGGTCGGATTCAGGGTTCGTAGGCTCGTACTCGATGAAAAGGAAGCTGGCGCAGTTGTTCCACACGCGAGGACCAAGGACGGGGAGCTTGTGTCGTTCGGGGTCACCGACAAGCTCGTCACGCGAGGTGACGACGCCGCCGTTCTTGTTGATACCCTTGATGAGCAGTTGTGCTTTACGAGGACCAAGACCAGCGACGTAGGGAAGAAGATGCGCGGTATTGGCGTCCTGCATCGCCACGTTGATATCGACACCGACGAGGTTGACCATGTCGACCATGGCCGTCTCAAGGTGCTTGAGCAGCTTTGCTTGAGGAAGGTACTGCTGGTAGGGATGGATTTGAAGAGAGGTGACATCCTTGCCAAGGGCCGCATACTCCTTCATGGGGTTCTGCATATATCTAGCCAGAGCAATGCAGTACCGGGTCATCGGATTGAGGCTCGGGTGATCTGCAACCGCGCGAGGGCTGTCCTTGTACAACCGGGCGACCTCATCGTTGATGACAATCACCTCGAGCAGGTCAGAGCGATACTCGTTTGTCTCCGGGTCATCGTATTCGGGGCCGACCAGTCCCTTTTCACTGACGAGACCCTCGACATCCTTGATGAGACGGTGCGTATCGGCTGAGAAACCGGAGATGCCAATAACATCAGGTTGCCGACGCCTGACTAGCTCAGCCAAGGCCTCACGCTGACTCTCATCGCGAGCTAGGTTGGTAAAGGTACCGTGTTCGAGAATCCTTCCATCCTCGTCCATCGAGACCCAGGATACAGGTTCACGGTTGGGGTCGCCCATGCCATTTGATAGAGTGAGCACGCGGGGACTCGTGCCAATAATCATACCTTTAGGCTTGTAAGGGGCTTGATCCAGTCTCTTGAAGTAGAGCTCACGGCAGGTCTTCAGCAGCTCATCCTGGCACGCCGTACGCAAGGAGTCTTTCACACCCTTGACAATAACCTTTACAAGCTTGTCAAAGGCCAAATCGATCACCTTTTGGCGTTCCGCATTCCACTTGTCGGCAAGCTCGCTAAAGTTCTCCGAGGCAAAGTCACTAAAAAGTTGTTGCCTGAATTCGCGATCGTTCTCCAGCGAAACCTTGATTTCGATGAGCCCCTCTTCCTCTGCCTTCATCATCTTCAGGAAGAGCTCCGGCCGAACCGCAAGATCGGCGATGGACATGTTTTTGAGATACTTGACCTCGTAGTAAGGATTTGCTTCGTCGATCTTGCGTAGACCCTTATCAGTACGACGACAGCTCACAATGCCCATGCCGTAGAAGTTTTTCCTGAAGTGTTTGCGCATCCGAGGACTGGCAAACATCTCTTCAGCAAGCATTTGGCGAGCGGCATTGATAACCTGCTCGCCCGTCGGGAAATCGGCGTCTACCAATGTGTCGGCGAGATCATCTGGTAGCCTTGAATCGTCATCTGAGGTCACCTTCTTGCTTTCGCGCAGAATGTTCTTGGCAAGACGATCAGGCGTTATTCCGAGTGCCTGAACAAACTTGTAGGCATTGGATCGCCGGATGCGTTCAAACTGAGCTGTCCTGCCACCGGCCCTCTTGATCTCACGCTGTGCGCTATTATCGTTAGCAGCAAGGTCCTTGAGCTCCGCCGAGTACTGAAAGTTTAGGTAATCTTGGAGATCCTGGAGCTCCTCAATGGACTGGGCTTGGCGTATCATCTCTTCAAGGATATCGTCCCGGGTCTTCTCCTTGAGCTTGTCGTAGGTTTGTTCTAACGCGTTACGCTTCTCCAGGAAAGACCGGAACCTGATGTCGAGATCCAGGACCTTCCACAGGTCATCTTGGGTGAGGAGTTTCTCGGCGTCAACAGTATACTCGGGAGCGTCGGGATCATCGCGGCGGTTCGGGTTGCGCATCTTCTTGGCGTGGATGAGGTAGTCTCTTCGGTGCTGGAAAACATAGGGAACTTCGACGCCGTCGATAACGAAGAATTCGAGGACCTTGCCCACGGCCTTGTTGAACGGGCCGTGAAGCTCACTGGAAAGATTCTTGCTTGGCAGCATCAGGTTGCTGATCCACCGAGCCTCCTCCTTGAACTGGTCAGACGTCATCTGGAGATTCTTGAAAGCCTTGCGATCGAGCTGGAAGCGCTCAGGCTCGTCGTTGAACCGAATCCTGTTATCCTCGTCGGTAAGAAGCTTCTCCTTGAGCTGCGAAGGTTCGAAGACATCTTGCAACTCGATATCTTCCTTTGTTCGCTCCGCGTGCTCCTGCTCTTCCTCCAGCTGCAACGCCCATTCGTAGTCTTCACCATTACCGAAAATGGCATCCATGTCATCAAGAGCATCCTTGTCGAGCCCGGTTGTATCGATGTTAAGGCCCCTATCCTTGGGACGAGCGACCTCCTCATCTTCTTCGCGGTGTCGGCGTTCTTCGTCATCCTCGGGGTAATCATCTTCGATGAAGTCGTCAAACTCGTCCGCTTGAGCGCGGCCGCTGGGACGGCCGTAGCCTCGATCATCGTGCTCTTCGTCCTCGTCGGAGAAGATCTCGGCAAGACCGCGACGTTCAGTGGGGCGGTGGTCATCCCTATGACCCCGTTTCAGGCGCTTGAACTTGGTTTGCTTGGAAAAAGTGAGCCGACTGGATGATGTCACCGGTACGGTAGAACACATACCTGGGGTTGTGGCTTCCGCTCCCACTCAGGAATTGCTTCGCCAATAAGGTCGAGATCTTCTTCGTCGAGCTGCTCCTCTTCTTCGCGCTCACGGCGGCGCTTCTTTCTCCTACGGCGTTCGCGCGCGTCGGAATCCTCAGCCTCGTCCTCTTCATCTTCGTCTACGATGAAACCTTCGCGGATCTGTAAGTGATGGATGTGTCAGTCGATTGGAGGTATGTTGCAGCATTGGACCAGAGGCGGCGTACCTTTCTGGCCTCTTCCTCATCTTCGTCGTCTTCCTCCTCTTCGCTGGAATCATCAATGTTGGGTCTTCTTCTCGGGCGGTCGCCGGCCTCCTCATCGAAGGACTCATCATCCTCCTCGTCATCGAGCTCGGCCTCGCCGTCAATCAAGTCGCGCATGCTGTTGCTCATGGTTGCGGTTGGCTGGGGTGGCGCAAACTGGTGTGTAAATAAGTGTGTTTTCGGACAACTCTCGACCGCCTAAGAGGGTCGGAATTGGAAATGAAGCGCGTTTCGATGGAAGCAACAGTCTCTGCTAAGCTGCCGATGGAAAAGAAAAGAAGAATACAGGAGAAAGTTGGGTGCAGAGCGAGCTGGTTTGGTGGAAAAGAAAGTGATTTGCAGTTGAGAGGTGTTTGAGTTGACCGTGACTGCCCTGAACCTCTCTGGCCGAAAGGCTGCTGCCGTGCTGCGTGCTGCTCGCTCCTGGTCGCCTGCCGCCAGGTCACGTCGGTGGTGCACGCACGTCAATGGACCCGAATTTTTGGAGCAGGCCCGGCCACCCGCCCCTGTACGTGTACGCTCCAACTTTTTACGCCACGCGCCACACAGCGCGTTCAGCCTCGCCAAGACCCAGGCTTTTGTGAACTTCACTGCTGTTTGGAAACTCTCACGGCGACTCAACACATGGCATGGCCCGTGCACATCATTAACATCGAACATCGAGAAGCTTATCACCAACTTACCTACAGCCCTTTTAGCTTGATGAGCCGCTTAATTGTCTTACCGCATTATCATTGAGATGTCCTGATGTGAAATGGAGACGTTTGGAAGCTCATCGCCGAGTGAGCTGGGTCATGTCAGTCTTGGACCTTCATACCTAGATACAGCCAAGCAGTCCGGAGTTCACCTGTCAGGAGTGCAAAAAACAACATCGCAACCGGTCCTGAGATGGATATGGAAGAGGAAGTTTCATGGTTGAGAGTAACAACATGAATATCGGAGCATATGATGCCGTACGGACACAACATAATCCACGTCCACGAGGGGAGATACCAAGGGCGCTTTGGCTATGATGTTAGCCCACTGGGCATCTTCATGCGAAGCCATCACGCCAGCCTACGAACACCTCATCCGTCCTTGGACTCTGGGGTCCGCATGGCTCATATACCTGAGCCGAGTATCTTTGGTTTCAGATGTTCGGGGCCATGATCCCCAGCCATCCGCGCTTAGAACCACCATTTGGCAACCATATCTTGAGCGAATCCCTGGCTTCATCTGGACAACAGCCGACTGTTGGTTCTGGTCATGCCCAATCACAGCAGTGTTTTGCTTTATTTGGCATCTCATGGCGCGCTTCTTGAGAGCTCTGGGGTTGTACGAACTTGGCGTGCACTGTGCTTGCTGTGTTGCGGTTGGGCTTTAAGTTGAAATATGTCCCGTCATTGGCATGTTGTTGCTCTTTGTATCTCGCTGGTGAGTGACATATGCGATATCAAGGGAGCCTATCCATCCCGTGTAAGGGAATCACAAGAGCTACATAGGACCTACTGGAGATAGATTGTGCTCAGGATGGCAATACTCCTACTAGTATGGCTACATGGGAATAGCTTCGTCAGGTCTCTTTCAAAGTCCGCACTGTATCAGGGGGTGCTCTTTCGGCGACAGGTACCCCCCACTACGGTGTGCTCACAGACATGATGGCGCCATTGTTCGGACTACAGTTGAAAAAAAGGAAGAGAACACTCAGCGTTCTGAGAAAGCCATGTCTTGTTTATATTGAAATACGAGTGTCTAACCTCTGGGTCGCCCCTCCTTTGTCCCCTGAGACCTAGTTCTCCTCCAGTTGATCCCTGCACTGGACTGTTGTGGGTTGCAGTGACGGCGTTAGGTGAGCACCGCTACACACCACTGCGCCAGTGCTAAGCACTATCACCGGCCGTGCTCACTCTCCTCCTCTTTCCATCCTCTCATCACAACCCCACTTTGGGACTGTGACCAGAACAACCTAACGGCGAGACCTGACGGGACCCAGCGTTATTACCACCTCCCTCTACCGGCCTGTACACTTTCAACCTCTTTCCACCCTACATTCGACTTGTCTGTTTTTTTTCACCGCCTGGGCTAACACTTCCCCTCTCCGAATATATCCCCGCCAAAAGCGATTTGTCTTTGCGATCTAGCGTCTAGTCTTGTCCGTCCTTCCTTCTCCTTCAGCTGACGACGGCATCAGAGGGTTATCATCACCAACCAACCGCAGACCCTCGGCCCCCTTTTTACATCGCTTCTGGTTTTACGACAGTTTCGCTCGTCTGCTTCTTCTACCCCCAGCCCTTGGATTGACATCAACAATAACAGAAGCCCGATCCCCAACACTGACATTCCGGCCTGACGGTTGTCAACCTCGGAATCCACATCTCATCTCCGTACGAGTGGCGTATCGCATCGCATTGGGCTTCCATAACCACGATCAGTCCTCGACTTGTCTTGGCTATTCTCAAGACATCCAATACAGAAACGACTCTCTCCAGACAAAACCGCAACAGAAGAAGCGTGCCCGACTACGCTTAAACAGACATCATGGCCGACCCATTTGCCCCGCGCTCCATGAAGCGCAAGAACGTCAAAGGTCTTGCCTTGGCTCCTGCCGCTCCCAAGCCCCCGCCGACTGCCGAGACCTTTTATAAGGATAAAGACGACGACAACAATGCCCAGCTAGAGATTGGCATCGAGTTCAACCTGGATCTCAGGCCCGACGATCTGGAGCTCATCAAAGAGTTGGGAGCTGGAAACGGAGGCACAGTCAGCAAAGTCAGGCATATCCCGACAAATACAGTTATGGCTCGCAAGGTATGTTGGATAGGCCAAGGTTTCCCAGCTTTGCCGCTAACAATCATGGGCAGGTTATCCATGTTGAGGCCAAGAAGGAGATGCGCAAGCGTATCGTCCGCGAGCTTCAGATCATGCACGGCTGCCATTCCGAGTACATTGTCACCTTCTATGGCGCCTTCCTTAACGAGCATAACGATGTAATTATGTGCATGGAGTACATGGATGTTGGGTATGTTGCCTCTCTAGGACTCTTTGCGCATGGATACTGACCTTGGATATGTAGCTCGCTCGACCGTATCTCCCGTGTGTTCGGTCCAGTTCGCGTTGATGTCCTCGGAAAGATTGCCGAAGCTACACTCGGCGGCCTCACGTACCTCTACTCCAAGCACCACATCATGCACAGAGACATCAAGCCCTCCAACATCCTCGTCAACTCCAAGGGCCACATCAAGCTTTGCGATTTTGGTGTTTCCGGAGAGCTGGTTAACTCTGTCGCCGACACCTTTGTGGGTACATCCACCTACATGGCTCCCGAAAGAATTCAGGGCGACAAGTACACAGTCAAGTCTGATGTGTGGAGTTTCGGCTTGACTGTCATGGAATTGGCGATTGGCAAGTTCCCGTTCGCCAGTGATCAGCTTGGGGATGATGCTGAAAATGCCCCCGCCGGTATTCTCGACCTTCTCCAACAAATTGTTCACGAGCCAGCACCCAAGCTACCCAAGAGCGACGCTTTCCCACAAATTCTTGAGGACATGATCCAGAAGTGTCTTTACAAGGAACCTGAGAGGCGACCGACGCCTCAAGAGCTCTTTGTAAGTTGTTCTTTCCACTCTACTGCGGCGATAGAGTTACTAATACAAGCTTCAGGACCGCGATCCCTTTGTACAAGCGGCGAAGAGAACTCCAGTCGACCTGAGAGAGTGGGCTTGCAGCTTGATGGACCGGGACAACCGCAAGTCTCATCTCCAACCCCAACTCTCTCCGTCGACGCAAGAACATCTAAGGTCCAGCGATGAACCTACACCCACTTCAGGTGAGATTCCCATTCTGGGGACCATGGTGTCGCCTCGTGACCAACATAGCAGCGTACCAACCCGACCCCCGCCATGCAGCCGAACAGACAGCGCTGGCCGCACAGGTGGACCGTCTGTACATCCGGGACTAGGAGCGCGAGTAGCTACGACTGGCTCTCAGCCCAGGTACCCGCAGCAGGCTCCTCCTCCGCCTCCGTCCGAAAAGCGGCCATCCATGTCGACCAGCCATTCGTATACTAGTTCCTCGTCCTCAAGCCGATCGGGCTTCGCCCTACCCATCCGACCGGGGCCTCCGGGCCAGCCGATGCCGCCGCCGCTCCCGCGAAGACAGTTGACGGCGGAGGAATTGCAGAGGGAAAGTCGCCGGCAAGCCGCAATGCAGCCTCCAACCGGCCGATTTTGAGATGAGCGTTGCCTGTGGTGGATCAGTTGTCGTACTCGTATGAGAGGGTGTTTCTTTGCATACATAATACTCAAATCCCCTTTTCTTTTGCAGCTGTGCTTTGCCCCTTTACCGTCCTTTGTTTTGCCCATACGTTGACCATCCCAGAATGAGTTTGATGTCTTTGATACACGCGCCTCAAGACCACCGATCTGGTGGAGATAATCATTCAAAAAATCAGCGGGTCTACCTTGACTGTGCTGGCTCACCTCAATGGTACGACAATGGCATATTGTTGAGCAGAACGTGGGTCTTGGCCAAATGGGCAGCTATGGTTATGGCCATGAGTGGGAATTGGGTTGACTGAGTACAAGGAAAGGGGGAGATGGTGTATTGATGGTCCTTGATCTGAAGGGAAAGCGTATGTGTGAGAGATTCCCAGTTTGTATCTAAAATCGGATGTTTCTCAGGAAGATGTCTTTCTTGTCCGTTTTGCATTTGTTCAGGAGAATGGGTACTGTCTATGATGGGTATCTGGGTATATCATGGGCGCGAGAAGTCATCTATTGAGAGACATCCAAGCAAAACAATACCAACAAGTCTTGTTTCGTCTGGATATCATCCATCACCTCCTCCCAACCTTTGTTCTCGCTAGTGAAACTCAATTCTCCCCGTTCATCCCTACAACAAGCCCTCCTCCAAAACGTCAACCAACTGATCCAACCTCTCAATAACCAAATCCGTATGCTCATGATCCACCAGATGCCTATTCACATCATTAACCAACAAGACCGTCTTGGCCCCCGCCCTCCGTCCAGCCGTCATATCATCAATACTATCCCCCACCATAATCAGTCCACTCGCATCCGCCACCAACTCCCCTTCCTCCGTCTTTTTCAAGTCCCGGTCTTCTTTCCCTTCTTCCCCATTCCCATTCCCATAATTCGCATCCCCATGCTCCTCCTCCTCTTTTGTCTCAGTAGGAACACCCACCTCCCCCTTCCCCGCCCGTCTCACCAAGCCCCAAGCCTTGGCAATATGCAAAATCCCCGCCGGATCCGGTTTCGGCGGCCGGAACTCGCGCGTGACAATCGGGTGGAAGACCGACCCAGCCAAGAATTTTTGCAGGAGGTTGTTCACGGGCGCGTCGAAGTTGCGGGTGCAGATACCCTTGCGGATTTGGCGGGAGTCCAAGTAGGACATTAAGGAAGTAAGGCCCGGTTGGGCGACCTGGGAGGCCATGGCTTCCTGCTCGATGGCGCGAATACTTTCCATGGCGGCCGTCTGGGCGGAGGCGGTGGGGAGGGAGTAGATGTGTTCGAGGATGTCAGTGGTTTTGGGGATGGAGAGGGTGCGGCGCATGAGGGTGAACATGTAGGTTTGGGGTTCGCTTTGAGGAGAGGGGATGTTAGTTAGCTGGTTGTAATCTGTGTCGCGTGGTCAAGGGGGGAGGGAGGGGGGAGGGGGGAGGAAATTCGAGGGGACTGGCTGGGGCTGATGAGGTGAGAGGAGAGGAGGCAGGCAGTAAGAAGGTGGGTAGGTAGGTGAGGGATGAGAAGCATGACGGAAATATGTAGTGAGGTTATTATGAGATAAGGTGGGTGAGTAGTAGTAATATGTTCTTGAAAGGCTCGCTTCAAATCTGCCTTTGCATCTCGGGCCTCTCTCTGGATGAGCATCCTCTTGGTGATGGTGGATGAATGGATGAACAACATACCATAATGTCCCATCCATATCAAAGACCACGCCCTCCAGCTTGCGCAGCTGTGAGCCCGCGGTGAAGGGCTCTTTCAGCGGCGCAAAGCACCGTTTCGAAGTGTTGTTGGTAATGTTGCTGCTCATCATGAGAAGTGTCCGACGCATAAAGGTAGGTGGTTGAGATTGTTGGTGGTTTCAGTGATGGGGAAAATCCCAAAGCCAAGCGATCGGTCCAGTATCTGTTTCTCTGAGCTCTTCTCGTTGCTTTTGTGGTTGAGGCGCCAAGACTGGAGGTCGTGATATCGGGGGGCAGGCACCAGTGATGTTTCTCAACTCCGGGGGTGTTGACGATGACTTATCGCCGCTACGTTATCATTACAGCGTATTACCGCCTATAACAATTGTTAACAGCTCGATGTTTACCACCCCCACTTCACTACCAAGAACCCCGCTGTTTACTCGCGAAAGTACCTATCTCGGTTAGGTTCAAACTTTATTTACTTTCAGGGCTGTAACGTAGGACGTCATGAGAAGCTTCAATTTGAATGAGGGACAGAGACTAGACATATCACGATCTAAGAAATGATGGACAAACTCCGAGTCCGGACTCCAGATCATCAGGGTCCAAGACATGGAGCAAGTGCTGTCTTGCTTCACCCCTACATTATATAGTACACAGCATGGCAAGTGCGAGTGAGCAGCGGGACGACCCAACCGCTGGCGCCGGAACGGGTCATGAGCTTCTTCACTCTTCTTAACCAATCAACTTCATCACCTCATGGTCACCGAACCTGCTCGTCATTCGACATTCATCTTTTCATCTATAAATCACTTTTGCCTACAAACCATACCTATCCGCCCTATAGTCTAGACTCTATTGGGCCGTCGCGAATCGCACCCGAGTACCTCTAATTGTATCTGTTCCCCTCCTTCGGTGGGATCAACCGAACAAAGACAGCGCCGCTATGCGCCTCAAGAAGCTGAACCGGGAGCGCAAACCAACTTGAGAGTGCCATCATCACCATCATGAGCTCTCCTTCTCCGTCAAGCAACATAGCACCTTACCCTCAAGGTCCTCCGGCCGGTCGCAGGGCCTCTAAGAGAAGCGTTTGTCCCACCTTTTTTTCCCGCATGCTTCTCATGTTTTATCCCGTCTGCGGCTCTGACAGGTCTCGGAAACACAGAAACTGCGCGTTGGTACCTTTATCGAGCCCTCCACAGGCGAGCGATCTCGGCGCACTTTTACCCTTCGTCTGCCACTCCGGAGGAGAAGCGTCCAGGCCGCTCTCAACGGAAATGGCACTTCCGCGAACACGGCCATACTACCCGTCTTCTCGGATCAACAGTCCGTCTCAGAACGCTCCCATGCCGCGGCGCATAACCTGCGAGCCGGTGTGGTCCGAGGCTTCCAATGGCTGAACTCCCCCACCGGCCGCGGAGTGCTCAAGTGTACTCTGGCCTACACGATCGCAAGTCTAGCCACCTTCTTGGCCCCGATTTCCGACTTCCTCGGCAAACCGGACGGCAAGCATGTAGTCGCGACCATCACGGTCTATTTCCACCCGGCGAGGTCCGCTGGCTCCATGATAGAGGCTATTCTCATCGCTATCGTTGCCGTGGCTTACGCGCAGGTGGTGTCCATCCTCTCCATGTGCACCTCGGTTCTCTTTGGCAGTGTCTGGGGCAATCCCGCTCTGGCCCACACCCTGGTTCTGGTCGTCTTTATTGGTGGCGGGTTTGGCTTCATCGGTTGGCTTAAGCAGAGAATCAACAACCCGCTGGTCAATGTGGGCTCTACCTTGGCCTCGCTTGCCATCATTGGTGTTGTCACCAAGGAGACGGCTGTGCTTACCAGCGTCTTCTCCAACCAAAAGATTATACAACTCCTAAAGATGCTCGCCATGGGCATCACCATAACTACCGTGGTCAATCTGCTTGTGTGGCGCGTTTCTGCCCTTCACTTACTCCGACAGTCCATGACCAAGACCTCCACTGCCTTGGGAGATATGCTTGCTATGATCACTCATGGCTTCCTCAGCGGAGCCCAAGATGAGCTTCTTTCCAAAGAGTTCAATGCCGCATCAGCTGCGTACAAGTCGGCTTATCCGCAACTGACTAAGAATCTGCGTGAGGCTAAGTTTGAGCGGTACTTCCTAGGCCAGGAAAAGATATACCAGCTTGATAGAGCGGTAGTCAAGTCTATGGAGACCCTCGCCCAGTCCATTGGTGGACTCAGAAGTGCAGCTAATACACAGTTTGCCCTACTGAAGGAGTCTTTCGAACAGGCTGATCAGCCCCCGCTATCACCCAGAATGCAGCGGACGGCATCGACCATTCTCAAGAGTGGCAAAGACCGATCACTGGTTCTGCAAGCCATCCGGGAGGCATCTGACGAAGGTGATGATGATAATGTCCTACCTGGAAGCAACAGACGCCGCTCTGATGTGTCCATTGCACCCTCATTTCGCAACTCTGGCGATATTTTCGAGCTCTTTATTGCGCTCTTGGGACCTTCAATGAAGTCACTGGCTTACACGCTTTCTGAAGTGCTTCGTGACCCGCCTTTTGGGTCCGCCCCGAAGTACGAGATCTTGATTAATGACCAGTTCCGCCAGAGTCTGACTGATGCTTTGGGTCTGTTTAACGATGCGAGAGCTAAGGCCCTCCATGAGTTGTACAAGTACCTCGAGATGGATCGGACGAGATCGGAACAGATACAAGCTGACTTCGAGGAAGTTGCGGCGGCGTGCGGCCACTTCAGTTTTAGCCTGCAGTCCTTTGCGGAGGAGATGCAAAAGTATCTGGACGTGCTGGATGACCTGAAGCATGAAAGCCAACTCAAGAGGCGTAGCTGGCACTGGCTTGTCTGGTGGAGGAGCAAGGATCACCATAGTCGGTTCTTTCCTGCCCTGCCGTATAACCAGGTGCCGGAGGAGCAAGAGGGCTTGATCAAGCCGATCAAGAAGACAGCCATCCCCAAGGGCATTCCTGATTCCATGGTCCAACGAAGGGATACGTATAACTGGGAGGCAGCTAAAGACCAGTCGAGTAGGGTCGTGGCGACGCTGTCCCAAAACTTGCTTCGGTTGATGAGGAGGCTTGCGAGAGACGATGTTCGCTTCGGTCTCAAGGTCGGTATCGGCGCCATCTTATGGGCCATGCTCGCCTTCATTCCCCAGACGAGAGATGTCTACCAGCACTGGCGAGGAGAATGGGGCTTCCTCTCCTTCATGATCGTCTGTTCCATGACCGTGGGTGCAGCCAACACTACTGGTTGGGCTAGGTTCCTCGGGACTATGATTGGCGCAGGAGCAGCCTACGTGAACTGGAACGTCACCCAGGGCAACGCTCTGGAGCTGATTGTCCTCGGCTGGCTGATGGCCTTTTGGAGTTTCTGGATGATGATAGCACGTGGCCAGGCTCCCCTAGGACGCATCACCTTACTCGCCTACAACGTCGTAGCCCTCTACGCGTACTCCCTCTCCCAAAAGGTCGATGACGACGACGACGACGAAGGGGGTATGCACCCCATCATCGGCGAAATCGTCTGGCACCGGTTCATCGCCGTTACCGCCGGCATCCTCTGGGGCCTGATCGTCTGCCGTCTGATATGGCCCATCTCGGCCCGCAAGAAATTCCAGCAAGGTCTCAGCATGCTCTACCTCCAAATGGGTCTGATCTGGAAGCGCGGCCCGCTCGCCATCTTGCTCCGCAGCGACTGCAGCCGCTCCTACCTCAAATCCGGCGAGATGACCGCCCTCAAGAAATACGCCGCCCGCCTCGACGCCCTCCGCGCCAGCGCCGCCTCCGAGTTCGAGCTGCGCGGCCCCTTCCCCGCCGCCCAGGCCGGCAGGCTGATGCACTGCGCCAACCGCCTGCTCGACGCCTTCTACGCGATGTCCCTCGTTACGCAACGCAGGGGCCATCTGACCGAGGGCGAGCGAGCTTTGTTGTTGTACACGGCCGAAGAGAGGAAAGCCCTCTGCGACCGCATCTGCCACGTCTTCCAGGTCTTGGCCTCCTCTCTAATGCTAGAGTACCCCCTCACGGACGCCATCCCGTCTGTCTTGGGCCAGCGCGACAAACTCCTGGCCAAAATCTTTCGGTTCAGAAAGGAACATATGCCCTCCCGTACCCTACAAAACATCGACCGAGACCCGCAGTCGCTGGCGGCTGAACGAGCTAATAGCTATGTCACCGCCGCTACCAGTTTCGGTCCCAGTTTCGGTCAGACAGGGAATGGAAGCTGGAATAATAGCTTGAGGGGGAGCATTGATAGCTTGGAGAGCAACATCATCAACAACAACAATCCGTTGGCGCATGTGACGGTGGAGGAACGCGATTATGCCCTGCTTTATGCTTATGCGCTGGTGACGGGGCAGGTGGCGGAGGAGTTGAGCGAGGTGGCCAGGGAGATTGAGGGGCTGTTTGGAGTTTTGGATAAGGAGTCTATTCTCTTGCAGTGAGCTTGTTTAGGCCTGGGAGGGGTGGTGTAAGTGTGTAGATAGTTTTGTCTATACATAAACATTGCGCGGAATGACGGTGGAGTGTGGAAGGGTCGGAAAGCAATAAAAGACCGAACTGGCTGACGGGCAGCTAGTCTAGGTACTTGGCTGCGGTTCACCCAAGTCTGGCGTATACTGCTTGCTGTCTTTCTATGGTACCTAAAAGAAGCTACGTACGTAATTAATGATTTTTTTATCATCACATTTTGTCATATGTACAAAAACGTCCAGTCCGACTGCCCCTTTGCCATTTTTTCCATCCAGATTTCAGGTCCCCCCTTTTGTCTTAGGTACTTATACAAACAACCCTTTGCCCTTCCTTAGACTTGCCTTCACTCATGCTTCCTTCCTCTCTGGCCAACCAACCTCAACATCAAAACATTGTAAACACTAAGCATTAAACATGGAAAAAAGTATGGCACGGGCGACCATCCTTCCAGCGGCGTGACCTACTGTTTGGGACCATATAAGCACCAAACTAAGTGTGCACCTTCCACCACGGTCCAGTAGTGTAGCCTACGTGGTAAGGCGCTGTGCTGGGTCCAGAAATGCGTGTGGTATTTTCGTAGGTCTTCTTTCTGTCTGGTCGGTTGAGTCCGTCCTCCTTAGTTGCGAGTTCGATTCCCGATTAGCTAGCAATGGAGGAGGGCGAACAAGCAGGCAGGCAAGCAAGCAAAGCAACTTACCAAGCAAGCAAGCAGGTACAAGAACATAAGAGCCAGCCAGGTAGGGAGGGCACTGATAAAGTGCGCGATGCGATCGATCCATCTACCAAACAAAAAAGACGTGAAGAAAACGCATTTCGAACACTGATGAACAAGAAATAACTCAAACTCCAGCAAAGAGACCAAAAAAAAACAAAAAGCTCAGCGGCCAGAGCAGGGTTGAACCCGTCCACTCAAGACAACGCCTACGAAAACTGTACCACCGTTACCACGCAACGAGCAATGTTTATCTGGCTCCGCCACATACCGCTTGACCACGAGGGAACCTTTATTAGCGAGGGAACTTGAAGTTACTGAGGGGTGCTGAAGCGGGACCTTATAAGGCCCAAGTGGAAGGTGCTTGGGCACTTGGGCAGGCACTTGCACTTGAAGAGAGTGTACACTCACTCAACCTTACATATCAAGCGAAGAGGATGCGGATCGCGCACTTTATCAGTGCCCTCCCTACCTAGGTGGCTTCTTATGTTCTTGCACCTGCTTTGCTTGCTTGCTTGCTTGCTTGCTTGCCTGCTTGTTCGCGCTCCTCCATTGATAGCTAGCTGCCTGCCATCCTGTACGTACGAACGATGGATGGGTTTGTGGGTAGTGACTGTCTGTCTGTCTATGTCTAGAGGCAAGCAACCTTGGCTATAGTATAGTATAGGTATTCAAGATATTTATCTACCCACTTACCTATCTACGTACCTCTAGATAGAAAATGGCGTTCTCCTGCGCAAGGGATTGATCAATTACTTGGGGGGTAATGCATCCTCGAAGGCGTTGACAGTAAGTAAACTTGACTGAAGGTCGTAAATCTCTTTGAATGCACCCACCGACTGGGCCGGCAGGTCAGAAAGCGCGCCGCGGTTGAACCGGCGTCCGTCCGGGCCAAAAAAAAAAAAAAAAAAAAAAAAAAAAAAAAAAAACTCAGTCCGATCAGATCGGGATGAATCGAACTCGCAAGGAAGGAGGACTCAACCGACCAGACAGAAGACCTACGAAAAATACCAACGCATTTTCTGGACCCAGCCAGCGCCTTACCGCGTAGGCTTGTACGGGACCGTGGTGGAAGGTCTACACTTTGGTGCTTATATAGGTTCATGATTCTCATTCGCCTACGTACTTCACACAAGTCCAAGTCCCATAGCGTATAGTGTCTTGGACCCGACTCTGACGATTTCGCCTTCATGACGAACGAGTTCAAGGTAGGACAACTAACTGGCTTTGAGGAAGCTGTAGGTAAGGTGTTGTGTAACGAACGGGTTATCGTAACATCCGTTCTTAGATCACGAAAAACATATCAGTCTCAAAAAGACCAGAAAAGTATGTCACAGCAGCAGCAGCCCATCACGACAGTGAATCACGGCGAATATGTATACGAACGCACAAGTCGGTGGATAAGGTAGGTAGCTTCCTATATCGTTCTTTCTTTTGTTTCCCATCAAAATTACCATTCTATCATTACATCCCATCCCACGGGTATATACTAGTGTTTGTAGTTGTGTGTGTGTGCGCGCTCATATCACGTCCCCGTATATTGTATGTACATTCCTTGTTGTGTTTCCTCCTCTAATGAAGCTCAACTCACTTGACGACCAATGCCCGGCTGGCTAGAACCGGGCTCGCAGCAACGTCAAAACCCGTTCCCTTCCTTCTTCCGTGCTTGATATCCATCCATCCCGCCGAAAAGGAAAGAGGAAGGAAGAAAGCTTCAAACTTTTGTTATCCTCTCGTTCGTGAAGACCACACAGCAGGCAAGCAAAGGAGAAACCGATGGCTAAAAGAGTATGAAGGAAAGCCGCACTAAAAATTGCAGCAAGAAAATGGTAGGGTATTATAACCAGGTAATGAAACAACAGCCTCAAGAAGCTTGAGTGAAATAGCAAAAGAAACATAACGCCAAAACTCGCCGAACCATGTTTATCGTTCGAGAAACCCAAAAGACCCCAAACGCCTCGCCATGCTGATACTTTCGCTCGTTTATACATACCCGTTCGCTCGCTTTCCGTGTTTTAATACCCCGTCCAAAGCGTAATTCCCGAAATTTGACACAACGCAGAGAACCCCGAAAGGAATTATTCGGGGTTGAAACAAAGACTCTCTAGAAAGAGCCGCAGCGTAAAGTCGACACAGATCTCTGCCGGTGCCGATTACCTCCCACCCTTGAGATAATCCCCATTACTCTTCGGCGTACTCTTCGGCGATGGTTCATCAGAGTACATGTCCATCGGCTTCGGTCTCGTCGGCGCCCCATTCATCATCGTAGTCCCACTCGTCGTCGTCGAGCCATTCGCCGTCGCAGCAACAGTAGTACTGCTAGCCGTCTTTGGCGTCGTCGTTCCATTGACCAGCGTTCCATCGCCCTTTCCATCCTTCAACCCCTTCCACTCCCTCCCTTCTTTTTTATCTTTCTTATCACCCTTCCCCTCCCCTTTCTTTTCTTTCTCAGCATCCCCCTTCAAACTCCCCGTCGTAACCGACGGGACCGTCTCCGTCTCGCCCTGCTCCTCATAAATCGTCGCAAACTTTTTCAGCACCTGTTTCAGCGCCGGCCTTCTAATCGGTTTACTCAAAAACTCGTCCATGCCGCTCTCCATGCACTCCTTGACATTTGATTCCTCCGAAAAGGCCGTCAACGCCACGATCGGGGCGCTGTACCCCATTTTTCTGATAAGTCTCGTCGATTGCAACCCATCCAGGTTCGGCATCTGTATGTCCATGAAAATCACGTCAAACTGCAGGTTGTGCTCCATGTTGGCTTTGACGAGATCGTAGGCTTCTTGGCCGTCTTTGGCGATGGTCACGTCGTAGACGTCTTCTAACTTCAAAAGGCGGGAGACGACTTCCACGTTGGTGCTGTTGTCGTCGGCTACGAGGACGCGGAGCTTGCCGGGGCCGGAGGAGGAGGAGGAACGGGATTGCTGGAGTTGCTTGGCGGCCATGGCGCGGTCGAGGGCGGCCATTTTGTCGTCGACGTCGCCCGAGGCGGTGGTGGTCGTTGTGGGGGGTGGGCATTTGGGGGTCGTGGCGAAAAAGGGTTGGGAGAGCCCGACGAGACGGGGTTGTGTGTCGAGGACGGAGGTGGCGGCTGGTGGGGCGGTTGGGTGTTGGTTGTGACCGTGTGAGTGGCTGTGGCTGTGGGAGTGGGAGTGAGAGTGACCGTGGTGGATGTCGACGGTGGATTGTTTGGGGAGAGGGTTGCGGATGGTTTCGCCGTCGAGGGAGCTGACGGAGTGCGGGCGGGAGGCTAGGGAGCTGGAGGCGGTACTCGAAGCCCTTGGTTCTTCGTTAGCATACGGTTACCAGTCAGATATAAAGGACGACTTACCGATCCCGAACATATTTCAACGGTATCCTCATCGTAAACGTCGTTCCCACACCAACAGTACTCTTGAGCCCAATCGTCCCTCCCATTATGGTGGCCAACTGGGAGCAGATACTGAGACCCAAACCGGTACCACCAAACTTCTTGCTCAGACCCAGATCGCCCTGAACAAAAGGCTCGAAGATCTTTTGCTGCATATGCTCAGCAATACCCGGACCAGTATCCTCAACCTCAAACTCGAACATGAACGACTTGGCATTCGGCGGCGGAGGTGTTGGTGACCGTTCTCTGATCTGCACATGGGGCGTAGACTTGGGATCCATGGGGTTGATAGACAGCGCGGTACCACTACTCTGGTTCTGATTTGGCGAGTGCGGCGCGCCCCTTGAGCTCTGCGAGTCCCTTGATCCCGATCCTACCCTATGACGAGACCGACCTGGACGGTGCGAGTTCTTGGAGAAGGACGATGTCCTACTTTCGTCTTGTGGTTGCTCAATCTCGCCGACGCAGCGTATCCTCAACTCGACCCTGCCTCCCGCTGGAGTGAACTTCAGACTGTTACTGACCAGGTTGATGATGACTTGGAGGATACGGTGCTGGTCACCCCAGAGACACATGTCCTTGAGACGGCCGACACCGGGGGGTCCGAGTGCGGGAAGTCTCTTCTCGATGCTGGTGCGTCGCTCGGGGCTGCTGCCGTCGAGGAGGTCGGTGCCGACAAAGCTGACGGTAAAGGTGATCTTGTTCTCGCGGACCTGCTTGTCAAAGATGGCCAGCATTTGGGATCTTATCTCACCAAGTCTGAACTCTCTTTCTTCCAGGCTAACTTGTTGGCCGATTTGGTTCTTGGAGAAACTGAGGAGATCCTCGAGCAAATGCAACAGAAGGTCACCTATTGTGGTTAGCATAAGAAAGCCAGGAATAAAAGGGGGGAAATGCTTACCTGACTTGTAAATCGTCTTGAGCGACTGCTTGATGCGAAGAACATCGTCTTCCTCCATCAATACCGTACACATGCCCATGATGCCGTTCAGGGGTGTCTTCAACTCGTGAGAAATGTTGGCGATAAACAGCGTCTTGCTCTCGTTAGCAGCTTCGGCGGCCTTCTTGCTGATTTCGAGTTCTCTCGTTCGCTCGGCCACCTTCTCGTCCAACGAAGTGTACTGCTTCAACAACTCATCCGTCATCTCGTTGAACGTTTGCGTAAGCTCAGTCAACTCGTCGGTAATGAAATGCTTTCTATCCTCAACCTTGGCGGGAATCTTAAAGGCATGGCGATGCGCATCCTGTGCAGCGGCAGCTCTCATTCTCGCCCTCTTTGACTTGCGCATCCTTCGCTTCAACGTCTTGAACCAACTCTTCTCGGACCTTCCCGATGTGGTGCCGCCCGAACTAGGGTTCTCCTCATCAAAGTCGGAATCGAACAGTTCTTCGTAACCCGGTGGTGCAATCGAGTTCTCGGTGGCCTCCTTCAACCGGCGAATCGGCATGACGCTCAGATGGGCACAGGGGATGGTGAGCAGTAGGACAAGCCCCGCGGTACCAAACACGCACCCCAAGAGTATGTTCCTCAGCGTACGGATCGGTTCCGTCGCCTCTCGATAGTCCTGTTCCACAAGCACCGCCCAGGAGACCAGGGAGGTCTGTGGCCGGGCGGCACCAATCGCCACCCTTTTGCCCTGCTCGTTGTGGGTCGAGATCTTGCTCATGGCGTTATTGGTCTGGTTGCTCCTCTCCACAAAAAGATCCAGCACCGCCTCGTACGTTTCCAGATCGAAGGGAGCATCATAAGCACCCGACTCGAAGCTGTGGTTGCTGTGGCGGTCTTCTTGGCCGGGTTGGGGGGCGGGCGGGAACAGGAAGTGAACCTGGTTCGTCCTCGCAAACTTATCACGGGGCGGGTTCCAGGTTTGGTTGCTGGCAGGCATATTGGAGTTGAAGTGGTTCCAGGGGTTGACTGGGCCGATGAACAGAGCAATGCCAGTCTCGCCCAGGCCCTCGCTGGACTTTTGGACCTCGACGAGCTGTCTCGCGCTGGCGACCACAGTCATGTAACCAAGAATGAATTTGCTAGATTGATTCTCTCGAACAGGGACCGTGATGGAGACAAGCGCGTACGACTCGTTGACCACAAGCGGTCCCAGGAGAATGCCGTTGCCCTCGCTGCCATTGCCCAACGAGACGCCAGGGAATATGTTGGCAGAGAATTGGCTGGTGTTGTTTCTGTAAGGGCTCGGCAGGTTCTTGTTCTCGTATGTGACATTTGGGTAAAGCATGGAGGGGAAGCCATAGTCGGGATCGCCGAGTTTGATGTCGGCACCAGTTGGGGATTTGTAAGGAAGATAGACAGGCTCGTCCAGGGCAGCTGGGCCGGTAATGTTGAGAAGGCCACTTGAATCACCGGTAGAATTGCGAGAATACAATCTGGCTTGCAACAGACCCGACACGTTGCTGGTGGAAAGCGCGCTTGCCAGATCCTCGAGAGCCTGCTTCCAGACGTCCGAAGTTTGGTTGCGGTAATATTCATTGGTGTAGAAGTTCTCGAAGGCCTGCTGAAGCAGGAGTCGTGTAGAGATGGTGAGGCATGCTGTCTGGATCAGATCGATTTCGGAAGAGATGCGAGAGGCCTTGAGAGAGGCGGACAAGGCCAGGCCATCCGTCTTGACGCCAATGACAAAGTTGTTAACAAAGATCCATACGGGGATTGAGACGATGGCGAGGGAGAGGAGCACGGCAAAGATGACGAGGGCCGCGAGCTGCTCTCTAATTGCGATCCTCATTTTGAAGTCGCGTGGGGGGGAAGAGGACGAGGGACTACCGAGGGGAAATCGGACGGAGCCGAGGCGATGCCTGCATTATTCTCGATCTAGTCTGGGGAAAGGGTCTGAATGCGCTCGTGCTGGTTGTGTCGTAACAAGTTGTTGTGGGATCAAGATTCTAGAAAGACCGAGTAGACAATGGCAGGCTGGCTTTGTTTGACGCGAGGTACTCTAACTGGAGAAGGAAATGACCAGCTGGCTGATGGATCCGGGTCTCAGATATGGGTCGGGGACGGGGACGGACGAGACAAGCAGCTGTTGTAGGATCCAGATGGCGCCGAGAATTCGTCGTGATACCCAGATGGATGGATAGTCGTCGAAGTTGTCGTCGTCTTGGTAGAGAGAGGTGAATGGGTAGTGGTAATGGTAGTGGTAGGTAGTCGGGCCTAGACTCCCAAGGGACGCTGCACCGCCGTTGTTGATGGTGGCAAGTGGAGGCTGGTAAACTTCAAGTGAAGTCGGTGTGTGGCTCACCTCGTCCAATCCAACAACAAATTACTAAACTGGGAGAGAGGAGGGAAAGGGAAAATCAGGAAAAGAGGATGGAAGGATTCGGGAGAGTCGGCGTGGTCGGGACGGGTGTGTGAGATTGTGAGATGAGATGGAAGGAATGGATGATGTGAACCGGAAACCGAAATGCCACGGAGGTTGGCTTTGGGCCAACGAATGGTAAGCAGCCCGGGAGTTATGAGTGGCTGTAGCAGCAAATCTGATCGAGATTTCCAAGCCGGGAGCCCAGAGAAGCTCAGCTTTGTTTGTGTAACCTCGAGTTGTGGTGACAGTGGCTGCTTTGGGACAGGTACTCTCTACAGCTACTTCTTTTGTCTATGTATTCAGGTATTGTACATCTCGTCTTCTCTGTATAAGTGAAAGTTACCGAGTCCACGGTTGCCGTGTGTTCTATTGCTTGGTAAGATGCCGTGGAGTGTGGAAGAGTGGATAACTTGTCCGTACAAAAGAACACCCGAAAAGACGAAACGAAACCATCGGAAACCACTCGACACCGACCGAGAAAACAGAAAGTTGAGATGACTGGTGCAGTGCTCGTCTGATCGATGGCCTTGGCAGATACCTTGGCAGATACACTCATGGCACTGTGACAATATTGACCCCGTTCTCGACTGTTATGGATTAGCGGGGTCCACTCCCAACTGTTAGTGCAATGCTAGTGTCGAATAGCCTGGTACTACAGCACCTGGACCGGACCTGGAGCTTCCCGACAGCAAAGCAGATTTGACACGATGGCACATCATCAACCATGGTCGCGGTCTGGATTCACTGCATTCATGTCGTAATGGGAAAGGAGCTGTTGTCATGATGTGTGTTTCTTGGTTTCTCGATTCATGACGTTATCCCCGAAAATCCGTGGTGCAGTTCCATTCGAGCTGGAGACCTAGGAGTATTCATATAGCGGATGTTAACACTCACTATGGAGCACATAACAAACCGGGCAGTCAACTCTTTCCTTCCCCAGACCCCAGCTCCCCCAGACAAATCGAAAAAGAGCGACCTCATTCTTGCCCAAAACGGGAGCGTTAACCGATGCATCCACTCGGTCTAGGCCCTAGCCTTTTCACGGTTAGGTCGCAGTCTCGTGCACCATATCCCGCCCGGCCCCCACTCACACCTTTAGTTGTTTCTTGGCGACTCTTCTGTTTCTATGCCGTCGGTCAGTGATTACCAACCTAATGCGTCGATGCAATGTCTCCGACCTGCGTTTACCCTAACCCTGAACCACAGGTCGATCCGGAACATGACGACTTCAAAGATCGGCAATCTCCATCAATGTTTCGCCTTCACCTCACTTCACATGTTGTTGTCACTGCCAGCGAAAAACACCACAACACATCGTGACTTCCTTGTCTCTGTAATATGAGCTAGCAGAGATTACCATCTATCAACCCATATCATCATGACATTCGTTGAAGCCCGTCTCCGAAAGAAGAAAAAGATTTTCTAAAGAGATATCAGTCCTCTTGATTTTCCAGAGTTAGAGGATGAACTCGATATCCTGAATATCAAAAGCCACCGAGTTGTCATGTTGCCATGCGCTCTGTCGATGGCTTAGAGGGTCGCGTCCTCGGTGAGGTAGCTATCAGTCAACCTTTTCTATTTATCGTGTGTGTCATGTCATGTTTTTGGAATTTTCTCTCCCTCTGAGTTACTGTAGGTTTCAGTCTCTCATCTGAGCAGGTCCAAAATCGTGTATGGGCCAAAAACAAATTCACATATCAGTCAGGAACGTAGTGAGGTACGAAAACTTGAAATTCACAACTACTCGTGTGGGATCGAAACGCCTGTCACAGTCTGAAGGGCGATTCTAGCCCAGACGAGTACTACTTAACCATCTTTTTCTTCCCTCATTCTTGGTTTACCACCACTTTCCCCCCTTTCCCGATACAATTTTGAGTACTCCTTTTGCCCACCCACCTCCCAGTTACATTACACTGCGGTAGATATCTACCACAGGTACATAACCACCTTTTTCTTCCCCTCATTAATGTCGACGCTGTTTTTGTTTTCTTGGTTTACCATCACTTTCCCCTTTCAAATTCCCGAAATGTCAATTTTCAGTTACTCCTTTTGCCCATCCACCTCCCAGTTACACTGCGGTACTAACGTATCTACCACAGGTACATTCCCACAACACCCATCACCACTCCCATACCCATGGTCTTCCACAACCTACCCCCATTCACGCTGGCACCGCCAGTCACAATCGGAGCATCCGCCACCGGCACATTCGCCGTATTCGGCGTCTGAGCCGTCGCCTGCTGGTTAGAGCTCGCCTGCTGGTTAGAGCTCGCCTGCGGGTTAGGCCCCGCCTGCTGGTTAGGCCTCGCCTGCTGGTTAGAGCTCGCCTGCTGGTTAGAGGTCTTGTCGTTGTTGGCGCCCATCACCCCAGTCAGAGCATCATGACCCGACGCATACTTCGCCAAATTCGCCTTCCACTCCTCCCAAGACGCCTTCGGGATGCCCCACTTCTCGGCCATGGCCTCCAAGTCGGGCATCTTGTTGGTCGCCTTGCCGTTGGCATCGGCGGCCACGAAGGGCATGTTGGTGGGACCGAAGGAGGCGGATGGGTTGAAGTCCGTGTTGAGAACCGCGAGGCCCTTGACCTTCTCGGCCATAGCCTTCAAGTCGGGCATCTTGTTGGTCGGCTGGCCGTTGGCATCGGCGGCTACCATGGGCATGTTGTTGAGACTGGCCGGGGCGGATGGGTTGAAGCTCGGGTTGAAAACCGCGAGGGGCACGACCGACTGTCCGTTGGCGGTTTGGGCTTTGGCAGCATCTTGGGCACCCTGGGCTTTGGCAGCATCTTGAGCACCCTGGGCTTTGGCGGCATCCTGGCCACCCTGGGCTTTGGCATCTTGGGCAGCCTGGGCTTTCAAGGCATCTTGGCCAACCTGGGCTTTGGCAGCATCTTGGCCAACCTGGGCTTTGGCAGCATCTAGGCCAACCTGGGCTTTGGCAGCATCTAGGCTACCATGGACTTTGGCGGCATCTTGGGCACCCTGGGCTTTGGCGGCATCTTGGCCAGCCTGGGCTTTGGCATCCTGGCCACCCTGGGCTTTGGCATCTTGGGCAGCCTGGGCTTTCAAGGCATCTTGGGCGTCCTTCCACTTGTTCCACAGGGCGTCCTTCCACTTGTTCCAGTCATTGTTCGCCCAGGAGTCCTTGTTCTCCCAGGAGGCCGTGTTCTGCTGGGCGGCGTCCTTGTTCGCCTGGGCGTCCTTGTTCTGCTGGGCGGCGTCCTTGCTCGCCTGAGCGGCGTCCTTGTTCGCGGCGGCGTCCTTGTTCTGCTGGGCGGCGTCCTTGTTCTGCTGGGCGGCGTCCTTGCTCGCCTGGGCGTCCTTGTTCTGCTGGGCGGCGTCCTTGTTCTGCTGGGCGGCGTCCTTGCTCGCCTGGGCGTCCTTGCTCGCCTGAGCGGCGTCCTTGTTCTGCTGGGCGGCGTCCTTGCCCGCCTGAGCGGCGTCCTTGTTCGCGGCGGCGTCCTTGTTCGCCTGGGCGCCGTTGTTCACCTGGGCGGCGTCCTTGTTCTGCTGGGCGGCGTCCTTGTTCTGCTGGGCGGCGTCCTTGCTCGCCTGGGCGTCCTTGCTCGCCTGAGCGGCGTCCTTGTTCTGCTGAGCGGCGTCCTTGTTCTGCTGGGCGGCGTCCTTGTTCGCGGCGGCGTCCTTGTTCTGCTGGGCGGCGTCCTTGCCCGCCTGAGCGGCGTCCTTGTTCGCGGCGGCGTCCTTGTTCGCCTGGGCGCCGTTGTTCACCTGGGCGGCGTCCTTGTTCTGCTGGGCGGCGTCCTTGTTCTGCTGGGCGGCGTCCTTGCTCGCCTGGGCGTCCTTGCTCGCCTGAGCGGCGTCCTTGTTCTGCTGGGCGGCGTCCTTGTTCGCGGCGGCGTCCTTGTTCGCCTGGGCGCCGTTGTTCTGGCCGCCAAAGCCAAAGCCAGCACCGCCAGCGTTGTTGTTGGCTGCCAAGTCGTCAGTCTTTCTCGCGTTCTTCTGGCTCTTGAGAGAAGGGTTTAGAGGTACTCACCTTGAGCGTTTCCACCAAACCGGCCATCCACAGAGGCATCAACGCCGCCAAAAAGCTGCTGCTGGCCACCCTGACCAGCTTGACCAGCCTGCTGACCAGCCTGACGACCAGCCTGACCCGCCTGCTGACCAGCCTGACTAGCCTGACCAGCCTGACCGCCACCAAACGCCTCACCAGGAGTAGCATACTCATTCCCAAGCCCATCACCACCATCCCTACGCCGCATCTTGCTCGGAGCGTCCTCCACGACGGTGATGTTACCCAAGTTGTCGCCGTTGAACTCCTTCACGACGGTGATGCTATCCAACTTCCCGTCGTTCTGGGCCTGGATGAGCCTTTTCTGGAATTCCAAGTACGCCTGATACAACATATCAATGACGTTCTGGGGCACGCCACGGTCCTTGAGCGCATAGTCGAAGGCGTCCTTGACCTTAGCCTGATCCTCGTCGGACAGCTTCATATTGTAGGACATGCCATTCGTTTGTTTCTGCTGACGAAACTCGACGAACGTCTTGTAGGCCTGCGCCGCTTCTCCCGGGGTAAAAACGGCACCGACGACTTTGATAAAGGCCGTCTGTTCGTCGCCAGAGGGAGTAGCAGCGGGAGTGGCAGAGGGAGCAGCAGAGGAGGAAGTAGTAGCAGCAGGAGTGGCAGTAAAGGTAGAGAGAGTAGTAGAGGGAGCACCCGCAGCAGGAGTAGTAGTAGAGGAACTAGTGGCGGGAGCAGCAGCAGGAACAGTAGAGGTAGTAACAGAGGTAGTAGTATGGGTAGTAGTAGAGGTAGTAGTAGAGGTGGTAGTAGAGGGAGCAGCAGCGGGAGTAGTAGTAGAGGGAGCAGCTTCGGGAGTAGTAGTGGGAGAAGCTGGAGCAACAGAGGAAGCACTAGAGGAAGCAGCAGAGGAAGCAGCAGCATTGCTATTGCTCTGGGTAGTGGTAGTGGTAGTGGTAGTGGTAGTAGAGGTAGTCGAGCCAGCAGAGGGAGCAGCTGGGGAAGTAGCAGGGGAAGCAGTAGTGGTAGTGGTAGAGGGAGCAGCATTGCTCACGGTAGCGGTAGTGGTAGTGGTAGCGTTGGAGGACGACACCTGCTTCTTCTCTAAATGGTAACGAGGAACGGCAGTCCAGGAGTTCTTCACGGCGGCGGCATCTTTGGTATTGACAACAGGAAGGCCGACGGCGGTGGTTTCGGGGACGGGAACGACCTCATCGGGAGAGAGGATGACGAAGGGGTCGACGGCCGCAGCGGGGAGAGTAGTCTCCGCGAGGTGAGCGAGGTGAGAAACAGTACTAGCAGTACCGGCGGCGACGCGACCGACGAGGCGGTTGTGGGCAGAGCCGTCGTTGTTGGGTCCGCGGTTGCTGTTGTTGTTGGTTGGGGCAGCTCGGGAGAGCTGGGAGACAGCCGTAACTGCTCCGATGATGAAGGTGGTTGAGTACTTCATGGCTGTTTGTTGGACGAGGTAGGTTAGCAATGAGAAGAAACAGATAGACAGAAAGGTAGGCGGTATGAACCCTTCAAGGGAGTCTACCAAGATAGACTTGGATACGTACTTTGAAGTGTGCTTTGCAGTGTGTGGGTACCTAGCACTGTCAAGAGAAGCCTGGATGTCTGGTTTGCTCTTTGCTGTGGAGGTGAGGAAAGAAAAGAAAACATACAATCAGTTGAGAGGAATGGGGGTTTATATCTAGGTGGCCGGACTGGAGAGGGGCCTTGGACTAAGAGCACATGTTTCTTTCCTCATGCCGGACGGGCCTATAGTTGGGGTAGTGTTCATCATCGATCGATGGCGAATCTTGGGTACAGCATGGTTGAGGCGGTTCATACTTCTCTGACGTGCGGTAGAAACTGGAATGTGGAACTTAGAATCGCAATGCAGAGGTGAAGACGTCTGGGCAGACATGCTTTTGCCTACTGACGACTGCAAAGCGACCAACATAACTCCGGGCAAAGTCTTTAACCATGCAGAGCCATCCTGAGTTTTACAAGTTGATACAGTAGAATCCAGGCTGGGCGTGAGTATAGACTTGTGGACTGAATGCAAGCTGTACTCGAGCATAAACCTGTCAAGAAAGGGGCGAGTGTCTGTTCGGAAACCCTAGTACATTGATGTGCCTGATAATGCAACTAATCCGGGCAAGCCATCCAGTTAACTTGCAATAAGTGGGAACTTTGTACGTATTAATAGCCTCATACCATACAAATCTGGGAAGTCTCGCTCCCAGAAGGCTTGCAATATAGTGGGCATTTGCATTAAGAGGGCCTCGCAGTATCAGGGCACCTCACTGTACCCGAGCATAGAACTGGCCAGAACGGGGGCGGCCATTCTTTTCGGACTTGAAACCTAGGTAGTTGCATGTGTTATGTATACTCCACGACGAGAGCGAACAGATTCCCCGCGCCGGCAAGAACGTGTAAAGACTTGCATGTGGCCTCCTCACTGACTCCCAAGCCTAGTGGTTCCCAGGAGGATGATTACAAGCGAACAAGATGACGAGATGCATGCACTCTGAGAGCTGCTCCTCGAAAGTGATGAATCCTCACTTAGCTGCCCTGGAGTCTTCTGTTTACGGCTGGCACAGGTTTCTACACTGACAGGACCGAGAAAAGCCAGCATCTCCCGTAACTGCGGAGTGTCCTTGCAAGATTTCGAGTGGCTTCTAGGAGCACAGCACATGCTCGTCTAACACTGTAAAGCGAGGAGTGCTTCCAATGACGATAAAACATCCACAGGTTGATGACGCTGTTATTTCCTGATCATCAACCCTCGCGTCAGGTCAAAGTGAGGTGTCGTCAAGAGGTGAGGTGTCGTCAAACTGTGAGCACCTCCAAGGAAAAAAGAAAAAACATCTAAGAATACGTCGTTACATGAAGCCTAGGCGCGTCTTGCAGGACCTGTCTGTAGGCTTCAAGGCAGAACTCGTGAAACATAACAAGGCAAAAATTTTCAATTTTTTTTTCAACTGCACACAACAAGATTTTGAACAACCCCCTCGGACCTAATCGATGCACCAGAGCTGTCAAACTTGCATCGGAGCCTGTTATATGTCGGGTATAGGCATGCATAACGTACCACAGCAATGGGATAACCGGAGGTTCTTCCGGGAGACGTCAGCTAAAATCCGGATTCCGCGAGGGCGTTTATCCAGTATCATGAAGTTCTAAAGCTAGAAAAAGAACACCATCGCCACCTCACGCCCTTCTGCCCTCGCCTTGATTGTTGACTGCACGAGCAACGCCGACCTACCTCGCATCCAAGCACCAAGCACCAGGGAACGGACATACAATGCCGTCTTTGATCTGTATCTCTAATGCATTCCATGACTTCCGCCACCAGCTGCGGGCGGCTACCTGTTTTCATGGTGGGAGCTTCCCACGGCCACGAGTACAAGATCCCCTTGTTGCCCCATCCCTCACCCACAGCACTCGCTCGCAAACCAGGAGTGCTTTACAAAAGTCAAGTCGGACGCAAGCAGGCCAAATCTCACCAAGTGGGAAAGTTGGCCAAGTCAACAAGTCAAGTTTCAACTCAGACGTGACTTGCCAACTTTGTTTCGTCGGTCCATGTAAAATTTGCCCGCCTGCAAAACAGGAAGGATCCGTCTCATCCGGGAAACCGTTTTGCTGTGGTGGTTCCCGTCCTGACCAGATTATCTGCGCTCCGAACAAGTCAAGTAAACAGACCAATCAATTCAGATCTGTGTAGAAACAAGTCGAAATCTGACTGGGTCGTTACAGAAGTAAACCAACGAAAAGGTCGTAAAAAAACAACCGAACACATAGCAACAGTGACAAAGTAGGTGGTGGGCTTTGCTTCAATTTTTGTCCCATCATATCAACAACTATAATGTAGGATTCTGGGTTCATAAGAACCCTGATTGTCTTCTCTTTTCTTCCATGCAGGTTTGGTGATTTGAGCTTGTGTATTGCTGTTATTACGGCTTAAGGTCTGAGCTGGATCCTGTATCGTCAATTTTTATGTCCGGTTGATATTTACGACCCCCTTCGGCCAAGTAAAATTTCGGACTTGATTTGGCGGCTTGACTCGACTTGACTGTTGACTTGTGTGAAGTACTTCAAGCCACAGCAAGAGAAAAGCAGCAAGCAACACGCAGAGAAAGACAGTGTAAAACCATGCTTTTAAGTGACGCTGATGATCCTATACATTTAACCCTAGACTTGAAAACGGAAAAAAGCACAAACACTTCACATGTTTTTCCTTCGTTCCTCGACCATGCTCTTGACCATGCTTGACCATGCTCGAACCTTCCTCCGACGAGATTGAACCAACCCTCTTTCTCTACCCTACCCTACCCTAGCATGACCTAACCTGACCCATGTGTGTTGTGTGTTATATCTCCTAAACCCGACCCAAGGGGTCCCTATCCTGTCCCGACCGGAGGTGGTTCTCAACATATGCCTTGAAGCCTGTGCTGGTGAAGTACTTCCCTCTGCTAACCCACACACGTGCCGTGCCACCTCCTTAGGTAGAGCTTTGCCGCCAATCAATGATGACGACGGAGAAAGCAAACGCTATGGGGCAGCTTGACTGGAGTGGATCCTCCTCCTCTATGACCCTAAGGGGCGCCCTATTTTTTTTAATCCTCCGATGTCCGCAACGCCTAAACCACAGCCCGGTTCTTTTTTGTGTTTGTTTTGCCAAATGGAGGCCCTAGGGTTGTGGTTCCAGAAGGCGAGATAGTATGTTTTTGACTACTTCCCGGTACGATTTCCCAATCTTTATCTTCGTATTCGTCGGGGTGATTCTATTCCTCTGGGATGTCAGAGAAGAGGCCGACACGCATACGATGGCTCTGTAGAAGTGGAACATAGTAGTTAGCAACATGTTCTAGCTGCACAAACAAGCCCGGTAGAAGAGGCAACTCACGTAAGGCAACTTGGGAATGATGACCGCCATGACCGCCAAAAAGTTGATGATGAAGTACGTCAAGTCGTAGTGCGTGTAATGCGTGCTCAGCAGGAACAAGACAATGGGCACGCTCAGCAAAAACTTCTTGGCGGGCGTGTACTGGGCTCCGTCGTCGATCTGCTCCCACATGTTCAGGTTGTCGTAGGCGCCGCCGTTGAACTCAAAGGGCACGCCCCGGACGTGGTGGAACATGATGTACGAGCCGATCATGTACGTGATGTTGGTCAGCGTCCATGACGTTTCTTGTGAGACACCGGGGACAATGTCGTATATGATCTTGAGGGCGAGGATCAGGACGAAGTGGATTGTCCATGCGCCTGTTTGGGGAGAGGAGAGGTTAGCATAAGCTTTACACTTTGGAAGCTATGTAGAAGCTTGGTTGCACCCCGCGGCGGATAGGGCAGGGATTACGGCAAGCTTGGAGGGGAGGGATGGGGACGGGAGGATCATTACCCTTTGCGTTTACCCAGTTGGCATTCAAGTTGGGGAGGGCAGCCTGATCGCTCAGCTGCTCAACGGGCTCAAGAGGCTCATGGTAGACCTGGAGAATGCTACTAGATCTCCTCCTGCGGCCACCCTTGTCTTCCATTGTGTTCTGATATGTCAAGGAGTCCCGACGCGGGGCTAAGTTTGTGTTGGCGGGCATGTCGTAAGAGACGGTGCGTGGGAGGACGATTGGGGAAGCCAATTTGGCGGTATTGAGACCGACGGAGGTGGTCGTCGGTGTGGTTAACGTCTATGTAGAGATTTCGGAGGGTGTGTTTGCGCGGAGAGGCGAAGATCACGGACTAGTTGGTCTGTCGTGTTCGTCGCTGCCCGTCGTCGTTCGGAGGTGTGGGTAAAATACGAAACTGAATCTCGTGGGGATTCAGGAGCGCAAATCGACTTTGGTTCCGGGCCGGTCGATGTTAATACTCGTCTCTTGACTTGATCTCAGGACAGTGAGTGATGCGAGGATGGTGCAACTTGTCGGTCGAGGTGGGATGATGTCACTTGGCTTTTTGGCTTTCCCCAAAAACAGCCAGTCACCAAAATAGAAGTTGAAAAGGGGGGAACAAAGTTGGAAATGTTCGCTAATCTGGTATTGGCGGCGTAATCGATGCTGGCGCCGTTGGTAGATTTCGGTTGTCGAGATGAACGAATGCTGCCTGTCGGTATGAATCTAGAATGTCGGGGTGCAAGAGGTTGAGAGGGGACGTGCTAAGGTATAAGGTAGGCCTGTACGCCAAGGGCCGAGTGGGTTGGAGTTCCCCGTTTGTCCCAAAAGGCGGATGTTGTTAACTTTGGAGAAGGAATCCACAGACCGGCGAATCAGCAGCGGGGAATGGCATTCAGGAGTGGAGAAGTCTCTCTTGTCCACCTGTACCTGTGGACTCCCGTCTTTTTTCTCTTTAAGCTTTCAACTTCAACGGATCACCAGCTAAACTCCGAAACGAAGTGTTTACGGTATAGATAGCATCCGGTATGTCTAGCTACCATGAATAATCAGTGAAATACGAACCCCAACAACAGGAAATCAATGGCAAGGAATAGTTCATGAAGAGGCCACGCATACCCAAAGAGAGACGGGGGTACCTCAATGATGGACCACGCCGTCCCGCATCCCGCGGACACCCTTCTGGTGCGGACCCAAGGGACCTCGAAACCCGCATCCTGGAATCCTGACCTTGCAGCTTGGGGGGGTGGTGCCTTGTCGTGGCAGGCATCATTCCACTTGTGACAGATGAAAGGGGTCTCTCCCCACGTGAGGCTTGAGGCTGCGGCAGGCATTGGTGGAGGCTGAGCATTTCGCAAGTGGATCGCGTATCATTGGTATCATATTCCCCAAAATTACCAGACGGGGCTCTAGACCGCCCCGGCCACAAGGGTCCCCTTGGTGCTCTTTGTTAGCGTCACACACTGCGAACAAGACAGCGCGGTACCAGATCTCGTCTCCGGCGTGTAAGGTTGCGAAATTGTAAAATTTCGGCTTGCACTGCGCATAGTGAGATTTCGCTCTCCGTAGTAAACCTGCTCCTAACGGCTGAGGTCCAAAACAGCATAGGACCTTCACGCCTAACCCTGACACCATTGTTAATGTCCCCAGCGCCAAGGTCCGTTGCACGCCACAGCATACTCCTTGCCATATAATACTAACCCCTATGCTGTAATGAAGTGTTTTGCGGCCAAATTTACCAAGTACCTAGCTACTCTGGCTGGCCTCCTCTACTCTACCTCCTGAGGGTAGCGGCGTATTTGTTTTCTTGTGTGGTAGCATTCCCTTCTTCCTTGCCATATTCCTTATTATCTTTCTTAAATAGACCTCATTGACTGTTTTATTATTCAAGAAGCAGCTCTGGTATTATACATTCTAAACTATTTATTATTTTGGCGTATATAGACGTTAATATGTCTTATTATTGCGGCGAGTTTAACTACCGCCCTCCTAAACCGCCTGAATTACAATTCAAAGTTAATTGCCAACCCCAATCCAGGTAAGTACCTAATTAATATGTAAGAGAAGTAGTTTTTTTGAGTTAACCCTAAGTTTAGGCATAATTTCGAGTAAGATGAGAAATTCGATGAGCTTATTTAAATGGCTTGTAATAGGAATAAAATAATTATATATATATTTTATTATTTTTAAAAAGTAATGAATAAAGTAAGTAGTAGCTAAAATGAAATTTATAGATTAGAAAGTGAAATCGATAATTTACTTTCTACGATCGAAGAAATCTATAAATTTTTAATAAGTAATAAAGTAAAAGTAAGTATATAATTTATAAATAAGAAGGGAAGTAGTTTTTATTATTGGTAGAAGATTAATCCGAATTGTAGAATATAGAAAGATTTCGAATTCGAAATAATTTGAAGGGGAGGAAGGAAAAATATAAGTTATTTATAGAGAAGAAGAAGTAGGAAGAATTAAAATTGCAAGCTAAAATCGGATATTAATAGTAGATATTATAGACGGCTACGATTGACCTTTAGTTTTTTATTGAAGTTATTGAAAAGTAGGAGGTAAAAGAGAATATTTTAAAGGAAAAGGAAACGAAAAAGAGGGAGGAAAATTAGAAGTTATATATATTAAAAAGTAAGAAATAGATTTAATAGTTTTTTATTATAAATAGTTTACTAATAAAGAATAGCCGTAAGAAGTATAAAGTTAATGAAGAGTAATATAGATATTGTATTTGAAGGTATTTCTCCTAACTTTATAAGAAAATTTTTAATTTAGGGTTTTCGGGTTCGTCGATTTACTTAACCTTATTTATTTATTTAATTTTCTATCTTCTTTCTAATTATTTAATAAATATATATTACGATTAGAATATCCTATAATTAGGTTTATTTATTATTTATATTAGTTTTAGGCCGGTGATTTAGGTATTTATGAAAGAAAAATATAAATAGGGAATTCCCTCTTTGAACGAGCCTTTAATTATTTTTCCCGCTGTTTTAATATATATATATTGCTTTAATTTCTCTTCTTTCTTATGTATCTTTGCTAATTCTTTATTTTAGTTTTGAAAGTACTTCTCTTTATAAAGGTTTTTGTAATTTACTAGTTGGGTTGCGATTAAAGGTATATATATTTGAAGCTTTCGTACGTATACTATACTTAATTTTATACCTTTTTTTTATTCCTACTATATTTTTAATTTATTTTTAATTAAAAAATAGAGAAGATAATAGTTAATACTAGGTATAAAATTATACGTTACCTCTATCTAAATCGGATAAAGAATAATAATATTATTATTTCTATTGCAAAAAACGGGTAAAACGTCTATTTAAATAAATAAAATACGCTAAATTATAATCTAATTAAATTATTAGGCGTAAATTAGAGAGAATGTTTTTTTTCATATAATTTATAAATACCCTCTTTTAATAATATATGCAATACAATACAATCTTTTAGAAGCTGCTATAAGAAATTAATTAATCCCTAACAAAATCGTACTATATAAAAATTGTTTACTATTTTTCTATATGAATAAAGTATTTTAATTATTTTAGTTTAGTAATTAGAATATATAATAACTTAATTACAAATAAATAAAATGCTCGTAATTAAATTTAAATAATCTGAATAAGGAGGCCGGGAGCTTATTAATTTATCCTAATATTGAAATAAATTAAGTAAGATTAAAGAGTTATAGTAATATAATATTTCCTATAAAACCTCTTCTCTTTTTTCTATATCCGCTTTTTTCTTTAATTATTAAAATTTATAGGTTACTACCCCTTCATAATAGTTGAAGAACCTAATTGATTAATTTTTATTTATTTTTTATTTAAAGTACGGTAATCTCTCGTTTTTTGGTAATTTTATATGTCTAAACCCTTTGTTCGAAAATTATTTAATTAAATAAATTTATTTATTATAATGGTCCGTATTCTATTAAATAACGTAAGAATTAATCTTCTTCGAATTATTATTCTACTTATTCCTATTATGGTTATATTTTTGACGGATAATAGGTTTAATATTTATTATATTTAATATTAGAATTCTTATTATAATTAATTAAAAGTCTTTATTAATAATAAATATAGAATCGTAGTCTTAAAAGAAGAAGAAGATTCTTATTACTATAGGTTATTTCTAATTAATAATTTTATTAATTTCATTTTTCAATTAAAGTTAATAATTATTAATACGAGCGTTACCGTAGATGTAAAATTAAATATAATAGTAATTTGGGTTAAGGCTAACCCTATACGAACTATAAAAATATAAAGGTAGAGTTATATTTCTTCCTCCAGGTGAATATAAATTATTATTACTTCTTCCGATCTATTTATATTATTATTATTAACCCTTAAGTTATATTATAGGTTTCGTCTTATAATATCCTCTTTAAACTTAATATTATTTCTACTATTAATTATTCTATTAATAATACCCGATATGCTAACGGAATTATTATTTCCTATAGTTAATACCCTATGGCTATTAATATTAGCGGCCTCCCCGGTTCTATAGAAAATTCTCTCCTAGCCTAATACTATCGTAATTATATTTATAATTACTATTAAGCTCCGCTACTGACTAATTATAAATAGTACTTTCCTATTATAATTATTTACGCGTCGGCTCCTAACCCCTACGGCGATTCTACTATTATTAATATAAATAATTAAATTATTAATTATGCAGTAGCGGGGTACCCGCCGGTATATATTATAGTTTATAAAATTATAGGTATAATTCTTAGTTAGAATTTTAGAAAAACTATTCCTTATAGTAGTATATATATATAGATTTAGCTCTAGAATTTTACGGGGGATATAGCAATTCGAGCCTCGTCTATTGCCCGGCACCTTATAGTAGTGCCTATTATAGCTACGGAACTCCTACTACAACCGAATCCCAGTCCCCTAGCTTTTCCTTCTCCGGTACTACGTCCCTACCTACTACTAGTACTGGCGCCGATCGCTTATTGCCAAACCCCACAGCCGGAACCGGTACCTCCCGCTCCTCCCTCCCTTATGCCGGCGGCACAGCCATGAAGACCTCTTCCCAACCAGGAGTATCGAGCCCCCCGCCAATGTCGCTGCTTCTGCAACTGCCTACGGCGGCTTTGATGGTCTTCCCGCGTTTTACGGATCAGTTAGCACCGTCAGTGCCGGACATACCTTATTGGTCCGCCCCCACTCTACTTCTATGAATACCTACTATTCGTCTGTTTCGGAAACAAGCACAGGCGCCGGGGAACCTTAAAGCACCTTTGGCAAAGAGGGAGGTCACTGACCATTATTTGCATTCGTATCTGATAAGTGCAGACGATGCGCATTCGCGAGGAGGGAGGATGGGGGTGGTAGGAGGTAGGATGGCCGGAAGGGGACAGTTCGGGCGGGTAATTGGCCCAACTCGTGACCTTAATTCGAGTGCCCTCAATAAGTTTTGGCGGCATCAATGGTCGGTCTCCAGTTACAAACCTTTTTATTAGCCCGTTGCTTGACTATCTTTGGCGTTTCTTGTCCCGCCTCTCGGTCATCTTGGTGAGAAATTTTGTGTTGAGAGGAAGGTCGAAATAAGAGTCGGATAACAGCATGACAGGAAGGCGCCCGTCTCTTGATAATCTCGGCGTCAGCGCAGGAAGGCGCTGTCATCTATATGTCTCTAGGATTGTGGAAGGAACAATGGTCAGGAACAAACTGTTTAAATGATATCGAACAATCCTATTCTTTCCGCTGAACCAAAGCCAAGTGTCCTTGTTCACCCTTCCTGGTCCATCGTATATATCATGTTGAGCCGTCGGTTTTTGCAAGCCCTGTTTCGCAAGACGAGAGTCCGCCGGACCAGCCAAAAACTTGGCTGGTAAGAGGGTTGGTTAGTCAGACTGGCATTCCTGCAATGTTGCTGAAGAGACCCTGAAGGAGTTCACCATTGGCTTTACTCAAGGAAAGGCAACCTTTGACTTTATCGATGTTGGCCACGGAAAGGAGCGCGCGGATAACAAGATTAAAGGTAGGTCGGCCGGTCCCAATGTCTCACTCGGTGGATACTGACCCGGAGCAGAAACGGCGAAATGGAATTTGCGCAACTATAACTGCAAGCAGCTTCTTCTCGGCATCTCGCATGACGCCGGCTATGCCCCATTCCTTGACGAGCTCTTCCAGGACGAGACCAAGAAGCGCCGCGTTACCGTTGTCGAAGGTGTTCCGACTGTTCGCGAACTCGTTTCCACTGGCGTCAACATTTTGGACTTCAATGACGCGCACTGCGCACCAACACTTCTCCCTTGACTGCCACGGCACCTGTCACCACTCCTACTGTCAGCAACGGCAATATCCCGACTCCGCCGAACCAGGCAATAAGAAGAGGCCGACTGGGGGAACGCAAGCGGATTCATTAGAAAGAAGCTGAGTAGAGATGGAGAGCGCATTGCAGGAATAAAAGCGAGAAAGTTAGAGGCGTGATATTGACGAGACTAGCTATCGTAGGGCAGTATCCCCATTCCCACCACTATTAATTTCTAATTGAACCCAAATCATTCGCCTTTCCCAACCACGGCTCATAGAAAAGGCAAATACGAGCCCGGGCCAGCCAGAGACTTGCCTAGGTATAATACTCTCCTAATCATTACCAAAACCCAAGTCGCTTATCTTCGATACAGGAATCGAACCCGCTCCTCAGAGGCTTCACCCCTGCGCGCTACCATAGCGCCTATCGAAACGCAAACTCAGGTCAAATCTCACCAGTGGAATCAGCAGCCTCCGCCATAGACGTATCAGTAGCCTCCGCCTGAGCCTCGGAAAGCGCCTCTACTTTGCCCTGCAGGACACGGAGGGCAGCGGCCATCTCAGACATCTCCTTCTTAACATCTAAGGTCAAGTCCCGAATAAACGCAACCACGTTCGTGAAGAACGCTGCCTGATCCTGGGAAAAGGAGGTGATGGTAGTATTCATCTCGCCAATCTGATTCTCGATACCAGCAAGGCGAGCAGCGAGGAGGTTACGGAAAATGAGGGTATTAATGTCGGCAACGCCCGAAACCGGGGCGGGGGCATCAGGGGCGTCGGGAGTACCGGGAGCATCGTCAGCAGCGGGGCCGAATGAGGGCATCAAGGCCGCCTTGTCCAAGCGGGCAAGGTGCGCAAGGACGCGCCAACCCTCAGTGGTAAGCTTGCCGGTAGTCCAAATCAGGACAGCCTTGGGCGTAGGATTGTCCGAAAGATCATTGTGCTCAATGTGGTATTCGGAATACGCCTCCCAAAGGTCGGCAGCGGCAGTAATGAGAGCCTGCTTCCGGGCGGCCGTCTCCTCTGCGTCGCAGTCATCAAACTCGGCTAACTCCCAGGACGCAAAGCTGTCCTACAGCCTAGTTCCGAAGGGTGCCAGGTCAGGGGGGAGATCGCAGATACGAGCCTTGCGGGTTTACTCGCAGGAGGCGGTAGCACGGAAAGCATCGCCTAGGAAACGGATGTTAGTAAGTGAAAGAACACTGAATTAGGGTATACTCACGCTTCACGAAGCAGGAAAAGACGCTAGCAATCTTCCGGAGGACCCCAGGAGACGAGGACCATCTCTACGAGCCTATCATAGCAGCTTACGATGAGGTCATCGGCAAGCCGTAGAGATTAGAAAGGTGATAGAAAGGGTGGTTGATTTTGTTATTCTAGTTGTAGAAGGGAAGAAGGAAACAAAGTTTAGGGCAGGCTAGAAATATGTAGCAGTTAATGCACAGGCTACAACTTTGATACATTAGTTCCATACCTAGAAATTCACATTTAGATAAAGCCTGTTACGAGCTACGAAGTCACGAGAGACAAGCTTAACATGTTGATTCCAGGTCTATACTAAAATCACAAGATAAAAACCTCTCGAGAACTGGGTCTGGACTGGGCCACTGTAAGGGTGCTCATACGGCGTGCCTCCCCTTCTTTTGATGAACGTCGAAGTGGTATCCTCCTAATATGTAATATTACCATTTATGTTGGGATAAATTATTCTGGGGCTAAACATACTAAATCCTTAGCTACTCTAACCCCATCCCCTTCTTTGGCTGCTAGCTTTTCTCACTTGCAGGCCCTATCAATGTTTAAGATATAGAAGTATAGTTATCAAGCCCGGCATGCTTGTTTTGTGGGGTAACATCCTTTGGGTTAGGGTTCTGACCGCTATATCTAGAAATATAGCTCCCCACAATTACTATCGGCTACATTTCCGCACCTCTCGAAGGATTGATTGATTAAAGAGATGCGAGAAAAGAACGAGCAAACGCTATTTCTCAGCCCGGAACGGGAACCTGTCCCAACTTTTCTCTTGTGTCTACGTATGAAACGAGTTAGAAGGGGAATATTCAATACCTTATGGAGCACCCGACACTTTAATAAACGGACTATCAGCTTCCGAAGCGAAAAGAGTGAAGCAAAGAATTTAGCAACAAGGGTGCCAAGCCTTTTTGTCGGTCCGGACTGATAAAAAGGCTAGCTGCATATGGGGAAGCTGGTTAGAGCTGCGAAACAGGGAGATGCCTACAGAGTGGGCGGCGTTCGACGAGCTAACTACAACTCTAAGGATCCGAAGCCGGCAGCCTGCAACTCCACTTAGAGTATGCACGTGCCCAACTTTTCACTTGTCTGCCTTAATTTACTTCCTATATCTTCCTGCCGTAATCTGCCTGTATTAGCCTGCTTCCTAGAAGGTCGGCTGAGCCTATTCCAAGTTTAAAAAACGGGCCTAAAAGTTTAGCGCTTAGAATAGAGTTTTATTGTAGCCGGGATTCTTTCGCGCAATTACGTAATCCGCCATACCCTTTATCTAGGTATAGGTCTTTATTTACTTATTTTGTAATTGTTTATAACAATTTGTATTTATTTACTATCTTCTTTACCTATTTATTTTCTATATAATTAGTAATTCTTAATACGCCCTCTCTTAAAATAATTCTTTTAGAAGAATAGAAAAAAGTTATTATAGAATATTTATTCGGTAATATATTTGATTACGTTTGAAATAAATTGCGCGATTCTAATAAAGTTGATAATATATACCGGGAATCTATTATATCCTTTTTACTAGCGCTTATTAGATTTCTTGTAATATGTATTATTTGTTTTCTTAATAGAAATGGTAATATAGTAATTAGATTATTCGGCTTATAATAGGATATTCTAGGCGGGAAGATAGTAAACTTCGATTTATTTCGCCCTTTTGTCCGTTATATTGTTAATAATTCTAATAATAATATTATTTAGGCTACCATTTTTAGCCTTTTTAATACTTTAATTCCCTATATTCCCGGTATTTCCCCTCTTCGTCCTACCGTCCTACTTACGTTTAGAAGAATGTTTATTAAAATTAATTTAATTTAGTTTGTTAATAGTATAAAGTATTAGATTGTAGAAAGGGAATTATTTTTGGAGATTAGAGATTGTATTTTTTGTAAGGTGGAGGGTTTTTTAGATAAATTCTTTAATTCTGAGAGTTAGCCTAATAAATATAAAGCGATATTGGATGAGATTCTAATAGCGTATAATAGAAATAAATGAACAGATTTTTTTTTTTAAATATTTTTATTAAAATATTAATTTTAAATTAGCTTCGCTCTTTAGGAAAACGTTTTTTAATTAATACCCCGAATAAATTCTATATTATTATATTTATTTATTAATTTAAAGAAGGGAAAGTTTAAATTCATTTTTTTTCAACCGTTAATTACGGAAGTGAGCGATATTTATAAATTTAAGGATATTCTCGTTATTGAGGAGCTAAAGAAGTTATACGATCGATGTAGGTTTAAAGCGGATTTTTTGTAATTTACCCGCTATCTACGGAGTGTTTTTAATAATTAGCCGACCTGTCAATTCGTTTATACCTTCTTTTTTTATACTTTTTAAATAGAGTTTTAAATTTTCGATTGGGTTAAGGCGTATAGTTTAAAGCCTTTCGATATTTATAATAAGCCAGAGGAGTTTGCGTGCGCTTTAGTCGGCTATTTTATAATAGATTTTAGTACGATAGGGTTGAATACTTTTATTGAGCGAAGTGTCGAGGGAGGAGATTAATGTTACGTTACGTTAAATAATATAAACAGTAAAGAAAAAAAATTCAAATTATATACAGTAATAATTAAATAGAATATTATTATATATTGCGGAATTATTTATTTTATAATCTATAATAATGAAATTATTAAATTCGTTTAGGTATTAGGTAAACGGATATTAGAAGTAGAACACTTAATGTAAATAAAGAAAAAGGACGTTAAAGGGGTAGTTATAATAGTAGTATATTATTGAATTATTATTATTGTAGAAATATAGAAGGGATTGTAATTTTTAGCGGCTTATAAGTTTTGGAACGAAATTAATCGCTTTAACGGCCTTTTATCGATTATAATAATTATTAATATATCAGGATATAAGCGTAAGTCGCTATCTGACGCTATTATTAATATTATATCTGGATTTAATAAAAAATAGCGATCCGATTTCTAAAGTATCTTTAAAAAGCTGAGCATCCCGCCGCCGTCGTCGATAAGCAAGACCAAACCGAGTATATAATTGTCGTCGTTAATAAATAAGATTAAGGCGACTTTACCTACGCTTAGCGAGAACCTGTAGGAAGATAGAATCTATTTTTGCCTCGTTATTTTATTAGTTGGGTATACTATTAGTAAATTTATAGCGATTAAGTAACTATTAGAATCGATACGAAATATAATTAAAACGTACCGATCTCTCTATATTATTAATAATATTTTCTACTATAATATTTTTTTAAATAATAATATTATTATAGACTCCGAAAATGAAATAGTAAATAATTTTAAAAGTATATTAATCGATTTTAATATAGTTAAAGAACGAGATAGCGAACCGAACGGAGTATAATAAATAATTAGTATAATTTAGTTTATAGCGATTGAAATATTATGTAATATTGGTTATATATATTATTATAATTTCGAATCGTTTTTCTACGTCCTACTTTGGCTATATGCACGCTAATTATAGTATAATAAACTTTCCGGCTGGGGCGAGGAAGTACTTAGGGTAAGCTTTTTAAAATGATGGGAGGAAGGTAGTTTTAGTTAAATTGTTTAGAATAAGTAAAATAATATATCCGGCGGGTTTAAAGAGATTTTAAAAGAGTTTGTAAAATTATTAAATATTATTACACTATTTTATTAGAGGATTAAGAAAATTCTTTTTCTTTTCGGCGAAGATGAAAATATAAATATTAGAACCTTGGTAAGAGATTTAGATTAATTCTATATATTTATTATAGTAATTTATAATAAAGTTATTAGTAAATTATAAAAATTATATAGTAGGGGAAGAAAAGCGATAGAATAGGTAGTTAATTTTATTATTCTAATTATAGAAGGGAGAAGAAAATAGAAAGAAAGGTACTTTAAAAAATAATTGTAGTATAGAAATAAATAAGTTTCAATTAAATAGAAAAAAAATTTACAATTAATCGGCGCGCTATTATTATAATTAGGGGTTTATAGGGCAATTTAACGTTAAATATAGGTAAAGAATTATATAATTGTATAAAGAGGGAGGAAAGGAAGTGTACGCTAGCTAGGTTTAATATAAGGGTTTGGAACGTATAGAGCGCGTAGCTACGTAACTACTACTTATTAAAATTTAGCGGTCGGGATTAATAGTATCCTAATTAGTTATACCTAAAAAGGTATTATTTGTAATTATTAATTATAGGTTAATTTTGTAATATAATTATTATATTTATTTAATTCTCCGAGTTCGTCCTTTCGACTTTCTTAAAGGGCTTTAATACCCTTATTTATATTTTTGATCTTGCTAAATAATATAAATTTTCCTAAAGCCTCTCCGTAGACGCCGAATACCCTAACGCCCGCTTTATCGGTAATATAAAACCCTTTGTATTTTAAATTTAAAATATTATAAACGAATATTAAATATATACTTGCCTGTTTCTAGGAGTAAGAGTTTTAATTATAGGAGAATAAGGGAAATAACGATTGCGAAATTGAGGGAGAGAATTACAAAGGCGTAAAAACTTTTGGAGGAGGCGGATATTAAAGTTATTAATAGTATTGTTAAGTAGCTTGTTAATTTATAAGTACCTTAGTCCGTTGCGATTGCTATCTTATTGCGGTTGTATATTGGATTTTAGTTATACGTTATTAGTAAATAAATCTAATTTAAAGGTTGTAAAAGTATTACTTCCTACCTTTTCTATACGTTTACGCTTTTAGCCTAGTTATATTAATTTTAGTATTAGGTATAGTCTATATTAATTATAAGAGACGAAGATTGGCTGTAAATAAGATTGCGCTTTTGTGTTTCCTTGAGATAAGAAAGTCGAATTTGGATAGGAAGTAATAGTCGTAAGGAATGTTTTGATGCTAATTTGTTGAAGCCTTATTATTTTCTTTAATGAGAATTTATTACTCCGTTTAAAGGGTAGAAAATAAAAAAGTTTATTGTATCCTTCTATAATCTTTATAATATTCTTAGTATGGTGTATTTTTTCTTTTAGTTTCTTTTATATTTTGGTTGTGACTATAGGTCTTTCAATCTATTGTAACGGCCTGTCTTGCTAGTAGTGTAGACCTTATGTATTCCTACTAAGCCGTCTAAGGTCTCGGTAGTGAAGAAATGACCGTAGCCTAAAACTATAATGGGGGTTTCATTAAGATCGATCTCTTCGCAAGTCTTGAATTCCAGTAGGTCGACCCGGTCGTCTTTGCGGGAGCAGCACACCTGGCAATAATCCTGCGGACACTCTTCCCCACACAGACTTGGACACTGGTGGCCACATGTAAGACGACGGGTACAACGTTCATCACACGGCAGCCGATCGCAAGGCGCTGCACAAGGCATTGTGCATGACCCTTGATGTTGGCATGAGTGAAAATGGCATCATTTTCATCGTTTTCCTTTACCATTCAATATCCTCTCTCCGCTTCATATCCCCATGCCTCCGGCTCTCCAAATTCCCATTCTCTTAATTCTTCCTCAATCCAACCTGGTTAAACCCAGCCTCCACCGCCGACCTCCCCTCGCTTCCCAACCTCTACCGCATCACTGGCAACGCTCACTACCAGAGGGGAGTCTCTGTATATCGGGCGTGCTGGGAATTGCTGATTGTGTGGAAAATAGATGGGCAAAGAAGACGGTAAACAACAAATGCTGGTTATTGAAAGAAGAGTTAGAGAGAGTAAACAAAGACCCACTATTTATGGACCCAGACATTGGCGCGATAGACCACGTGATCACGCGGAAGACTACTGTTCTAAGCGCCAAGCTTTTCAGCCCTTTTTTTGAAACCGGAGTGGGCTCGAAACCGAACAGGCCTTAAGCACTATCTGCCGCCCTATCTTCAGTCATTAATGGATTCGACTACCTTGCAATGAGCGTTTGGGCTAGAACGTTCATTGGCGGGCATTAGATTTTACCGAGCGACGAATAGTCATTTCAACTTCAGCTCATCATCTACGAGCGCTCAGCTTTTGAATGACAAGGTGAGCCACCCAAGACTTTGAGGCGTCTTGTCTCAGACCCTCTGCGCCATTCAACAAACACCATCGCGCATTCCGTCCTTCACTTTGATCCTTGAATATCGATTGTATATCGAGCTTTGGCCTTGATCTCATCACTGGGAACCAAGCTAACAACCATGGAAACCAGGGGTCGAATCCGGCCATTCTTGGTCTAGGAATTTGCTTTTGTGGCGCTGTTGCCCCACTAAAATTTCAACACTGGCATTTGCAGTGTTCGGCCACTTCACTTTGACTTACCCAGACACTCACTCTGTCTCTAGTTTCAAACATCATATATCGATCCCCCAACCCAGAATGAGCGCTCCGGGTTCGCCGTCCAGCCGCAAAAGGCCTGCCGATGATGAATCGGATGCCTCGGGTGTCAAAAAGGCCCGGGTGGAAAATCCCGAGGCTGCCTCCAACACGCCGGCTGATGAGTTCGAGGAGGGTGAGATAGGAGATTCTCCTTCTGGATCTGAAGCGGCGTCGACCAAGGACAACGAGGCTGAGAGTACGCCAGCGCATGGTGGTTGGAACCGCGGCGTTAGCAACGGCCTGCGGACATCCTTCATATCACTGAGTACATCAAGCCTGCGCAAAAAGTCGCAAAAGAAGGAAGCCGACCCAGAGCCCACACCAGAGACGGCGTCGGCATCGCCTGTCAAGAAGACCAAAGGCGGAAAGCGTTCAAAGAGTTCATCGCCGACGGACCAAAAGGTCCTGGATGGCTGGCTCGCCCTTCCTCCCCATCAGCCCTTCGATTTCAGGTCACGACCGAGATACCCAGAGTCGTGGCAGATGCGTTTTGTGGATTTCTGTGAGACTCTTATCAGGCACAATATCCGGTGGCCCGAGACAAAGATGGACGAGGCTCAGGTCAACAAGATGAACAATCCCGATCTCTTGTACAGGGCTTGGGTGCAGTGGCTGCAGGACCACGCGGACCAGAAAGGCTGCTCTATAGATCAGGTGGCTGCGGGATCCAAGCTGGCTTCAGCGCAAAAGCTGTCCAGAGAAAGCCTCGGACAGATAATCTCTGAAGCACTCAACGGCGAGCCTGAGGGACCAAAGACACGGGCTAAAAATAAAGAGCCAAAGAAGACAAACTGGACCCAATTCACTCTCCAACGTACCAGATTCGAGAATCTGACAATGCCACCGTTGGTCCCCAAGTCGGACTTGGATGAGTTGAAGAGGGACAAAGACCTTTGGAAGACCAGATTCCTTCAGTGGTCTCAGGATTTCATCAACCTGAATCGAGACCTTCTGACCGCCGATACCCCGGAGCTCCTGGGCGTTATCTGGACGTCCTGGTGTACCTGGTTCAAACAGATTGTGACAAAGAACAAAACTCCCGTTGGGAAGGACGTTGCTCGGAATTTCTTCCTCGAGAACAACGAGGATGTTGAAGCCGTTTACCGTGGTATCATGGCAGCCAGTCCAAGGCCAGCTTTAGATGAGGCAGAGGAGCCACCAAAATACGAAGAGACAGAAGCTGCCGATGAACCGAGCGAGCGCCCACAAGTGGCAGCCAGAAACGAGGAGCAACAACTATCACAACCCACAACGCCCAGAAACGAAGACGTCGACCTCCACATCCGCCACAAATACTTCTGCGGTCTTGAACACAACCAGCTCTTCTGCATCGAATGCGCCTCCTACTCGCACGACTCCTCGCAATGCCCCCTCCTCACCTGCCGTTGGTGCAACGCCGTCGCCGAGCACCCATCCTACGCCTGCCCGACCCGTCGCCGCTGCACCAAATGCCGCCAGCTCGGGCACGAAGCCGAGTCCTGCACCGAGAAGCTCGCCCTCCCGCGCGACCAGATGGAGTGCGCCATCTGCGGCTCTCGCGACGGACACCTCGAAGAGACCTGCGTCGAGCTCTGGCGCACCTTCAAGCCCGACCCTCTCACTTCCTCCAAGGTCAAAGCGCTACCCATCTACTGCTACTGCTGCGGCAACGCGGGCCACTACGGCGCCGACTGCGGCATGAACATGGCGCGCCCGGAAACGATTACGGTGTGGGAGACGTGGAGCAAGAGCAACGTCGAGCAGCTTTACGTCGATCCGGAATCCGAAAAGATTGCCATTGCGCTGAAACCGATGCCCAAGGGCTCGGTTTTGGCGGCGTACAACGAGGAGGATCCTTATGCGGACTGGGATGCAAACAGCAACGGCGGCAGACCAGATTTCGGACATGGTATTGCGCCGCAGAGACATGTCTTCTTTGAGGACGATGACGAGGATGAGGAAGATGAGGGGTTTATTAGGCCGCCGGTGCAGAAGAATCAGGGTGGACCAGCGCAAGGGAAGATTAACTTTGGTGGCGCTGGTGGTGGTAACCGTGGCGGACGAGGCAAGAATGGAGGAGGTGGTGGTGGTTCCTTCAACCCGCCGCTTCCGCCTGGTCCGCCGCCTGGAAGACTGAGGGAGTTCCAGAGCTACAACCATGGCAGGGGAGGCGATTCTTTTAAGAATGGCGGCGGCGGCGGGGGCGGACGTGGTGGTGGTGGTGGTCGCGGTGGATATGGCGGCGGCCGGAGGGGTAGAGGTGGGAAGCAGTGGGCAAGGGGACATCACTGAACAGGCACGTGGTGTTTCTTGGATGCGGTGATCTTGTCTCATCCTACGAGGCCCAGAATCATCCAGATTTTCATGATGGTTTGGTCAGAGTCGAGCACCGTGGAGTAGCTTGGACGCGGTGATCTTGTTTCACCTCCTAGGTTACGAGGAGTCGGGTTTTCTCGTGGCTTCGGCAGGCCATACGTAAACCCGATAACTTCACTTCCTTGCTCGTACAGCACAGCCATCAGTGTACAATCTTGTCATCAGCGTTTGGAGATACTGTTACAAGCGCATTGGTATCCAGCAAAAATAGATCGGAATAACTCATGTACACGGCAGCTCATGAAGCGAGAGGTTCTATCAAGAGTTTCTCCAAGTCATTATCGTGTGTGAGTCACTGGAAGAAATATCGAAAGAATGTTCGTACCTTCCCGATACGGCGATATCAGTGTCGCGAGCACGGGAGGTGAGACCGAGGTGTGTGTGGAAACGCGGCTGAGTTCCGTGCTCCCGAATTCCTCATCCTCCTAGCAGCCTGGCTTTGATGAACTGTATATATAAAGACACTCCGCCCGCCCACCTTGTCTGCCGGCGCAGCCGTCGGTGAACTTGCACTCTCCCCATAGATGAAACCACCAAAGTCCAACGCACTGAAAGAGCTGTCTAGATTTTCAAGCTTTCCATCACCGCTTTGGTTTGACACTTCCAGCTGTCAGTTAGTTAGCTAACACATGTCTTGGCCGTTTGACATTTCTCTCCCAGGTCCCCTGGGTCCATAGTAGGGGTGACAACTCAGCAAGCCAGCTGGAGAGTGCTAGAGTGCTAGAGTCTCATCATGGAGAGATGTCCGAGGCGGTCCGAGTCCCGATCCGAGCAACCGGCCTCACTTTTGCCTTGTAACGTCTCTTCCTCTGTGCTCTTTCCATTTTCGAATGCCTACAGCTAAAAGCAAGGCGTGCCATACCCTTCTTTATACCTGCCACCACCCACAGCCCTACACAACAATCATGAAAATCTGACATGTGCCTAATCGTGAACGTTTTGGGCGCCAACGTGTACCTGACAACCCTTGCCCTACGACCAGGGACAACCGCGGAGGGAGCGGGGCCGCAAGAAGGGTCCAGTCCCGGACCATCCCGTTTCACGAAACACGCGCCGGAGCGGAACGAAGTCATGAGTCCATTCGACCCCTGGCGCGATGTGATCCTGTCGATCCACGTCAGTTGTCTGGCCCGGACGGAAAATGACCCGCAATCGACGGCTTGGATGTGGAAGGAGGGGAGAGACGGTGGTCTGGATTTGGAAATGTGGAGCTGTCATTGGTTGATGAGGGGTGCTTATCGATAACAGTTTGCACCTTCTTCCAAACAAGAGATGATGGCTGACTATCGCGTAGCTAACAAGAGAAGGTTCGACCACAATAGTGATGTATATTGATTGCTCTTTTCTCGAATAAACGCGAGCACCATAGAGGTAGCCTCTGCAACGTTTCATCCTCATTGATAATAATCACAAATTTCTTTCCTCCACACCATCTTCATGATCGACCGTGATACTTTGAACCCGTTAAGCATCTGCTAAGCATCCAGCTCCTCTTGGCCACGGCAGTCACCGCATCGGCATCCTCCATCGACGTTCGTTTCATTGTTTCAACTTTCCTCTCTTTTCCCCACCACCGACTGCCACCACACCTTTCGCATCTTTTTCGGGCCCCTTTGGATCGAATCGGTTGCCCCTGGTTGCAGCACCATCCCGTTTCTTGGTGAGGTCGACTGGCTGAGAAGTCTCGAGAGGTCAGACAGGCTGCATTGGTGTCATGCGGGGGGCGCGACCTTTATTTAAAAATCCGGTCTGACCACTCACAGTCTTCGGCGCGGCTCGAGAGAAAGACAACGACCAACCAGCAACGACACACCTCACCATCAACCAACGACCATCGTCGAGATCCAGTCCGGTCCAAAGGTCGCGCTCGCAATGGAGTCTACGGAGTCTACGGAGCAAAAGACTGCAAAGCCACAGTCGTCTCAAGTCTTTCTCGAAGCCTCTCACATTCCGTCCCCATCCGTTTTTTTCCCACCCACTTGTTCCTGTCCCGACCGACATTGCATGGTGCAGCCGTCCGAGATGCCGCCCCAGAATTCTTGCAACCATCATCTGTAACCATCTGCAAATGCACGAGAGACGGCACTTTGATTGCAACTGAAAATGAGTCACTGACAGCCATACGATATCCAAGTCGAGACACCAGTCTGCCTTCCTTTGATGCTTGGCATATGCTCAGTATGCGTTTCTGAAGGTATACACAACCTATGGTCTGCCATGTTCTGGATGCAGTAGTTCAAAGGGGGAGACATACCGAGTGGTAGGTCCATGTATGTCGGTCGGTGATGAGGTGTCACCAGTGGGGTATATCTGCTTGTTCGAGTCCTCCTCCACTCTTCTTGGGGGAACAGAAAGTCCTTCTTGTTTCTTCTCTCGCTTTTCGTTGGCTTCATATCCCTTTCTGCTGTACAAGGTTTAGAACCGAAAACGACGTTCACCTCTTCTGACGACATTGGATTCTGAGAGAACCATCGTCGCCAAAGACGAAAACGGATAGAGAGGACTTACACCGGTGGACCACCACCAGCATCTGAGATACCCAAAGCCTCTCTTCCCCTACCCACCTTATCCTTCTTCTTCTTACTTGTCGTTCATCAAATCATATTCTTTTCTTTTCACTTCAAGTTGTATACCATGGGAAAGGTGTGATACCAGAAGACTTAACTCTCAACCATCACATCATATACCCCAAAACATCATCACATCGTCCAAGACATGCAAAAGCAATCATGGCACCTAATACCAACCCACAAGCAGACTTCTACTGCCTGTGGAAAGACGAGACCATCCGCGAGAGACTCTTCGACCTGCTCGACAAGCGCGACCTCTGCGTCGTCCGCGCCACCAACTCCACGCTTTCCTCCCTCCTCACTAGGCGGCTCTTCCTACGAACCCACCTAACCTTCACAGCCAACACCTTTACCAAGCAGACGCGCATCTGCGCCCTCAGTCGAATCGGCCACCACATCGAGCACCTAACCTTCTCCTTCCCCCATTCGGACGCGACCTTCCTCCCACCTTTAATCCACCCAACAACAGGCCGCGAGATCTCCTTCCTCTACCACCCAATCACCTCCATGGCCGCGGCGCTGGTCCGACCGAAATTCACAAACTCCGAACTGGGCCAGATCCTCATGGAGCAGTACCCGCCCTTATTCCACGCGGCTTCCAACGTTCCCTCGTTCATCCACGCCATGCGCCATTTGCCCAACATGCGGCACCTCTCCATCAAAACCCCCGGCCAGGACCCCAACGAGCGGTACCGCAGGGACTGCGTCGACTACGCACTAATCAGCTTGCGCATCTCTCTGGAACGGGCACCGCTCACCAAGCTTTCCAAGCTTTCGCTGTCGGGCGTCCACCCCACGGCCTTCAACTACCTCCGCCACACGCCTGGCTCCGGCTACGGCTCCTCCCCCTCGTCCGAGCGTCGCTGGCGACAGATCCGCAAGCTGTACATCAGCGTTGAAAGCTGGGATTTCTACCACCCTACCTCCCCCGGGCTGGACCACCTGAAGATCATGGATGAATTCATTCGCTGGTTTGCTCCACGATTGGAAAAGCTTAGTTTCACTTGGGATGGACACCGGAAAGGACCGTGCCCTATTGCGCTGGGTGAAGATCCCCTTTTCGCGCCAGCTGGAGGGAAGAAGCAGCAAAAGAAACTGTTCAACGAGTTAACAGACTCCATGAGCCCGCTACCTGAAAGGCCGAGACGAAGAGAGATGAATATGCCTCGTCTTAAGTATTTGTCGGTGCGAAATGCGACGATGAACGCTAGCCAGGTTAACGGGCTCGTGAAGAGGCACATGAGGACGGTGAGGGAGTTCCAGTTTGAGGAGGTCTTGCTTGTCGGAGAAGGGACGTGGGACGAGGCGCTCAAGCCACTGTTTGATGAGGCGGAGCGGAGGGCCAAGGGCGGAAAGAAGGGGGATGTTTGGTGTAGGCGGTCGATTAGTGGGAGTGTTGAGAGCGGAAGTGTGATGAGGCAGGGTCAGCGAAGGCAGGTGAGCGGGTTGTCGAGCACGACGGATGGGTGTGAGACGCTGTTGACGGAGTCGTTGGCTGCTACGGCGATGACGAGGGAGTTGTTGAATGTGGATTTGGAGACGGTGTTGTTTAATGGAGGTGGCTTGGAAGATGGGGTGGATGCGCTGGAGGTGGGAGTGCAAGAGTGGGCGAGGGGGGTGACGGCTGCTGCTGTTGCGAGTGGTATGACTACTAATACCGTCATCCACGATGGTGGAGGAGCCAACAAACGTGGAAGCGGTACGATTACGACGATTCACGAAGAGGGTGAGGAGGAAGTCGATGTTGCTGATCTGCAAATGGGCACCAACATGTCTGTCAGCACGAGAATCAAGAAGCAGCGTCTCCGTAAGAAGAGCTCTGGGAAGCACCATCGCGGAGATGACAGCATCACTGAGGGAGAGGATGCCGATGAGTCGCGTCGCCGGGACCGCGAGCGCCGTGAACGTGCCAGCGACGATGAGCGCAGGCACCGCAGCAGTGAGAAGGAGAAGGATAAGGGACGCCACAGCCGAAGCAAGACCAAGCACTCCCGTCGTGACGAGTCTAGCGATCGTCACCGTTCTCGTTCACCTTCGCGCTCCCGCCATAGTTCTCGTTCTCCTTCGCGCTCTCGCCAAGGCAAGCACCATCGTCATCACCGCCGGGAGTACCCGGAGGACGACAAGGTCACGACTCTTCCGACCTTACCAGAACTCAAGACCATGTCTGAAGTCAACGGCGCCGATGATGAAGACCTACCTCAGCCTCCTCAACCCAAGAACGCTCCCTACACGCCACCACAACTTATTACCCAGCGACTCCCACCGTCACCTCCCCAATCTGCCGGTGGTGCGTCCAACAAAGACAAAGCATTGCCCCCACCACCACCAGGCTATTCCTCGCCCACCCCTCCCCGCTCTCCTCCCCGGATGACCAAGCAAGATCACCGCCCCTCTCCTCGTCCATCTTTGGACACTCCTCAGGCTGCCCGGCTCAACATCACCGCCCCCATACTCAATGCCAACCCCTTCCCCGCCGTCCTCTCGCCAACCGTCTACGACCCCTCCTCCAAAACCGGCCCCCTTCTCGGCATCAGCGGACCACAAAACGCCCGTGGCGGCGCCGTCGGTACCCTCCTATTCCGCGACTCCACTTCCTCCAACCCCGATGGTCCCTCCCTCTTCGCCGATCTCGACGCTCACGTGGAATCCGAGCAAGATCGGGCCGCCGCCCTCAAAAAGGCCAGGGAACAGGTCCTCGAGAAACTCAGCAAGGAATTCGCCCACGGGCCCTACGGCACTCCCTCCACCATTGAATCCATCGACCATCCTCAACCTCAACCTCAACCTCAACCGGCGCGTCCCCAACCGCCCAAGCGCTCCAACTCTCACTCGATCAAATCACAAATCCCGAACCCGTTCCCCCTGAAGCGCGCCAACTCGCATAACCACCACCACACCGGCACTTCCAGTGGTCACAGACGCCAACACTCCGGCCACCACGGGCACGACTCACTAGCAGTCATGGCCGCCCTCAACTCCTCCCGCTCGAGACCAGGCGCTGCTGAGTCGGCCCCCACCTCCGCTGTAACTGGTGATCGTGACCACGAGGACATGCTAGCTTTTAGCATCCCTTACCACGACCACCACGCTGATTGCGGGGTTACTTGCGCTCCGCCTACCTTGCCTCCTCCTCATCACCATAACAGCGCCACTTCCTCTTCCCTTGGCTTCGGAGCAAGACTTAAAGAAGGGCTGTTTGGTATCGTTAGGGCGGGGACGCCAGGTTTTTCGAGGAATGGTACTCCTGGGCCCTCTAGAACCGGGACCCCTGGGATTTCTTCTATGGCCGGGACCGAGACGGTGTTGCATCGTGGGAGGAGGAGTGAAGATGATGCAGGAAGAAGACAAAGGGAGAGGGAGGTGAGAGAAAGGAGGGAAGAGCGGAGGGATGATCAAAGGGACCACTGCTACAAGTATGGACACGGAAGTATCGAGAGCAGTGCTAGTGGTCATAGTCGAGGGACTACTGGCACCGGGAGTGCCTATGTCCCGTTGATGACCAGTCAGAGTGTTTTGGGGTATAAGGGAAGCTGAAGTGTTGAGCGCTTCAGAGAGATGGAAAAAGGGAAGCATAGAAAGGTCCTACAACCGACTGGTCGGTCACACAAGAGCATGAAATAGTATAGAGCATTGTTGGAAACGGGCAACGGATAGATGGATGGGGGCAACGGCTGCATACAAGTACACGGATGGTTATGGGCTTGGTTGGGACGGTGATGACGATGATGATTTCATGATGATGTTATGAAAAATGATGTTTATGAAACGAAGTAACGAGTTTTCTTTTTCCTTGGTTTTAGCTTGTACAGTTTATATAGCTCGAGCTCGATGCTTGATGTAATGGAGGAGGTGCTTGTTTTCTTAACTGATGCTTGCTTGCTTGGTTACTTCTTGTGCATGTGCTTGACCATTTCGAGCGTTGCCTCATTTTCTGCCTGGGAAATAGATGACATATTGACTGCTTGCATTACCGCCCGAGAAGTCAGAAGACAACAATCAACTGCACAATGGGGAAGGCACGAACGGATGAAGTGGTACAAGGTGGTGTAACTCGCTCTCCGAATCGTCATGAGAATTCTGCAGGTGGGACCCGAAGTGCCATTTGCCCCTGCCTTTTCCCTCGCGAACGACAAGGCCGTCAGTCGTACCGATCTATCAAGGTTCTCACATCATCTAGTCTTGACAAGGCTTCGTCGCCTCATATGCCGGGACAGTATTTCCATGTTCCTCACATCAAAATGACGCTCAAGTCCAAGTTCGACAGTGAGAACACCATCAACAGATTGCGTCGACATTTCCAGATCTGTCCTTCGTCACATCTTTACAGCCAGACTTGCGCACACAGCTTTTCGAAACTAATCGTCAAGTCCACATGTCTTCCTACCAATTCCCCGTTCGTTTGCTCTCCGTCACACGGCGAACTGAATATCTCTGCACTTTGGCCAGTACCGCAGCAATATTGGACACAACTTGCCATCGCGGATTAGGCAACCTCTTTAAGCGAGCGCGCACGAACATGGAGGCGACTTTGCCAAGTTGCCTCCAGCCCACTACTAGCTAGGCAAGAGTCACGTTATTGTCATACCAACCAAGCTAACCAAGGCAACCTCGCCGTCAACATAGTTACCTACTTTGGAAATCTCGGCCTGATCCCCGGATGGCTGACCGAAAGCACGTGGATTAGGAATTGCTGACTGACTACCTATGTGACCGCGGGATGGCCCGAATACCTGTCTAAGCTGCCTGGATCGTCACCGGGATCTTACCACACCATCATCCCCTTCCGTGAACCGCGGAGGCACTGCAAGACAAGACGCGTCACGTCGGCGGCGACGTCCCTTAGAAGACAAGACACAGGCCGTAACTACGCAAGTGCGCCACTGCCCATGCCTTTCACGACTAATCACACCCCGTTACGACTTTCATACCGAGATCAAGTTCACGTCGGTACATCTCATTCATCCTCGCGGCCGCCCAGTCTCACTAATATCACTCCGTGATTTCAGTGACTCACCCCGGTGTGAGCTTCAGTACGGCGCAGTGTCTATACGGCCAAGCTGGGCAACGCGGCTTACCATTAGTAGAACACTGTCACTTGGTCAGTCTCGCACCAGTTACCATCTCCAGGCATGTGATGCCTCGAGTTGTTGGTTGGGTCAATTTCTTCCCCCCTCCTTGGCGACGGCCGGATGTGACGTCCATTCGGTAGCCGACTAACCCTTTCCCTCTACATCCAAGGGTACGAGTAACAGCAGAGCCACACTCATCTGTAACATGTTTGGCATCTGATGACGACTGGCGTTGAGGGACGTGTGTCTTCGTACGTACGTCCAAGGAGGCTCCGAGCAAGTGCTCACTACGTCCCAGCCCTCGACAAATCCCGTGCGATCAACCAGGTTCCTAGGCTGGTATTGACAAGCGGGTTGTTGACGATCAGGCACCAGCAGACATTTTCCAATCCACTAACGTCTGATTGTCTGGACGAGAAGCAACTCCAACCGCTCCGCACTTCGGTGTCTAAACAGGAGGCCGGTCAAGACACACTCGGCCTTGGGCATACAATGGAATATCTCGCCTTATACCGACATTAGCTTGGTCTGGTTTTCAGGTCGCCGTCCTCACATTGCAGATCACTTGTTTGGGATACATTGGCAGTCACCTATCCGACTGGACCAGAGAGACGATTCATTGCTGAAAATGAGGCTGATGTCGCAGGACAGCGTCGTGGCCATCGTGGAAGCCACGGTCTACGTTTGGGCCATGCATTGCGAAGGCGAACTGGGCAGCGACCTAATGGAAAACTCGGGACATATTGGGATTGGATATTGCAGCCTTGCGCCATGGGCTGTCAACCTGGCATGGCCATTGAGATGTCGCGTCGTTAATCTCAGCCATGGACGATGGTGCGTGATACCCTGGTGAGTCACTTCCGTGATGAGGCGCGCGACGTGGAAGCGAAAGGTTCACGGCTGCCTCCAAAAGTCTTGTCTGGATTGTTACCTGGGCAGCATTCGGGTATCGACTCACTTCCGTGGCCTCCTCATCAAAGACTGAAAGAGATATATCTAGAAGGTTGCGCTGTCATCATGGTGAGCATCATGAAGTCATGTTCGTTGTTGTTCAGAGCAAGCTGGAAAGTACTAGCTGCACTAACAATTAACAGACACTGAGTCACGTGGGAGGCCTCTTTTAGCATTCAGCCCCAAATCTCTCAGCTGTCCAACAGCTGTCGGATACCACGTTTCCACGTGTCGTGCGTCAGCGGGCCGGAACCGAGCCACAACACCCGACCCCTCCGAAATTGTGACAGCGCCCACTCGGACGTCGAAATTCACAACCTGAAGCAAATTCTACCTGCCTGAGGTATCAACCTCGGTCGCCTGTCCAACCAGCGCCAATATTGACATTGATACAGTATCAACAGATAGGGGTGTAAGAGAAGGTGCACCGCCGACCGCGGGAGGCAAGGTCAATATCCGGATTCGATTATACACTGGCCCGTTAAAGTCTGTGAGAGTTCACAAATATCGACAAGTTTCGACATCTTTGCCATCAGCATCTCACCACCCTGACTTACAAGGAAGAAGCCGATACCGTCTGGGCGCAGGCAACCGCATAACTCCAACGCCTTACCCCGGCCGTGTTCAAGTTCACCGTCGCGCACGGTGAAACTTTCAGTCAACGACATGAGTATCGTTTACGGCGAAGAACGGGAATTATTCCAGGACGAGAATTACCCGGATATTGACGACCACATCACTCACGATTCTCATGAACAACACCATTCAGAAACACCACATGATACTCAGCAACAACAACTGGAGCATCCCCTCCATGACTCTCACCCACAAGCTCATAACGCCCACCAAACCCACGAATCTCATGAACCCCACCACTCTCACGACTCCAATAACCATCAAGAACTCACTGAGCAGCACCATGGCTCACCCGACACTGATCGCTTCACAAACGCGAATGATGTCGTTGTGAGCGATCTCTCAAGCGACTTGGTGGAAGTTGCCCGAGCCACATGCAACGCGCATGCAGCAGCCGCCGCCGCAGGGGCCGCATTCGGCGCCGTTCAGAGTACGGATCCGCGACTCAATAACTACCTCACTGCCTCGGCCCCGGAACCTGAACCTCAGCCGGCACCGGTATCGGTAGACGTACCAGTTTCGATCTCACTGACCGTTCAAGCTTCCCTGCCTATTCAGCTGGCGCAACCATTGGAACAGCAGCAGCCTCTTAGAGTACACCCACAGCTGGCCCCAGAACTGCGGCAGCAGCTACAACCCTTGACACCAGCCGCTCCGTCGCCGCCTTCACATCCTCAGGAGCAGTCGCCGACTACGCCAGCACCATCGGGGAGAATCAAACCTATCCCTAAACCAGTTCGTCAGGCTACGAAGAATGCCGAGGGAAAGTTTGTCTGTATGTGGCCTGGGTGCGCGGAGGATGTCAAGGAGTTTGGCCGCAAATGCGAGTGGAAGTAAGTCCCCTTCCTTTATCCCCTTCCCCTTCCTGAAGAAACATAATTAACAAACAACCCCTTCAAACAGTAAACACATGGACAAGCACGACCGTCCATACAAGTGCGGCGCCGTAGGCTGCGAGAAGCTACCAGGCTTCACCTACTCGGGCGGCCTCCTGCGTCACGAGCGCGAAGTACACGGCAAGCACGGCGGCCCAAAAAACCCTTTGCATTGTCCACACGAAAGCTGCAAGCGCGCCACCGGCAAGGGGTTCTCCCGCCTAGAGAACCTAAACGAGCATCTCCGGCGGGTCCACACCCACAACGCGGATGGTACTACAAACGGGATAGTAGGGATGATGATATCAAACGGCGGCGGCCTCAATGTCGGCGACGAGTCCGACGAGGCCACCAGTGACGACACGTCGCTCGGCGGCGGACAAGCACAAGCACAAGCAGCAGGGCCAGGTCCAGGTCCATCCCAGCTTTTATTAAAGCGAAAGCGGCGTCGTGATGAGGACGGCGTTGGCGGCGGTGAGACGTCGGAGTTACGAGAGGAGATTAAGCGGCTAAGACAGGAGAACGAGGAGTTAAGAGAGCAGGTGCAGAAGAATACACAGCAGACGACTCTGCTGGTGCAAAAGCTACAGGCACTCACGGAAGCAATGTCGCCGAGGAATAATATGGCGCCGACGACGGCTCAGATGGCGGCGGCGGCGGCGTCGTCGTATTAGGAAGGCGATCAGTCGAATGCCGCCGATCGAGGAGATGGGCTTGGTGCCAGGGGGGATGTCGTACAAGGGGAGCCTGGATCCCATCTTGACGCAGGATTCCCCGGGGTTGCAAATCCAGAGGATATAGAACAGGAGAGGATGACACTTAAGACTCGTCTCCAGATCCTTCTTTTGCAGGCCATCGGCGCGGGGGAGTCATTTGACTCTGGTTCGAACCTCCCTGAGAGTTAAGATGCCGTGCCCGTGCCCGCACCCGCAGCCAGAGCAATCTCCTTACCCCCCTTCCTTCCTTTCTTTTTATTTTTTTTATTTGCTTTCTACACCCATCCATCAATCTTCGCATTCTTCTTCTTCCCTTCGTGCTCTCAGCAATCTGTATTTCTTTGTCTTTTTTCTTTTTTTCTGCATTTCAGGTGTTGAGGGCTGTGGCATTTTCAACGATTCGCGTTAGTAGAGCATTCATACACAACACACACATTGGCTTTGGCGTTTCATCATGTATCGTGGAAGAGCCTAGAGTTTTTTTTTTTTTTTTTTTTTTTTTTTTTTTCCTTCTGTTACACTGGATGGAGGCTTATTTTGCGTCGTTTACCTACAAAGCATGATTCACATTACGCATGATACCCATGAAAGATAGACCCTGTAGAGTGGGTTTGTTTGTTTGTTGTACGATTTGGTTTGGTTTGTGCGATAAAGAGGCGCTGTGCTTTCACCGTTTGAGAATATGAGATGAAAGGGAGGAACGCCTCTAGTGTATACATATGGGGCGAGGAGGTCTGAAGTAGGTTAAGGGGCTCGGGACTCGGGAAAGGGCCTCGTAGAGATTGTATATTTAGAGTAGTGTCAATCATCAGAATAATCCACATCTTATACTAAACAGTTTGCTTGCTCTTAGGTTTGACGTGAACCCTGTCAGTAACCCGAACCGGTATTGAGGCTACCCATTGGAAGGTACCTACCTAACCTCAATGTCATCCATCCGGTTCCGCTCGACGACTCTTTCGACAACACAACTCTTTTTCTTCTCACTTCAAGGGAACCTCTACCCTCCTCTGTCCTCCAGCTACCCTGCGCCTGCATTGGCGTAGGCGCAATGGATGGGTGGATGGATGGGGCTTTGTCTTTGGGCGTGCAGTGAGTGTGGTTATGTCATTGAGACTTGACAGCGGTCGGTCGTAAATAAGGTTCTCAAGTTTGAAAGAAAAAGAAAAAAAAAGTCACACCTTGTTGTTAACCATGTTGTTCGTCAGCTGCATTCACAATTTCACAGACATACAGAGCCCTATGGGCACTCACTCGTTATCCACCATCACCATCACCACCAGTATTATCTTTTTCAAAACCGCATCATACCAAGGTATAAACCGACAATTTGAAATCTCCCCCTGATCAAGTAAGTCTCTTTGATCAATCAACAAATCAAATAGCAAGTAAGGGGGACATGTCTACTATGTATGTTGACCGAAGATCATCAACGCAGCAGCGACCTCGAAGGTTGCCGGCCAGACAGATAGCCCAGGGTTAGGGTTCGTTCGCTTACAATTCAACCGTAACCGCCCTTTATAAGACCGAAATTTGTCACTTCTCAAACGGTTACAGCCCGGGACGCAACCAACGGTTTATACCTTTCTCTTATCCCCTTTGTGTCTGTCGTGCGCCCTGCGGCCTAACGTCCGTTACGCGGTGTCTTCTGCTCAAAGAGGTGAGATGGTATAAGCCGCGAGTACGCCTCCGGACTGTAACTTTTGAATTTCTTTTTTTTGTTCTTTTTTGTCTATGTGATGCTAAAAGAGTGAGTGAGGAGTGAACGATGGATGCGTGGCATTGAGGCCTACAGTTTTGATGGCACGTTGGCGGAGGTGGTTGCATGTGCGCAGCGTGTGCAACATGAATGGGTGATTTGACGAATCAGAACTGGGAGAAGAGAAGGGGAGAGTAACCGGATGAGGAATAGCGGGGTGCGCTAGATGATGGGTTCGAGTCTTGTTCTTGTCGTTGAACTGTCTCTTTTTTTGCATGCGAAGTTATCGATATCTTTTCGCTGAATCCATCCCGATATTAACCACCAGCACCTACCCTACGTGATATCTGATGTCTTGGAACTTCACATACGCCAATCTTTCAGCAGTCCACCCCGGCTGCAAATACTTCCCATCAAATCTGCTCTCAAAAGACGATTCCACCGCGTACCTCGTCACCAACTCAACATCGACCTTTGCCCCCTCCTCCGTCTGCGCCCAAACCGCGAGACCGATAACATTCTCCCCTCCATGATTGAGTACGCCCGCCGGCACGGGAAATACGTTTTCGGAAGCAATAGAAGGGTAATACCTCCCGTACTGATACCCGTTGACATACAAGAACGCGCGATAGTTCAAGTTGGAAGTGTCAACGGGCGTGAACTTGAATGCGAATGATGCGTCTAGCCCTTTGGGGGCGTCGAGAGGCAGGGAAGTACGGTAGAAGCGGACAGTTGGGCCGGTGAAGCCTTGCGCTGGGGAGGTTGATGTGTTGGACCAGTTGGAGTCGTCGAAGCCTGGGAGGTGCCAGCCGAGACGCTCGGCGGTGAGGCCGCCTTCGTTGTAGTGAGTGCGGATGGGGTCGAGTGTGCTGCGGTTGGTATCGGAGCCGCCTGCTGTTCCGGCTAACTTCCAGAGTGTGAACTTGGGGGGAGGGCTGGAGCTGGAGCTCAGAAGGGTGACGTTGAGGATGCCGCGCGGGTTGAGGGCTGCGGAGAGCTGGTCGTGGCCTGTGTCATCGTTCATCACGAAGAGGACATTGGTTTGGTTGGTGAAAATGGTTGCGTTGGCAAATGACAGGGTTGCGTTGCTGGCGGTCACTGTTGGGTCACCTGTATAAGAGCCCAGGAATTGGCCGTTGAGGAAGGCGGACCAGCTGTGAGCGGTTCCTCCTTGGATATTGAGGTAGACGCCTGTAGCTGCCGCCTCGCCAGAGAAATGGCCGCGCCAAAGCTTGATGCCTGTGTGGAAGCCGTACTCGTCTGAGAAGAGGTAAGGCACGGTACCCTTGGTGGCACTGGGTGTTGTGGTGTGGTTGGCGATGACCCAGGCCGGACCATTGTCAGAGTAACCCACGGCTTTCTCAGGAAGACTATCTTGAGATTTCCATGATCCAAACTTCGGGACCGAGAACTTCACCGGAGCCTGAAGGGATGCCTTGAGTGTACCGTACTTGGTCTTTGTAGTTTGGAGTTGCTTGCCGTTCCACTTTATGGTTGAGACGCGGTTTGATGTAAACACCTCAATATCGGTTGCGTTGTTAGAGTCTCCAGTGACGGAGATGGTGTTCCCTTGCACGCTTGCTGACCGAACAAGGTGTGGCCCAACGACAATGGCTATGCTCTGTTAGAAAACTGACATTTGCTGAAGAAAAAAAATGTGAACTCACCAGTCTTATCCACAGGCACCTTTGGATCCTTGGTCAAAGCAGGAACCCAAGTCTGGTAGGCAGTCTCACGATCGACAAGCATAACCCTAACATCGTTATCGAAATCCAACACAGTCGCACCCTCATGCTGGGTAAAACCAACCACCACACCCTTATCCCGTTTGTCAAAGACGGCTGTCTGACCTCTGCTGCTGGAGGCTAGCGTACCCTTCTTGGCACCCTTGAGATAGAACTCCCCGGAGATACCAACGGGAGTCCACAAAACCAGTGTTGTCTTTCCATCAATGACACTGTAGGTCAAGACCTCCGTCGTTGCGTAGTAAAGGCTGTGCTTGCCAAAGTGAAAGTCGGCAACAAAGATTTTGCCTTCATGGCCAACGAGCTTGGGACACGGCGCGACTCTTGGGACGTAGAAACTTCCCACGCTGGTGGTCACGTTGATAGCAAAGGTCTCCTCAGAGGAAGAAGATGTCGTGGCATGACGAAGAACATAGAACCGAGCATCAGTTTTGGGGTTTCTGAGCTCGGTGGTAAAGATGTTTGTGTTGTTGGTGTAGTTGGTGCCGGTACCGAGACGGTCCGTGTAGGCAAGCTCATCAGCAGCACGAATGAACAGACCCAGGTTCTTAATCTCGTAGTATTTACTGCCAATGTTACGATCCTCGGAGATAGCAGCACCGTAATCGTAGCTGCTACCCAGGAAGGGAGCCGCCAGCCACCCCCAGTTCGTGCCACCGTAAATCATGTAGAGGTTTAGGATTGTAATGCGCTGGGCAATGTTGTCGCGGTAATAGAAGTTGACAAATTCGGTGCCGGTTCGTTCTGCGCATCCGCCCGCTGGGCTAAGCCAGGGGCTCATGGCTCCTCCCTGGAACTCGGGCATGAAGGACGGCTGGTTCGGGGATACGAGTTGGAAATGGTCGTGGTAGTTGGAGACGGCGAACGGCAAGATGTTGTTTCCGCATTCTTCTGTAACGCAGGACCAGCATTGCGGCTGGAATAGTTAGCGAGTCATAGGAGAGGATTGACGAAATTGATTACTTACATAGCTGTCTAGGCCGTAGATATCCACATCTCCTCCAGCGCCAACAGTGTCATAGTCCTTCGACCACGGACGTCCATTCGCATTAGGAGCATTGTGTACACTAGGCACCACAATACCATTCTCGATAGCGTTCTCCTTCAACTTCTCCATGTAAGACACGGCCTTCGGATTGGGTATCTTGACCTCCACATTCTTCCACTGCTCGCCGTATTCATTCTCGAGCTGGTACATGATGACTGTACCACCCTCGGTGAGTTGGAATGGCTTGACAAGCTTTGCCATGCCCGTCTGGTACGGAGTCCAAGCTTCGGTAAAGGCCGACCCATTAGAGCGCAACTCTCCATAGGCACCTGTGGTAGACCAAAGCGCCATTCCTCCAGCGTTCAACTCGCCATTGATATATGGCCCGGGTCGTACAAGAACGTAGAGGCCGACTTCCTTGGCCATCTCGAAGAAGCGGGTCAGGTTGTGCGCGCCGGTGTCGAAATCAACTTGGTCCGGAGTAGGGGCATGGAAGCCCCAGTGGGTGTAGATGGAGATCATGCGCATGCCCATGGCCTTGACTTTCTGTAGGACGTCTTCCCATAGTTCAGGAACGGGCAGTCGGAACGGATGCATCTCGCCACCAAAGAGGAACAGGCGTTCGCCATTGATGATGATGCTGTAGTGGTCCCATTGGATCTGGTTTTGGAGGTCGTTGCCCTGAATAGGCCAAGCTGAGGATGTGTCAGAAGCTCCTAGCACGTACTGAAGACCTGACGATAGTAGCAAGAGGGCGCAGGCGGGGGACCCGAGGGCCCTGTTGACGAAGCGCATTGTAACTACCTTCTTGGCTGTCGTGTTTCCAAGCTGTTGAAGAGTTGCGGTCTTCCCCGGAAATTGGGGCCCCGAGCTATATTTGAGGACTCGGAAAGTTCCATCTGATGATGATCACTAGCCCCGGAGGGTCTCTTTCGAGGTGATCCCATCATGGTTCTTGGCTTTCGGATTGGTTTCCGTCGATTCGGAGTGTTTCCTGTGGATAGAGTGGCCGCGAGGTCGGGAGCGTCGCATTGAGGTGATTCGCGATGGCCATTGTCGAATGGTATTGTTGCGCTTGTAGCAGAGTCGCGGTTGAAGAGGAGACACCCAAGTTTGGTTCTGCAATATGCAAACGGAGAGAAATTGATTTGGGGAATTAATTATTATTCCACTGCTCATGACGTTGGTCCTTCTCGAAATGGGATCGTGGGGTAGCATCGCTTCCCCGAACGGTGATCGGCGTTGGTCAGTGAACTTTGCCGAGGATATTTCCACCCGCTTTTTGTTTTTCTTTTAACTTTTCCTTTCCTTTTCTTCTGTGTTTCGATGATAAAGTCATTCCATGAGCACAATTATTGAAGCGTAGCATCCGGGAATTCCTTCTTTCCTCTTAACAAATGTGGTCCACATCGACCTCCAAATTTCCCCTCCTTTCCCTCACCGTCCCAAGTTCTCCCTCGGTCAGCTTTCGCCCGAACACCGAGCTCCCTTTTGTTTACTTTTGTTGTCTTCTTCGTCAAGAGTTTTTTTCTTTCTTTCCTGGTTAGCCTTTTGACTGGACCGGCGTCTTTTCAGATATAGCACACACCAAAGACGCGTAGATTTACCAGCCAACTTTTCATTCTGCGTTGTCCAACTACCTACTCAACACCCAAATAGGTGTAAAAAGAAATCTTGACAAATCCAGCGGCTCCCAAACAAGAACCGAGGAGGGTATCTAGCACTAAATGCCGTATGAACTACCGTGTATGTGATCCGTAAATGCTCGCGCAAGACATGCTAGATGGGAAGAAAGGAAAAAGAAGCAGAAACAGAAAACATTTTCATGACACATGAGACCTCCCGTTCTTCAAACGCTCCATCACCACGTTGTGGTCGTTCCTCCAAAAACTTTTGTGCTCTTGCACGTCGTAACGTCGTAATCCAACTCGTCTTCGCCGTTTTTGTTTTGCCCACTTGAGCCTTCATCGCAGCAACAGAGAGCACGGCTCTTTTCTGGCCTTGTCCCGACATCAATGCCACCGTCTTAAGCTGTGAAAGGACCTTCACCACCCCTTTCTCTCAGCAACTCAGATCAGAGCAGGCGTAAGAGCCCGGTCACGGCTCTCGATCCTTTCGAGCCTCTCGCTCCTTGCATCATTGTCCTGTTCCCGCTGCTGTTGCTCGGACTGCTGCTGCTGACCCTCTTCCTCTTGATGGGCTTCCGGCTGCACTTCCAACAAGTCTTCCGTCTGCCCCTTCTGCTGCTCTTGCTCCTCCCCACCCTGACCCTCTGGGAGCTGCTCTTGCTCTGGTTCCTGACGGTCATTGTCCTCACCCTCAGGCTCATCCCTATAACTCCTCGTCTCCACATTTTCCACCTCCGCGTCCTCATCAGCATCAGGTTCATCCCTATACCTCTCCACCGCCACCACGCCCTCTCCAAGATGGCTCACACTCTCCAAGTCATCATTCCTCACGAAGAGTCTCGCCGTCGCATCATCATCCACATCACCCGCTCCAACCACATCCACCACCGTTCGGCGTTGCTGACGGTTGGACCACCACTTGGGCGCCTTAAAGGTCGGCCGAAGGCTGAGGTTCCTAGGCCGCGAGACGAAATCGTACCAAGGGATCTTCGGTCGAGAGGCTGGGCGCAGGCGGCTGTTGCAGTTGGGGCAGTCGGGCGGAAGGGTGTGCCAGGCGGCGTATTGGATTAGCGGGTAGAGGGCTAAACCGATGGCGAAGCCGCGGAGGGCGAGGTAGGTGTGGATTAGACTTCTCAGAGGGGAGAGGGGGGATGTTAGTTTTGTGTGTTCAGGAGTATGACAGGGAGCTCAGAATAAGGGTGGAACAACTTACAAGCTTGCCAACAAAGGAATTGTAGCGTAAGCAGCCAACATAGCCAGCTTGCCGCCCAAGACGGGGTTGGTGATCCCCGTCCGGCCCTTTTGCGTGTTGATCCAGGTAAAGACTAGAACAACCATGATCCCCGCAGCGAGGATACTGTCGACGAAGAAGATGAAGATGGTGTGAGCGTAGAGAGGGGTCTTCTTCTCCTCCGCCTCTTCCTCCCATGCGGGTGTCTGCTCCGCTTGGGATCTTTCCGATGCCGGATATTCTGGCTCTTCCGCTCCTCCTTCGATGAGTGGTTCCCTCGAGCTGATTCCAGCCTCGTCTCCATTCCTGACGGACTCGAGATCATTGTCTTCCTCAGCATGTCCGATACTCCGACGGTTGTTTTGCTTGCGCTTGCTGCGGCGGCGATAGGTCAAGAGCAACACCGAGTAGCCAGCGGAGAGGGTCATGGGAGCGAGGCCAACGGCCGGTATGGGGTTGTGTGAGAGAACGCCATGAGTGATACACAGTGGGAGGGAGGGGATGAAGGTTATTGCAGTAAGGATGCGCAACAGAGGTTGCGTGTCGCTGTCGCTCATGGTGATGGCGGCGCTCCAACACCAAGTGACAAGATCACGGGAAGAAACAAAAAGTGCAATGAGGTAAGCACCTGCGCCGGGGGAACTTGCGAGTTCCTGAATAATCAAGCTTCTATTCAGAGAAGGGAAACAGCTATGAATGAGTGAGAGAGTAAGGAAAAAAAAAAAAAACGCAGAAGCTGAAAACGAGCAGAGACGACGAGAAGAGGGGTTGAGCATGTGGTGTTCGTTGGCACCTGTCGAGCTAGTGTTAGTTGGTGTTAGTGTCGTCGGTGGTTGCCTTATCAGCCCTCGACCCTGGACGTTGCAGTGGAGCTATCGCTGGCCGCTAGGGTGCTCATAGCGCTCCACAGTGGGGACCATTGTCACGTCATTGGACCCGTACTGCGAAGGCGGGGGTCTAGCGAATAGCAAATTGACTGTCAATTGACTATTGGGGGGTCGTAAACGTTGGTAATTTTTTCAAGTGTGTAGTGGCTGTTCGAAATTTTTCAAACATTTACTGAAATAAACATTAGAATGTATCCAAACGTTAGAATGGGTAAACGTTTAAGCTGTTAAGCGTTGGAACCTTACTAAATATTGGGATTATTAAACGTTTATAGTATATTAACTATTTATTGAATATTTAATAAATATTTAGTTACGGTTACGGTTAACGATCCTGGTTATAATTACGGTTATAGTTATAGTTACGGTTACAGTTACGTTTACAGTTATATTAATGTATTTAGTTTCTTGGTGACGGGAAAGATATTAATTGGCTACCTGAATTCTTTGCTTAGAGAGAGAGAGAGAGAGAGAGAGGGGGGGGGGGGAGAGAGAACTAGGCAACTAACTACTAAAGTATTGAATTTGCAATGCCACTTGGCTGCAACTCCTACTTGGAAGATACAATGCTTTAGTAGTTAGTTGCTTAGTTCCTTAGCTCCCTGGTACCTTGAGTAAATGAATGACTTGGAGGTTTTTGGTTGGAAAGAGGAAAAGGAAGAAGTGCAAAGTTTTTTTCTCCGAGGTTGGCTTTATAATGGTGGAAGGTGGTAGCCGTCGTTCTTTCCCTTTTACTGTTTTTCAACTTTGCGACTAGGTTGAGGCTGCAATATTCCAGTCGGTTGCTTTATATATACTAGCAACGCTGACCCACACCCAAACGTTTATTTCTATCAACCATTTAGAAATGTATTTGGCTGCATCAACCGTTGATCAACGCGCTTCGTAAACGTTTACCCCGAAATCAACTGTAAATTCACTGTTCGAAAATTTCAGACTATTTTTCTACTGTTCGCTAAACCCCCCCCTTCGCAGTACGGACCTCGTCTGATATCGCGACTCGCGAGCACCTGGGCACGTGGATGGAACCAAACTTGACTTCATCTTCTCACAATTTTTTTTTCAATCTGGAAGCTCACATCACGTCTACCCTCCTGCCTATCTTGGAGCTTATGATAAGACCTCGATTCTCACTCATCAACGCAGTCGCAATTCTCGTTCCTTGAGCACGACTTCAATTTGTCGCCACCGCAACAAATCCGCTGGCAGCCGTTCATCGACATCCCGAAAGACCGAATCTGATGTTACGCGCTCATATACCCATCTTCCAGCGCTGTATTCGATCGGTTGAACTAAGAGGAACTTCATGGAAAGGAATCCTTCCATATTGTTCCAGTCTCGTGTAAGAAGCAGCGCGACGAGCTTATGTACTTTCCCTTCGCCCTCCTCTAAGGTGTTCGGTGGGATATTTCTCTTTCGAATCCCCAATCGACTTGCACTGAAGGCCAGCGGCTCGGTATAAACCCAACCGCTTTCCAAGGGATCACCGTCCCAAGGTCCAGTCTTACGCCAAGCAAGGCTCACGTCGAAACATGTCCCCTTGATGTCCAAAAACTTTGGGTTCAGGCCAAGGGCTGAGTTCTCAAGGATTTTTTCCGCATCTTTCTTCCAGTCCATGTCCATCTGACGGTCCTCATATACTGCCGAAATGACACAATTCGCAGCATGATCAACGCAGCTCATCTTCCTCTGCACTTTCAGCGCATACTGAGATGTGTTTTTCCACCCAACCCAGGTCCAGCTTGGGAACTCGCTCCTCCGTGGCCGTTCCAGTCTTGTCGAAGACAACTCCGCCCTCGGCAAACCGATGGCCCTATCATCCCAATGGTCGGCCCATAGCAGACCTTCGATGAGGACGCTTATTTCGCAGAAGCTTTTGTGCCCCTGTTTTAGGTTCCTACCGAGTTTCGCTGTTGTATCACCAGGCTGGTGCACGGAAGATCGAGAAAACAGAGGCATGCCACACAAAAAGGCGACACCACTGTGTTGGCTACTCTCTGACCGATACATATCCAGGATGCGCATCACGTTCGAACGAGAGGGTGCGTTTCAAAAACTCGTTGATTCTCTCCCAGACCGTGCTAGTGTATTTGAAGTCATCAGGAGATGGGAAAACGAACTTATTAGTTTTTACAGTTTGTCGGGATACTGGTCCTGATGACGTCTGGCTTTCTTCGCAAATCATATGCTGGCATTGGAAAAACACCTGGTTGTCGGTGAAGACAAGGCGCCGCTTGGATAACAGAGCTTCTTGGTATGTCCAACCTCGAGTGCTCCACAATGATGATCCGATATCATCCTCGGGCTGGTGATGCACCATGAGTGATCGTGGGAGCCCATACACGCTCTCAAAATCGATCCGCAGTTGGGGATTGCGTGCTCTGGAGCCGACGCCCGGCAAGCCATACTCCGCGTCCTCTCCAGCTGCCGCAATTATGGTTATCGCCGAGCGGGCGTAAATCGTGCCCATGAGCTGAATTTGAGTGTGTTTTGCCCGCTTATCGGCTTGCGGAATACAATATCTGTCCACCCACAGGTATCTGAATCCTAGCTCTTTTACCACCCTGATGGAATCCTCGACGACCCTGGGCAAGCGAATGGGGAGCGTTGAGACTGAACCGTTCTCTTCGACATTACCGGATGTACTGCCTGAAGGTGCACCCCAGACGTAGCTTAGGGTCAGGTACACTTTATCAACAGCCTCAGATGCCGGTATAATGCGTCGGGCAATACAGTCGATGAACTGAAGCCCCGGGACAAGACGAAGATCCGACGGGTTGTTGAAGCATTGATCTCCGTGGCACTTCACACAGTCATCAAGCCACTTTGCAATGAATCCATAATCGACCAAAGGTGGGCGCCATAAATCGCAGGCATCCTGGAGAATAACACGTCTACCACCAATGCAGTGCGATCTGTCCCTGGAGGGAACCATATCAAAGCTCCAATCTTTTCCCCAGAAGCAGTCGTCGCAGTATCGTACAGTCATAGCGGCGGCGAATTTCTTGTCAGATGCTGCCGAAGGATCATCTTCGACTGGAGCAAGCGCACCACTGGCATCAACTTCAGGCCGTTTGGATTGCTGGCTATCAAGTGGCTTCGAGACATCGTCCATCGTGCGTCGTTCGCGATAATCAGGTTGAGCAACGAGTCCGGGAAGGTCGACTAGTCGGCGAATCGAAACGGGTAGGAATCGCAAACGGAAATACTTGGGCGGCCAGCATTGATTTTGTCAGGTTGAAGTCACAACTTCAGGCTGGAGACAGAATCAACTAAGTCAATTTTGGGGGCATGAGCTATTGAGCTGGCCTCGACGTGGTCGGTCAGGCAGCCGCACGAGAAACAGGCCGGGCGGAGGTCATTCAGCCCACTTGCTTGACGACGTAGGGTACCCCAGCGCTAACTTTTGAAGTGGGAATGCCCCGCCAAACTTGTTACTGTCGAAGTACTCACTGCATTGTCTTGGCATTGGATATTCGAGTTTGGCAGGGCTTTCTTGCCCTCTCCGATAGGCCATCGAAACCCTCAAACAAATGTCAACATCATCAACGGACTACCATATGAAACGCCTAACAACATGATTGGCCAATGAATTGAAATCGAGGCACGGCGATGCCCGATCAGCCATGATATCGTGGCGCAAGCCATTGGGAACTGGTTCAATTACACGTGGTTGGCCAAGACAAGTCCACGGTCGATTTCACCCCAGCCCTACAGTACCAAACAAAATCTCGAACAATTTCAACCCGTGCCAAGTCCGCCCACAGCGACGAACAGAAAACTTCTTTTGATTCTTTGAGGCTTCCAAAACAAACACCAGATTTTAGCCGAGTTCCCTAATTCTGCGCCTCAAACGATGGTTCCACCCAGATTGGCTAGTTTGATCGATGTTCATTGGCACCGGCGACCCAAAAAGCAAAATCACGCAGTTCATGCTTCATGCATGTAGACCATGCTGTGTTGGCAGCCTCTCATCCACATGGCTAGGCCGGGCGACCGGTACCTGGCATTGGGTACTCCGCAATCTCAAGTTCCCAACCTCGTCTTTTGATGTTTTATTCGGAAACCACAACAATGGGCAAATGGGCGGTGTCCGCATTAACGTCATCTTCCAACATCATGCCCAACCTTAATCAGGTAGCCCAAGTCCGAATTGTGGCCCACCGCTCTGTCAAAATGTTCTTTTCAACATTTACAACTTCATACCACCACGGCAACAGCTGGATCTGTATGCCTTCACCCATTGCACGCCAGAGAAAAGGTCTTTGAGAACGCTCGAAGCAAAATGGCGATCTCCCGACCGAAACGATCACTGGCTCGCCGGGCCGTCGCCTTTGTGAAAAAACTCATTCACAAGCATCCAATTCCTGATCCGTCTCTGCCCGTCCCCACAGCAACACAGGCAGCGTCCCAACCAGACAAGAAAACCATCCTGAAGCACCCAGCAAAGAAGGACTTCCTGAAACAGATTGTGCCCGAGACGATTGGGGACTGCCCGTTGCCATCCTTTGATCCCGGCATCTTTCACAGTGAACTGCTAGATCTCAAGCTGTACCCTAAGGTCGATCCCAATGACCCCAAGAACATCAAAGAGCCAGAAGGGAATGTCCGTGAAGGAACATATCTGGGTACGCATCTCGCCTTGACTCAGGCGTATGAGCGTGTTGAACAAACGTGGGTTGATGTTGCTGGTGCCATGAGGCGGTGGACATCGCCTGCCAAGAGAAAATTACATGTCAAGCTGACTTTCACTTCTAGGTTCAACTCCCTCTTTGACGTTCTTGGTATTGAACCCACCTTTCCTAGATACGTCTCACTTGAGCAGCAAAGGAAAATCTACCAGTTCACGCCATATCCCAACAACGCCGATGGAACTCCTGCCGAGTTCCCACCTCATCTCCAGCATATCCCTGTGGATCAGAACCACACGGTCTTTGGCGTCTTCAACAATGCCGGTCTGCTCGAAACAGCAGTCATCTTGCAGAAACTTATCCCGGATGAAGATGGATTTCTTGGACGGACGAAGCAGTGGTTGCTGGAAAAGGCTCGCGCTGCTGCGTATGGAGGCGAACCGGAGAAGGGCATCACCATCCAGGACGTCGAGGACTATAACAGATTTCATCGCAAGATAGGCACCGATATTGCCAACGGCGGCAACATTGGCCTTTTGGACGACTGGTACAGCGACCGCCGCTTCGCCGAACAGCAGTTCACCGGTACCAACCCCACGACCATCACGCAAGCGGGGAAGCAATGGATCGGCGAGTTCTTGACAGCGGCGAGAATCGGTGGCTACAACGAATGGATCTCAGCCCTGGAGGCCGCTGACCCGGCATCTTTCTTCGTCCAAGACGGGAGTTACTTCCGCAACGCTGTTGGCGTCTCCGACTCGTCCGCCGTCCTCCACCACAAGCAGCCCGGCAGCGACGACAACTGGTGCGTCGGTGCCGTCAGCCTCTTCCAGCTGCACGACGACGGCAAGCTTCACCCGGTCGCCATCTGCATCGACTACCGCGGAACCATGGAGCAATCCGTGACCCTCTTCAACAAGCGCCTGACCCCTCGCGACTCGACCCGGACCGAGAAGACCGACTGGCCCTGGCGCTACGCCAAGACCTGCGCCCAAGTGACCGACTGGATGCGGCACGAGCTGACCGTCCACCTCACACTCGCCCACCTGGTCGAGGAAGCCATCATCGTCGGCACCAACCGGTCCTTACCCATGGAACACCCCGTCTACCGCCTCCTCTCGCCACACTGGTACAAGACGCTTTCCGTCAACGCCGCGGCCCGCGCCACGCTCGTCCCGCAAGTTATCGTCGACATCGTCGGCATCTCGCCCGAGCAATGCCACTCATTCATCCGCCACGCTTACGACACTTACGACTTCGTAGCGCATTACGTCCCCAACGACCTGGCACGCCGCGGTTTCCCGAACACAGCCGAGGGTTTGTCCTCCTCCACCAGATACAGGAACTACGCCTACGCGAAGGACGTCCTAGCCCTCTGGACCGTGTTACGGTCCTACGTCTCGGAAATGCTCGCCCTCTCTTATCCCTCTGACGAGTCCGTGGCGCAGGATCGATACATCCAGTCCTGGTGCACCGAAATGCGCCAAGGAGGCGCGCACATGTCCTCTTTCCCCGAGATCAAAAACCTCAACTCCCTAACAGACGCAATAACAATGTGCATCCACACCGCCACCTCCTTTCACTCGGCCGTCAACTACCTCCAAAACTTCTACCAAGCTTTTGTAATTGCCAAACCACCTATGCTCTGCACCGCTCCGCCCACCTCCCTTTCGGTCCTACAACAGTTCAAAGAACACGACCTCGTTGCTTCCTTACCTATCAACCGCCAGCGCCAATGGCTTTTATCAGCGCAGGTACCGTGGTTGCTAAGCTTCAGAGCGCCGCAGGATCGAAGCCTGTTGAATTACGCGGCGAGTATGTGGCGGGTTTATAAGACGAAGAAGGGCAGGAGGGAGAAGATGGTTGCTGAGGCTAGTGAGAGATTGTATGCGAGGTTGAGGGAGACGCAGACGACGGTGTGGGAGAATTCGAGGGCGATGGAGAAGGGGAGTTTGCCGTATATGGTGCTGGATCCGGGGAATACGGCGGTCTCGATTTTGATTTGATTGGGGTGGAGGTTGTTTGCTTTTTGTTGTCTTTTTTTTTCGTTGGGTTTTCTTCTTTTTCTTGTCTTTGAAGTTGCTTACGATGCTTTCTAATCTTGATGAGATACGACGATGACGAACATAGAGAGGAAGATCTTGGGATCACAATGGGAGGATTTTTTTTTGGTTGAGCAGTTGGAGAGGTTGTCTGTTTTCCGTTTTTTTGTATACCGCTTTGAGTTTTCGCGAGACAGAAAAGGTGTTGGTCACCACTCCATATAGTTGTCATATCGTCATAATCTAATCATTAGTTGTTACTTGTGCAAGAAGCAGCCAGACATGAAGCCATCACGACACCTCATGATTGTTTACTTCAACTCAGGGGAACTTTAGCACCAAATCCCAGCTGTCTTTCAGCGCTCTTCAGCACTCGCAGTGAAGCCCCACTTATAAGTCCCCTAGAGCGCCAAGCCATGCATCAACGTCACACTGGCCCAGCGATCCCCACAAAATTTTTGTTTCTGTCTCCACCACAGTCCAGATCTGCCATCTGAATCTTATCTTCAACCTCCCCGTTCCATCTGCCTCCCAGTCCCATCGCCTTCTTCTGTCCACCACCACCACCACCACCACCACCACCACCACCACCAACCTCAACCGTTCTCCCCAGCTTCAACCATCCATTCCCTTCTCAACAACCCACCCGACTCAAAACCGCCAAGATGCCCTCCGTCAAGAACCCCAACGGCCCCTCGCGCAACCGCCTCATCGCGCGCGCCGCCTCCCTGCGCAAGCAGCGCCAGCGCCAGTCGGCCCAAGGCAAGCTGGAGAAGATCCACAAGATCACCAAGGACGACCTCGCGCGCGGCGCCCGCCCTGGTCTGCTTCCCAACAGCGGGCCCCGCAAGGCGCTGGGCAAGAAGGCGCAGCGCAAGCTGGAGAAGAAGCTCGGGTATGGCATCAGGCGCAAGATGGAGAGGGAGGGCTTGAGCAAGATGGAGGTGGAGAAGGTGGAGGAGATGATGGGTATTGGTGAGTACTTTCTTTCTTCCGTTTCATTTGCTGAGTGAGGGAGGGCCAAGGATTGAAAGGGGAAAGGGAAGGAAGAAGAAGAAGAGGATAAAGAATAAAGAGAAGGAGGAGTAAAGAAACGCAGAGAAAAGAGTTGTTTGCTGCGAGGACTCGAGCTAACAGGTTTGCGGCAACACAGGCAAGACCAGCAAGAAGAGCGCGGAGACCAAGACCGAGGAGACTCCCGCCACCAAGGAGGTCGAGATGGATTTTTCCTAAATCATCACATCCCAAACCACGAACTACCACACCACACCGACATAACCATGCATTTACAACAACTGGCGTTGGGGGATAATACGGGATCATCAAGAAGGCACGACATGCGAGATAGAGAAGGGGAAAACATGCAATCAGCAAGAAGAAGGGAAAGCACTGGCACTGGACGACTACAACAACTACCTGAAGAGGGAGAGGAAAAGGAAAAGCGTTTATCAACAAGATACCCTTGGCAGCAGTGGAAAGAGTGGAAAGAAGAAGAAGAAAGTCTGGGTTGGTATCTTTGGTACAGATACGGATGATGAAAACGACCAAAGCCGTTTCATGACCCCTTGAGTCGATCGATCCTGGAGGTTAAGGGCGAAAATGAAAGAGGTCTCAACCGAATCCTAGTTCTAGGCGCCCGTGTCCCCTCCCCGCCCCCAGCAACATCCAGCAATATCTACAGAACAGACCGCGAGAGACGACCGGGTTCTTCAATAGCTCTTCGTTACGACCGCCCACCACCACACCCACGCTCGTATGCCACGAATCAGTTACTTCTTGGGAACAGGTCCATTTGACAGTCTGGCCCAGCCAGCCATCTATTTGGTTACCCTCTCGGCACGACAAGTAGTACTTAAGTAGTCTGGCTGTGGATGGATTACTTTGGAACTTTGGTGCTAAAAAGGAGAACCGTGGCACAACAGGTCATGACACATGGAGCGCAGGAATGGCGACTTTGCTGGTGGTAGGCTTTATAGAAGGCTGCTTTCGGGCCTGGCTGGAAAGGAGAAAAAGGCGAAGGCTAGTACCACAGCCAGTTAATGGGATTGCATGCGTTCAACGAAAAAAGTGTTGCCCCGTGCATTTGTTCATTTATTAGAGTACAGATGTGATTCTTCTGACATTGTTAACATTAAGTTCTAAACATACAATCATTTCACTGCAAGGCCTTTCCCAAGTCCCGTTTAACCCTGCTCAGACATACCCTTTTCACATACACTAGAGGCGCTTCTCCCTTCCATCTTACCGATGAAAGTGCCTCTTGCATGGACCATAGACGAAATGTGGTGGGGGGGGAGGGTGAACCCTAACCCTTGAGCTGACAAAATCAACTTTCGCGGTTATGAGTGTTTCTGGAATGAACAAGTGTTTTGGTCAATGCAGACATGATTGTTACTGGAATATCAGTTTTCGGATCTTCCGATATGTTGAATTATCACCTGCCGCAGTGTATGCGAAAAACGGCCAAGGTGAGCGGTGTTGAAGGTTGAGTGTCCACTCCGGCTCTGTTAGGGGTGTGAAATTTGATCAGGGCATTGGGCTGGGGAGAGGTAAACGGGGACGACTACATATGAACAGGATATGATGGTTGTTTAAACTGCGTTATTAATTATGGTTTAGTTATGTACATTACTTTACAAGTTACTCCAACAAAACTCAACGCCAAGTCCTCTCATAACATTGTGAAGATACAACATCTTCTATCAGGTTTGTTTCCATAGCAACTGACAAGATCCATATGTACGTTATTTCTCTCATCTTGACCAACCAATACATCCATCCCAAACACCTACCCATAACTTGCCGACCATGGCATTAAAACATTTGTGAAAGCAAGACGAAAGCAAGTATACAGTAGACATGATAAGGGAAAGACACTGGTCTCAAAGTTCCCTGAACAACAAACAATGAACTCGTGAAAAAATCTCAATGTTCTCAGGTAACTGTCGTACAACCCTGCAAGCTGGACCTCTTCATTCGAGTTGCGGCCTCGAGTATAGTCCAACTTCAACCTCAGCAACCGACGCTGAAGGCCCCCATAACCTCGGTGTCGCCGAGCTTGACAGCCTCAATATGACTGAACTCAAAGAAGGTTCCAAGCCTGGAACACTCCTCAACACACTCGGGATCATCCCACCAGTTATCGTCACCAGTAACCATCTTTCCCCAAACCTCCTGCCAAAGCATTCTGCCCACGACGCTTCGGAGCTCCTCCTGAATGCGCTCCTGGTCCTCAGTGAACACATCAGTGGGATCCGGGGGTATGGCCAAGAACTTTGTCTTGGTACATGTTTCCTCACGGACGCGGAGCTGCGCTTCCTCCAGGAATCCGGGGAAGACCGCACTTGGTCTGACACAGCGAGACTGTGACTGCAAGTTTGAGAGGATGTGCTTCTCAAACCACTTTCTTGTCCGAGGGCCGAGTCTCCTTGCCACTGGGAAGGGGTCAAGCAGCACTAGCTGCAGAATGCCGTTGGGAGCGAGGCAGCGGTGGATTTGCTTAAGAACTTCGAGGATCTCGTGGGCAGGTACCAGTGATGGCAGGGAGAGGCAGTAGACCGTGTTGAAGGAGTCTGCTGCGAAGGAGATGGACGCCTTGTTGGGTGGTGCAAACAGAGGCTGCACGTTTGGGAATAGGTCGTGTGGTAGCGGAGAGAGCGAGAGGTGGGTGATCGCGGCGTCTGAGTAAGTCGCAGCTAGGTAGGACGCAGTTCCTGAAAAGATTAGCAGGGAACGGCAAATGCTCAGTATCAACGGAGGCTTACCTTCAGACTCGAATAGGGCGAGGATTTTCTGCCCTGGAGCGTGAACAGCGCCTTGGTCCGGTTGACTCGCCATGTCCGCCGGAGTTGTAGTAGGTCGGCACATGTCGTAGAGCACCGAAAGCATCAAGCGCTTTCTAGCTTGCTCCTCTTGCATATGTGACGAGGTGTCGGACGGCTCGCCCCATCCTTGCGCCAGGCGAGATAAAACCTTCTCTGGGCCGGAAATGATCATAGCCTCGACGTCCTTCTGTATTCTTGCTAGATTCTTGTTCTTTTTTTCGTACTTGGGAACTTCGAGGTTGTCCTGCTTCTCATTGGCCTTTGGCAACATCTCCGTGGTCGATTGACATCCCCAGTCGTCGGGTGGTTTCCAGGCATCCGGGTTATTCACTCTGAGCTTGTTTGATTTTTGGGGAAGACCCGGGATCTCGGGAACAGGAAGGAAGCCCTGGGTTGAGGTCGGATCATGAGCTTCGGCCGTACTGAGGAAGGGGCTTGAGCCGGATGTGTTGTTATTTTTCGCGCTTGGAAGACTCGGCGAGACGGCTTTACTGGGGCCCTGAAGTGCGGTAAACCAGTTGTCGACAAGAGATGAGAATGATGGAACCGCGTCACCCGCAGCTGGCGCCGGAGGACGTACAATGGGGTGCGAAGGTCGTAGTTTTGAGCCCTTGGCCGTGGAAAAGGGCGAGGGATCGGCTGAAATGGTGGTTTCGATTACCTGATCATTTACGTCAGCGTCCCCTCGAGACTCGTATGTGACGGTGGTTGTCCTCGTTATATACGAGTCTTCGTCCAGCCACTGGATAAGTGTTGTAGCTGGCGGATCATCAGTAGAAGTATGGTTGTCAGCATCCTCCGGTGTTGAAGGAGTTGTGAGGATGACGAAAGTTGGCGGCTTGGATGGGGGCGTCTTCAAGCCCTCGAGTTCTTCCAGTGCGGTGTTTTCTTGGCCTTCCTTTGGCAGTGCGGGCTTTGCCGGTTGGTCTTCAACGGTATCCTCTTTTGATAGCTCATCACTTTGGTCTTCCACGACGTTCTTCTTTGATAGCTCATCACGCTCGTCAGTGCGGTTGACATCAGTACTAACCAGTTGGTCTGAGTTGCCGGAAGTGGTGTAGTTGTTATCGGCAAAGATGGAGGACAGCCTCGAGGAGGGGGCGTAGTAAGAGCTTGGCCGCAGCTTGTCGTCAGATTTGTCGGACAGACGTGTGCCTAGGAAGGCCCTCTTAAGCCTCGATACAGCGCTACCCTTTGAGTTACTCGTGGCACCAGACTTGTCCGCTGTAGAGGAGGAACGTCGTGTGATGGCCGATCCAATCACACTCCTGCCATCTTGGCTTCCAAGTCCAAGTTCCTTCTTTTTCCGTTGTTCCTCAGCAAGGCGCTGCTGTGCTTGCTCATCCCAGGCGATTCCGAACATCTTGAAACGCAAGGTGAGACGAAGGTGAATGTGCGGCTTCTAAGGTGAGAATGATCTCTGATGTGTTGCAGAACCTGTAAATGGTATCCGCCATCGACCTGGTAATGTGAGAGCTTTGGTTTTGTGGCCCTGTGCTCTGGCGCTGTCGTTCTTCGGGTCCTTGATTGAGACGGTGAGAGAAGTACTCGCCGATGAAGCTCAGCTGGATCTCAGGATCCGCCTTTGAGGGCTTGCGGTCGGAGGTTCGCGATTGGGAGGATGTAAGAGCGGGGTAGATGACTGCAAGGGAATTGCACAACAAAATCAGATGAGGTCTTTTGCGCAAACGCTCCCGAAAAGGTATCGGGTCCGAATACTGCGGAAGGATGAAGAAGAGATAATGTTCTCATGCGCTACCAAGTTCATATATGGGGAAGACAGTAAGGACTTCAAATGGTCTGTAGCATAATTCGAAACGGTATGTGTTATGTTTATTCAGTCAGAGTCATTATATCAATCGGTGGCATGGAGTGGATGGGTGTCGGGAAGAGGATTTGAATGTCACGATCTCTGAGAAATCAATGGATGCTGAACTGGTGTAAGGAATTAGGGCAAAGTGATAAGATAACGGCCAAAGTGTTCTAGATGCCGTGCCTTCCTATTTTGCACTTGGCTCGGTCCCGTCGGATAGGAAGCCTGTCTTCTGATCAATGTTTCCGGGAGAAGATGGAAGGAGCGACTCATCTCATCTTCTTGGCCAGAAAGAAATCCGGCGGAAGTGAGAGTCAGGTGAACTTGGATCCTACACCTCCTGATCACCTGTACTTGAGCAAATTCTTCTCCCAACTGCCATCTTTCAATCAGTTCCCCATCAACATCATCTCAATCTCATCCGAAGATCGACGAACTGTCGACCTTCCACGAAGTCAAAGATCTGATTCTTGCCAAACATCATCAACAGTAGGATATCTCCTTTCTTCAAGTCCCTTATCTTCATGCGCGCAAGAAGCCTTGGGCTCCAGAGATATCGGACACTCACCAGCATTGCTTTTCCGAAGCCGGAAAGGCAGAAGGAAGTACCCACACGGTACTTCGCAGATGCTCTTTCCTCAGAACGTTACAAAACGCGTCTCCCAACCCACCCGCAGTTCCCTTTTCAGAGCGCGTCGGGTTGCCGAGTCCACTCCTTCTCCTCCCGCCTCACTTTCCCTCAAAAGCAACCTTCCTTCCGCTGTCCACATCGTTTCTTTGGTGGCACAGCTCAATCTGCCTCAAGTGTCACGGCCCTTCTCCTTCATCATCGATCTCCATCTCCATACTTCCTTCCTTTACCGGCGCGACGCCGTGAAGTATTGCAAATCGATACTTCTTCGGAATCCCTTCAGACAACCGCGACTAACCCTGCCTGTCCAGTGGACCGCAGAGTCCAAGACGCCCTCAGAGAAATGGCGGGCACCACCGGCGTCCGCCTCTCGGACAACCCTGACGAGATCCATGAGACCCCTCGCCGCTCTATTTTTCGCCGTGGCGTTGCCTACGCAACCGAAGCGATCAATGGCGGGGTTGATTTCGTCAACCGCAAGGTTAGCGGCACCTACATCGGTCGCTTCTTTCGCCTGCGTGGATCAGGCCATGTTAGTATTCCTCGACGTCTGTACTCCAGCTTCGTGAACATAAACTGACCGATCATTCGATGGTTTTCAGTCTGAGGAGATTAGAGATGCGAACTTCTGCACCGAGATCCGCGCCGGACTGATCACCTTTTCCACGATGCTATACGTCTTGGCTGCCAATGTACGTCCCCTCTCGCCTTTGACTAGAAAACTGGGTCTAATGAACAACTCGAACATAGCCGGCTGTAATTGCCATGTCGGGTTATGAGTGCAGCTGCCAGGGAGAGGATGTAGGCAATCCCAGCTGTGCCCAGGATTACCAAACCTGCATCGAAGGTCAGTAGGAAGCCGGATTTACTCTTCTCTCGGACTTGTAGTATTGACAGATACTCAGAACTTCGTCGCGATATGGTCACAGTGACCGCCGCCGTTTCGGCCATGTCTTGCATCCTTTTTGGCTTGATGACCAATATGCCCGTGGCTCTGGCGTAAGTTGTGAGCAACGTCATATGGCATGGTCCAAGATCGCTAACAAGAGAACAGTCCTGGCATGGGTCTCAACTCCTACTTCGCGTATCAGGTCATCGGTGTCAGAGGAACCGGCTTACTACCCTGGCGTTCTGCTCTCACGGCCGTGTTTCTCGAGGGCTGGATCTTTATCATCCTTGCCTTGACCGGCCTTCGTCACTGGCTCGTCAGAATCATTCCGAGCACTATGAAGGTCGCGGGCGTCTGTGGTATTGGTTTGTTCCTTGCCTTGACTGGTCTGACTTTCAATACTGGACTTGGTATCATTACCAGTGGAAACGTTGTGCCCATCTCGCTTGCTGCTTGTTCCAATCCCGACGAGCACGGCCAGTGTTCTGGTGTGAGCGCCATTGCGAGCCCCAAGGTAATGTAATCCGTCTTCTTGAGTTTCTTCAATCTTCTGACAAGCGATAGTTATGGCTCGGCATCCTTGGAGGGGGTATCTTGCCAACTGTCCTGATGGGCTTCAATAACAAATACTCCATTGGCATAGGTGTACTCTTCGTCACTCTTATGTCCATCCCGTAAGTGCTTCCACCTCCACCAAACAAGATCAGGGACTGACCATCGCACAATTCAGGCGCTCGACATCCGTGACCTTTTTCCCTTACGATTCTGCTGGTCAGAACAAATGGGATTACTTCTCCAGCATGGTCGGAGTGCGAAAGCCGAGATTCGACTTAGGTCAGCTGCGATTTGACTTCCGTCAGCATCAAGGCAACTTCATCGTTGCTCTCCTAACCATGCTCTATGTTGACATGATTGACTGCACCGCAACGCTTCAGGGATTGGCGAGATACAGCTACAGACTCCAGGGGGCTGACCCCGACTTCCCCGGCTCCACCATCGCATATTGCACCAACGCTTTCTGTATCTCTATGGGTGCCCTTCTGGGATCATCTCCTGTCACGGCTTTTGTCGAAAGTGGCGCCGGAGCCCAATCGGGTGGGCGTACTGGAATAGCGGCAATTGTGACTGGATTATGCTTCCTGGCCTCGGTGTTCATGGCGCCCTTCTTTTCCGGTATCCCACCATATGCGACTGGACCGGCCTTGATCCTGGTAAGAACAAACATTCTGTCCCCTGATATGTTATCCTGCTGACGGGCGTGGGGTAGATCGGTTGTCTGATGTTGCGGCAAGTTCACAGCATCAACTGGAATTATGCTGGCGATGCCATTCCCTCCTTTGTCACGATCATGTTTATCCCTTTCAGCTACAGTGTCGCATATGGCCTCATTGCGTAAGTCTCCCATTCCCCATAGACGCCCGTTGACAAAGCTGACACGCTCTCGAAAGGGGTCTTTTCACGTACATCGCCGTGAACACCGTGATCTGGGTTATCTCGAAACTCACCGGGGTCGAGCCCCATGACTACCATCTCAAGCAATACTGGACAATCAATCCCGCCGGTCGGAAGCCATGGGTTTATAGAGCCTACAAGAAAATCATGGCCAAGCTACAGAAGAACCGTGGCCAGGCAACCGAAGAAGTTGCTGTTCAGGAATTCGAGCTGATGGAGCGCCACACTTCCCGCCCCAGATCTGCGGTGGCTTCTGCGTCAACAATGGATGATAAGCACTCACGCAGGGCTCAGTCGCCGGATCACCTTCGCTCTGACTGAAGAAAAAGCGAGCATCCGAGTAACGGTTTGCGCTGAGCAGCAAGGACTTATGTCTTCTTACACCTGGTCATCACCCGGAGGTCGGAAAAGAGGCGAACTTTTGAGTTTTCAGGGATGGTTTGGGAATACCACTTGGCTTGAAGGCGTATGGAGGATTGGCATATGAACGCATGAAATGGAGTTGGGGGATTATCTTGCTTTTTTTGCTCTCATATGACTGGGGGTTCTTTTGTGATCGAAGAAAGATGTCAACACGGCAACTACCGCTCGACATAAGTGGAAGATCATGTAAACCACCAAATTTTGTACTGTACCTCAAGCAACATGGGCGCCCTGCAGTCGGATGGAAATCACCAGCTGCGAAACGTGGGAAGTTTCTTTTTCTTTTTCACGGGAGTGGCGTCTGGGGATGGCGTGCGCCGTGGCGTCCATGTTTTATCATTCGGCTGTCGTCTCGGCTATCGTCGGGCGGCTTTTGATGCCGATCAAAGAGCGCTCCTTGGCCTGAGCAGCTCCAAGTAGACCAAATACATAGGTCCAATGAATCGTATATTCGAATTGCCAAGCGCTCGAGTGTTGATGTCGTGATCATGACGGAATGATGGCAAATGTTGAGACTAAAGCCCTCCCTATTCAACCGCCCACCACCAAGTCGCCAACAGTTGGTCATCAGGGGTTTCCAGGGAAAGAGGTTTGCCGCATAGGGTATGAGCTTGTCGCTTTCGGATACCGTAGGTTGACGGGATAATTTCGCCAAGAGAGATTCGAGGAACTTGAAATGATGCACGAGACCTGGACATAACTGAACGAGACAAGGGGGAATGATGAAGTTGATAAATGCCGAAAGACGTCTCCGACAGCTCGGACACATACGTAAAACCTCTGGATCCCTCTGGAATCTGGATCCCTCTGGAGCCCTCTGGAGACCCGACTTGTCCTGAGCTTGAGCTTGAGCTCCTTCACGGGAAGTTCGAAGTGGATGAAAAGGTCCGGGAGAACCTACTGTGACACAAGATGGACCCCAAGATGGGCTGATGGGGGAGCACGGGGAGAGCGGGAGGTGGATGAGAGCGCCCAGCCGCAGCGGAGCGAGGTGGCTGGGTGGGTAGGTAGGGAGGGGGAATGGACCCGCTTAAGAGTAAAAGTGGAAACCGGGGTAGGATCCACTTTCTGCATGGACCGGGTTTACGATGAAATTGTGGAGCGAGCTGAGGGACAGGCGAGACAGGGTCAGGAGGGGAAGGAAACGGAGCAAAACGGCCGAAACGGGGGGGTGATCATGGCTTCAATCGAAGTGCATCGTGATGACCAGGACAGCTCGGTCATTAGCGAAGCTGCCTCCAACCAACACCACTCGACTGGAACTATCGTGAGATGAAGGGTGCATGAAATCATCGGAGGGAGAGAGACAACTTGTCCTGAACGTGCGGACATGGAAGAAGCTTCAAGCGGCCACCTACTGGCAGCTTGGCACAGATCATGTTCACGGCCGATCGGGAATTGAGATGGATGAGGGTGAACCACTCCCGCAGCGCGAACGAGCTCTCACGAACGAACGAACGAACGAACGAACGCGAACTATCGATGACCTTCCCGTCCCCCCATGCGCGGACCCTTTTCTGTGTCACGTGAGGAGGTAGGTAGGTAGGTAATTGTCACGATATCTTCTGGGAAAGCTGTCGGCTCAAATGATCTGCCTTGTCTTGGAACCACGATCTTCCCGGGGGGAGGGGATCCCAAGTCCAACGACCGTTAGCCCGGCGCTCGGAATCATTTCCTAGGTATGCGGGCACTATACCATGATGCATTCATTTCATATGACGCAGAAGCTTCCGGCGCTTGGAAAGATCATGATGGTCGCCCTTTACACACAGACGGTTAACGGCAACTAGACGTCGACATTGTTGGCGATCTTGGGGCTCCCGGAACCGCATCGGGGGCACCGGGCGAGGGTCTATGTGCTTCTAAGCCAAAACCGGCGCCGACTTGCGGACTTGGCAGGGCGACTTCTGCTAAGACCGAAAATCCTAACCGGACGGTAACTAGAAGATGTCAGTCTGTCGTCAGCTCATATGTGCTAGTCGCCGACTCGAACCGTTGTCGTAAGCTGGTTTCGAACTTCCCCGTCCCTGGTGAAATGATGAACGACATCAATGGTATCATTTTTTTAAGATTCTTACCCCGGGCTCTTGGCTTGATACGAGCAATTGCTGCTCTAGAACTAAGGCTACTACTCTACAACTAAGGCTACTACTCTGCTAACTCTAGGGCTTATTGTTGACAGCGGAATTGTACACTACGACGGCGGAATACCTAGTACACTACAGTGACTGGGATTTGGGATCACCAGCGTTGCATTCTCTGAGGGTCTCTTAAGATGGGAAATGTGCAGCTATCCCCAAGTAGGAGATTCCCGGTGGTCTCGCAAGAACCTTGTAACCGACGATCCGTTTTTGAAACAGATTTGGGGATGACTTGAGACCCCGGCCCTGCAACAGCCGGTTCGTTAAACGTTTGGGTCTCGGGTCGATACCCCGCGTCTACCAACATCGCCCACACTTCATTTCTCACCTCTCTCTTACCTTACTTACTCTTCGCTGACAAAACTGACACGCGGAGGAGGCGGAGTTCCTTTACTCAAAGATCCTTGAAAAAGATCGGGGTCCGAGCGGGCTCACTGACAATGGGATTTTGTTCGTTGCCACATGGAAGATTCTAAGTACCCTCTTGGCCTGTCATCTGGATACAAGATTCAACATCAGAAGAACAAGCCCTCTGTTGCCGCCCAAGGAAGGAAGGTACATGATGATGGGATCGGGATCTTCTTTGCCAAGACCCATATGAACTTATACCTCTTTCCCAACACTCACCAATTTCAACAAGGGAAGGAGCAGCCGTTGATGCTGTGCGCATGAAGCACAAGGGCGGTTTATCACTTTACCGGCGTACCTTGCTCCTTCCTTGTCTACTACCTTGACTACCTTGACTAGCTTGTTCGACCTTGCGAGGCAAGTCGTCAACATCCTTGCCCGAAATTTCGGAGTCTTACCCAGATCCCTTCCCTTCCAGGCCTTCAAGTTCTCAGGGGACCAAAGCTACCCTTGTTGATCTCGATCCTCCACAAGGCGCTTCCCTCTCTCTCTCTCTCTCTCTCGACCACCATATATATACACATCTACGACCAACACCACCTTGAAATACCAACGGTTTTGGGACCCTTCGAAAGATACCACCTCTGGAATACGGATTTGAGTTACGAGTGAAGGGCAACTGAACGAGAGCTACACACGGGCGCACAATCCCAACCTCGGGGCTGGCGGGGAGAACCCTCCCCCTCCTTCTCGTCTGATAATTTTTTGACCTTCTTTTTATGCCCCTCCTTTCCCGCCTCATCTTGGACCAAATATAATCTTCGCTCCCTGAATCCGTCGTTGATTACCGGTATTCGGATCACAACCCGCGACCGCTATTCCTGTAACGCCGATATAATCGACAACTTCTTGACGACTCGCTCGGAATCTTCAGAAATCCCTTGCGCCGTCGCGCACCACCCGCCACCATGTCGAGCGACGACAACACCGACTGGGCCGGAGCCTACCCTGGCTTTCACGACACCTTTAACATGATTGAACGTATCTGCTCGGTTTTCTCCCTGCTCGGCTGTATCTTCATCATCTCGACCTTCTGCCTCTCCGAGAGGTTTCAGAAACCTATCAACCGCTTGTGCTTCTTCGCTACCTTCGGTAACCTTGCGACCAACGTTGCAACGCTGATGGGACGAGATTTTGTCGAGAGCCCGCATGGAGCGGGCTGTCAGTTCCAGGCGTTCCTGATCCAGATGTAAGTTGGCCGTGCCATCCAAATAGTTGACAGCTTGCTGATAGATTTTCCCATCACAGGTTCATGCCGGCGGACGCGTTCTGGGTATTGGCGATGGCTGTCAACGTCTACTTGATCTTTGAGCGCCAGTACGACGCCCAGAAGCTGAGGGCAATGGAGAAGTTTTACTTCCTAGGCTGCTACGGCCTGACATTCATCGTCGCTTTGGCGTACATCTTCATCCAGACACCTACTAAGGGCAAGATGTACGGGGATGCGACACTGTGGTGCTGGATTAGTCCAAAGTGGGATATCTTCCGTATTGCAACCTTCTATGGACCTGTCTGGTAAGTCAGCGCACACTCTCTGAATGACGACACGCACTCTAACCTTCGGCCATGCAGGGTTTCCATTGGTTTCACCTTCTTCATCTACATCCGAGCCGGACGAGACATCTACAAGAATCACCGACAGATCAAGAAGTTCAACATCAGCAGCTCTCTCGGCGGTCCTGTTGACGATACTCTGGTCTCTCGCAAGGTCACCGAGGTCTGTGTCACTCACGAGATGGCCAACGAAATTGGACTCGTGGACCTGGAAAGGAACAACCGCGCTCAAGGACGCTCCAATGACTCGGCACCTCCTAGGGCACCTCCTAACGCCTACTCCGTTACTATTTCGGCAGATAAGCAGAGACTCCCAGAGACTGACGACGGCGAAAATTTGGCACGCGCTACCACTTTGACTGGGACTGGGGGGCTGTCTGGATCACACAATACAGCTTCGCGGGCACAGTCTCGGCAGAACAGCGCAATGTGGCAATATTCCAAATGCGCACTGTTCTTCTTCACGGCATTGTTGGTCACATGGATACCCTCGAGTTGCAACCGTGTCTACTCAGCGGTTCACCATAACCAAACAGTGAAGGTCCTGGAGTACATGAGTGCTGGTGTCTTGCCGTTGCAGGGGTTCTGGAATGCCGTTATTTATGCAGTCACTTCTTGGAAGGCATGTCAGAGATTCTTTGGCGATGATGTGAAGGAGTGGTTCTCAAGGGACACGGATTCCGGAAACAGGCTGCGTCGAGAAGGTGGTCATCACCGAAGCACCTCAAGGGCGATAATTGGGCAAGCTGCCAGTGTTAAGCCTAACCCGTTCCATAAGATAGGCGGTCGAACGGACCATCCGAGTTCAGAAACGGAGAGCATGGAGGAGTTGGCGAACTCGTACGGGGTGGGGAACGACAGCATTTCCAAAGATGCGAGATAATCTGGGTGGTCGTTGGGAATCATGTTTTTTTTCTTCTGGGTATTTGTTCACCCCAAGCAAGCGATCATGTGCTTTATGGTTTACGGTCCATCATGACAGACATAATGGCAGTATTAGTTTTCTTTGTAAATATTCACGATTTATTTTGTCAGGCATTTTCTTCGTCAGCGTCTCTGGTGTTTTTTTTGTCTTGATACCCAATTTCACACAAAAGCTCATGTTTCTCAGGTTACCTATGGGCGTGTCTGGTTACTTAGATCTAGGTATATGATATGCTACGCTACGTATATACCTACATTCCATATCAGGGAGACTGGTTCGACGCACTGCAACTGGGGAACACAAAAGGGAACTCCCGTGTTTATGTATATGCCTTGCTTCGCCCGCTTTACCGTTGCAGTTGCATCTCTGTCCAACGTTACCGTGCTACGTTCTATGTACCGGTGCGACAAGGGGTCTGGTTGTTCTGTGTACTCGGAAGGAGATTGAGTGGTTACAGAGCGAGTATGTAGAGTGCGCTGTTCTTTACATAAGGTACAGAAAAGTCGGCTGTCGTGGCAGACGGGTCACGGGTGGTGGGGAGTTCGTTGTGGTAGAATCCAACCATTCCATCCATCGCTTTACTGACCTCGATCGAACGTAGAGGTACCTATGTTGAGATAGGAAAACGAATACATAATCGTTCAATGACAATCAATTTACATACGTTTTGTTTGGCCAAATGGGTAAGGTAGTGTAGGTGCCCCCTCCCCTGTATGTAAGGTTTTTCTGTCCCGTCTAATGCTGCCGAAGCGCCTCGCCTCCTTAATACTTTGATACTCTTCCTGCCTGTCCGTCTAGTGTCGAGGTGCTGTCTGTTTGTGTAAGTTGTCTTACAGTCTCGTGTGTGCGTTTCCGGAATACTTAACACCCGTTTCCCGTATTTCCGTGGGGTGTTAGGTTGACGTGACGGATGGGATGGGATGGGGACGGGATATTTGGGCTGTCTGACAGTGACAGGTAGAGGTTGACAGGCGGTTAGGTTAGGTAGGCACGCTCATGACAGAAAAGCTGGCACCTTTTCGGGTACTACATGGGCGATCAGCGTAACTGAAGGTGCCAGCTTTTTTGTGATTGGCGTAGTTAGGTAGGTTACAGGTTGGAAACTGAACTGAGGACAGGTAGGTAAGCACGGTAAGGTAGGTGTCAGGGTGTTACACGATCACGATGTCGTGCGGATCGCCAGTGACATGGTGACTACATACACTACACTAGAGTCTAGAAGGAGAGAGTGGATAGAATCTTTGACTGCCTTCCTTCCCTTTATGGGTGAGATTTTCTTCTAGACTTCTACTAAGTTCATCACTGGTGGGCCTCCTGGCCTCCTGAGGGTCCTGAGAGGATATGGCCGAGACTCGGAGTGCAACTCTGGATTGCACTATGACAGGCGAGGAGAGAAGTGCATTTCCGAGGTAGTATCGGGTACCGCTACGCTACCGAGACTAAAACTCTGCCCATTCAGGTCTGGTCTGGTCTGGTCTGGCTCACCGGGAGATGTATCCATCCAGCTGCTTGGGTCAGGGGAAGCTACAGTAGAGATATCTTGCCCGTCGGAGTGAACTTGTTGACGCCGTTACTGTGTATTATGTAACTGTGTGAGACATGGATGTGCCGATATATCCACGGGCCGAACTAAACGCTAAGCGAGGAGAATTCCCCCTGGACTAAAAGTAGCTGGTAGGTAGGTAGCTAATGGGATTTAGAGACCTGGACCTGGTGGCGGATGGGATATTGCCGGGAGAATGTCATGCAGTTGGTTCTCCAGAAGACGACGGGTAAGTGTTTTAGCGAGAAGAAGGGTTAAGATTGACGCGGATGCCCCTGAGAATGGAAGGTTGTGTAACGGTTATGGGGCTCGGGACTAGTTCATGCCGGCGTTTATCTCATCTTTCCTTCTTGCTGCTTAGTTGTCTTCATCTTTGCCCCGACGGTGACTTCGAGAAACTCCGTGGATGTATCGGCATCATACCTTAACCATGCAGAAGTAGGCAAGTTCGTTTCGGTTATCTTGTTTAATCTTCACTTGAAGGAGGAGCTGAAGCACGAATAGGAATCAATACGATAGCGAAACCGGTAATCATCTAGTGCAAGAACAGTCCTCATCTAGTGCACACACAGTTAGTAGGCTGAAGTCGCATTGACATGGGGCAATTTTTTGTCCACGACTCCGAATGTCCTCCAATGGCATGGGGCCAGAATGCCCAGAAAACACAACCTGGGCTCGATGACATTTACTCAACTATCTCGCACCCCACCACCAGAGCTGCGCGCACTTTGTTTTGAGGAATGAAGACAATAGAGGAATCGATAGAGATGCTTTTCAAAAAAAAGACGGCACCTTCAACTTTCAATTTTGGGCAAGTTGTCAGTCACTGGTTCGACTTGGAGGGTTGTGGGCTTGGTTGTACTAGATGAGGACCATTTTTTGCACTAGATGGTTACCGATTGTATTAAAGAGTTTGATGAATCGGTCGATGAGTCCCCTTAAATTCAGGGGAACGAACTCGAGCTTACGCAGATCCGGCAGTTCTTGCGTTGCACAGAAAAGGAAGAGAGCTAAGCTTCGAAACCCGGTCCTTGATCAGTGCTACTATCTTTACCAGATCTTTTGCCAGCTTAGGTAAAATGGCACGAGACCCAGACTGCCGGACTTCCACAGGCTTCCAAGGGGAATAGTGTAATTGGCTCACTTTTTTCTTCTTATTTCCGAGAGTTTTCGAGTTCGTTTTTGACAGCTCGAGAGTTCAAGGGGGTGAGTTAGTGTCGACCGTCGATCGGAAACTTAAAACTCCGCTCATAAACGTCTTTGTCAATCACCGGACCTCTCCACTATCACACGATATCATCCCTTTCCCACACACGAGTCATTCAAGCAATACCAAGATTCCCCATCACTTGCGGATCGCATGATATGTATCCGTTCAGTTCTGGGGAATAAGGACGGGAGCTCTGGGGAAAGTGGAAAACTCGCAGATCCGGGGGGAGCTCGTAACGGAACTGCCCTGGAAATGGAGTCATGAAATCTTGACCCCAATCCCACAATCCCCAATTCCTATTCCCGAAGGTTTCATCCCTTTTAACGGTGCAAATTTGACACATTTTAGCGCGCCCCGTAAGATACCTGGAGGACTTGGTGACGTGGCTTGTCTCTGCTAAGCACTCCGCGTACACTGGCTAGTAAATGCTACCAAGACCAATGGGGTTTCCGAGGTGTTTGCAACCTCAAGAGGTATCCTGCAGAAAAATGGGAACCACTGATTGGCTCAAAATGTCAAATTTGCACCGTTAAAGGAATAGAACGTTGCTGGGAGTAACCTTGATGATCTTTGGTCACGCTTTGCTGCTTTCGGTGGTAGTGTTTGGAGGTTGAAAATGACGGGTGGTGGTGGGGTGGCAGGGGGCCGGAGAGCCGGGCAGCCGGGTTAAGCGAAACGGAGGATGGCCGTTTTCTTGGCTGGGGTTCCGTTTGGATAGGAGTACTATGGTTCGGTTGTTGTTGGAGTCTTGAGCTGGGAATTGGGGAGGGGATTAGATAGACGTGATTGTTTGTGGGTGAGGGTTTTGTCCGTAGCCACATCTGGAATGTTTGGAGTGATTTCCTCTGTTTGAAGGCATCGTCAATAAAGTGAATATTCAGTTAATCTTTGTTCTCACCACTAAATGAACTACAAGAGTGGATTTGCTTCGAGAAGATTCAGAACACGCAGTAGAAGAAAAGAAAGAGAGACACCACAGTGATGTCTCAGACTGGACAAGAAGGATATTGCGGGTGAAAGTGGGGTGGGTCACCTCCAACCAAACTTCCCTTGATTCACTTTGGAACTTTGAATAACTCCGGTTGTTCTTGGTTCCAGCAAGAACGACACTGCTTCCTTCCACCCTTGTTTCCGTGGTTGCAGCACCCGTGCGCGCGCCCGTGAAAGAAGCGAAAAACTTGCCCAGCTTCTGTCGCTTTCTTCTCCGATAGGCCGTCTTTTCGTGCGTCTCGGAATCATGCCATTGTGCTATAAGTTGCTACGCTTTGCTGTATCGCGCTTGTTTCCCCGACTGGTCTACGGACAGACAGGGGAATTCGAATGTTGACCAACCGTTGTTGTTACCAGCTGGAGGGAAACGGATGACGAGGATTGTCTTGAAACACGCTTGAAAAGTTGACATGTAGTCTTTCAAATCCCCCCATACAGGTTCTTTGAGGACTTGGCGAGAGAACGCGACAGAAGCATGTCTGTTTGTTCGCCTTTGTCGTATTGATCCGACCTCGCAGACTTATCACCAAGTTATGCCCATCTAGGAGAGTTTGATCAAAGGCAGATTTGCTAAGTCTGGGCACGATGTTTTGAAAGTTAACGTCACCATAGCCGCCATACCGAGACTTCCATGGCGCTCGGCGCATTGCTGGAACTGTGTAAGCTCTTCGAGATCAAGTCATGTGGTTCGAGGACTTCTTGTTCGCCCGAAAGGAGACAGATCCTTTTTTTCCAGTCAAGGCACGGCAGACGTTATTGTGGCTTGATGGAACAAGAAGTTTCCATCATTAGCTGAGAACGATACGGAGTTGCTCTCAAAGAGGACCCAGCTCTCTACTACAGCAGAGCATAAATATGCATAGCATCGCTTTTACTACCAAATTCGTGCCCCCATGCTGAATTATCAGTCAAGGTCCTAAAGTAAGACATCTGTTATCACCAAGTCGTCAGTAAGTATCTCTTATCATGGGAGGCAGGAAGAATCACAGTTGGCGACCGGGCAAGAGCCACCAAGATATCGGCGCCCCAAGACGCAGAACACCTCCCGACTCTGACACCGACATGTTCGGGAGTCCATCAATATGGTGTAGGAAGAAGAAATCCCATCATCATAGTGAAGCGAAGGGCCGCCGATCAGGGAAAGGCGTGGGCGTAGATGAGCAGCCGCGGCAAAAGCACCGCATCCTTTACTCTCCCTTCCAGCGTCTCTTCGGAACGAATTCCAAACATCGTCATCGCAAAAACACCACCCCGAGCCGCGAACACAGAGCCGCGCCAAGGTTCGGACTTGGGCACAGCACTTCTCCTCCTCCTCCGCCCCCTCCACCACTAAAGCAATCATCACCATATACTCCTAACAAGTATCTCCACGGCCAATCGGGCTGGCAAGCGACGCCACCACGATCATTCCGTAGAACACTATACCGGACACCAACATCTCCCACCCGGACCTCTCCTGGCTTCAGCGCTTCCAGCACCCCCAGCACTACTTTTTCAACTCCCCGCCCACCATCCAACCCCCTAAACCCAACCTGCGAATCCTGTTTCAAAATGCACCATCTCAACGCCACCCTCCGCCAATCCCTCCTTGCCCACACGCGAGACATGTACACGATGTTACAAAACTGGGCTGACGACGTCGGTTGTGGAGATGGCACAGGGTTTGTGCATGCGGATCCGATGGAGTGGCAGCCCGAAAAGGCGGCGGTCGTGATAGAGAAGGAGCGCAGGCCGAGCGAGATGTGTAGGGTGTTGATGAAGATGGGGAGCGTGGAGGATTGGGTTGGGTTTATGAGGGGGTTGGAGGAGAAGGAAGGAGGAGGAGGAGGGCAGAAGATGGAGGGGGTGAAGGCGGGAGGGGACGGAGAAGACATGAGGGATGGAGAAGGAGATAGTGGGCTAGGGGGGGATTATTGTCTGAGATATCGCAGGATGGCTGTGGATCGGGGAGGCGGACAGGGTTGACGGGTAGAGGTACTTGTAGGAGATGGTGCTGGGTTGGGACTGGGAGAGTTGGGAGGGGGCCGATGCCAATGTTGGGGATTGAAATGGCAGCACTTGCTATGGAGACCATCATGGAAGAGTCTCTACTTGTACGGGCCGCGCCGAGAGATGGGGCCGTGACCGGGAAAGCGGGGACCTCTTTGATAAGCAGCCGGGCCGGAGCGACGGCGGTCGGGGTAAGTTGGAGGGAGGTTCCGGCTATGCGATCGGGATCGGAGTCGGAGAGATAAAAGGTGTCGCCAAAGATGTATTGCGATAGGACGAACGGGAACACGGTTCAAGGGAATGTTGGAAATTCGAGAAGAAATGGAAGCGCATGATCAGCAATGCATTGCATTGACAGTTGTTGAGCTGACGCATGCAGTGCTTACTGGTGATTAAAAGGTTGACAGGTCGAGATAATGAAGGCGCGGTACTTTACCGTCACGTGAGGTGAATCGTGCTGTCATGATGAGATTGCGAAAGTGAGTGTTTGATGGTGTTGTTGTACGGCGTCGTCGGTCCATTCCCAAACCTCTCACCGAAAACTGTCACGGTGGCTGGAAATGTTCCCCTTCTCCCCTCTTTTTGCCAAACATCCCGACATGTGATTGGTCCATTCAAAAAAGGCAACATCGGCGGGCAGCCGAGAGAAGTGGTTGCCTTGTCTTGTGTGTCCCTTTTGTAGTGGTCACCCCCGCTGCCGACGTCCATGTCATCAGCGGATACGTCCCCGGGAGTGTTTGGGCCTCACAGGGCCTCTTCTCACCCCGAAACACTAACATGGGCCTCTGGAATTGAGGCTCTGCGGCCACAGTCCAGTTGGGAGTCCTCAATTTCCTACTTTCACCACTTTTCAACATCCGACGACGACGAGCACGACGTCCATCACCAGATCTAGCGCCTGCACCTGGCAACGGCAGCGTGCTTTCAATCAATCATTTCTCATTATTTTCGTCGTGACCGACGTCCAAATCTGGTATACCGTGACCCCGCTTGCTGTCAATCTGCGACCGCCATCTTCCACAGTCCAGTACACCGAATGGGCTGACGGCGACACGGCTATCGTGGGATTCCGTTTTCCCATCCTTTCACTTTGATACGATCCCTCCTTGTTTGCTCTCGAAAAGAGGAAAAGGCAGGCCTGGGCAAAGGGGCATCCCCCTCCTCATCATATACTCCGACCCCCAACCCAAGGAAGGGCAACCAACCGGCCACACTCCCTTCATCAATCCATCCCACCACCACAACAGTCCGAATATGCTTTGTTAGGCAACAGCAAGGCGTCGAACCTAGTGAAGCGCGATCCATCTGTTCTGTTCAATCAACAGGCATCCTCCCAATCGTTAGTACAGCGCCGTGTTTTAGTGTCTGTCTCGTGCTCATCTTCCTTTCACTCGTTTGTCTTTTTTTCAGCTTGGACATGGCGATATCAACACGGCCTTCTTTTCTAATGCTGTCATGTCCACTTGTCGTCATGTGAAAATGTTCCATCCGTGGTTGTGTAGCAGAGCATCATGGAGATGGCTAACCCATTCTCAGTCGGTTGCCCGTCATGACACAATATCCGTATGGCCAGCAGGGCCAGTATGAGGTATGGCGACCCATAAACTTCCTTTACTATCACTAACCACATGCTAGCCCTACACCTACAACGGCCAGTCCGGTCAGGGTACCCACTCTCCCGGATTACTCGACTCTCCATCCATCAACATGCCCGGAACTGCGACTACCATGGCGCCTAGCGGCCACGGCTATGGAGGTACCCTTCCGACTGTCGGCCAAGCCTCCCATGCGGGCTTTGCCGTAGACCAACAATTCCAGAAAGCCCATGATGCGCAAACCCAAGGGAACGAACGCTACGCTATCCTGGATCATTTCTTGCGCGATCCCAACGTTGCCTGGAACCCCGTCAAAGTTGCTGGTCCATTAGGTGGCAGCCAGAATGCCAACCTCTCAATGAACTCTGGATACTCCGACTATCCCAGATATCGTGATAACCATGCGCCATCTGAGTGTGATACTGCCGCTGACCGCGCTGGAGTTTTCTCCGACTCTGGATATGGCAGTATAGCCAGGCAGAGCGTGGGGAATCCTTCCGTGTACGGGGACGTGGACCGTGGCGGTGATACCCAAATCATGCTCCAGATGTCCCAGTTCCAGCTTCAGCAGGATTCAAACCCCCAAGCTACAGTTATTCCCAAGGACACTCTTATGCACGATGACTGGAGCCATCGAAACCCTGCCGCTCGTCCCGAGGGCAAAAGTTGGTTCTGCGAGCACTGTAGCGAATATGTCAAGACCAAGTCGGAGCTCAAGTAAGTATCCATTCTGCTCTTCCTTGAATCCTAGCTAATTTTATGGCAGTAAGCATAAACAGAAACATACGAAGCCACATCACTGCCCAGAACCTGGTTGCACACGTGATAGAGGCTTCAGCACCAAGAACGACCTGCAGAGGCATTTAGCATCCGTTCACAAAAAGTATACCGTCGTATATCACTGCTGTCATGACAATTGCCCGACCAAGACCAAGAAGGAGAAGGATTGGCCCCGGGCAGATAACTTCAGGCAACACTTGAAAAGGGTTCATCAAATTTTTCTTAAGGCTGAGGACGACCTGAAGAGATATGAAGTTCAGTGAGTAACTAACTCTGACCCTGCCTCGTTAGCCAATGCTTATTCGTCTGCAGCCTTTCTCCAGAGCAGATCCTTGCCGGTCCGAGTTCCGCCGCCGTTTTCGCGTCGCAGATGCAGATGATGTCTGAGCAAAACGGCGCTTCCTGGACTGACCAGGCGCAAATGCAATATCTGAGTCACATGGCACCTTTCACTGAAATCAGCCTTCCAGCTCCAACGGACTCCTCGATCACCCTTCAAAGTCGAACGGTCTCGATGAGCGAGAATGCGGATTTTCCAGCGTTGGAAAATGGCGATGGGTACACATGGCCTGATGCAGGCGCCGCAGAGGTCAGCTCCCACGTCCTTCACTTGGTTTCCAGCCGCCGCGGCTCGCTGGGCGCACTTGAGAGGACAAGATCCATTTCGATCGATGAACCCTCCTCGGGTGGCCAGCAGCCTGGTTTTGAATCGGAAGTCTTGGCAGACGGACGTGTGGAGATGCCTGCGACGGCCGCTAACAGTGATACCAGCCCCTCGATTACCACGGGTGGTATGAATCCGGGTATCCGTCCTATGTCGACTGATAGCAGCCACCTGCGGTCTCATGATGATCAACGAGACGTCAATATCGACCAGCATCGGGAGACTACCGAGGCTAATGTTGCTTCGAATACTCACAATGATGGTGAGCCAGTTGAAGACGAGGATATGGATGATGCGGTGCCTGACTTGGGTCAAGATACATCCGCGGACGACTCTGATGATACGTCTGGGCAGCCTGGGATCACTGTGCTCAAGACATCGTTGGAGTTTCGGATCGAGAACGAGTCAGCTGTTTCTCTTACCCTCATCGAAGATGACGAGAGTGTTCGCACCATCCTTCGGGTCTTAAAGGCAAAGGGTAACCTCGACCAACTGATGTCGGAGTTTGGGTACCAAAAGAAGGAGGAGAAGTCTGAGCCCCCACAACCAACCGAGAAGAAGTCCGAACCTACACCCACCTCTGCAGTTGCTCCCAAAACCGGAAACAGCAAAAATCCCTGCTCCATCTGCGACAAGAGCTTCAACCGCAAGTGCGAACTCAAGAAGCACCAAAAGCGCCACGACAAGCCCTACGCATGCACCTTCCACAACTGCTCCAAAAACTTCGGCAGCAAAAACGACTGGAAGCGGCACGAAAATAGCCAGCATCTCCAACTTGAGATCTGGCGCTGCGACGAGAAGCACCACCACCACCAGGGCGCCACTGCCGCCGTCGGCCTCGTTGCCGACGACCGCGCGGTCTGCGGCTGGGTCGCCCACCGCCGCGAGTCCTTCCGCACCCACCTGTCCAAGGAACACAACATGGACGACCCGGCCATCGAGAAAAAAGTGACCGAGTGCCACATCGGCCGCAACTGCGAGTCGCGCTTCTGGTGCGGGTTTTGCCGGAAGACGATCGAGTTCCAGAAGGATAAGAAGCTGGCGTGGTCGGCGAGGTTTGACCATATCGAGGACCATTTCATTGGGAGGAATGGGGTCAGGCAGCAGAATATTAGGGATTGGGAGTTTATTGAGCCGACTGTGACTGTTGGTGCTGGTGGTGGGAAGAATGGGACTGGGACTGGGACTGGGACTGGGACTGGGAGGGGGGCAGCGGAGATGGCGGAGAGAGAGGTAGTTGATTTGACTGATGAGCAGGAGCAGGTAGAGGATGATTTGGAAACTTCTAGTTCGTCCTCGTATGTCTCGGCTCAGGCGGGTCAGGGTCAGGGGCGAGTGCAACCCGGACATCTCAAGCGTCGCTCGGATGCAGAGGACCAAGTTGTTGCTGCTGTTGCACCGAGAGCAAAGAAGCAGAAGTCGGGTAGGCAGAGGGAGTGTCTCTGGTCTTGTGTAAGCATCCTCCTCCCCTTAACCTCGTCTGATGTTCGTGCCATACTAACCACATAAGTGATGACAGTGCCAATGTACCGGGGCAATGTTCAATGTCGAGACGACGCCCGGGTGTCTGGATTGCAACCATGCTAGGTGCGAGCACTGCGATGTTGAGTTCCACAGGGGCCCTCAGGAGGGACATTAGGGGGCTGTTGTCATGTTTGGGCAATAAATCTTCTCGCTCGCTTTTTGTTTCTCGTTTCCTATCTCCGGATGGCAGCTTGTTCCGTATTTTAGCGACTTAGAGCGACTTTTGGATAGATGAAAGATAGGAAGGTCTGTGTTGGTTTGCTACTTTATGAAGGGTGTATGTGTGGGTGGGTAAAGGAATGAGTGGTAGGGCTGAGTGCTGACTGCACAATGCATGCAGGCCGGGTCTGTATGTGGCAAAATACGACACGACCATTATAGAACATGGGTTGATCCCAAATACAACAACCGCGTTCCTTCTTTGCCAAATCTTGTCCTACACGTATCTAGTGAAGAGTCTGGGTGTCTGTGAGACCTGAGCTCTCCTTCCATTCCATCATCCTGCACCTCAGTGATAGGGCAGTGACGGTCCTTTGTGCAACGTTGCTTAAGAGTTCTGCCAGACTTGTTGAGCATATAATCTAGACACGCAGCCGCGATTCGATGAAGAATATGTCCCGATGCGGCAAAGGGGCCGAGCCGGTCGCCGAGCGGAGGACACAGAAAGGAAGGACACTGCCGCGGAAAAAGGGCTGCAGATTGATGCAAGGGTCATGATGGTAAAGGGAGTTCGTTGTTGGGTTATTGGATGTTGTGATGGCTTGGCGAGTTACTTGTGGAAGGTGCTTTTTTGTGAGGTAAATGATGGGAAAAGTAGTATGGGACGAGTTGGGAGGGAGTGAGAGGTGAGAGAGAGTAGGAGTGGCAGTGGGAGTGGCAGTGGCGGAGTGGTGACGATGAGTAAGGTACCTGTACTCGAGCTTCTCGGGGAAGATAGACCAAGACTTGGTGGCTCTTGAGGAGGGAAGGAAGGAAGGAAGGAAGGAAGGGAGAAGGACCGATACTTAGCCGTTAAAAGGTTCGTCAACGACGGGAAATGGGAAAAGTTACCTAAAAGAGGAACACGAAAAAAAAAAAAAAAAAAAAAAAAAGAATCAACAAGCGATATCTAACCAGTGAGTCTTGCCAGATTTAGACTCCACGGGCTACACGCGACCGTGACAGGATATTCCAAACTCGAAAGTCAAGTCTGGCTGCATACTTCGATAAATGGCACTGGGCAGTCAGTCTCAAGGCGGGAATTGAACCCACGTCCTCACGTGGAGGAAAGGTAGTGCGCAAAGGGAAGCGCTACCAAAAACCACTCGGCTATGGTCCCCAAAGTTTGCTTCGGGGTATACCGCCTGTTGAAAGATTGTACCGCTGACCTCTCTTTATACTTACCAGTGGAGACGGGAGACTGCGGATTGATGACTGCCTGAAACCGAGCTGCTGGGGCGGCAGTATCGTAGCTCCCGTCAGCCAAGAAGAGATCCTTCTCTTTCCACCCATTTGGTTCATACCCATCCTCCAGACGGGAAATGGGAAAAGTACCTAAAAGAGAACACGAAAAAGGGGGAAGGCGCAAAGGAAGAATCCGATGCCTTCGAAGATTAAAAGGTCAGGATGGAAGGGAGGGAGGATGGGGGATGGATAACTAACTTAGTTTGAGAAAAGGATGCGATTTTGCAAGGACCAAATGAAAAACACAAAAGAGTATTTAATTATTCATTTGTCTCTTGCAAGGAACACACACCACAGTTTCTTTCCAATCAAGATGCAGAGAGGGAGAGACAGAGAGAGAGAGAGTAATGGAGATAAAGTGCGAAAAAGTGCAAAAAAAAAAAAAAAGAAACGTGGTGTGATCCGTATTGGATTCGAACCAATATCTTCCTCAAGGACCTCAATCAGAAGTGGAATCATTCCACCTCAGGGATGTTATCCATTTACACCAACGAACCAACAACGGAAAGGCAGCCGGTCAAGAGAACTTATGTACCCGACCCCAAGGGCAGTGGCACCTTCCCACTAACAATCGCCGCATGTCGACAACGAGTACGTCATCCCCCTTTCATCCTAACCTTGTAATGTTCAAAGGTCTTGGGTTTGGAATTGACATGAATGCCTCTATCCACATCCCAGCATCCGTCAAGTTTAGTGATTTGGTTGACGATGAATGAATAAGCCCCCCGGAACAAAATCGTGATCATCTCCAAAAGAGAAAATCCGGTCGACCTTGCGTGCGCTTCAATTCCGCATCCCGATTTTCCGGGTTTCGAAAATGTCGTAAGCGTCAGATGCTACGACGGTATCCCGGTATGCGGGCAACTTTTTTTTTTTTTTTTCGTACAACGATGAGGTATTCAAATTCGAGGATAGGAACGGAAGGGGTGGGGGCCAACAATATGTGAGGAAGAGAGAGATCATATCCCGTTGTGGCTGGCAGGCAGTCCAGGTATTCATTTTGATTCTCTATGTATGTGTGTACACTACCAGCCCGTGGTACGAAAGGAGAGGAGAGATCCTTTTGTACGGTAGTCTCGAGATAGGCAGGTGGGTAGAGGTAGCTAGCTGCTAGTCGGCGGTAGTTACCTGAGGAAAGACCGCCCAACTGTGGTTTGCTGATATGTATGAACATATACTGGTAGCCAGGATTTCTACAAGCTGTGCCTCCAGAGCCTCGGAGAGAAATGGAACAGTAAGTAACGTGACATCGATCCAAGATATCACGGACTATATCATCACTGCAGCTCCTTCGTCACCTAACGCTACACAGACAAAATAGATAGACAGACGGGTAGAAACCGGATCGCCCTGTAGGTATTCCATAGCATGCTAAAGTATTCCGCTGCTGTGATCAGTCAAAGGATCCAAAATTTGATATTATTAGTACCTGATAAATGGGGAATCGTATCTGCACGATGTGGTGCGCTATGCCAAATCGATAGCTCGGTAGAGGTATAGGTGGCTGTTGATTCTGCCTTACGGTACCTTTGCTGTGCAACCTGACACTGACTGCTCGACTGCTCTGTGTAACCTCGCGCCCGGCACAAAGGATGGGGAAGGAACTGGAGAAGTTGGGGGGGGGTTGCTCGCTTAGACTTTGACTTGTGCTACGTCGGAACCGTGACTCGAGTATTTGAAGGACTTAAGGTTGATCTCCGCGGAGCATGTGTTGGGTTCAGCAGGACACGGTTAGTTGCTCGGCGAATTTACATGTCCGAAGTGTTGAAAAGCTGTGAATTTGATGGTCATCTTACTCTCTCTGACACTCAACGCGGTGGCTGTCACAGCTTGGCATGACCGGTGGAAGTGGTGGAAGTGATAGATCGCGCTGGTCTTCAGTTCACCCCGGACAAGAGAATGAGACTCCTTCGTCAGAGGCTTGAAGGATGAGTTCCTTGCATACCTTGAGCTACCGACCAACGGTCTGAAGGACCCCAAAACGCCAAGTGAATTCCCAGATTTTGCTGTCCCAGCAATATGGAAGAGTCCCGTATTCAATATGGACTTCCGTACCTTTTTTATCCTGTCAAAGTTCCTGGAGGGTTGGGGAGCCGGAGCAGGACACTAACTCGTTAGTATCACCGAAAGCCTGGGGTCCTTCCGGGGAACACCCGCCGGGTAGGGCGTTCTATGGGTACCTATCAAGGCATCTCCGTGTCCATAGATTCCATAGATTCCATAGATTGCTGTGCTTATTCTTTCATCAGTGAGTGGCTGGGTTGTTCGATATCCTTTCCTGCTACCATGCCAGGTTAAGTTGTCATGAACCGTTGTATGCTCCCCATATCTATCATATATGTCAATGGTCACGAGTTAAGGAATCCCTACAACATGTCCACTGTAATGGGAAGCACGGGCAAGTAAACCTGGAAGCCCGGTGCAGCGGTCATCTCCGAGACGCGGGAGGATGGAGACGGGTTGTTCGATGAGAAAGTGAGAAAGAGATCCAAGACCTTGCAAGGTACGGCACCTCGTCCGGATAGAGTTATGACCAATGATGTCTGAGAATCCGGTAAAGCTGAAGAAGAGGTCGGGGCAGAAGGTAGCAGCCGATTTCCAAAGCAGTTATGGGACGTCACTCGGGAGGTGGGGGCAAGTTGTCGGCGGTAGATGAGTTTGGGGAGAGATTGTGTGAATCCGCAGCTGCGATGGAGTCCAGACGGAATAGCGCTCGCGGGGCAGATCGACGGAAGGTGGCAGGTGAAAATTGTATGCAGGAGTTGTGAAAAGGAGTCGATGTGAGATCCAAAAATGGCATTCGGCCTCTTTGAGTTTGGCTTTATGAAACGATTGGAGGAAAAGAAGAAAGACAGAAAGTCGTCGTCCAGAGCGGAGCTCTTCAAGCCAGGGCCTCCCCGGACTTAGCGGAGAATCAGTGGGGCCCCTTATCGTTGGAGAAGAGAAGTGGGGTAATGACGAGTAAATTACAGCGTAATGAACGGTCATAGAATTTACCAACGATTCACATTTCCTGGAAATGGAAACGCAAACGAGGCAACCATTTCTCGGAGTATTCACATAACCCGACCCCATTACCAAAGCTTCCTAACCCAAGTGGATACGCTAAGACCGACCCTACATTGTAAAAAATCTCTTATCCGACCCTTGCCCCCTTAATATTTTCTTCCCCCATAAAGAAATAATCAATTGCTCGCTCGAAATTCCCTATAAAGAAATACTATTATTCGCATTTTTAAATATTCCTCTTAAATACTAACGATCGTATATCCAAATATGATTGTAAACCGACCGCGACCAATATCTCCTCGTTATATACGAATAATTCGTAAATTATCTCTAATATATCCCTAAATTATTTCTAATATATCCTTAAATTATTTTCGTAAAATAGTTAATAATAATATTACTAACGCCGATACTTTAATTATTATTATTAGGCTTAATTTATTTAAATAGAATGATATAACCTTTATTAAATTATTAATAATATTTGATTTAAAATAAATAGATAATATAGCAGCCGAATTTAATAAATTATAGGAATTAAAGGATATAACCCCTTTTAATATATTAATACTAACCGACCTCTTAACAAATAAATAAATATAATATTACCCGATTATAATTGTATTTCTTATAAAATAATAATATAATATACTAATTACCTAAAAGTCGAATTTACGGGCCCGATACTTATTTTATCTAATAGTATTAATTAATATTCTAACTTTATTTAAATAATATATTATATTATAATTATTTTTAAATACTCCGAATCTTCCGTTAATAATATAGTTTATATCGTATATATTGAAAATTTAAATAAGGCTTAAATTAAAGCCCCATAATAGGAAAAATATAAAGAGGTTATTCCTAAATAAATACTTCTATAAACAATTCTAATAATTAACCTATAATATTATAGATTTAATATTATACTAAATGGAAATAAAAAATTTAATTTTCCCCTTTATATTTACTTATTAAAACCTTATATTATCCGTTATCATATTTTATATTAAATACGTTTAATCAATTCGCGAAAATTATTTATTTATTCCTATTCGATTATTTAAATAGTAATTTATTATAAATCCTTTTACGTTCGCCGTTTTAGAAGTTTCGACCCTTAAGGTTTGGGCGGCCGTTCTTACTATTCTATTCCCTAATTAGAAAGACTTTACTAGAAATACTTACTGGTTGGATTATTTATAATTACATTTTAAACTGAGCGTTTTTGACTTATTGTCGCCCGATTATTAATAATACGAGAGAAGATCCAGCCTCTTAATATTATATTTCTAATTATAGTTTAAGGAATATTAAATAAATCAAATTGCCGGATACGTATTTATTACTTTCATTGACTGATTGACGGCTATTCGGGCATTATATTTAAATTTACGCTAGCTTTACCGCATTATATAATTCGAAATCGATATTAATTATAATTTCGGATAGCGTAAAAATATAAAAGAATGCGATAACTTATTAAAATTATATTCGTCGCAACTATATCGTCGTTTAACCATTCTAAAAACCTTTTTCTTATATAATTACTATTAATTAGGGAATTGGTTATCACGTAAGAATCTATTGGACTTAATAAAGAAGCTTTTAATTAACGTTGAGAAAAGCGGTTTAAAGAAATTGGAATTATAATAGGAATTGGATAATAAAGATAATAATAATAAAAGGTTTCATTTTAAATAGGATTGCTTAATAGAATTATATAGGGGGCAATTTCCGTAGTTTAACAGTATATATTAATTTCGATATACGATTACCCTTTATCCGTCGGACGTATATTAATTATAATTATAGTAAATCTAGACGGTTAACTTATAAGTAGTAATTTAACCTAATTTAATAACCTAATATCGGAATTTAAATTAGTTAATTACGATATTTACTATATTATTATATAATTCGTAATATAAATAGCTACTAATTATACCAATACGTTAACGCGAATATAGGTTCTTGAAAACCTCTTTACTAATATATTTTAATAAGTACGAAAAATAGTAAATAAAGCCGTCTAGGATAGAATTACTATAGAAAAACGGTAGGACGATAGAATTATAAATACGGTTAAAAGTTTAAAAATAATTATTCGAAAGGGTTTTTATAAATTTAATAAGAAGTTAGCAAGTATCCGAAGGACGATTAAAAATAAATATAGTAAATTATTAAATATTATAAAGAAAGTAGTGGACGTAATAGGTAAAAATATGTAAGACCTTCTATAACTAGAAGTCGAGTTAGAAATTTATTTAATAAAGGATGAATAATTTAGTAATAGGGTTCGAATAATTATTGGTATTTAATTATAATATTAAATAAATACTTTTCTAATTAAATTATATTTGACTTTGCCTATAGAATTCCGTATTATATAATTATTCGTCTCTATTTAGCCCTAAAATTGAAATTAGGACGCAAAAGAGGAATTTATTAATAATTCGTCCTACTTTTATAAATGATAATTAAATCCCATCTTCGTTATATTACAATTTAGCCGATTTATTAATAAATTCGTTCGATATTCGAATTTAATATTAAACTTTATTTATATTTATTCGTATACTATAAAATAACGATCGGGTCTTATATTCCTACTCGTCAGTTAATTTTTATACGTTAATAATAAGTACTTTATGTTAAATATTTTTCTTATCTTATATATATAAATAGAAGCTAAGTATTTAATATTTCTACGTAGGAAATTATACTAAATTTAAAGTCTATATATTAGAACTTTCTCTACATATAAATATTTACCGGTAAACGTTTTACTACTTACTATTTTAATATATAGTATTTTAATATATTTAAATTTATAAAATATTTTATAATCTTCTTTTTAAATATAAAAAAATTAATATATAATTCGAACTAGTAGCCTTTTAAAAATATAATCCGTACAAATACTAATTATACTATAACATTAAATCTTATAATACAATTATTAACCGGATCTATATAAAATTTAGGTAATATTATTTTAAAAAATTAAGGCCGGTATAAATAGTTGAGCGAATAAAGTTAGATTTATCCCGGTCTAATCCGAAATTAATTTATACTATAAATTTTATCCGATATTTTACCCCTCTTAATAAATATACATAGTACGATGTAAATAACGTAATTACGTACTTGTATTTACTAATTTAGCGAAAGGAATAATCGTTATATTAATTAGAATCTTTTCTTTTCAAATTTCGTTTCCCTAATCTTTCTTCGACTATTTAAATATTTATTAATTTACCCTCGTCTACCCTCCGCCGCTCCTCCGAAATTTATCGAAATTAATTAGAAATTTATTAACGACTTATTTTCTATAATAGCGCCGGCTTAATATAAATTTAAAGTTTTTAACGTATATAAAGAATATTTAGAAGGCGATTAGAAACTTACCAAACCTGAAAATAAGGGTAAACGTTAAGCCGTAATACCTCTTTTAAAAATTAATAAATATACAAATATTAAAACTGATCTCTAATTTATTCTTAATTTATTTTTAATCTATTCCTACTAATTACCTTATAGGACGTATATATAATCGCCCTTAGTAAAATCTTTTACCGCTAGAAAAAATTTAAACTAAATTATAATAGCGCGGATATTTAATATCGTTTCAATATAAATAATATTTGAAAATTATCAATATTAATTTAATAATTAATCTTTAACCTATTTAAATTATATTTACTACCTATAGTAATTTTATTAAATATTTAATAGGTATTTATAATATCCTTAAAGAATATTTATTTAATGTTTCAATTGGAAATATTAAAATTAAAATTCATATAATTACTATTAGTATATAACCTGTCCTTAATTAATTTTTGAATAATTGAAAACTAATTACAAATAAATTTAAAATAGTATAAAGATTTTATACCCTTTATAACTTCTAATTAAATTATAACCGTCCTTATCCCTAGTAGGACTTTATAGCCAGTTATTCTCAAAAAACGTAAAGTAACAGTTATTGACGAAAAATCGAACTTATCAGATTCACTATCAATTGAAAAGGAAGAATAGTAAGAAATATAAGAGGAGGAGTAGGAGGAGGAGTAGGAGGAGGAATAAGAAGAAGAATAAGAAGAGGAGTAGGAAGAAGAATAGGAGGAGGAATAGGAAGAAGAATAGGAGGAGGAATAGGAAAAGGTATAAGAGGAGGAGTAATAAGAAGTATAAGAAGAGGAGTAGTAGGAAGTATAGGAGGAGGAATAGGAGGAAGAATAGGAGAAAGAATAGGAGGAGGTATAGGAAGAGGAGTAATAGGAGGTATAAAAAGAAGAATAATAGGAAATATAAGAAGAGAAATAGCAGGAAGAATAAGAGGAGGAATAAGAGAAGGAGTAGGAAGAAAAATAATAAAAGGTATAAAAGGAGGAATAGTAGGAAATATAAGAGAAAAGAAACGAAAAGGAAGCGGAAACGGAGGAAGATGGTCTTATAAAAGTCCCCTTTTAGAAGAACGGCAATATAAATATTTTGGATCTATCTTTAATAAATCGATAATTTATTCTTAATATATCCTTCAATTATCCTTAATTAATTTAATTAATATTTAGGTTAATACCTAATTAATAAAGAAAATATATAAAAAGTACGATAATATCGCTTCTTCCGTTAAATTTATTTATGTAGTATATAAAAACTTAAACGTATTTATAAATTTTACTTTAAATATATCTTTAATAAATCTTTTATTAATTATTAATTTATTATAAGTCCTCCTCCCTACCGTTTTAAATAGGGCAATAAAGGCCGGAGCTACGCTATCTAATACAAATTCCGCCGCCATCCAAATAAACCTACAAAACTTACTCCTTCCTCGTCTACAATTTAAAATATATCCCAAATATATTATAAATATATTATCGGACTTTATATTTCTCTACAGGGGAACTTTAGGCGAGCGAATAAGGTTATTTCTCCACGGGGGGACTTTTATAAATACGACCCGGATAAGCCTATAAAGCCTAACTTCCTCGTCTACAGCTTAAAATATATTCTAAATATATTATAAATATATTATCAGACTTTATTCGAACTACTATTATCAATTTAATATATTGAATTAACTCCGTACGAATACGTATTATAATAACTATATTAATCTTTTTCTTTTATAGGTCGGACTAATTTTGTATATGAATGCACGGACCATGGGGTTAGGAAGCTTTGGGTATGGGGTCGTATTATCTGACCACTCCTATTTCTCGTCCGCTCGCCGCGTTGGTCGCCTTACGGATACCCAGTCGCCATTCGTCATTTTCCACTCAAGTTCGACAGCAATCAGTCCTGGCTTCACGCCGTCCTCAGTCATAGGACCAAATGATCGGTTTCATCCCCGCTTGGCAGGGTTCGAGTCCAATGAAGCCATGCTTGCTCACCGAGACTTGACGACCAAGAAGCAGGTTCCTGATCGCAGAATGACTTGCATGGCGCTCGTCGCGGCCATGGAGTGAAATGTGAGCGACAAACCAAGGAAGACTGTCCAAGTTGAATCTCGACTTTGAGGCGCGGCACAGCAATCTGGAGGAGCACGTCCGACTGAAACCTGACGCGGGCACTATGCTGGCTGGCTGTCTTTTCCTCGCGCTGCCGGCGTCACAAGATGCTGACTGCCTACCCTACTGCTGACGACGAGAGAACCTTAACTTCAGCGAGCCTATACGGAGCTTGACGCCCAAGGGAGGCGCTGTTCCGCCGTTGCTGCAGGGGCGGTTTCGGGGGCAGAGGAGGACAACGGGAGTTGAGTCCTAACGACAAGTCATCATCTCTCGATGGCCTCTTGATATCCCATCCGTGGTGGTTTGGGTGAGATGTCGTCGGAACAACAGTCCTTGATGGGCAAAGCTCCCATAGTTAACCGCAGCATCTAACCCATTGTGGCAGTGGCCTCCGGACACCCAAACTGATGGCTAACGCAGTTACACAAGCAGAACGCCATGTCTTTCAATGGGCCGACCCAGTCGATCATAAGTCCGGCTTCATCCCGTATGGCTTCAACTCGCTAAAAGGGACCATACAGAGGTGCTATCCTGCTAAGGGTTGCGCGGGAAGAAAACGCCCAAGACTCGAGTGGCTTTTGCTCACTGGCCATATTCCATCTCGCTGGGATGGATGGTGGTGACGAGACAAAGGGACCGTATGTCTTACGGACTAAAATGTCAACTTTGGATTCGGCGTCTCTAGTATCCCCAAAACCTCCCAACTGCTCGTTTAGGGGTCGACCGCCACGACATCGATGACCCAAAGACGGACCACTGCCCGAATCTCCCAAAGTTTGAAACTCGGGGCTTGCTCCGAAACTTAAATCCGGTGGTTGCTCCGGTCATGATCTTTAAGGAGAGTTGGCTGTGATATCTGCAGAGCTACAGATTCAGCCACTGCGGGATCTTCTGAAATTGGGACCCGTGATGGTGGTTTTCGTCCTTAAGTTTGCATTCATCACAGTGCGTGGGCCGTCAACTAGGACTCAACCGGCGACACTACCATCCAATGAGAGGAGATCTTTTGAAGCATTTCCTCATTTGGCCGCCGCGATTGTCGACATCGCGACGTTAACCCAAACTGGGCACCAGCCACACCTGGCTATACTGCAATGCGACCATCCCTCTTCCCAAAACTGACCCGCGATTTGGGCATCTCCTGGAACCCATCCACTTAAAGCACCTGTTCCTGGACCGTATCCTCAAGTCACCAAGACGGACAAGCCAGTCAAGATTTTGGTCCGGATATATGCGGTACTTGGAAGCGATTCCCTCCAACACTACGCTCAGTTGCCCTTTACATCTAGGACTTTCACACCAGAACATGTCAGGACAACGCGGTGAGACATTGTGGTTCTTGTCAGCGCATTCCGGCCTGAGACTCCATGCACTCCTTGACACAAGGAAGGATCAGATCGCCATTTTGGAACAATACCGACCATTACCCAGACACCATCAGCTTCGCAAGTTGGCGCTTCTCGAGATCAAACCGATATCTGGCCAAAAGACTCTCCATCTTCGCCTCCACGATGCCCTCTTGGGATGTCAACATTCTCAAAAGGCGGCAAATGTACCCGTCTTGTTTCCGGGCCTCCTTGACCCAAGATCCAAAGCGTTGCAGTGCAGCGGCAATGCTCGCGCTTCACTTCCCTGGTGTTTGTGGAATTTCTGTAATGATTATCGAGGATTTGAGATCAACATACGCGTGTAAAGAGGGTCAGCGATGGTCAGATCCCCTGGTATTTGCTTACGACACCCCCGATACACCTCACCCTAAACTTAGGCGCGCAAACTTCTGGCCACCAAGAGCGAGACAGCTCATGACCAGACTCTGCTTGCATCAAGAGCCGCAATGCACGATGTAGCCATTCAGGTTGACAGTTGACAGCGAAAATAGTCTTCGTCAACCGTATCACCACAGACGGCGGTTGGGCTTGATCTCCAATCTCTGTACTCCCCATCCGGTGCTGATATACGAGTCCTTGGTCCTATGTTTATCGCATGGTGCGCGAACCATTCTTTCAGATTACACAGTCTTACAAACTGGTGTTTGAGCACGTATCGATACAATCATTCGGCAAGATCTCCATGTGCAACCAACCTCGAGACAAGACCCCATGGATGCCTATGGCCTCTACAAGAAAAGTGGCCCTCGATCACAGGTACGTATCGACATCACGAAGTACACAGCAAACTCCAATCTTTTCGAATTGTGGACCTCACGATAATTACAGGACCGTAAAACTGCTGAGTTGTCCAAGCTGTGCCAGTAGCCATGGAGCGCAGTAAGCACTAAAATGGCAGGCAATTGGCCAAAATTCACGGATGCCCCCCATAAAATTTATTGTTCAGACACTGGGACCCCGGCAACCGGCCCTTTCCTGATCGGGTCAAGCTTTTGATGTGTGTAAGACGACGTGATGAGAGAGGCCTTCCTCCGGTCGTCACCAATGGCTGAGCCACTGAGGCCTTCCCCTCTCCCCATTGCTTGTCAAGGTAGCCGCCGTACCACAGGTACTTGCTCTTGGCCTTTTTCCTTATCTGAGCTCTCGAGCAGAAGTATGTCAAATCAGTGAAGAGTTGAGGCTCTGCTGTTACCTCGGCTTGTACCTCGACTGTGCAGCTGTACAAGTTGGGCGAGTCCTTCAGTCCCTTTGCGGACGGGAAAGACCCTTGACTCTCAGTCACAGTCCACTTACACTGGCTGTCGTATAATACGCCCATGGCCCCCCTCCAGCTTCCTTCAGGTCACGCCTTTCTTTTTCAACCTTATCCTTCAGTCAACATCGAAGTGGTATGACTTAATTCATACCTCAAACATTTTACAACACCACGGGCATCTAACATTTCATATCTACTGATACCCCTTCTCACTTTTCTTCTTCCGTCACAACACTCGTGGCGTATCACGTTCTGTGTCCTCGAATGCACACTACCTTTCCACCCTGAACTACTCGAAGACCACCATATTGTTCGTGATTTGTGCATCTGGCACAGTTCGTCAAGATGACCAACCCATGGTTCTACTCCAACGACGGCTACAACTATCACAACATGCAATACACTTACAACAGAATGGAGGATACACCGGAACTACCCTCGAGCTTTATCGACCCCAGCCTGCAAAGTCTAACACCGCCATCAGTCTACCCGACCACCATGGATCAACACCAGTCGATGCAACGCCAACTCAAGGAAGAGCAAAAGACAATGTTCTTCAACTCTGACATCCCACAACAGGCTACCTTCATGCCTTCAACAATGGGTGCCATGGCTCCCTTCCAGGTCCGCTACACCAGCCCCTTTTCCGCCTTCGAGGCTTCAGAAGCATCCGGAAGTGCACAAAGCCCACCCGCCGACACCAACACCGAACCACCTGCATACTACGAAACCCGCTCGCCCCTACAAGAGCCTCTGCCGCTTGAAGACTTCGGCTTCTCCCAGAACCACTTTGTCCAGTTCGCCGGCATGGGTCTGGGTAATGACTCCTTCGTCAACCCCATGGACGTCAACTCAACCGGGCAGCTGGACGGCTACGACAGCGAGACTAGCACTCCCGAGTTCACCTTGCCTCAGCGTGTCAACAGCTGGGAGAGTTACACGACTGGTGGCGTGTCCGGGTGTGACGTGGAGCAGCAGCAGCACAACTCTCCTATAGTTGACTGCACAAAGCCCGTCAACCACTACGCGCCTGCACCCCAGGAGAAGATAGAGGAGCAATCACCAATAACCCTCCCACTCAACCTGAAGAGACCGAGAGGCGTCAACGCCGATGACGACGATGAATACCTCCCAACCACCAAGCGAACCGCAACCCTTGCCCCATCAACAACAACCACCAGCAGAACCGGAACCAAAACAACCACAACCCGCCGCGGCCGCCCCCCAACTTCTCACTCCCCCCTCACCAGCCACCGCCCTCACCAACACCAACACCAACACCAACCCACCCTTCCAGCAACCCTCCCCTCAACAACCAAAGCCCTAACCCCCAACACCAAATCCTCTCTCCTCCTCTGTCCCCACCCGCCCTGCCAACAATCCACCACCCATGGCTTCAAAGACCAGCCCTCTCTGGACGCGCACATCAAGAAACAGCATTCCCGGCCGTTCATCTGCGTCTTCAGCTTTGCCGGGTGCGACTCCACTTTTGGTTCCAAAAACGAGTGGAAGAGGCATGTGGCCAGTCAGCATTTGGTGCTGGAGTATTGGCTTTGTAGGGAGGGGGAGTGTGCTGGTGTTGATAATAACGTTCCTTCTGTGGCAGTTGCTGGTGGGGCTGGTGGATCGAGGTCTGGACGACGGGCTGTTGCAACAGTACTAACTGACGACGAAGAGGATGATAACGACGCAATGCTGCTACCGAACGGCGCCATTTTCAACCGCAAAGACCTCTACACTCAACACGTTCGTCGGATGCACTTGCCTTCGCACTTGAGCCACCTGAGGAAAACCACAGCCCCCCAATCTACCACGAGCAGCAAGAAACCATCATCCTCTTCCATGAACCAAACAAACGACACCACCGCCCAGGAACTAAACGCCTACATCACCACCTTACAATCCCGCGCCCAAATCAAGCGCTGTTCCCTCCCGACATACATGCGTTGCCCTGTTCCCAGCTGCCAGCAGGGCGCCGAGTTCAAGGGCACAGAGGCGTGGGATCAGAGGATGGAACACGTTGCTAAGCATCTTGAATCTTTTGCTGCATCTGCGGGGACTGCTTCCTCTACTGCTACTTCTCGCAATTCCAATTCCAATTTCCATACAGAACGTCATGGGAATGGGAATGGAGATACGGCGGAGGAGGAAGACCGGGTGGAGTTTGGTGGGGAGAACGATACCACGTTGACGGAGTGGGCTAGTAGTAGGGAAGTAGGCATCATCAAGCGCGTCAAGGCCGGAAGGGGAGGGGGAGGGGATTGGAAGTGGATGACTAGGGACCCGATTAAACGCAGGGGACACGGCGGCGGTAACGGAAACACCACACACGGCCACGGGTGCGGAGTGGGAAGGGGTGGCAGAACAAAGCCAGTCAAGGTTAAGGCCATGAGGATTAAGGAAGAGGAGGAGCAGAAACAGGAGCAGAAACAGATCTACGTCAAGCAAGAGATTGTGGTCCAGCAGACGTTCGACTTTGAAGGAGATGAGGACGATGGCATGGTTGCGCCAGAGGATTGGGAGGATGAATGACTTCTGACGAAAATGGGGAAGGTGGACAGAATGTTGCCTTCCCTTGTCGGGTCTTTGGTTCGATTTGGTTCAGGATCAGGATCAGGATCATGGCCACAATCACTGATGGGGAAAATTACTAATGATACGTTAACTGGAACTGGGGATTTGGTGGAGTTGGATATGATTGATTGATGATGATGATGATCATACCATGCTTATATACAGATACCTTGGCAGCTCTTTCTTTTGTTTATCTTGTGATGTGGTTAATACAAATGTGCGATTTGTGTTTTCTTCCATTCGCTGGTCAGTTGCTCCATCCAAGTGCCTGTCTGCCTTCGCTACTACTATGTTGAGTGACCCTTTCGGCATCTCTTGTGATTATCGGGATGCACCGTTGGTGGAAGGTCAGGGGTGAAGGATACCGAAGGAACCACATTAACTGAATACCTACATCAGATCGTTGGGTTAACAAATCGATATGAGAGGGATCTAGAGATTCTACGCTGTAGAGTTGAATACGTTACTGTCACAGCGACCTTGGCCATCTACTTGCCAGTATCATGACAATTATGAGGAGCCATAACTAGGTATGGCTCAAAGAACTTGCTTACCTTTGCTTTTTCCTAGCCAAGATATCAGCAGTAACACCTTCTCGCTTCATACTTCCGAACTTATTTTGCGCGGTTACCATCGTCTATAGACGGTCCACCTCACAAGCCATGCATTCAGCTCATGCTTGATCGTGATGGTGTTACCAAAGGACATCATGGCTGCATTCTAGGCCTCCTGCAAGGCCCCAAGCCAGCGCCATGCCATTGCCATACCAGGAGCGCCGAATTGTCCCCTGCGACTGCTGTTTGACAAAAGGTCCGGTGGTCGGGTCGCTTGTAGGCATCCAGGCATCCAGGCACCCAGGCCAGCCAGAAGAATCAGATTACCTATCAGCAAGGGCATGGTGCTGGCTTGGGGACTTGCAGCATAGTCGGATGGCGCTGAGCACGAAGCCAGCAGGAAGCCAGCGCAAAGAAGGGAAGCGGCGTGATGTCGGTCGTAGTGCCTGTAGTTTCGTAAATTACTTGTTCCAGTTTACAACCCGTTCGTACCAAGGATGTTGAATGTCCCTTTGGCAACGCGGGCAGGCAGGTAGGTAGGTAGGTAACAATCCGGCCGATCACTATAATCATCCGCATCATAACCAATTTCACCACACCGCGATTCTCCCACCTTGAAAGTTCTCAAAGTATGGCCAAGCAGCGGTGTGCCGAGCAATGTCGAGCAGAAAAGTTCAAGTTGCATCGCAGACGGGCGGGCGACGGGCAAATGTAACCTGCTACCACATCCGCGGTGCCAGGACCAGCATTAGGCCAGCATAGTGCCAGGTTGCTGTGGGTCTAACTTTGGATATGGAAACGCGGCGATGGTTTAGTATAGTAAATTGGGTACGTACTGCCCGGCTAGGTAGTAGTGCCCGTGGAGATCCTTGACTTGAAGATGCAGCCACAAGTCCAGCGAGTGGAATGGGGGAGTGGGCAAGTGATAGGGTGGGCCGACCCAGCACTTGGATGTCCATCCCTCATCGGCCCATGCCATTGGAGGTCGTACGAAAGGAGGATTTGGACTTTTTTAAACTCTGCTGGGCGGACGTGGGGTGGTCGTAGTACAAAGGTACTCTCGCAGGGATATATAGACAGACATCGGACATGCAGACAGGCAGACACTGCCATGCCGGCACCGAGACGGGGATCGATCCGTAGATTGATATTGGGGGGGACTGAGACTTGGGGTTGGTTGATGTGGTGATGCCGTGATGCCGTGGAGGTGGCTGTGAAGATACATCTACCGAGAGGCTTGTACACAGATAGATATCTGGTTGCTTGAGAACTGTGAAAGGTGATTGCGTGAGCGATACTGAGGACTCGAGTAACGACTGACGCAATCTCACTGTTGCGGGAATGGCCTCCCATAAAGGCGCCACGGACACGGACACGGCCACGGCCACGGTGCCCATCGCCCTGGGGCGGACGGTTGGGCGCAGGGCAAAGAGGGCGCCAGGGACTCCTAGGATAAGCGTCATTGTCCCCGTCTTTTCTTTTTCTGGCGGCTTTTCCTTCATGATGTCTCAGCATCATGAATACCGTTGACTATTCAGTATCGTTCGTCGTTCGGCGCAAAGGGTCAATGAAGGTCGTTTGACTGGTGAAAGGGTTCAAGGGTTCTTCTTTAGACCCCGTTGGCTATCACTTGCATCTTTGTGATCATCGCCGTTGCAGCTAAGCAGCTAAACTAGTGACGACTGACGAGAGAAAGCTCCCATGACGCGAGCTGAGACTCCATTCCCACTTGCCGCTCGTCTCGTGGTGAATGGAGTTTTAGAGCGATTACGCGCACCGGAAGGATTCACGTACCTCGCAGCTAGCAAGAGACTTGCCATTTGCTTTGCCTCGCACTAATGCGCGGGTCGACCCTGGAGGTATCGGAATTCCAAGATTTCGAAGAGGTATTGGCGGGAGAGGTTGATGGTGAGTAAGTGGTCTGTGGCTGGGTCGCAAGGAGGGCAACCGTCTTTGACATTTCTAGAAGACGAAATAGGAAATGCGGCGATGAAAAGGGAATGGTGCCTCTTGGCGAGCTAGCATGGTGCTGGCATGGGTCTGGCATCGCGCCGGCGTCGCTCTGGCATCGTGAACGCGTTGGTTTACCGAAAAGTGTGAAATGTGACTTGGGATTGGTCAGATAGACGCGCAAGGGGATTTGGGAGGAGAGAAAGAGGATGTGACAAAGTTCGTGGAAGGTTCGCCGGTCTCAAAAAGCGGGAACGGAAAGGATATGTGAGGAACGACCCTGAAGGACTGGCTACAAAATAATCCAAGACCAAGAATATGCTTCCCAACTTGGTCAAGCACAGTCTCGGATTTTATCTGCATTAATTCCTGTATTGCCGTTACACAAGATGTTACACAAATACCTACCAACACCACCAACACCACCAACACCCCTTCTCCACACTCCCTCCCACCTGCCGCATGCTTCCCCATCACTCCATCCAACAACCACACACAACTTTGGACAACACTCGCACACACACGCCGGCTTCTCAGCTGCAGTCAGCTCCTCGCCCTGGAAAATAATGAAGATCACGAATCACCCACGACTTTTTCGACAGTCAGTTACCGCGTACTGTGCTATCTGCCAGGCCTCTCGCCGGCTTTGCTTCATCTTCACCATCACTTGATCACCAAACGCAATGCAGCCACTATCGGGCTCTCAAAGTGACAGACTCTCAAAGGCTATCCTTTGCCCAAATCTCGGGTTATGTTTATCCAATCTCCCTCATTGTCGGAACAGTTCTTTTACATATCCAAAACAATCAGCACTCAGCACTCAGCTATGCAACATGACCTCCCTTCACCTAATCACCAGTCAACTTCGGAGATCCCCTGGGTGTTTAAACCTCAATCCTACGCATTATCTATCCGAACAACTCCCTCCCTCTCTCACCTATCCCAAAAACCCCCCATCTGCCTCGAACAATACCACTCCGAATGACTCCACCGACACTTTCCATACTTGCCAGCCATGATCAGCACTGTATATCCAACCCAGCAGTTAGCTTCTCTATCTTTCTCTCCCTCTCACACATCATACAGATACAGCAAAGAAAAGGGTTCAAGGCAACTACTCACATCCAACAGTATAAACCGCCACCCCAAACATGATGCCCAAAATGATATACCCGCTCAACAACATCAGCGGCAAGCAAATAATATTCCTTAACAACTTCCGCCACCAGCTTTCTGGTTTTCTGGTGGTGGTGGTGGGTTGTAGGCGGTATTTGTCCATGTCTTCGCTCGTGGTGGTGTCTTCGTCTCTTTTGGGTTGGTTGTAGAGGGGGGGTTTGACGTGTGGCCAGGGGTCGTAGTAGGGAGTGTAGGTGTTGGTGTTGTTGGTTGTGTTGGGTCGGTACATGCCCCTGCCGGTATTGCGGTTATTGGTGGTGGTGAGGTTGTTTCTGGGTGTTGAGGAACGAACGGGTGGTTGCTTGTAGAGGTGGTGGAGGTCGGTGATGGTATGGTTATATATGCTATGGTTTGACGCTTGGATGTTCAAGAGAGGTAGCTTTCAGCGGACTTTTGTGAAAACATTCTATCACCAGCGTCAACAAAGGAGTTTTGGGTGTTGTATGATTATACTCTTTTTCTTTCGGTAAAGCAAACGGTGGTGAATGCGTTGATGACACTTGCATAGCTACCTGTTGGGATCACATTGTATCAACAAAAAGTTTTGTTCCTTGCTGTGTCCTTCTTTATGATTGCTGCCTCAGATTGTTGCAGATATTTTTGTAGTCACATCACTTATAACGCAGCTGAGACCACCCATAGACCATTGTTTCATTTTGCATAGCCAAGCGTTCGACGGCCAAAATTTGTTATCTCTACGCTATCGGATGAAAAACTGACAACATCAGACATCAGGCAGAATTCTTCACGAGTGTCGCGATGAGCTTGAGATCGAGGCACTCCGGGTTTTCTCACGGGCTATCAAGCTGCAAGATATACATTCGAGGAAGAACGACATACCATGTTCATCGGAGAACTTCGTATCCAGACTGTCCTCGGAGCTCCTTCAGGTCCTCCTCACCTCAACTTCGGATCACCATGACGTCCACTCGAGCTTGGAAGCGGGTGGAAAACTTGCGCAAACTTTCCATCCTATTTTCTTCCCCACCAAAACCTGAACTCGACGCGCTTCCCTTCACCTTCACCTCGCCGCCATGAGGAGCACTGAGCAGGCAGGCAACCAAACCACAACCCGGTAAACATTCCCGAACTCGGCAGAAGCACCGCATTTTCCTCCGGCCACATCATCACTACTACATCAAACACGAATCCATACACGACCTTAACCTCCCCAGGGACCAACCCCCGCGATGGACAACCCATCCACTACCGCGGGTGACTCGCCCCCTTCCTCTTCTCCACCGCAACCACAAGAAAGCATCCTTAACCGCAAGATTCTCCCCCGCGGCCTCCCTCACAGCTTCTCATCCAACCTAAACCGCGACGTCACCACCCCTAAGAAATCAAAAGCGAACAACCGCTCCGTCCGATCCATCATCGCGTCATTCGAGAGCGCGGCGAGCAAACACCAGCCACCCCACTCGCCACTATTCGAGCCGATTACGCCGCGATGCAGCACCATCAGAAGCAGCGCATCGACGGGCGCGAGTCTGACAAGTTTTCGAAGAGTGAAGGGAAGTAGAGGGGTCAGTGAGTGTCATGACGCGAGGAACAGTCGCAATGGTGAGGGTGACGAGTGGGGAGAGGGGCGTAGTGACGCAGGAACTGCGGTGGAGGGCATCAGGAGCGTTTCGACGCCTGTCATCCCGAGGATAAGCTCGATCATGCCTTTTGCGGTGGAGGAGGAGGATTCATTGACGCTGTTGAATTACAAATCGTATTTCAACCAGCCTTTGGCGAGATGTCTTGATGGGTTTGTCGATCTTGAGGAAGGCAAAAACTCCTCCGAAGAGGAGAAAAGCAAGAAGGAAAACGACGAGAAGAAGTTGAGCACCAAGGCCGGCATCGACAAGGAAAATATACCCCTCCGTATCACGAAGCGAAAGGACAGAGTCAAGACGGCGGCCCAGACCGAGACCCAGCCTACCACAAGTGCCCCGCGACCCGTACGACGACAATCGAGGAGACCGAGTCTCACGCACAGAAAGTCCTCGGCTTCAGTCATTGCTTTGGAGAAGCTCATGCACGAGCTCGAGAACTTTTCGGTCAACCCACCGTTCGAGGAGGAAGAGAGCGAAATCATCGCCATGGCGGAAGACAAGCCAATCATTCGCCGCGACCCAAAAGAAGTCCAGGACTACTGGTGGACGGTCCGTCGCAACCTATGGGTTGATGAACACGAGGTGTACAACCCGGAGGCCTACCACGAATCCAATATCGCAGCGTCAAGCGATATCCCGAAGATCCAACTACCTCTGCCGGGAACAACCGATGTCTCGGCAAGAGCGTCATGCGCCTTCGACAAGCAGATTCCGCTACCTGCGCCTCCTATCCCTTTTCGCTCTCCGAACAGATTGTCCAGTGCCGGTCGGAGCAGTCCGTCGTCAATGGGCACACCGACTCGTTTGCCTAACCGGTCGATCTCAAGCAACTCCTCATCCCCCTTGAAGTATTCGGTGCTGACGGCAGGCCATCCTCCGCCCTCGCCATCCGCTTCTGTCAGACCGGAACCTCCAACACCCCTATCTCCCCCGGCTCTCTTTCGACAAAGTCCGAGTCCACCTCCTAGAAGCTCCAACCGGCCAGTTTCTCCCCCCTTGTCGACAGCGGGCAAGGACGACTACTCGAATGGTGATACTTCGAAGGCCACTCAAGCAATTGTATCCGACTTGAGAGACAGCCTTCACGACCACATACAGTCTCGTGGCCCAAGCTCGTCATCACTCGATGTGAATGCGAGCACATCGCAGGCGGACCGGGACTCGGCCTCGGAGTACGGAGACGAAGAAGTGCGTGAACAGAAAGCCGAGGATAATAATCGTCGTCGGACTCAGCCAGAAGGTCCATCGCTGGATGAGATTGACGGGTTGTTCAGCAGAATCCCAACAGATTCTGCGGTTTCTTCTCCAGCTACAGCTGTTGACGTTGGAGGCAGCCAGGAGAATACCCCCAAGGCCGAGTCCGCCTTTGACCAAATCAAGAAGCGAATAGAGAGCAGAGAAGAGAAGAAACGGTCTACTCATAGTCGTCACTCTTCCCTGGTGCGGTTGAGCGCCAGGTCGCCAGGCGACAGTTCCGAACACCAGCAACCCCATCAATCACCAAAGGAGCAGCAACAAGTTCCGCAGCAAAGTCAACCCCAGGAAGAGCAAGAATCCCCAAACCGTCACTCCGACTCTCACAGCCAAAACCGCCGTCACAGCCGCCGCCGCCTCCACCTCTCAGCCATGAACCTCCCCGGCCTCCGCCACCTCCGCAGCCGCCACAGCAAATCCTCCCTCTCCAGTCCCGATTCCGTGGACAGCCTCAAAACGCCCACCACCGCAAACAGCGTCACCAGCATCAGCAGCACCCGCGCAACCATCAGCAGTCCCGTTCCCATTCTCAGCGCCGGTATCAGCAACCCCGGTAGCAGCATCCCCAGCAGCATCCCTTACTCAGCTACCCGTTCGGCTCGCTCTTCTTTGGCTTCCATCATTGAGTCTGGGACAGGACGTTCTTCTCAGGATCAGGGTCACAAGACGCTAACGGACAAGGGAGGAGAAGATATAGGAATGGAAACTGCAGTGGGAAAGACGGAAGCCAGTGGGACCGTGGTGTTTTACCCGATGCAGTTCGTGACGAAGGTGCCGAAATTGGAGGAGGCGCCGAAGGGTGGTGGAGGGTTTAGGGGGCATTTTAGAAGGAGGAATAAGAGCCGAGATGAGACTAACGAAAACAAGGGGGCGAAGACTTCGATATTGAAAGACAGGAATGTGGAAGAGTTTTTGAACTTGCACAAAAAGAACAGTCCGGGGAAGGAAGGGAATGGCGCACAGCAGGAGGCTACAGCGGTGGAGGATGGCAGTAAGAGGCAGAACGAGGGAAGGAACGACCTTCGCCAGCCCTGCAAAGAGAAAACTCAGCACCGCGTTGGATCCAAGGAAGGAACAACCGGAATCACCTCAAGCACCAGCGCTTCCAGCATCCCACTCCCCACCCACCGCTTCGGCCGCTCCCAGGGGCAGTTTCAAGGTACTACTCACCACCTTCCCTCTTTTGATGACAACCACAACCTTTGCGAGAGCCCTTCGCGCGGCAGCACCGATCACCACGACCACACCACTCCCACCCAGATCCCCGACCCCAAATACGCCAACACCATCTCCTCTTTTATCTACTACACCCCGATAGTCAACACCACCAATAATACCAAAAACTCCCACGACAACAACTCCCACACCTCCTCCACCCCTGACACGCTCCCTTCAACAAGAAGACCAATAACAACCGGGGGGCGCTCTCGCGAAGACCACCTCTCCGAAATCGAATCCTTCCTCAACAAAGACAGCTTCCACAGCCTCCAGTCCATGCGCTCGCTTCATTCCCAGTCGCGGTCTTTGCATTCCATGCATTCCATCCCGGAGTCCAACTCGACTGGAAGTATGTACAGTCAAGATGAAGAGGAAAAGAGGGAGGATGCGTCGGTGTTGATTGGGGAGGTGTTGGAGACTGTTAGGAGCTTGGGGGAGGAAGTGGTGGCGAACCAGGCGAAGAGGAGAGGGTAAAGGAAGGTGAGGTGGGAATTTCCACTGTAGGAGTGAGGTGACAGTGGAGGGGATGACGAGGGCAATTAGGGCGAAGGAGAAAAGGAGTCAGTGGTTGTTTGTTCAAGTGTAAAAGTGTAAAAGTGCTTTGATCATGTGGATTTGAGAGGAGATAGGTTTAGCAGTTAGATAGGGGCGTGTCAGCGTTGGCGCAATGGAGGGGAATTATATCTCTGAGCGTGGTGAAACACGGATGGATCTGTGGTCAGCTTACCCCTCTGGCTCTCTCTACTTTCGCATCTGAGACTTGACTTGAAACAGCCGTAGATGAAATGCCACAAGTGAAAAGAAAGAAAAAGGCTACATACATCTGGTTGGCGTCGTTGTTGCTCGCGGCTGGGTTCACACATGGATGGATGTCCTTGATCCTAACAGAGCTCACTCACATGGACACTCGTTTATCGCCGCCGCCCATCAACACATCATTTTCCTCACGAAGCACATGAATCTGGTAGACCATCCATCCTTCAATGATCAACACCTTCCTTCCTTTAAAAACACAATCAAATTCTTTCCAGAATTACGATACCTAATCAACACCACCGCCCAAACTCCTCTCAGTCCCCACCGATCTCAACGTCCCCCTAGAATCCATTCATCCACAACCCCGTCCCAGTACTAGTAGCAAAGGACTCACCCATGTCCGTGCCCGTGCCCGTACCCGTCTCCGTCTCCTTTCCCTCGCCTCCTTTCATCTCCCTAACCTTGATGTTTACTCCTCCTCCTCCTCTTTCATTTACCCTCCCATTCCCACCATCAACTATCCTCCATCCTCCCCTCCCATAATCCCATTCCCATTGCTCTCCTCCATCTTCACCTTCACCTTCATCTTCATCTTCATCTTCATCCTTGTTCTTTTCCGAGTCTAAAGCTTCCTTTTTATCATGCTCATTGCCTTCGGGGTCACCTTCGGGGTCGGAAGCAGCGTCCGAAGAAGAAGAAGCACAAGAATGAGGCAAAAGGTAATAACAATCCTCCACCTCCTCCAGCGGGATAATCAATAAATCACTGTCCACCTGTACTGATGCCGTTCTCGTTCTTGTATGTCTCAGAGGTCCACTTCCACTTTCTACTCCTGTTTCTACTCCTGTTTCTTCCAGTGTAGAACTTTCATTCGCACTCCCGCTCCCGCTGTCCATGGTGTCAGTAGTCTGATCATTACTATGACTACGGGAGTGCGAGTGGGAGTGGGGGGAGTGTGAAGAAGCTCTGGAAGAAGAAGAGTCGTTGCTGGTGACCTTGTCTAGCGAAGAAACGCGAGAATCGGAGCCGGTGGTGGCGGTGGTGGAAGTGGTGGAAGTTGTTGAGGAGGATCGTTTTCTGTTTGTGCTTGTTGTTTTGGTTTCAGGTTTGTACCAGGAGCTGGGACCGGCAGTAGAAATACTCAAAGACCACGAAGATCTAAACGAGCGGTGATTGCCATTACTCTTGCTGTTGGTGTTGCTACTGCTTTTACTGTAGCGGTTGTGATGGCTGTGTCGGTGTTTCTCCTCCAACTGATCATCGTGTATTTGTTGGGGATCGTGTTCATGTTGATGATGATCGACATCGGCAGTGTTGTTGCTGTTGCTGTTGCTGCCGCCTTCTTCGGGAACAGGAGACGGTAAAGCAGCGGAAACGGATGCAGACGCGGAGGAAGAAGCATGTGCTGGTGAAGAAGAAGAAGAAGAAGAAGAAGAAGAAGAAGAAGAAGAAGAAGAAGAAGAAGAAGAAGAAGAAGAAGAAGAAGAAGAAGAAGAAGAAGAAGAAGAAGAAGAAGAAGCCAAAGCTGCTAAAGCACGCGGACGAGGACGGGTGAAGAACAGTTTGGGTGGTCGCTGGCCGGTGCCGACGTACGAGGGGGCTCGGTCGCAGGGGTGATGGGTTTCGTCTTCGTATTGTTCATGTTTGTGTTCATTTTCTTGTGTATCGAGCTGGTGGCTGTGGTCGTGGTCTGGGTCTGAATCGAGACCATCAGAAGTAATATCGGCGGTGATGTGTTTGGATGGGCTCGCTGTCAGACGGTGATCTTCTTCGCTTTCTGGGATTCGACGGTCCTTGGATGGGTTCTTCAACAACCCCTGCGGCCGAGTTGTCCTCTCTTGCCGAGTCCGTTTCGGGGATGTCTTCATCTGTGTCTTCGTCGGTGTCTGTTCGCTCGTCGTAGTCTTCAAGCTCTTCGTCTTCAAGCTCCTCGTATGTTCTTTTCCTTCTGAATGGTAAGCTTCTTCCTCCTCTGTAACATCATAATCACCTTCTTCAACAAAGTCACGATGCTTGTTTTCGCTGTGAGTTACCAACCGAAAATTGTTGTCTTCGTCTTCACCATGAGAAGAAGGAGTCAAACCAGAACGCCAGGAAGGAGTCAAACTATAACGAACCGCAGACTCCTGAAAGGTCCCTGGGAGACGGCCTGTATCGGTGAAGGTGAAGGCGCTGAACTCCGTTGCCTGGCCGAAGTCCATTAACGGCGATATCGGTGGGAGTGCCCATGTGTCCTGGTATGGTGGGAGCCGTGAGCCTAGATACGTTGGGCGGGATGGCATTAACAATGAGGGTAAGCCTGCGGGTGGCGTTTGACTGCTGGAAGGAATGGACCGCGGAGAGCGAGTGAAGTTGGCCGTTCGGTAAGAGGGAACCAGTCCTTGATATGTCGGCAACAATGTCCCGTCTCCTTGGTTCCCAGCGGTCGCCATTGATACCAAATCGATCGCTGTCTTACAGCGTTTGCATTCACAGGGGGCCTTCGGGCCCTCGCGAGGAGGCGGGAAACCAGGCCTGTGAGTCTTGAAGATGGAATCCTCGTGGTACAGACGGTAATCGATTCCTTTGCCTTTCTCCTTGGCGGACCTGGGCAGTTTCCCTTCACCGAAATGGCTTTCGTTGTCCTTCTCGTCGATGTACCAATATGTTGGGGGCGCCACCATGGATTTCAATCTGAGTATTGGGGGACGACGCGGAGAAGGTTTCTGAGACGACTTGTGCGAGGATTCCTCGTCGGACTCATTCGCCTTGTTGTTCCGGTCCATTGTCGTTGTCGTTTCTGGGACTTCCATAGCTGCTGCTGGTTGTGAAGGATGATTTGTCGAACGTCTGTGTAAAGGAGGAAGAAGTGCTCCCGCTGTAGACTCGGAAGAGGGGTGGTCGTCTTCAATACCCTTCACCTCACCCAGGCGTCTCCCCTTCCAGTGTGGGTGCAGGAGGCTCGTATCAACAATTTTTGCTCTTGAAGCGATGTACGGTCTTGTTGTTGCAGTCCGACTTTCTGAATGTGCCTTGCGGATGTCCGTCGACGAAATCAGCAGCTTTTTAACCTTCTCCAGGCCCCGCTTCCAAAGCCCGGAGGTCCGGTTCTTATGCTTGCTTTGCATCTTCTTATGCTCATGCACTTCTCCTCGGTCTGCATAGTCTGCATATCTCCGGTTGTTGGTATCCTTCTGCTTCTCGGTCGAGCTGGCACCAAGCACCTCAGCCAACCGGTCCATGGCCACCGAGTTTCGCGGCGGCTTTGGTATCGGTGGAGGTAATGGTATACCTGTGGTCTCATCCCAAGGGCCAAGGGCAAGCTGCCATCGTGTCTCCTCCGCTGCTGCTGCTGCTGCTGCTGCTGCAGCTGCCGGTTTATCCGTTCTCTTATGCCCTTCGAATCCCCAAACTCCGTTATCTGCATCCTGCACGCCCTTCCGTCCACGCCTCCAACTCCACCTCCCCTCTCTCTTCCCTTCCGCTTCTCCCCCTCTCCGTCCTGCACCACCACCATCATCCCTCAGACCTCTCAACCCATTCATATTCCTCAACTCCCTCCCCCACTTCCTAACCCTATCCTTCATCCTCCACCCCCTCCCCCTCTTCTTCCGTGAATAACACCCCTCCATAATCTTCCTCGCCGCCTCCTGAGCCTTCTTGTTCCGTTTGGGGTCATGTCGCCATTCTTTGCTCAAGTTGCTGCTTCTTCTCCTTGATCCTGATCCCGATCCTGTAGGGGTGGTGTTGGTTGGGAATATGTCCAGAGGGTCGGAGGGGAAGATTGGCTCCGTGACTGGATCGGTGAACGGGTTGGAAACTCCGGAAGGGTTGGAAATGGAGGGGAAGGAGACGCTCGTTATGGGTGTTTCTGATCTGTCGCAGCCGTGTGGACATGAAAAACCGTGGCCTCCGGGAGCTGAGGGGTGGGTACAGTCTATAGGGACGGAAGGGGGTGTGGAAGAGGGGACGGAGAGGGCTAGAAGGGGAGGGGAGGAGTTGAGTTGTTGCTGTGATGGTAGTGTACTATAGCCGGGAAGAGTGGTGCCACCGCCGTAGGTGCGGCGGAGAGTGGTGCCGCCGCTGTAGGTGGCTGTCGTGGTGGTGATCATGGATCCATTGGATGCGAGGGAGGTGGTGCTTTGTGGGTTTGCTCGTGCACCCGGCTGGATTTGGAGTTGAGATCCATTCTTGGGGCGTTTACCGGTCGGTTTTGGTTTTGATGCCTGGGAGCTTGATCTTGACCTTGACCGCGCTGGAGGTAAGAGAGTACTCGTCCAGGGCGGCGATGGGTCGATGATCGATCGTGCCGTCATTTCGGTTTTCCGTAAAGGATTGGCTGCCTAGGTAGCGGGCAGCTTCCCTTCGAGTTGGGCTACTGAAGCGATCGCAAGCTCGATCTCCTTTATACCTCTCTGGTATCGTACCCGATTGCCAATCGCTTTAAGGATCGCAATAGCCTGGGTATCGTGCCCGATCACTTCACTCCTCAGTAAGTGAGCGACACCCTTCTTGTCATATGCTTCACCACCTGTGCCCATAGTCAGCAAATTGTATTCAATCCCATCGTGTTCTTGTATGAACGAACGATCGAACCGGTGAAGCTGAGCTCAAACGTGAGCCAACTTCAATTTCCTCGGTTCTAACCAACGGCTAACTGAACAATGGAGTACCTATGAGCCGCGGGCGCGTAAGGCGAACCAACACAAACAATGGAATTCACAACGTACGTACCTCGAACCTTTCTTTGTCAGTCCCGTCAGTCCCGCCAGATCCGCCAGTCCCGTCAATGACAACCGCAGCGGTTAGATAATTAACAGCAAGAGCTATATCAAGCCCCAACTTGACCGACACGCGTCCCAACTCGGTTTTTCTTCAAGCTAACGGCGGCGCTTAGGAAATATAATTCTTTCCGCTGATGTATCTTCGATGATGAGGGAATATGTTCTCTCCCTCCGAGGCCTGCCTGGTCCGACACATCCGCTCTCCTTCTCCTATCCTAGGTGCGCCTTTCTCCTGACTGACTGCTTTTCCGTGTTTCGCATGAACCAAACTGACTCGAGTCCAAAATCTCGTCGAACTGTTTACCTCGATCAGTCCATCCAATAATATCTTGTGATGACAGTCTGGCCCGAACGGTTGCTAGGTACTCAGCCATGATAGCATCCGTTATTTTTCGACCTCTTGTGTAAACGACTCGAAAGAAAATAAACCCACGCGGCCGCCACCCCCGTGACAACAACAAAAAAAAAACATTTCCACCACCCTTCCAGAATAGCCTCACTCAGTACCGTGATCCAGAGCCGGCGCAGTGTTTCGAAAAATACCAGATGAACAACTCCCATACATGGTTGATCAAGGTTGGTCCCTGTTGTTGGCCTCGCTGGGACGTTCGGGTTGGATGGAATTCAGGGGCAAAACCGCACGTACCTCTCCTTCTATCTACCTCCTCTACGTACGCGAACGCGATCGCGGGAGTCATTGAAGGCATCGGTAACGTCCTTCTTCCAGGACTTTCGGTTGTTAAGTAGGCGGGAGAGTTGATGGAGCAACACCAGGGTGTTCTTTAATACGGTATCGAGAAAGAACTTGGACCGCAGTGTTGGTCCGATCACGTTGGCCGAGATAGAGGTGGTGGCGGCTGTGAGGATGCGGTCATTCTCAACGAGGATCTTGGGCAGGTTGGGAACTGATGTTGGAGAGGATCCCGACGACGTCGTCTGCGCGTTCGAACGGAGTCCGGATAGCTCCCGTCCCTGATCGACGTTCCGCCGCTCCTGCTGCAGTGCTGTGTCACGATTCCAGCGAGTCGGTACTCTTCATAGTATCGACGGCGAGAGAGGCCCTAAGGCTAAGAGAGAAAAACAAGAAACTATAATTTATACATTTGTATCGCTGAAACTAATAACTTGAAAAGACCACGGTGCCGCTACCACCACTGAACGCTTTGTCAGCCGCCAGCATTCGCCAGAAACAGGTGGGCAATTTCCTCCCAAACGCCGTTAAGAATACCATCAACTCATCTTCTTCCAGGGCACTCAGCTCCTGCTAGCAGCTTCTTCATCCTCAGCATCCTCAACCGCAGCGGGAGCAGGCCTCGGCCTAGGTCTATAACTTTCACTAACGTCAATAGATAAGCGACCGTCACTCTCAACCTCCTCCTGCTCTTCTTCTCTCCTGATACTGGGGGCCTGGGATGCCTCCGGCTGCGGAGAGGGCGGGACATTATTGAAGCTCCAACCTGCCCCCATTCCTCCCAATGGTCCAGTATTCGCGTCCGGCATTATCGTTACTGGATTATGGAGTCTGCTTTCTGGTCGAGTAGATGATGTTGATGGTACTGATGAACGCGGAGCTTGCGTCTCTCCAGTCCCGGCAGTTGTTGGTGATGCAGTGTTGGTGACAGGTTGTTGTTGTTCAGCAGGACTCATGGGAGTTGCGGGAGTCGTGGGGGTAATGGGTTGGCTGAGGCCAGTCGGTGGTGTAGTGGTTAGAAGACCAGAGGCTATATTTCCCTGGGCTTGATTTTGAGCTCCAGTTTGAGCTGCATTATCGGGCCTTGGTTCTACAACCGTTGGCACCGGTCCTGCCGTTGCTGTCCCTGGTATTGCTGTCTCAACATTCCCTTGCTGGCCGGCTTGGTCGGCCTGACCCGCATTCTGTCCCGGAGCAACAGCAGCACCGTTCAACCGCTCCAGAGGAAGTAGCGACCACCCCTCGGGGATCACCACCCCCTCGGGCAAGTCGGGACTGCCGGCTGGAATGGCTGTTCCCCAATCCGCAGCGCCATGCCTAGTGATGTTTTGTGGGAATGGTTGGATTTGTACAGGCTCTTGAGGAAGTGTAAACCCCAGAGCTTGCGCTTGTTGAGCGTGGCGTACCCGAGCCAGCTCTGTAGCAATGTTCTGCAACGAGCGGAACTGTCCTATCGTGGCGCTCAAGTCCCTCAATTCCTGGTCCAGGCGCTGCCCAATTTCCACCAGCTGCGTCTGAATCTGATCCATGCCAGTAGAACCTTGTCCATTAACAGGTTGTTGTGCTGGTGGTGCCTGCGCATTCACGGGCTGATGGGCATTAGCCATATTCTCCGGGATACCCATTCTCCTGGCCATCTCCTGAATATCCTGGCCTTGTGCGAAGCCTAATCTAATAGGACCCAAGTTGAACATCCGAACTCCGTTAATCCGAACTCCGTTATTCTGGTTGTTCACTTGATTATTAGGAGCTTGGTTGGCGGGCGCTTGACCGTTAATCTGTTGTTGAGGTTGCTGGTTCTGTCCAGCCGGAAGATTGAGCCCGTTGAAACCTGCCCCCTGCGCATTTCGGTCCGGCTGCTGGCCTTCCCTAGAAACCGGGCGTCGGCAGGTCGGGCACACTTGCTGGCGTTCCAGCCAGCTCTTGAGACATCCTTGGTGTAGAATATGGCCACAGGGCAGCTTCTTGGCACGAGTACGCTCGAGACGAATAGGGTCTTGGGGGTTCCAAGGGCGCATTTCTTCTCTGCAAATAATGCAGGTGTCGTCTTGTCCGAGATCTTGCTCGGTAGCGTCGGCATACTGATCCATGTCCCGAAGAGCCTGGCGGTAGCGCAGTAGGGCGTTGAGTCGCTTGATGAAAGATCTGGTCGTCATGAACCAGTCTCTGATAATGTGAATGGGCAATCCATAGAAGGTCATGAGGACGCAGAAGAATGCGGTGTAAATGCAGAGCTTGAGGAAGTCTGTTCGCCATGGTTAGTACAACTGCGCATACGCATAGCGAAGAGCACCCCGACTTACCAGAAACCAAATCCAATGACAAGATATACAGTCCCTTGGCATCCCAGCCAGGAACCTCGATATCCATCTCTTCCACATCATCCTCGCTCGGCAACTCCTCATTCTCCGCCTCCGCATCACCCTGCTCTCTGCGCCTCAGAATCTCCGCCCTGCGCTCTCTAATCTGCTGTCTCCTCTGCTCCAACCCATTCCTCGTCTGCACCCTCGTGATATGCTGCTCCCACATGGAGAACAGATACCTTATGAGCGTCTGGCCCGAGGTCACCGTCTGCACAGCAAACTCAAACAGGAACATCACCATCATGGTAGGACGCGCCTGCTGGACCACGGTATCGACGCAGTACTTCAACATCCAGACATTGTACGCCACGCTAAGGAGCAGCGAGACGGACAGGCGGGTGTGGAACAGTCGCGGGTTGGCGGGCGGTTGTTGCTCAAAGATCTCGACCCGGCCTTCGCCTATCCAGCCCCATACTTTGCCCGTGACAAGCGCCGTGAACATGAACAGGAAGAAGGGGCCGACTTCTTCGCGGAAGATGGTCATGGCCAGACATGTCTCGGTGACGGCGAACCAGGCGCGTTCGTACAGTTGCTCGATCTCGACGGGGCGGAGGGGGCCGAAGCAGAGGCGCTGGAGGCCGTACATGAAGGCTCCATAGAGGACGAGGATCAGGTTCGCGAGGACCTATTTGGTAGGAGAATATAGTTAGGTCAGCTACTGGGGATAATACCTCTTTCAGAAGGTTGATGGGAGGATATGGACGTACCACGAGAGAGAGGCTGTTCTGGCCCAGATGGACGACGGCAGAGTAGAAGTTGGCTCGTTGATGGAACGCCGAAAGGATGACCGAGGCCGCTAGGGCCGTCGAGCACTGTGCATTTGAACCATGGTTAGTTCGAGTGTATCTCCATATGGTTTGTGAGTATATAGAGAAGCTGGAGCTGGAGAGTTTGGAGATGTATGGGGGAGCTGGAGCTGAGCTAGGGGGAAGCTTCCACTTACCCCTGCGTACCACGCCAACCGCATCTTGGCCTATTTGCGAGAGTGAATGGCGAAACCGTGACCGAAGAGGTTGAACTTTTGGTTTAGCAATGGAGGGATCGCACTAAGTTGCCATCATGGGTGGAAGTGAGTGGAATGGGAATTCGTGATCGAGTGAACAAGCGAGGTCGTCGAGGTAGAAAGAGGTATCTCCTAGAGGTAGGTGATGAGGTGAGATTGACAGTGGACGTAAGCAGCTACAATGCAGGCAGTAGAATGCACTTCTGGGGGTCCAAAGGTGCTGTAAGGAGAACTTGAACTGTTCAACTGATAAACATGGCCGCGCCAGTAAAGTAAATGCCACGTTATGGGAAACCGCCAACCTAGCTTCAATCGGTTCAAGGTGACGCACGGCGACAGGGAAGGTGGCCCGAAGATCAAGAAAGCCAAGCGCGACTCCCGCACAGCCACAGACGCTTCTTTATTGCCGGCACAGTGTTCTAGAACCCTGGTGTGGCAGGCGTTACCCACCCTCTACCAAATCATGTATTTATTCCAGGCCAGCGGGGCATTCCCTCTCTTCCCTCTTCAACCTTCCAATCAATCCAATTCTACCACTTTGCTTGGTTCGCCTTGTTGTTGTTTTTACCTTGGGTTGTGGCGGCTGCGGACGGTACTAACCAATATGAGTAGGACAAATAGACCACTTCTTCAACAAAGTCACTTTGGCGGAGTGGTTAACGCGCTGCCCTGCTATTCGTAAGAAAGCAAGTTTAGGCAGTTCCCTCGGGAGCGTAGGTTCGAATCCTACAGGTGACGTTTCTTTTTGACTTTTTCCCAACTGCAGCCATCCTTCTTTTCTCTCTGTCTCTTTTTCCTTGCTTCGCCATTCATTTTGCTTTTCGGTTTTCCTTTTGCAAAGTTGACCGAGACGAAAACACTTTGTTAGGCTTGTGACTAATGTTGGGGATTGGAGGTCACTCAGTGTGCAGCAGAGTTGGGGAAACAGACAGGAACTGACCTCCAATCCCCAACGGGTAATGTTGGCAAGTGCTGCCACTATTAAATCGGTATCACAATCATCCGGTCTCTGTTTCTGACGAAGCTTGACTATGTCAACAACGGGGATAATGCGATCGCAATATAAACCAACCAGTATACGTAGCGGGTATACCTTACGCAGTAACAAAGACACGGCTTCTTATCATCGCTAAAAGTGTCCGCTGTCTTGGGTCACCAACCCAGTACCTATGCCTCCTTCCTCCCATATTTGTGGCGATGCAAGTTCGATTCTCCGGTGTGACATGTTGGGTGATGAACTGACCGAGGGATGAAGAGATGTTTGTTGGCTCTTCTACAATCTAATGCTGGTTTGTTTGTTAGCTTGGTACTCCTGGTATACTGGACAAGATCTATCCCGAATTCCGAAATTGTCCCAAACCTCACAAAGATAAAATGAATGGCTACAGACCTCTAGGTACGGATCGGAAAGGCATCAGCAAGATTCAATATGGCATATCAAATTTCCAAAATAGCATATGCAAGGTAAGATCACGCTTTGGTTATGGAACGAAACGGGCCAATTAGATATATAAACGCCTAGGAAAGTTGACCAGAGGTCTCGAGCTAACAAACAAACCAGTATTGGACTGTATAGCTGATCACATTGTCATAGGTATCCGATCAAATTTTCTTATAGTGTTCATCATTCGGGCATATCCGATCGTTTCGATCCTAAAAGTCTGCCTGGCATTGGAGTAATGCTCACCGCTCACCATCGGCATCGGCATCGGCATCGGCAACGGCCACATCTCGCCGGGCTTTCCGTTCAAAGGACGATCGATGCTGTGCCCATTTAATCGAAGTGTGGGATGCGATTTGGTGGTCGTGGTCGTGGTCGTGATCCCCAGACCCGTTCGCAGACCGCAGTTGCAAGTAGGTTGCAGGGCAGTGCCGAACGTTGTGCCGCCCGTTCGTTCGTGCCGTGCCGTTTTGGGGCCGCACAACTGTGTGATCGAAAGTTCGGGCACACGCATATGAAAGGACCAGCTGAATCGAACTGAACTTTCAAAACAGCAATTTGCGGATTATACTGTGTTCTTGCAGCGTGAAGTCCTGCTTTGTTGGAATTTTGGTATGTTTCAAAATCGTTCGACGAGATCGGATAACAACGTCACGACGGGTGAAAGGTAGGTATCATGTATGCCGTTCGGATCTGAACTTGGTACTGTTAATGGGCCGTTAAGATCGGAGAGATCAGAGATCGAACAAAAGATCAACAACTAGGATGGTGGTCTTGATCAAAGCCACCACCAACAGCAAGTAATTCTCTAGACACTTTGGCAGTGATAAGGAGCGTGGCTTTGCTAGGTAGATATACTACTAGACTGATTTATATTGCGATCACATTATCTATCCCCTCCCCGTTACTGAGATATCGAACTGTCGAGGGAGCCTTGGTGATGGGTGATCACATACGACTGTGGCAGGTTCGGGCATATAAGTATCACGTAGAGGTAGGTAAGGTACCTCTAGATATGCGAATTGTCAGCAAGTTGCCATTCCGATGCCGACGCTGATAGGGAGGAGACCTGATATACCGACCGAGTGTGAGATTCCTATCGTTTCACCCGATCAGGTTGGAGACATCGCTTGAATACCTCTGTGGCGTTCGGTCCAACCCGGCTTTTAGACATAAACGCGAGCTGAACAAAAAAAATATGCGAATTGTTCAGGTGATTGATGGAGATTGAGTTGGTGATGGTTTCAGAAGGAGGTGACGGAGTGTATATTGGGGGCTGACAACTGCATCGGTATGCAGTCTTAGAAGAGAGCTGAGTCTTTCCAACGCTTGTGCTCCGCGCTTAATGCGCTAAAACAAACAGCATGATCTATCTGGTGTGATGCGGAGGTTGGAAGAAGCAAAGAAACTTACAATTGGTTTAGAGCATGAGGAGAGAAGAAGAAGAAGAAAATGTGGTTGTAAACTGAAAGGGGTAGTGACGGGAATCAGATGTAGAAACTGGAGAGTCTATGTATTAAAGGGAGACAAGGGAGACGTTAACTAACACCACCATGCCATTACTTCCGTGTACGTAGCCATCTTTTTACCAATAAACAAAACCAAAACTCGACTTTTGTAGACAAGGTGTTAACGCGCTGGGAAGAGGAAAGGGGTAAAAAACAAAGCCAAACAAAAGGGGTATGGGTATCCCATGCGTATGCCAAAACACCATGTAGTCCTTACTCCTTCCCCAACTCCTTCTCTATATGTTCAACGCTCAACGCCCATCCCACATGATCTCGTGAGATTGAGGATACCTACAGAACAGGTCCCCAAACCTGCTCCAACCACTCCCTAAGCCTCATCGGCTGAAAGGCCGTCCTCTCGCTCTGATTTACCAATTCGTTAAGGTTCGTCGAGCGAATGCTATACCGCCCGTTAGCAGTCTGCAACAATCTCTGATAGTACAGATATGTCGCCACATCGCCAGCACGATGGTACTCGTTCGCCCAGGCCTCGGCTTCTTGGTAGGTTCGTCTTGTGACGCTGAACTGGACTGTTGTGTGTTTCTCGCCCGTTAGTACGTAAGTCTACAGCCAACTGGCGATAGATAAAGGCAAAGAGAAAGAAAATTCACCACCCCTAACAACCTCACAAACCCCAACCACCTCCCCCACCGCCATACAATCCCCCCTAACCCTCCACTCCCTCGGCCACCTCTCCAACGGCACCCCCAAAGATCCCGCTCCCGTCAACTCCACCGCCGCCGCCACGAACCTGGCAACATCATACATGCTCGTCATAGCCACGTACGCCGTCCGTCCCTGGGCATCCCGTTCCACCACCTCCGCCGTGCGCTGCTCGACATTCACCAAGTAATCACTCGTCGGCATCGGCCCCATCAACCCCAGCTGCGTCCCGATTCCCCAAGGCTGCAGTCCACCGCGAGCAAATCTTTCCATGAAGATTCCGCATGAGAAAACGGTGTAGTTCATCCGATGAGAGCGGGATTGGGACCAAGACTCCAAAAGGTCCAAAGCGGCGCGGGAGCCGCGGTTGTCGAGCGGGTCGGTCGAGTTGGCCGGTGGGCGGTGGGAAAGGGGGCCCTCAAATTCAGAGGGGACGAAGCAGCGGACGCGGGCGCGGCGGGCGGCGTCGATGAGGTTGAGCTGTTCGTTGTTGGAAATGGTGGAGATGAGGAGGTCGACGCCGCGGAGAACGTAGTGCAGTTCTTCGACGTTTTGGTAGTCTACTAGGGCGAGTTGGCATGAGGGGAGGTTTTCTTCGAATTCTGGATGAGGCTGTTTTTGTGTGTTAATAGAGTTGAAGTGGGAGTAAGGAGGGAAAGACATACCTGTCGAGTGAGAATGAGAACGGGATGGGCACTCTTGGTGATCTCCTGGGCGAGGATGTAGGCAAAGGAGCCGCCTCCTGCGATAGCGATTCTCATCATGGCAGCAGGTTGTTGAGAGGCTTTCTGGCGCATTGTAGAATGAGACATTCAGTGAGAGAGTTGGAGTTGATGGTCCGGCTTGTTGGAGATGCTGATGTCTGAGGTGATATTCGAGATGGAGAGGGTCATGCTGTTGAACTTATATGGGAACCCGGAGGTGTTGTCACTTCGTGATGCATCATCGTCTCACACAGAACCTTGAACCTTAACAACAGCAACCCAGAGGCACGGTAAATCCGGAGGGGGTCAGGAGGAGAGCTAGGCAAGCAGAATAACGAAGGGTAGATTCTCAAGCCAACGGCACAGGAGTAGAGCCGACAGGTGAAGATCGAAGTCGGGAGCAGAAGCCGATGACATCCCACACCCGACTCCTCCACCAGAACGCCTTTCCTTACGAGGCGGTTCGGCTCCGGCTGGCGGCGTGAACAATTCAAGGATGGCATGACTGACATCCAAGCTTGTTGGTCTATCCAACCCCAAGTGTGAGGACCAACGGTGCCCATACCGAAGATCCCATGTCATCACACGGAAGGACTGCCGCTTGGCCCTCTTCTGCACGAGATGTTGCCCGCCGCAATGGGCCACCGCGGAAACCCCACGCTTCGGCAGTCTGAATAATTTGCGGGCTCTTCCGAGAGGCTTCTCGCTTAGCCATACTCTGATCTCACGACTCAGGGGTCGGAAAGTCGGGGCAGATTGAGGTCAAGAATAGATACCATATGTGAGCGCTAGCGGGGCATGGTGATGGAGTTCTCTTCATAACATGAATTTCTTGCAACTTTGCGAGAATATGAAGGACCAGAGTTGAGACGCATGGTGATGGCGTCTTCGGTCAGAATCTAATTCGAGGGCTGGGGTCACCCGGACCGTAGATCGCATCATCTCCCGTAGGGCTGTCCCGAGGCCAAGCAGGCAGTAACCACAAGAGGGTTTAGAGTTGGAAGATGAAGAGTGTTTGGAGAGTTCCTAAGAAAAGACTTGAAACTGTGGCGAGTGGACGAGGATGGCAAATTGCAGAGATTATAAAACATGTTGAAGATGAAGAAGGACCACCGCAAATTGTTACTGTCAGAGTAAAGTGTTAGGAGTCGTGGAGTTGAGTGTTGTATCTGGGAATGGCAAAGCCACCCGAGGACCAACAAGCCACATTGATGATCAAGGACTGGGGTTTGAGGGTTGCGAGATGGTGCAACAAGGTGGGACAATAGGGCTGGCAAGGATGGTGATAGGGTGTTGTTGGCGTTAGACGCCGTTGAAAGAGATGATGGAGGGTGAAGTCTTGCCAATATTGGATTGGAAAGGCGCGCTGCCGAGTGGTCTTACTCGAGGCTTAGCAAAGTCTAAGTGCCGAGTCTTGGGAATAGGCGAGAGCTGAAAGGAAGTAGTTCAAGAAAGGATACTCAATGTTACACGCAGGCTTCAAAATAACCTCCGAACTCTATGTTGTTCTGGGCTTTGTGAAACCAAGTTGAAGGGAGTCTTTAAGCTGTTACCTGGATGCAAGCCTGAGACGAACTGCTGCGTGATGACTTGCATGTCCCTTCGCATCGTCCCTAGGGCTGTGATGTAACGGTGATGGGAACATGGGGTTGACGACACCGTAGCTCGAATAGCGAGACCGAATGACCAGATCTCGAAACGCCTCAAAAGAAAGTTGGTGATGAACAATATCAACAGTAACCACAGTTGGAAGTCCAAGAAAAGAACATCAGCCCAGATGGAGCCCGGTCAACCAGAGTTGTGTTGATGAGTTGGGCGGATTGGGGGCCATGCTTCATCTCCATGTTGGAGGCAGAGCTGGGAGGCTTGGCCGTTGGATCCTCCATAATTCCCCGTCTTCATGGCCAGAAAATAGAAGTTACAAGAACAGGCGTGGATTTCAGCTGAGGTTGATGCCGACCAAGCGAGAATTTCGCATCTCACTTTCCATCGTGGCGACGAAGGGACGATGAGTTGAGTGAGTTGAGGTTGTCAACAGCGACCAGCGTTAAGTGGGAGCCAAGCTGCCAAGCAGTCCTCCTAGAAATGCGGCAGGCACAAGTATTAACCCGCTTGCCTGCCGGAGACTTTGCTGGTGCCTTCGTTCTTGCAGTGCCGTGCAGCTGTTCATCTTATCAACTTATCATCACATCTTATCTCGCCGTCTTCTGCCTCCCGTCCCGTCCCGTCTCAACTTCACTTCTCTTCCTCAAGTTTCCAGCCCGGAGAGGACAACGACTTCAAACCTGGGGTTATGTTCCTGGCAAATGGATGTGGAAACACAGATAGTCTTTTTACTTAACAATAAGCTGTCGAGTTTGGAACACGAGATCTCAGTATCCCATCATGGCCCCGACATCACGGATAACATGAGTAACACGAGTTCCGGCAGTTCATAACTGATGCTCCTTCGTTTTGACTCTGAATCTATACACTCAGCAATCTGGGCGAAATCAATCGCGCAAATTCACTTACCTAACGGTATGTGTAAGAACGAACGCTGCTTAGAATCTCGGTCCTGCAGTGAGCTTCAACATCGGGCCGTTTCGCGCAACACGATACACGGCAGCCGGCGCATGTCAGAATCGTAAATTGAAGCCTGCTTGTATTGCCTCGGTGTAAGGCACCAAGACGAACACCAGGCTTCAGAAAGAGAGGGCCCCAAAATGCTGGGACATCATCACGATCACGACATCACACAGGTGTTATTCGAACAACTCTTTATTATCCGAAACTCAAGTCATTCCATCATCAAGTCGTTATAGGTGAAAAGGGGGGTATCATCTCAATCCATCCTCAACCTCATTCCAAGCTTCCCTCATAATTTAGAGATCAGCCCTCTTCTGCGCCTCAGCCTCCTTCTGGATATCATGCTCCGCCCCGCGCTGCTGGGCCTTGCCAACATCATGCTGAGTCTGGTACTCGGTCTGCTTCTCGCGGTCGCCGACGAGCGCGGCCGCAGCGCCGCCGAGCTGGCCCGTGAAGCGGTCCTTGGCGCCCTCGCCGAGGTCCTTGACCTGGCCGCGGGCCTCCTGCTCTTGGCCTTCGCGGTTTTCTTGACGGCCGGCTTGCTTGAGCTCCTGTGATTGTTGTGTTAGTGGACGTCCTGCTTGGAGAGTGAGAGAAAGGGGGAAAGGAAAAAGACATACCTCAGAGCCAATGGTTCCACCGATGAACTCCTTGGCCGCACCGGCGGTCTGCTTCCAAGAACCGGACGCGCGGTCGGGGTGGTCGGCGGCGACGGCGCCGTCAGAGGTGGCCGTGAAGCCGGGGAGCTTAGCGGCGTCGTGCGAGGCGGCGTGCTCGGCGTGAGCCTTCTCCTGCTTGAGCTGACCTTCGGCCTGTGATTTTGAGTGTTAGTTATGGGGAAAAGAGGAGTGTGAGGTAAGAGGACCGTGGACGTACCTGATCGCCGCGGTTGCCAATGATATTGCCAACAGCGTTCTGGACAGCGCCGGTGGCGGAGTCGATGTAGGACTTGAGGGTGGAGTTGTTCTCGGTAGACATGTTGGGTGGTTGTGGTATGTTGACTTTGGGTGGTTAAAGTGGTGATGGTTTTGGTTTGAAGTTGTTGTTGGAGAGTTGTTATTGTTTGAGTGTGTGATTGATTGTATCGAGAGAATGATGATCAGAAATGTGTCCAAGAGGGAAGGATCTCTTTTCTTTATATATCCCAATCTCGACTTCCACAAGGTCCACCACGAAATCGCATCAAGACAAACAACCTGGAAGAACCAGATCGGATGACTAGAAGGGTCCTGCCGAAATCTTGGCCCGGGGTTGAAGGCGATGACGGACTGGAGAGGGCCTGAAAATGGACATGTGAACCTTGTGTCCATCCATCACTTCCGATATGTTTAGCCCATTTCTTGCTCTAATTGGCCAGTCATGGTCTTTCTTGCTTGTTTGTTTCAGCTCGTAGCTTCCAGTATCCAACTTGTTGCATGTGGCAGGAATGTCCAAAGCACACCAGAAGGAATGATGTCATAGGAGAGCCTGTGGACAGGGGTCCGTTCATCCCACCTCCCGAATGAGACGCTGACATCATAGGTCGTCGCAGCCACAAACGACTTGCAACGAGCCGAGCTAAAGCCCCTCAACACCACGCATTGTCCAGATGGAAGGTTTCGATCCTTTTTTCAACCATACTTCACTTGTTGTCCCAGGCACGATCTTGGCAACTGAACATATTGTACGCATCCTGAGCGGAAAGTGCCGGGTCTGGAGTTGAAGACAGCCACGGAATGGACACAATCTACACCACACAGCCAAATCACATGGAAACCTATCAAGACGTTCATCAGCCATAATGCTGGGAATTATGTATATCCATTATGTGGTGAATTGTTCTCTTGACTGACACCTCCAAGCGCCGCCTTCCAGCCGTATGGTATCATTCTCTTGCTCATCAAAAAACAAAAGTCATCCGCAAATATCGCTTACATACATGATAGTATACAATGGGTCATGTTTTGCCCCTTGCTTCCGTCCTTACGGGAGCCTCACCAATTCATAAGGTTGACTGTATAAATAACCCGGGCCGCCTATAGTCTTCGGAAAGGCAGCGCAGCGGGAGAAATAAAAAGCAATGGAAACTCCGCCCATTTTATAAAACGTGATAAAATACCGCTCATCAACCACACCACGTCACCTCTTAGTGCTGGCTCCACTGGATCGTGTTCAGGTCGATACCCTCCTGGACGAGCTCCCACAGAGGAGAAAGCTCACGGAGGAAGCCCACACGCTCCGTCACGGCCTTAAGAACGTAGTCGATCTCTTGCTCGGTAGTGAACCGGCCGATACCGAAACGGATACTGGAGTGGGCGCTCTCATCACTGTTGCCCAAAGCACGGAGAACGTAACTAGGCTCCAGAGAAGCCGAAGTGCAAGCACTGCCCGACGAAAGAGCAATGTCCTTGAGGGCCATCAGGAGAGACTCACCCTCGACGTAAGCGAAAGAAACGTTCACGCAGCCGGGGTAGAAGTGGTTGGAGTCACCGTTCTGGCTGGTGTGCTCCATGGAGAGCAGACCGTTGAGAAGACGGTCGGAGAGGTACTTGATACGCTTGGAGTCGTACTTTTGCAACAGTTAGCGCCCATCCTTGAACTAAACGATGCATTACATGTGGGATATAGAGGGATTATGATCAGAGAATTTGCTGTTTATCAACAGGGAGTCCTTGTCACGGGACTTCAGAAAGCCATGCATGTGTAAAGCGACTCATCATGAAAGGGAAATGGTAAAAAAAGGGAATGATTGTAACATACCGGCATCTCTTCCTTGGCGATGCGGCACGCCTCTCCGAAGCCGACAACGAGCGGAGGAGCCAGCGTGCCGCTGCGAAGACCTCTCTCCTGACCACCACCGCTGATGATGGGTTCCAGTCTGACTCTTGGCCGACGACGGATGTAAGCTGCACCAATGCCCATGGGGCCGTAGATCTTGTGGGAGGAGATGGACATCAAGTCAATGTTCATGGCGTTAACGTCAATGGGGATCTTGCCAACAGCCTGGGCAGCGTCGGTGTGGAAGAAGATCTTCTTGGACCGGCAAAGCTGGCCGATTTCCTCGAGGGGCTGGATGACGCCAATCTCGTTGTTGACAGCCATGATACTGACGATGGCGGTGTCGGGTCGGATGGCAGCCTCCAGCTCCGCCATGTCGATCAGGCCGCTGCTCTTCACTGGGAGATAGGTCACTTCGAAGCCCTCGTCCTGAAGATGCCTGCAGCTGTCGAGGACACACTTGTGTTCTGTCTGGCTGGTGATGATGTGCTTCTTCTTGCCGGACCGACCAAAGAACCGGGCGACGCCCTTGATGCTCATGTTGTTGCTTTCGGTGGCACCGCTGGTGAAGATGATTTCCTTGGGGTCAGCGCCAATCAGATCAGCAATGTGTTTCCTCGCCTCCTCGACGGCCTTGTCTGTCTCCCAGCCGTAGGCATGTGTCCTCGAGTGGGGGTTGCCGTAGACGTTGGTGAAGTAGGGCATCATGGCATCGAGCACTCTGGGGTCAATGGGGGTTGTGGCCTGCATGTCCAGGTAGATGGGGCGCTGGCCCTCGTCCATCACGGTAGCATTGCTGAGGACATCTGTTTGAGTCAGCAACGATGATGACTGCGCAATATGTCTCCGAGGAGGTGGTGGTGATGATGCTTACCAGCCATGGGGCTGACGTGTTGGCTCGAGCCATTCTGCGCGCTGATGGCGAGGCCCTGCTTCTCCATCTCCCTGTGATCCAGCTTGATAGCATGCTCGGCCTGCACGTCGGCGTTGTTTCTCTTGGTCTCGGTCACATAGCTTCTGGAAGCAGAAGCAGTCTTGACAGCAGCCGCAGTGGTCGCCCGCGACAGCACACGTGCGCTGCGGAGAGGAGCGGCCGCGGCCAAGCGCGATGCCTGTCGCAAGACGGACGGCGCAATGTTGGACATGGTAAAAAAAGAGAAGAAGAGGAGATGATGGTGAAGATGGGGGCGGATGAGGGGGAAAAAGTTGGTTTTGTGACAAAACCACAAAAAGATGGAGGCGGCGGGCGGGGCGGCTCAAGACACGGAAATTCAGAGCTTCCTACCTCTTCGGCAGTCGGCCGGAATTTCCGCCATACAGAAAAGAACAAATCGAAACAAACGGCATCCGCACGCGGACTTGGCCTCGGAGGGGTCGGTGATAAGGAATGTGCCAATGAGGTCAAAGGAGTTGGCATCTTTGATTGGTCATCTCTCTATCAGATGGGCCCCATCTGTTCCTATCTCGGACAAGCGCGTACAGCGAAAATGACGCTGCTCCAAAATGTTGGAGAACGGGCATGACGGAGATGCTCGGATGTGCAGTGGAATTTGTGAACGGCGGGGACGCATCGATTGCACAAAGAGGAGCACTGACCATCAGTCGTGCTCTCAGTCGGCATGTCCACTGCTGGATCCCAGTCGGTCTACCCTGGCGTCGGTCGGTCGCTAGAAGCAGAGCTAACTTGCCGACATCGTTCCAATTCGTTCCATCCCGGGGTCTCATCGACCAAAAGCAGAACAACCGATGACGGTATTTCCCTCCTCGGTTTCCCTTTTCGCATTGGATGCCTGCGTCTTCTTGAACTACAACTTGAACCATCAGTGACATAAACCCGCCGACGACCTACTTGACTTCCATTTACTGTTACCTAGCATCTTAGCTCTAGGACAGCTACTCTACCTCTCACCGTTGACATTCTGAAGTGCTGCCGACATCGAGCGATCCTCCCCTAGGAAGTTTGTCGGACCTGGAACCGCTGACAAAGACCGACCGACGGGATCCAAGAACAAACCGAGATCACAAGACGCCCAGACAAGACTTCTTGCATCTTGGAACGAGGTCACTGTGTGCGGCGTGCCAAACACTCAGCAAATAGCAGCGCCACGAAAACTGTCGCAAGCTTCGCTCAGCCAAGACTTCGTCCACCAGCCAAACGACCTGCACCGCCCCCCTGCCCACCCCAGCGTCATCACCACCATATCCGGATCCGACTTGGAGCAACACAACCGCCGATTGCCTTAAACCTCTTCGAACAGCAACACGCTTTGCCGATTTCCATACAACCACCAAATACCCATCAGACATCATACGACATTGTAGCAGAATATGAGCTTCAGGGGCTTCCAGAAAAGCGTGGTCCGCGTAGGTTCTGCCCCGCATACTTAATCTCACCTCCCTTAGTCTCGTTTAGAGCGTCATCACCACTTCCGCCCTTCCCGTCGAGTCCTCCTAGGGCAGGAAACAGGCAAACAGGCACTAACACGACAGAAACCTAGGCACCACAACTATTCAAGCAAAAGTTTGACCTCGGCGAGCATACCAAAGACGCTGTCTACATCGACTCCGAACGCAGATTCCAGGAGCTCGAAACCGAGACCAAGCGCCTTCATGATGAGAGCAAAAAGTACTTCGAGGCCATCAATGGCATGCTGCAACACCAGATCGAGTTCTCAAAGACAATGACCGAAATCTACAAGCCCATCAGCGGCCGCATGTCCGATCCCGATTCCCTCGTCCCCCATGGAAACATTGAGGGTATTGCCGCCTGCGAGGAGTACGAGGCCGTTGTCAAGGACCTGCAGGAAACACTGGCGCCAGAGTTGGAAATGATCGAGATTAGGGTTATTCGGCCAGCGAACGAGCTCCTCGATGTGATCAAGGTCATTCGCAAAACGGCCGTGAAGCGCGAGCACAAGAAGCTGGACTACGACAGACACCGCGCCACCCTCAAGAAGCTCCAGGACAAGAAAGACCGGTCGGCAAAGGACGAGAAGGCTATGTGGAAGGCTGAGAACGACGTTGAGCAGGCCACCCAAGAATACAACTACTTCAACGATCTGCTTAAGGACGAGCTACCCAAGCTGTTTGCCCTCGAACGCCAGTTCATTCAGCCGCTTTTCCAGTCCTTCTACTACATGCAGCTCAACATCTTCTACACCCTGCACGAGAAGATGCAGCATTGCGACATTGGCTACTTCGACCTGACTTTGGACATTGAGGAGGCCTTCCACGCGAAGCGTGGTGACGTCCAGGAGCGGGCTGAGGCTCTCTCCATCGTCAAGTTCAAGACCACGGGTATGAAGCGACCGCCAAAGTACCCCCAACGTCCTGGTGCTCTCGAAGGAAACAAGCCTGCGGGTCTGCTTACAGCCGGTTCCTCGACGACCACTTCCACCGGTACCCCTGAAGCGGCTCCTTCAGTCACAACCCCACGACCCTGGGAACAGCAACAAGCTCCTGCCGTCACGGCACCACGACCTTGGGAGAACCAGGCGGAACCAGTAGAAGCGCATGCGCCGCCACCGTATTCGGTGAAGCCGAGCACGCTACATGCGACACCCGCCTCCTACGCCGCTCCAGTTGCCAGCCCGAAGCCCTCGTCGTTGTCCATGGCGGCGGCCGCAAAGGCCAAGCCCCCACCGCCGAAGCCCAAGCCCAAGGCCCTCATGGCGACACCCCAAGTAGAGACCGTCACGGCGCTTTACGACTACTCGGCGCAGGCGGAGGGCGATCTGAGTTTCCGTGCCGGTGATGTGATTGAGATAGTAACAAGGACTGCGAACGACAATGAGTGGTGGATTGGAAAGTTGCATGGAAAACAGGGTCAATTCCCAGGTACGTATTGTACTTTTTCTTAGATGGTTTTCCAGATGCGTGTTGAGCGTTTTCTGACATGACGGCCTTCTGCTAGGTAACTATGTCCAATTAAACAGCTAGAGGACGCAAGGCAACTTGTAAATGTAGTTATCAAAGAGTTGCTTTCAGCACGCTTCACTTCTCAGCTTGACTTCAACCAATACCCTTTTTTGTGGTCTCGTTCATGGTCAGGAGTTATTCGCTGCTACGATCTGGATTCTTCCCAAGTTGTCTGCCTCATACCATGTCATGATATTCTGGACCACGGTTTGTGAATGTTCATACACGGACGCAGAGGGCATTTGATTCTGTTTTTTGGGAATAGTCAGGAAAGAAGAATGTTCGTGAAGGGGGACATTGCAAGGAGCATGGAGTTTGCGTCTGAAGGAAATGGCGGGTGTATCGTTTTGGGGCGCTCAGAGACAACGTAAGGGAAACGACGGAGTGATAGGTGAATCGGGTCAAGAGAAAGAAGCTTGGATTGGATTCGTCTTGCCATGATCGCTGTCGTGGTTTGTTTAGATTAGGTACTTGCCCGCGCATATCGAGCTTCAGGTGAAGCTAATTTCTAATTCTGTTAACGCAACGACCACACAGCTCCCCTTCAATGTCACCAACGACCGCTTGCCTTGTCAAGAACACTTGGTTCAGCTTCACCTCCCGGCTCGACTTGAAAGGTTCAGGTCCTGGGAGGAAAGAAGAGTGTGTATCAGCTCTGCCACTCACTCTAAGCAACATTGAAAGCTGTCACATGTGTACTGGAAGGTCCCATTCGGGGAAAATGTTAATACATCGGCCTCCAGCCGAGATTCTCGGTGGATATAGGTACCTAGGTATCCTCCGGTTTACTTGTAGCTTCAAGTTGAGTGGGCTGCACCTGCCTAATGTTTGATACAAAGGCTGACAGAAGCTCCCAATGATGCAGTAAGCAATCCATCTGTGTGCTCCTCCCTCCGGTTCTCCATGATTCCATCCCTGACTGTGAATCAAGACAGGAAGTCACAATCTTCAGTACGCCAGGCAAACCCGGACAGATCCCTGGCCTTTTAATGCCCGTCTCCTCACTTGCACACAAACTCTTCTTCCTCTTCTCACTACCACCACTACCACCAAGCGCAGCGCAACTCGCAGACTCCAGGCAATCTTTTGGCCGCCATTTTTTGGGTATCGTCTCTCTATTTGTCTTGCGGTTCGCAGTATTATGTCATCTCTTCTCTTCTGCCCTCTTTCTTCGTGTTGATACACTTCAAGCGTTTTTTGGAAGCAAGGAAATCTTGCACGGAAACAAAGAAAACAACCCCAGATACAAATCCCCTTCCGCGATACCACTCTGGACAGCATACCCGAGCCAGTCACATCAACTCACGCTGGATTTGCCTGGTCATTCTGTCGCCAACTCTTTTCCCGCTCGTCCCAGCGGAACAGACCGGCCCATTCTTGTTCGAAATAACCGAGTCCGTTGACGAAACCAACGAATACCCAGATTTAGCTTGAAGGACAAACACCGGGTTGTCTTCCCAGTCCACGACACCAACGTAATATTGCTGCTCTCCTGGTCTTGCAGTGAGTTTTTTGTTCCTCTCACAAAGTTCCAACACGATGACTCCGAGCTCAATCTTCGTTGCGTGGACACATCTCGAGTATGCAGTTGACTAACACGTCTCAGACCAGGAAGGACTTTCTACGCCCTTGAAGGACCGAGAACACCCATATCAAGCGACACCCGTGGACTGTCAGACAACATGGCTGCCATAACCAGTCATATCAATAGTAGCAGGAACTTTAGCCGCTCTAGAGTTCCTGCGTTGAAAGTCAAGACTACATTGGGGGATCCAGTCGGTTCTGATGGAAAAGGAAAAGCACTTGCATCCGATGACTGGCGCAAGCATGCGTCTGCCCCTGGAATTTCAAACAAGGGGAACCTCCGGAAAAAGATTGCTCAACGGTCGAGCGCCACAGAGCACTCCATGGAAATGCCTCGCGAACCTGGGTTCTACCGCCCAAATGACGGCCAAACTGCTTAGGAAGTGGTTTCCTCAGCACCAGGAGACCGCTCAGTCTCAAACCGATCCACAGCGCACTCTGCATGCACATTTGAACATTCACTTGACTCGGCTCAGGAACCGATGGTGGTTCGTATTGAAGACATGAAGCCGATGCTCATGAACGTCAACGGCGAAAATATCCCATTACCTAACCGATTCACCTTTGACATCCGCCCAAGATGCTTCAAGAGCGACTACTCCGATGACTCATCTAGTTCCTCTACTTTTGGAGAACTCAAACGCGTCATAGATCCCAGAATCCTCAGCGGCAAAATTTCCTCCGACTGGTTGAGTATCAGCCACGAGCTCCCGGACGATATCCAGGCCTTGCTAAACACCATTCGGCAACTCCCTACCTCAGATGGCCCTTCTCGTGAACCCGAGGATGGCCATCAGGATGCGTCCCCGACTAGCAATAGACCCCAGGATTCCAAACACAGTACGGGCGCGCCTGAAAGTTCGGAAACAAAACCTCAAGATGACGAGGAGGAACGCTTCCGCAACATGATCAACCGCCTTCAAAAGCGCCTGCCAACTCCGTCCTTGGTGAAGCCCAGGGTACCAACCATCAAGCTACAACCTGCAGATCCGGCCATCTTGTCTGCCAAACTGAAGGATGGCGCAGTGTTCGAAAATGCCCAGCTGAACCGAGTCACCGAGCTGCATCCTGAAAGGAAGGGCGGATCCAGCGACTCTGGATACTTCAGCGGTAGCAACCCATCGTCCACCATCCATTACTCAACGCCGGAGTGCTCTAGGGATTCCCAAGACGAACCTGCTGCGGACACCAAAACAAGTTTGGAGACCCAAAGCGCAACAAAGAAACTGAACCCTGCAGCAGCCGAGTTTAAAGTTTCGACTGACAGTGTACATTTGCCAGTACCCACTCCCAAGAAACTTTCTCGTGGCCCACTCACATCGCTTCTTTTTAGCCCAACTCCTGATGAGGCTGTGGCCGGATCTCTCCCTTCAGTAGATAGGCTACAAACTGCTCAGACGAAGCAGGACACAGGTACTGCAGTTGATATGATGCAGAGACAACAGCCAAGTCCGGTCAAGTCTGGTGCGAAGGCCAAACAACGAAAAGCACCTCAGGTTCCGCCGACCCAGCAAGCTTGCCCTCCTCCCATCCAGCATCCTTCCAATCCCGTTCTGTCCAGTGTCAATCCCATGGCTGGTACTCATCCCAGCTTGAACTTGCAACCACAGAAACCCACTGCTGCTCTGCCATTCTTCCCTGCCCCATGGCTCGGAGGACTAGGTATGGGCAACTTTGGGACGTTCCCACCATCTACCGCCCCATCGATGGCAGTTCCGCCGTTCAACATGCCATCTCCGGATATGGCAGGAACTTTGGGGACTGGAACTTTCCTGCCTTCAATGCGGCCGCCTATTCCACCCTTTGCGCCGGCTCCTATTGGCGGCTTGGGATCGATGTACCCTCAGGCTGCAGTGCCACCAATGCCGCCAGTACAGCCGACAATTCCACTGACAGGCGCAGGTCAACCAGCTCAGCCAGGACCTAAGGCTGACCGTCCTTATTTCCCGGTTACGACAAAGCCTCGGGTCCCGGATCCGATCAAGCAACAACAGTACGAGGAGTATTTGGAATGGCGCAAGGCCAATGAGCCCGGGTACCATATCAAGTGCAAGATCCGGCAGGCGAATCGCGTGGTGCGTCAGCATCAACACCAAACCGAGGCTCCCAGGCTCGAGGAACCGGGCATCACGCTTGCATGGAAAGCGATTGCTGAAAAGGCCAAGGCTGTGGTGGGAGCGGTTGAAGCTCGACGTGCAGCGGAGAAGAAGTCGAAGCAGAACTCTGTGATTGAAGAGTTCAAAGCCAAGGTTATTGAGAGGGTCATGACAGACTGTGTGAAGAAGGACGACAAGGAGGACTGTGAAAAGAAGATAGAAGACAAGCAGGCTGCTGAGAAGATCACCGAAAAGGCGACTGAGGACAGGGTAATGGCTGAGAAGACAGCTGAGAAGACAGCTGAGAAGACGGAAGGGGTCAAGAAGGAGTGAAGGCGTGATCCCCAAGAAGAGGAAACAGTGGTATCGGGAGCAACTGGGGATAAACAAGAACTATTGCAATTCTTATTTCCTCGCATATGTATACCACGGAGAAGACGAGTTTGAGAGATCTTTTCTCTCATGTTGACATTCTTTACTGGCGTCGGATTTGGGGACTTCTCATCACAGTTTATGGTTAATGAGACGACGCGGAGTATCGATTTATGGGCCAACTTCGCTATTGTTATGGCGGCGGTTTGTTATTGAGCAGAAGGTGTCTGGAGAGATTCCGAGACACATGCGGGTATGGTTATGATTGAGAGACCACCATATCGGTGATGGTCGTTTTGCGCAAGCTTTGCTCTTTTTCGTTCTTGGGTTTGTTCTGCGAATGACTGTCAGTTATCGTCATTGATATTGCTGTTACCTTTCCTTCTAGATAATCATTGTGATAGAGATATGAATCAAGAAGATTGGTATGCATCCACGTATCACGAAACTGAGCCGATGTCGTGACATCAAGTGTGTTAATGCACTCCGATGGAAAAGGGTACACTGAACCTCACTATTTTGATATGGGTTCACCGAGAACAGGTACTCCCTTTGATAATTTATGAACGCCTGACCAGCATCGTGAAGAACATTCCGAAGTCATCAAGATACAGGACGCCAAAGCCGGCTTCGTCAGCATAAAATGGAAGAGTAACCATCAAACAAGCAATATTCTAAAAACGCTATAACAAACGGGCTAATTCCCAAACAGCCTCGAGTTGTCTGTCCTCAACTCACTGTGACGGTGCCCACACATCACATCCTCTCCTCTCCATCTCATCCCCACTCACGCCTCATCGCCACCATACTCATCCCCATACTCATCTACCACCCACACACAAAATTTCTCCCACTCAACAGCCCACTGCTTCAACCTCTCCGCCTTCGTCCCACTCCCCATACTCGCCTCCCTCACATCCCTCGCCCACTCCTCCGCCGTCTGATCCTCAAACGCCGCCCACCTGACACTATTCTCTGCCAACGATCCCAACCCAGCCAGACCCAGGTTCTCCCACCCTTGCAACGCCTGCCAGAAATCGTGTGTCATGCCCGCCATATCCTGACCCAGAATCGCCGGGTCGTCATTGCACAGCGCGCACGGCACGCCCCTAGCCAGCAGCGCCGGAAGAGGGTGTTGCATGATACTGCCTGTCAACCGCAGCACTTCGTTGGAAATCGGACAGCTCTCGATCAACACGCGCTTGTCCTTGACGGCTTTGATCAGCTGCGGGTGTTTGTAGAGGGAGAAGCCGTGGCCGATTCTTCGTGCGCCCAGGAGCAGGGCGTCGAACAAGTTGTTGTCGACGGCGTCGCCGTCACCTAGCGTCTCGCCGGCGTGCAGGAAGAGGGGGATTTCGACGCCTTCGGCGGCGCATTGCTTTTTGAACCAGAACAGCTCGGGGAGCAAGTCGGTGAGGTGGCGGCCGGCGTCTTCGGGGCCGACGAGGTCGTAGCCGGCGATGAGATGGGGGAAGTTGAGCTTGGTGGCGATGCAGTCGTTCATGGACTGGATGATGGTGCGGGGACCGAAGGCGCGGACGGTGGTCCAGATCATGCGCAGGCCCCAGAAGGAGGAGCCGGCGGGGGTGGCTTTGAAGGCGGCGACTTCTTCTTCGATTACGGTGAACATGGCGGTGTAGTCGGGCTCGGGGGTGGTGCAGCCTGAGCGGCAGTAGTCGAGTTGCCAGGCGAATCTGGGGGGGATGTTAGCATACTGATGTTTTTCAGTGATAGGTAGATAGATCCATCCGTATGTCTTTCCCAAAGTGAACCCGAAAGCCATCCATCCTTTTGAGGCCATACACATCAAGGGGGGGAAAGAAGAGATAAACTCACCTAACCTCAACCCAATAAACCCCATCCTCCACCAACTGCTGCAACAACCGTCTCAAAAACCTCCTCCAGATAGGCTCATAATGCAACATGGACCCAATAACCTGAAAGCACCTCATAAACTTCCTCCAAATCTCCGCCGACCCATGTCTCTGCTCAATCGCGTCCGTCTGGCTCAGTATACACCTACTCTTCAACCAGTTCAAGAACCCTTGTCTCCCTCCCTCGGGAAACGTATCCGCCGCTTCCACCAGGTTAACAAACGTGCCCGGCTCATATTCCTCCCCATCATCCCCTTCATCCTTCCCGGGTGCATGTCTCCCCCAAATCAACCCCGGATCAACCTTCTTTTCTAGTGTCCCAACATACCTAACAACCACCCCGCCCTCCCTCCTCCTCTCCTCCGTCCCCAACCCTCCCCTTTCGGGAGTCGCAATCCCCATCCCCTCCGTCTCCAACACCACGCCCAGCAAAAAATCAAAATCAACCATGGCATCACAATGACTATGCAGCAGCGCGCCCTTGGGCATTTTTCGCACAATCTTCCACAGCTTGGTCGCCTCCATCGTCTCTTTTGCCAGGGTAAACATCATGCCCGGATGAATGATGATCCCGTTGTTCTCCTCTTTGCGCGCCAGCTGCTCTTCGAGATCGGGCGTCCAGATTTTGGCTTGTTCTTGGAGCCGGATGCGTGAGACGATGGAGCAGGCGCGGCGCGCGAGGGGCGAGAGGGATTGACGGAAAACGTGGTCGGAGCGTTGTTTGGCTTCCTCGGCGATGAGGGCGGCGCGGGCGGCGTGGTATTTGGCCAGGATGGGATCATTTGGGGAGGGGAGTTCGTGGGTCACGATGTCCTCCCATTCGGAGTCGGTGATTTTGTTGGTCATCTTGAGATATGGGATGGGATTAGATGAGATGAACCCCTTTTCTTTTGAGGGGTTGTTGACTTTGTATTTTGGGTGGCGGTGGTGGTCGAGCCTCTTGGGGTTGGGGTTGGGTTGATGTTAATGATTGATGGTGGTTGATGGTTGTGGGTTGGGTAAGGGAGATGACCCAACTCAACTTTGTGTGTGAGAAGGAAGGAGACAGATGATGGGAAAAAGTGAAACAAAATTGAGTCGTGATGAAAAACAAAAGTTTTATTCAAACACTGACTGCTCTTGCTATACAACGAAGCCAGGCAACCAAGGCAACAAAAGTTCGTTCGTCAACTGGTCAAGATCTGCTGTGTATGTATCGAGAAGAAGATGGCATTCGCAGGATTCATCTGATGTCAGCCATTAACACCACCACCCATTGGAGGATGCGAGTGAGAGGGGGCGATTGGCCCAGTGGTTACTGCCTGCAACTGCCTAGAGAGTTCCCGCTGATTGCCGCCTTTCGGCGCATCGGCATAGGGCATAGTGTAGGCTTCTTTCAGTGGCCCACCGGAGATCGGAGTTGGGCGGTCTCGGGTCACGGAGCCTCGTCCCCGATTTGGCAGGTGCTTTTGCCGGTCAAGACAAAACCCTCCGGGGACACCTGGACACTGGACAAGAAACATCACGACAAGTCGGAAAGAGCCGTTCTTACGGTTTTCGGTTCTCGGAGGTAATGGTAGCCACGGACTCAACATCACATCCATCAGCTTCACCTTGTACAACACAAAATGTGCTGCTTTGAACGAAAACATATAAACAGCCCTGTATTTATCTTTTCTCTACATACCATCATTTGGTCTGGTGTGTCTGGTTCACGAAATCATCAACTCCCTCCGTAGCCGCCAACAACTCAGGCATCGTAGCCGACCACCCAGGCGCCTGCTGCTGCTCCTGCAATGTCTTCGTATTCTCCCTCACCCACCTCACACGCTCCTCCGTCAACGCCATCTCCTGCGGCAGCTTGAGCCCATCATCCGCAAACGGCTTGCCCGTCATCTCCTCCACAATCATCCGGGCCGCCAGCGCCGCCTGTGGCATCCCGTGTCCCGTGTACCCGGCGCACACATACAGCTTCTCTCCGCCGCCGAGGCTTTCCGGCACCCGTCCGACCCACGGTTGAGCGTCTCTGCTGAAGCCCATGATGCCCGTCCACTGATGCGTGGCCTCGAGTTCTGTAGTCTCGTTCCCCTCCGTAGGCTCCGTAGACTCAGTGTTCGTAGAGCCAGTCTTGTCCGGAGTCAGATCCAACGGGTATGGCGCCAGGTTTTGCCTCAAGAATGTTGCCAGTGGTCGCTCAACATCATCATCCTGCCACACGCCAACCGCCTTGTTCTCCGCGTGACTTCTCGCTCCGCCGTATATCAACTCTCCCCCGGGCAGAGGTCTCTGGATGAGATACTCATCCCTCGGGAACTTCTCCTCGCTGACAAAGCCATAACTGTAATCCAACTCCGCGACCTTCCCAGTGGCAGCATCCTTCGGCGGCCGCAAAGACGCAACCTGGCTCCTCACCGGAACGATCAAGTCCTTCATCTCCGGCAGCAGGTTACTCGTATACCCGTTCATCGCCAACAAGACTCTGTTCGCCCGGATGTGTCCCCTGCTCGTCACCACTATCCACCTCCCATCATCATTGAGTTTGTGCAACCCCAATACCGGCGTGTTGGTCTGCAAATTAAACTCTCCACAACCCCTTTGCCTTCCACCCATACCATTCTGCCGCCCAGACCCCCCCCTAACAGGAAACCTCCCCAACAACCTCTCCAAAACCCAAGCCACCAACTTATACGGCCACAAACTAGCCGCATGCCTCTGCACCACCGCCCCCTTCACCCCCGGCACCCTGAGATCCCTCAGTGTCTCCCCGTCCTCCGTCTTCCTCTCATGATCAACCAAATCCACCAACCCCCTCAACCTCTCCGGCAAATTTTCCACCAACCCCTTCGCCCCTTCCCACACCTCCTCCGTCAAATATCCACAAACGCCCTTTAGCGTTCTCCAGTCCACAGCGCCAGCGATCCCGTGCTCTTCGACAAAGGCCTTGATGAACCTATAATTAGCTAGCTCGAATTCGGCGGTGGTGGGGGAAGAGGAGTAGAGGAAAGGCTGGCAGTGTCCGCCGTTGCGGCCGGTGGCGCCGGAGCAGGGTTGGCGCGCTTCGAGCATTAGGACGCCGCTGTAGTTTTCATCTCCTCCTCCCGATTGCCCAAGCCCATGTCCAGGCCCAGACCCAGGCCCAGGTTGCTGCTGGTTACTGGAAGGTTGTCCGGCTGTCGATGTTGCGGACGTAGCAGATGAAGCAGAACCAGATCCAACCCCAGACCCAACCCCAGACCCAGACCCAGCCCTACTATTCCCAACCCTCGCACCACCCCCCGTCTCCTCCTCCTCCTCCAACAAAAACCAAGCCGCAAACGCCCCCGTAATCCCGCTCCCCACAATCACCGTATCAGCCGTCTGCGGCAAGTCAGGCGTAGACCGATAATCCTCAAGCCTTTGAGAAATATCACTGGGTTGGAGCCAGTAGGACGCGGATGGGTTGGTAGACGGCAAACCGGCTAGGTCGTCGTAGTGGGAAGGGTCTGAATGGGAGGAGGGGATGTGGTGATCGGTCCCTCCTGGGCCGCCTTCGCGGATGGTCATTTTGGGTGGTTGTGAGTGACGTGTGTGGAATGGGATGGATGAGGTGAAGTGGTGGGACCTGGTGATGAGTCACGTTGGGTGTTGACTTGAGAGTGTTGACCTATCTGTTGAACAAACGGACCAGATTAGCTCCGGGTGCGGCTACCGTCTTATACGGATTTGTTGATTGAGAAATGTGGAGGAGAAAGGAAAGATAGCCGAAAAACAATCCCGAACTAGCCATGCATGTATTCGGCCTATCAACCGCCAAAACATTTCGCAGTGTATTCGCATCACGGTAAGATTTCGGAACCTCAGCGGCCGCTAATATCAAGGTTCATCATCACATTGAACTGCCGTTTAAGCTTCAATAACATAATATGACTATAAAAGGTAGGCTGACAGGCTATACATACTGCAAAGAACATGGAGTAATTCCTGCTCGTAAGATATCAAATCCATCGCTTCGTATTCCTCGTATTCCTGCGCTCAGTCAGCCTCCTCCTTCTTCCCCTCCAAGTCTAGCTTTCTGATGCCTTGTCTGTCATGACATGAAGACCTTTGAATCCCACAACAGTCTAGATACAACCTCGCGGCCCTTCATCCATCTAAAACAGACATGATCAGGAAAGGAGAAAGCCTTCTCTTTATCAAACTCCCTATGCAAAGTAAGGATAAGTGTGCCACCATCATCAAAAACCAGAACTTTTTGTGTGCCAATTCTTCATCAAGTATCGTCATATTAACCCGTACCCTACCGCGTAAGGAATTCACCTGATTTTGTAGCACAGACTCTCTCTTCCATTCTCTCTCGTACTGAAGAGGAGATTTGCCGTTCAGAGGGGCCGTGCTACTTCGTAAAAGACCCGTGCCCAACCAGCCATACAATGCCGTCTTAACTCCGTCCTTGAAGCGTGAAAACATTGAAAAGCAAACTGCAAGGGCCTCGAAACAAGAAAACAAAAACCGCTTAACCCTGCATCTTTCTTCTCTTGCCGACCTGGGCAGAGAAACCGGTCTTGATGGCCTGGACGGACCGCCTGGAACCGCAAGAGTTGCAGGTAATGAAACTGTGACATGTTAGCATTTGAGCCTGCGTCGTCGTAAACAGAGGCCAACTTACTAAAGACGGTTCTCGCCCTTGGAGAGCTCGGTGTTGGGGGAACGGCACGTCTTGCAGGTGACGTACTCTGTTGAGCGAGTTAGCATTTGTAATCAGAGCAAAACGTTTGGCGCTGGTGGCGACATTGTCCGTTTGGGCGCCAAAACGCCAAAAACGACAAATCACCAAAAAGACATACCGATAATGTAGGTACGCAGAACGTTCTCGATCTGCTTCTGCTGGAAACGACCCTTGATAACCAGACGCCTGCTGCCGTCGACGGAACCGCTGGTACCCAATTCGGCGAAAAGGTAAGAAGTAACGTGCTCGTCGGCTCTCTTCATGCGCTTGCAAATCTCGGGAAGGTTGGCGAAGATGGTCTTCTTGTTGCCTTCACGGAGACACTGCGGGGGCGGGATCTTATACGACCGTGTACCGGTAGAGGCGTGGTCGGGGTTCTTCTGCGAGAGGAGGGCGAAGAAACGGGACAGAAGAGGGTTGTAGGTGATGGTCTTGGTCTCGTCGTGGGCCCAAATGCCGGTGCCCTGCTCCCAATCGCCGTCCTGCTCATCCTCCTGGGGGGTGGCCTCCTCGCCCTCCTTGCCCTCGAGGTTGAGAGCCTCGAGCTTCTTGGCGAACTCGTCATCCTCCTTGGCGGCCTTCTTCTTCTTCTTTTTCTTCATGGTGAGGTCGATAGCACCGTCACTCTCGGCAGGGGCGGCCTCATCAGCGGCGTCGGCATCGGCATCCTCCTCCTTCTTGACCTTCTTCTTCTTCTTCTTCATGAGCGAAAGGTCGAGGCCATCATCGGCGGCGGGGGCGGCAGCATCCTGGGCGTCGGTGGCTTGGGGGGCATCAGTAAAGGCCCCGAGAGCGGCTACGAGGGGCGGCGTACGAGCAGAGTGGGACTGGGCAGTCTCCTTGATTTCGTCGGTGGGAGAGGCGACCATGGTGACAGAACCGTCGGCGTCAACAACTATCTTCTGGTCGGTAAAGGCGACTGACTTGCGCGAGGTGCGTCTTTGATGAGAGGGTTCCTAAAAGGTTAGTATATCGTAGTGGATAAGGCGCTTGTCGTGGGAGTCGCGATAGCGGTCAAGGATTTCGCCGTCAAGTGTGGATAGGAAAGCTCGGAATTTTTTGGTTCATTGGCGGCGTTTTCGCGGTGCAGAGTGCCAGAACTTTATGGTGGATTTGAGCTGGGGGGGGGGGGGAGGGAGGGTTGGAGACTTGGAGGGGCAGTCCACGTCGGGGGAGTTCAGGGTCGGGGACGGGGATATAATTGTAATGTACAGTGAGGGGTGTGCAGTATGGTGAATGGTCTGTTTCTAGCGTGGTGGTAGGGTCGGGGAGGACGAGGGCGTGTGTGTGTGGGCGTAGAGGTAGTGTACTGAAGCAAGGAGATCCATCCCAAATACTTACTCCGGAATCCATGCTGGGCCACTTGTGTGTGTATGTGTGTGTTGTGTCTGTGTGAGAGATTGTCTGTCTTTTTCTTTGTATCGATGTCCCTTCCGGTAGACTCTTTGTTGTAGCGAAGAGTGGATTTTATGGACGAGATTAGACTTCAGGGTGGTTTGGATGTTGCGCCGAGCAAGTGCGAATGGGAATGCGGGCAGATCTCTGGAATTGTTCTTTGCGGGGAGTTGGGTATTGGGGCTCAAGGCTGGCTGCTGTCGGCTGCTGTCCTTTCTGTCGTTGGGCTGGAGACTGGACCGAGTTCTTTCTGTACACACGGCCCTGGATGGGGCCACCACACCTGTGTTCACACTTCATGACGTTGATTGAAGCGAAACTGTGAGTCAGTCCCTCCATCACCTGACAGGTGGGGTAAAGAGTGGCTAGGACAGCTGTCCGCCACTTGCAGACACCCATCGACTCGCCTCCGCTTCTCCATTTTCTAGGCCATGCACCCCTGCCCCTAACCCGCTCGCCACGGCCGCACAGTCCGACACCGTTGGGTTGGCACTGGCACTTGCAGTGCTTGGCGGCAGCGAGGTTCAGCACAGCTGCACTGCAGTTGGTGCCGTGGCCCGTCATCCGTCACCGACGAACATCCAGCTCCATCAACCTGGAAGGCGGGCCGAGTCCGTATCCATCTCCGTGTGTCGCCGTGTTCGTAACCAACAATCTCCCACCAGCAATCAAATCGTCCCACGCCATCTCTACAATCCCCTCGACGCCAGGTGTTACGCCGATTCGTACAGTGTCTCCATTCTGAACCATCGCAACCTGCCCGAGCTACGATAGCTACCATCATCCCCCGCGACAACCGACCGTGCGCCGGCGCCGACCACTTGCTCGCCTCATCCGAAGCGCATTGCAGGTGACGATAGCTCCCTACTCCCGACCGTAAACCCGAAACCCTCAGATAAACACAGTCCGCGATTGCGCAACATCCGATATCATGTCCACCCCCTCCGACTCCTACGTCCTGCACGACCACTCCCCGTCAACCGACAACGACGATGTCGACTCCCTCGCGTCCATATCCAGCAGTATCCTAGACTCGAATGACTCCGAGTACGACGACGGATCAGACGCGCAAAAGGAATGGGAACAAAGTCTTGAGCAGCTTCAGCTTCTCATGACCATGGTGCTAATACCGTTCGCGGGGAAGTTTTTGGGGCGCAAGTTTGCTTATTGGAGTAAGACAGACCAGATCAGACCAGACCAGACCAGACTTTCGGAAGGAGAGCTTGCCTTGTGTTGGAGGAGCCGACGACCTGGAAAGTTAGTTGCTAACATGGCCTGACAGGTTGGGGACGGTACATGGAGTGGATGCACGGGGTCAAGGTCCAATGGTATAACAAGACGCTATTTAACATTGCCGGTTGGGTAGGAGCCGCGTCGACGGTAACGACGGTATGAGGGAGCCAGGTGCCCGTGATAATGAGGGAGTCAAGGGCGACGGCAAGCACAATTCTCGATACGATACTTTTTCGGTATATCTGGGATACCAGGGATGGACATAGTGCTCTTTCGGCGTTACGGTATAGCATAAAGGGGTATGTTTGGTTCTTGCACACTTTGCGGTTGAGGGTGAAGAATCACAGAGGTGTGGAAGGCATCTGGACTGTCATCATACTCATGGAAGCAAGCGTTGAAGCTGGAAGTACTGATCATCAGACAATGCCAATTACTATTGCTGACTTTAGGTTCGACTAATACCATAGAACATGCAGGTTTTGATCTTTCTCCTCTCCCTACTCGCCATCCTAACCAAAGGTATTACCGTGTCATTACACTGATCTAGGTATAATCATCGAGTTCGCGACGTGGCGCAACCATAAAGAGGATCATTAACCTTTTACCGATCCATCATATCCAGCATTACAATCATAACCCGTTTCATACCATCCAAGCAACCAAAACCATCCAGGATATCCAGTCTTTCCAGCACTCTTCTCGAGCACACCATCAAGTTTCCAACCACCATCATATCTCGCCATCGTTTAGACGCCCACCTGAGACATCGTCGGCCCGCCGCTCCTCACGCTTCGGCCCGTCCTCCTCCAGCTCATAACCGCCATCGTCAACGCCGCCGCAAACGCCGCAAAAAGAAACCACATAAACGCCGTCCCCGCCTGAATCTCCCTGCACCGCTTCGAGTCATCGCCACTCCCGTACGCGATCCAGCCGCGTCCATGATGACCCTTGGCAGTATCTCCACAGTTGACAGCGCCCAACTTGGCAGCCAGGACGATACCCGCAATGACGGTGAAAAGCGTGGCGGCGGCGTCGAGAGCGAGCATCACGAGCGGGATGGCGATGCGCTGGAATAAGGCTGCGGCCAGGCCGAATAGGGCGGCCAGCCACGAGAGCACGATGACGAACATGGAGAAGTTGATGGCGGCGCGGGCGGTGGAGGAGGCGGCGACGTCTAGGGCGATGACGTTGCCGATGAGGCCGGTGAGGATGATGAGGAAGAGGAGCTGGAGGGCGCGGAGGATTAGGTGTATTGGTTCCATTTTGGCGGTTGTTTTTGGTGTGGTCGTGGGTGTTGTTTCTTGTTGTTTAGGTGTTGTAGGAAGGTTGGTAGGGTTGGGTAGAGCTCAGATATCAAGAACGACGTCTGAGCAAAAAGGTGTGGTTTGCGCCAAGTTCTTTGGTTTGATACCAGGTTTCGAATGTTGTTACGGGAGGATATATACCAGGAATGGAAGATGTCTCTGACACCTTTTGGATACAAGTCGCGAAAGGATTGCACAAGGTGAAGAATATGGAAAGAATATGTGGGTGGTCAACCGGTTTTATCGGGAAGGGAGTGTCCGAGTGAGTACCTAACCTAACCTTCAAAGGTCAGGTTGGATTACAATTACATGGCAACGAGGGAGTGCCGTGCCATTCATTCAACTTGTCCATTGTACTCTTTTACACCAGGCCGGCCCTCTTTCTCTGCTCACCAACTGACTGACGCACGGCATATCCGTCAGACATCGAATGTCACTGCGACCGAGAGCGAGCCGATCGATGGAGGGGCGCTCAAGATGGGCAAGAGCGCCAAGCAATGCGAAGCATCATCGCTAGGGTGGGGCGACCCTGGCCGATGACGATATTAGAGGACGTTGGGGCATGGCGAGCTTGGGCCTTCCTTCCGATTTCTGAACCCTTCATGCCACTTTTGAACCCTTTGACGACGGCTTGTTGGGGACTGATTGGTCCGTTTTCAGTTGGTTTGATCATCGTGACTACCCCTCCATTGTTCTTTGTTAGTTTTGTTCATATGAAGAGGAAAAATTTGCGTTAATGGTGTTGGATCGATGTGTTCATCATGGCAACCGGCTTCTCCTCTAAAATCATGACGGGAACAAAAACAACCAAGAATCAACAACATTCCGGATTCACCCACCTCGTTTTGGATGATCACCTATACAACCTTCACACAACAGCTCCATGCAGTGCCACCCCAAGAACACGCCCAGGCAAAGCCTCCCCGCCATCCCTCTTTTAAGATGTTATTACCGGCCAGTTACCCGTGGTTCAAGGAAGCACAATGATACACAACGCCACCCACCTCGGCCATCCGCGTGTATCCGGACACTGCCCGGTAGGTGTACGTATACTTCCCCAGAGCTCAGCTCAACAAGTGTGGCTTGCTCACAAAAAGTTCGTTTCAAGCTTGCTCGTCGTCGACTCGTCTCCTTCGATACTCTTCCGTCGAATGACATGGCTCAACACCAGGATTATCAGTTCCTTGTCGATCTCCTGATATGCCTTCTCTTAGCGCCGCCCTATGTGCGCCACATTTCCTACGTACACTACTAGAATTTGGTTTCACTACCCCTCTACCCCTCATCCTCATCTTCTTCCTCGCGTGTCGATTTTGAATGTACAGCATACAAACTCAAGCAACAAGCCGTTTTGATATGTCCCCTTCACGCCCTCCAGCTTGTTTTGGAATGGGTGAGTGGGATCCAACCAGTTGACCTGTTGTGCGTCGCAATGACCCGCCCGCCCCCTCGATCGGTAGCATGCCGCGCGGAGGGGGAGGAGGGACATGGCACACGGGAGAGGCGCAACTCGCTTTCCTTTCGCCAATGGATACCATGAACGATACATCGTGGGCGCATAAAATGCTGTATAACTTGAGTTTTAGAGGCATCTGAACTTGGAGTTTAGTTGCTACTTGCTAGAGGAAATCAACGAGGCTGGTGGGAGAAAGGGGGAAGGTTGGGGTATGTATTCAAGGTTCGACTTGCTGAATGTCGTTATATGGATGGTTTGATATAGCCGGCGATGTATAATATCAGGTTGAAAGAAGCTGGGGATGGTTGTTGCAATGGTGCTTATGCTCTAGGAAGTGAACTCGAACTGGAGAACTACGCCGGTTTGGCTGTGTAAACAGACTTGAAGACTATGAGATGTTCACTGGTGCAATTACAAGTCTTATGTTAATCGTAAACTGAATTCCGTCAAGACGGAGCATCTCAATCTTGGTTGCTCTGGTTCTTTACCAAAACTCGAGATCCAACCCATGGAACATTGAGCACCGTTTCCAAGCCTGGAAAAGGACATTGCATATTGCGAATCGTTGACATGCCAAACTCGGACCACTACATAACGTATATTTCTGAGCCTGTTATAACGCTCAAAACGTATCTGACCTTGTAATGCATATGTAAGCACTATCCTCGTTCGAACAGACACTGCGCCGTCTACGATACATACGACCATAGGCACTTTGGAAAACTCGGGATCCCGTCCGCTCTCCGATCGATAAGCCAGTGACCGCCAGGCTAGTAGTCGGCTCGGTGACGACCGGCGAATCACCTGGTGTTGTATGTCCTGTTTTTTTTTTTTTTTCGTTCCTTCCTTATTTTCCTTTTTGACGGATCGGAAGGCGCATCCTACCTACACCTATCTAGCTCAGGCAGAGCACTGCACCGCACATGAAGTGGATGACAATATCGATGACTTCCTTATTGATGTTCATTAACCATGAAGTGTAAATATGACATCCGTAGCGTATACTTTATCATCATCATCATCATCAGAAATTATTCCTCCCCAAAAACATCCTCATCGCCCCTCCCCTCTTAACTCCCTCACCACCACCGTTCGGCACACCACCAAACACTCTGACATCATCATCCCCAGTTACTGCTGCTGCCGACTGGTATCCTCCAGTCACCACCACATCCTTCCCACCCAACCTCTTAACATCCCTAACCACCCTGCCCCCCCTCGCCTCCACATCCCTGAAATACAACTCCTCCCCCCTTCCCCCTTTAGTCTCAACACCCGCAAAGCTAAACACCTGCCTACTATCCCCGCTCCCAGTCGAGTTCTTCCCATCACCGCTCTGCTCATACCACGCCTCCCCTTCCTTCTTCGTCTCCAGCCTCGACTCCCTATACTTGGGAGTCTTCCCATTTCCATTGAAAGCAACGGTATCATAATCCGGGAATACCGCCGCTCCGGACAAAGTGAGGGTTTTCCCCTGAATCAAGTGCCCCCAGATTGACAAGTTTCCCTGGGGGGAAACGGAGTAGCTGCTGTTGGCGAGTAACGGAAACGTGTAGGTTGTTTTGTAGTCATAGTCACTGCCACCACCACCAACAGAGGAACCAATAGGGTCAGACGGAGAGGAGGACGAAGAGGACTCCTCAGAGCCGGAGATGAGCATGTCGTTTAGCTGGCTATATCCCTGCGCCGAGACGAGGCCTTTGTTGGTGTAGGAGAGAGTTTGGGTCCAGACGCCCAGGGGGGAGCGGACGCGGAGGGAGCGTTTAACGGAAGTGGTGTAGGTGATGGATTCGGGGGTTGTTGTGGAGTTAGATGAGTTGTTGCCGGTGGAGGGGGGCGTGCGGATGGAGGAGAGGGTGATGAGAGGGGTCAGGCCGTCGATGGTGGGTTTTTTGTTGTTGTTGCTGCCACCAGTAAAGTGGGAGTTGTCGCCCGCGGTCCAGATGAAGATCTTGCCGGTTACGTACCACGATTCGTTGACGTGATCTGTCAGGACTGCAGTGTGGCCGGAGGACGACGAGGACTGGGTGTCGTTGATACCGGCTATGCGAATGGTGAATTCATGGGGATTGCCGTCGGTGAGAACGGCCAGCCAGGGGGTGATGTCGATTTCGTGTTCTTTGAGGTCGAAGGCTTCGATGCCGGCGATGGGTCGGTGTAAGGAGGGGACCACGCCACCGGTGAAGATGACGGGGAAGGGCCAGTAGACGCCGGCTAGTTGGCCGTCGATGAGGACTTGTACCTCGCGGAAGGGCGAGTAGCCGGGCAGTTCGCCGACGGTGTCGGAGAAAGCGTTGACGTCGCTTTGGAGGACGTTGGACCACCAGAACTCTTCGTTGCCTTGGCCGTTGGCGGAGACGGAGAAGACGGCGCGGCGGGCGTTGAGCGGGAAGTTGGAGATGGTGTTGGTGGCGTTTTGCGCGGGAAGGGTGAACTGGCTGACGGCGTTGTTGGCGGACTGCCGGGCGGAGATGGGGATGATGAGGTCGCTGGGAGGAGCGGCCTTGGTGGCGACGTCGCTGTAGAAGAAGGTGGCTGTGAGGGTGGTGTTGAAGATGCCGGTGTACTTGTCGCTGACAAGGTTGCCAAGATCAAAGATGATCTTTTGCTTCTGTTGCCAGAGGGACAGGTACTCGGTCATGTCCTTGAGATATTCCCATCGGATTCCTGGCGGCACTACTGGTTCGGCGGTTGAAGTTCTCCCTGCACTGAGTTAGCTATTTCTGTCTCGGTATTGTGATGATCTCAGTTGTCCCTGTGCTACACGAAGAGGCTCTGCTGTTCATGGCCATGCTGGGAAAGACTCACAAACTTCGGTATCACCGAGGTACATCAACGCCAGGCGGTCGTACTGTCTCCCCTCGCTAACAACGGTGAAGTTCATCACCACCCGGTTAAACTTGCAGCTAGGCGGCGTGTAGTCTCCTATAACACGGTGAAACAGCAGTGTCAGAAATGCTGATCTAAAAGAAGATGTTCTGTTCAGATATGGTCCAGCTTACCGATGTACGGATCTCCATAGCTGAAAGCAAAATCACGACGCATCAACAACACGTTACACGCTTTCTGGGTTGATCCAGCCGGAATTGGTGTCGTTCCATCGCTATCAGCCGGGCCATACGGCATCAACACTGGTGGCGCAACCTCAAAGTTTCTCAGGACCGTCCTCTCCGCGGCAGCAGACGAAGTTGTGACGGATGACTGAATCTGCCTTTCCTTTGGCTGTGATTTGAAAAGGTCGAGAGTTACTGGCTTGGTAGTCTCGAGACCTTCAACCGGGTGGGCATATTTTCCGTTTGACGTGGAACTAATCGGTGAGAATTGCTCGTGGACATCGGATCTCCGGCATGACGGTATACCCAGGCCATGGAGGACAAACCCGGTAACGAAGAGTGAAGCGAAGAGCCACAAGACTGACAAGAGAACCCGTCGTGTTCGGGCTTTCTTGACTGAACGAGGCATGAGTTCTTCCTTCTCGACCACCAAAGGCCGCTTCTCAATGTCCGGAGAAGCCATGTTCATGGTGCCGTAGGTTCCGCTGCGAGGAACCAGTGTCGAAGATGTCAAGTCATGGGATGTTGAGACTGAACCGGCGGGGTTGCCGGGGTATAAGAGAGGACGGAGGAACTGTCGTTGATTGCAATCCATGTTCGCCATGGTACCTCGCAGGAGCGGTTGACGGTGTTACCACCTTCTTAAACTAGAAAGAAGCTTGATTGTCGATATAGTCGACGAATGTGGCAGGCCAATGAGAATCTCAACGGTGCGATACCACCCCGGACGCCGGCACCGCAACGGAACAGTTGATAAGTCCAAGCGAGACTCTGAAAGTAGGTGCTCTATCCGCAAGGGCTAGGTTGGATCATTTGACTTCAGCATGGAACAAATGTAACACTTGTGTGCTTCCAAGCGGATAGGTGAAGGAGGCGGTGCGAACGGTGTGAATTGCGTGCATAATGTGGTGTTGATGTTCGTGCCTGGTCCGTGCAGCCACTTACCGTAGCATATTGATCAGCCATCTTCAGCTGCCGCAGTGTACCTTAATAATACAGCGAGTGGTACACTGGGCTGGGCAGCGTGGTGACATAGAAAATTGCCATGTTGATTCATCCAAATTATCGAGCTTGCAAACTGCAGAGGGGATTACACCGGCCTTCAAGTAACATGCTTCTTATTATGTTCTCCAACGGGTAATGACCTAAGCGTGTACTACAATGCAAGGTTTAGTATGGTGTTGTCCGGATCGTGGGAAAGGGGATTCTTATTTGTATGCAATGCAACCACCACCTACGGAACGCCAGCCTCCAAACAAGGGATATACAACTTAAAAATAAAAATGAAGAAAGACTGAGAAGTGAAACAGGGTATCCAAGGCAAGGCGAGCACTTCTCTCAAGCCTTCTTGACGACTGTCTTCACCTTCTTTGTGCCGATCTGGTAGCCCCAGGACCTGAGAACCTTGACGACCTTGGGAAGGATAGCAGCTGTCAAAGGGACCCTGATAAAGATGAAGCTCTTGTGGATCGCGTACGCCAGAGCAAGCTGGGTGGCCAAGCCTGAGAAGAAAATGGTTAGCCATGTGTGCCCAGGGAGGAACAATGTGACTCGAGTACTTACTGGCTCCAGCTTGCTTGCTCCGCTCCTCGGCGGCCTCAACGCCCCATCCGACAGTCTCCTCGGGCTCCTCACCAGTGCGTTCCCGCTTGTTATCCTTGAGGACCGTCCGATACTTGTGCCAGAAGTCTTGGACGTTCTGGGGGATGGCCTTTTCGAGCCATGTCACGACAACATGCTCGAAGTGGGCTAAAGAGTACCAAAGCGTTAGTTTTTGTTCGCTTTGCCGACGATGCAAGACAAACTCACCAATCTTCTCAGTGCCGACAGTGCGCACGAGCAAGAAGCAGAAAGGGAAGTCTAGCACGCTAAGGGCAAGGTAGACGCCGACGGCAGTCCAGCCGTACTCCTTGGACAGCTTCTTCATCCTCGCGCTGAATCCGGTCGGCTCGGGCTCCTTCTCCTTCCCCTTGGCCTTCTCCTTGGCTCCCTCGTTCTCCGACGACTTGTCAGACCGGCGCGACCTCGACGACTGGAATGGGCGTCTTGACGAGGTGGTAAACTGCTTGGGCTGCCCGGCTCTCGATGCCTGTCTGATCCTGGCCGACAAGCTCGCGTACTGGAACTGTGGTGTAGCTGCGCTCTTGGTAGAGATATGCTGCGCCCATGTCCGAGCCACTGTGGTATCCCTAGAAACCCTCCGGAAGATGGCGCCTCCTTTAAGGAGGGTCTCGGCAGCTCCGTATCCTGTCCTCAACATGGTGATGGTCTATATCGGTTTGCGGTATGAATCGGTCGCGGTCGGTCGCAGAAACGTCGCAAGGTGGCCCAAGCTCCAAGCTTTAAGCTTCTTGAGCTTCGAGGGATACGCTTCGTACACTTGTAGTCGCTGAGGGGAGTTCGAGGATTATGGATGCGGGAAGACGCCGTCGCCAACAAGCTGGCTGTTACTTGATCGGAGTTGAGAGTCGTTGACCTAGCCGTGCCTGTCGGGTTTCCGCGGTAGAAAGACGAACGCGCGATCGATCGAGAACTACGACAGTATCTCCGAAGGCTCAAAGGCGCAGCAAGAGAATTTTGGGTGGGGAGGATGGAAGAGGCGTATCGGCTAGGTCAAAGCAGGTTCCAGTCGGGTATTTCCTCGTTGCGCGGGCTGACGAGATCGTAAGGGGTCACGCAACGACTCTTATTTATTTTTCTCGACTTCTAGAAGTTCGCGGACCTCTTTGGGTTGCATGTGAGTGATGCAACTAAGTCGTCGCGGCAGGCAGAGTATCATTCCACTACATCCCATTGGACAATCGGCTGACAGCGGCATCCGCCTTCGCCCGATCAACGGTGCATCAATGACCCCGCCATGCATTCCCGGCAGGCAACCAAGCTCCAAGTGCTGACGAGTCTCTCCAGTGCCACTGAGGCCGCTCACGGTTTCGCCTGCACCACAAACCCTCAAACAACTCAGCCATCTTCAACTTCTCAGCTTTGCCAACGGAGACTTGTGAGTCGGCCTTTCGAGCAACATTAATCTCCGCCATCGTTATGGACCACTCACTATCCAGGGGCATTCCCAATCACGAGTCGAAGCATCATGTGGCTGATATGGTTCTCGAAAGCCAATTGCTGTTGGTTTAGGAAGCGTTCGGTATTTTGATGGGTCCGAACCATCCGCACTGACCATTATCGCAGAGTAAACAAACTTCCCCTTTCGTTCAGGAGCTCAACATCGGAGGCCGGGAAAGCAAACAGGACTCGGTGAACCACTGAACCTTCTTCACATCTTCTCACTTTTTTTCAAACGTTTCTCTTCAACGCCAAAAGGCCTCGACCTTGGTGAGCTAGAAATTGGATTCGCCAACGGAGATCCGGACAGGACCCTGAGCCTGTAAGATTTGGCCGCCAATCATATTCCTCCGTTCCCCTCTGTAAGCGCCCTCGTCCCGCGCTTGCACTCATTGCTCCATGGCCCCATGAAGACAAGACGGCGCTCTTCCCTTCCTGTCATTCGCAAGGCTCACTGATTGGGCACTTCATCTTCTCCATACATTATTGAGCTTGAATTAGAAAGCAGCCCGCACCACAGCCGCTATGGAGGACGCGCAACAAGAGGCGATCTGGGGGGTTGTTGCCCCCTTCAATACAAATGAGTCTCGGCGCCGAATTAACGTCGCGTCAGATGCTCTTCTTCCTCTCGTCCCTCTTCTCCTCCGTTTTCTAACTCTGTGAATCTGTTTGAACTCTCTCTTTGAACCGGCTTCTCACCATAGCTATCACCATTCTCTGCTGACGGTCTCACGAACTCGGGAAACACAAGTGATCTGCAGTCAGCTTCTTATAAGTGCGGGGCATCCATCGAGTTGACTCCAAAAGTTCCCATCGAGACTTGACGAGGTTCAATAAGAGAAGGACCTATTTCAACAAGCTCAAAGCTATCTGAGAAGAGATTCGTGTGTTCGAACAAAACAGACAATCAACATGTCTTACTATCCTCGTGAGTATCAGACGCTCTTCATTATTGGGGTATGACACAGCTAACCAGAATTCTAGCCCCTCCTGGAGCATCTGGCGCTGGAGGTATGTTCCGAACTGATGATTCCTTGGTCCTCCATCAAAGACATCGGGGTGGTCGAAACGCAGATGGAACGGTTGATACTGACCAAGACAACAGCTCCTGCTCAACACAGCTATCCTCCTCCTCCCATGTCTGCTCCTCCAACCCAGACCAAGTTCTCCTACCCATCTCCTCCGACTACCCAGCAGCAAGGAAGACACTATCCTCCTCCTCCTCAGTCCGCCGGCTCGTCTGCCACGCCACCGCCCAAATCATCCACTCCTTCCTACCCCTTTCCTCCTCAGCAGCAGCAACAGCAGCAACAGTATCAACAACCACCACAGCAACAGTTCTCACCACCACCGGCCCAACAATATGCCCCGCCGCCGACTCAACAACAGCAGCAATATGCGCCACCACCAACCCAGCAGCAAGTGCAGCAACCGCAGCCTCAATACGCAGCTCCCCCAGTCCAGCAGCAACATCCTCAAACCGCCCTCCCCCTTCACATGAGGACGGATTCCAGCGCCTCCCGAACCTCCGCCCACACCCCTCCTCCTCAGCAACAGTTTGCCGCTCCTCCGCAATATCAGCAAGGCGAGCCGCAGCAGTATGAGGAGAAACAACATGTTCAACATCAGCAGCCGGCACCCCAACAACCGGTTGGCCTAGGTTTGAGCACTTCCGCAGCGGCTGCCATTACTGGTGCTCCCGCACCCGGACAGTTTTCCGGTGTTGGTGCGGTATCAGATGACGTGGGAACGTTCAATGGTGGCAGTTATCGTATCAGCCATCGGGATTGCAACACCATCTTGACCGTTCAGTTGGCGATTGGGTGCCCGTTGGAGGCTAAGCCTGGTATGTTCTCTCTCCATTCAGCCCCTGCTTGTATTCAAATGAAGTGTTTGGCTAACATCTTTTGTTTGCGCACAGGCACAATGATCGCCATGTCTCCCTCCGTCTCCCTCAAGGGCGCCTACAAATTCAGCATGAAGAAGCTCGTCGCCGGCGGCGAGATGGGCTCCTCGACATTCACCGGTCCTGGCGAGCTGCTTCTCGGCCCTGCCATGCTCGGCGATATCACGAGTCTTCGCTTGGACGGCTCGCAGACCTGGTCCGTTAGTCACGACGGATACCTTGCTTCGACGCAGAACGTCACCAAGGATTATAAGCGCCAGGGACTGGGGAAGGCCATGTTCTCTGGTGAAGGTCTGTGGGTGTATAAGATCAGTGGCACGGGCCTGTTGTGGCTGACTAGTTTTGGCGCTATTATTCGGAAGGATGTGAGTATCAGTCGTCTGAAGATCCGAGTGAAGTGGTGCGGGTTTGCTAACAGAGGATACAGCTGGCGGACGGCGAGAAGTACATCGTTGACAACGGCCACTTGGTCGCATGGAACACCAAGTACATCCTAGAGCGCGTTGCTTCCGGCGGTTTGCTATCGGGCTTTGCCTCTGGCGAAGGACTGGTGTGCAAGTTCACTGGTCCTGGAACGGTGTTCATCCAGACGAGGAATGCGGTATGTCAAGTCCTCCCCTATGCGGTGAAATAAAACATGGGCTAACACCTAAAAAAAGACTGCCTTCAGTGCGTTCATGACCGGCCAGACACCGAAGGCCTAGAGATAGATGGGTTTGAAAAATAGGGGATTGTATGGGACATTGATACCTGTAGCGATCACACTTGAGGCTGTGATCTCGTACCACTTTTTTTCTTCATCATATTTATCTTGGGGTTTGTGAGCGGCGTCATATCGGTTTTGAGATTTGCTAGGGAATAGTAAAATGTCAGTGTCAGTGAACCATTGGACCTCTTGTCCTGTAGCTAGAAGCGTGACTACTTGACTTTCGCTTAGCAACCTATCGATCATGAATGAGTTTTGGAGAAACAGGCGACATAGAGGTAAGTCTGCACAACGAGGATACGAGAAAATTCCAAAGGAGAAAGAAAGACTTGAGAAACAATAAACAGCGGAAGGAAAGTCCAAGTTGTTTGCCGAGTAAAAGGGTCCGCGGGGGTCAGCTATTTCGCTAGGGTTAGGGTCAAAGCTGCATCGCGCCCAACTTCACGGACAAAGAGACGCCTGTGATTGGCCAGCGTTTTAATTGATTTTGTAAGAGCTGCGCGTCAAGGCAAGTTTGGACGCGTCTCCCAGACCAACACCATCCCCAGATTCACGGCTTCCAACCGACAACCTCCCAGGTCAGACAGCCTGGAAGACAGCCCTAACAAGTCTCCAACATGCTACGATCAAACGTCAGCCGCATCGACCCCAAAAGGCGAAACGTCCTCGACCACCGCAAGAAACAATTTGCAGAAGCCGCCTACAAGGACACCGATTATCCCCATCGTCTCAACTTCTACTCGACCCCTCCAACAGCCGACATCACCATCGAGCAGTTTGAACAATGGGCCATCGACAGGCTACGAAGTAGGCATTTAACCACCCTAATCCCTCAGTAATTTACAATCTTGGGCTGCTTCCAAACGCTAACTAACCTCTTACTTATCATCCAGTCCTCGCCGAACTCGAAGCATGTTCCTTCCGTAACAAAACCCCCGCCGAAACGGCCTCCCACATGAAACCCTTACTCGACAAGTACCTCCCTCTCGACACCAACAGCTCCTCCTCCTCCCAGCTCTTCGCCCAGCGGCAAAAGGACCACTACAGCCACTTCATCCTTCGTCTCGCTTTTGCGTCCACGGAGGACCTCCGCCGCCGCTTCACCCGCGTCGAAACCATGTTGTTTCGCATGCGCCTGAACGCCGACGACGGCCGCGAGCGCGCCGCTTTTATCAACTCGCTTAATCTCGACTGGGAGACCGTTTCCGATGAGGAGAAGCGCGAACTAGCTGCCGAGTTGGCAGCGACTGCCTCCTTCGGTCAGAAAAAGGGTGGACAGCAGCAATACGACGAAGACCAACAAACATGGTGCAAAGTCTCCTGGCTCCGCGTCCCCGAGCTCGTCGAACAGCGGCGCGTTTTTCTTCGGCAAGGCTACGCCTACGTTCCCGCGCGTGAACAGCAAGCGATGGTCGTTTCCGAATTCTCTTCCCGCTTGGAACGACAGCTCGAGTTAACCGCCCGCGCGCTGCCGAGGCTAGACGAAGACGACCGCTTGACTCCGATCCTGGCGCACTTGTCCAAGAACTTCATCACCCCCGACGCTTCGTACGTGAGTACTTCGTCCGCCATCTCCTCGGCGGATATCAGTGCCAGGAACATTGATACCTTGGTGAATAACCACCATTTTCCCGGTTGCATGTCTCATTTGCATCGCACCTTACGCCGCGACGCACATCTTAAACACTACGGCCGACTACAATACACCCTCTTCCTGAAGGGCATCGGCCTCAACCTCGAAGAATGCCTGTTGTTTTGGCGACAGAGTTTCAACAAAATCACGGACGACACGTTCAACAAGGAGTACCGGTACAACGTGCGACACACGTACGGAGACGTGGGCGGCGACAGCAACCGGCGCGGCGGGGGTTACTCGCCCTATTCTTGCCAGAAAATCCTAACCGAACACCCGCCGGGCCCGGGCGAGGCGCACGGGTGTCCGTATAGACACTTTAACATGGAGAATCTGCAGACGCTGTTGCAGCAGGGCATGGGGGTGACGGATCGTGGGGTGCTGAATGGGGTGAAGGAGGATAAGGAGAAGCAGAAGTTTCATATGGCTTGTAATCGGTATGTTATTTTTTCTCACCCTTTGCGTCTTGTGAGATGTTTGAGGTTGGTGTGGGCAGTGATTGATGGCTAACACGAGAAAAAAAAAAACACAGGGTATTCGAACATCTTCACAAGGAAGAACTCAAAAAGGCCAAGGATGAGGGTATCATGACTGCGGCGCAGCTTGAGACTATTGTCCATCCCAACGAGTACTTCAAGCGGAGTTATTTGCTGAAGAATATGGGCAAAATGCAAGGGGATGTGAAGATGGAGGGTTGAAGCTACCATGGTTTTCGTGGGGACGAGAGGGAAAACTTGTTGGGTATTACATATCTTCTGGCATGGGATAGGGATTCAGGTTCCTGTTGCGATATATCCGGCGTTCAGGCGACATAGCGATGGCATGACACTTGTACAAGTACAAAGATGTGTATACAAGGTTTGATTCCTGAAGATGGTGAATGGTTTCGGTGCCCAGCTGTCATTCTTCGTTCGCTTGTTGATAACATACTCACAGCACTCACAACAACACGCAAAAGCATCAGGACAATCGGCATGGGCATCACATTGAACAGAAAAGGAGAACAGAAGGTAATGCAGAATGGGTATCAATTGTATTCTTTCTAATTCGGCAAAGGCTTCCTGAAGCGACCCTGCAACCAGCAGCGGTACATCTTGAGCTTCTTTGCGCGGTTGACGAGCAATCTACGATCGACACCAAGGTCCTCAATCACGAAGCGGATGTCAGGCTCAGAAGCGTCCTCGACCTCACTATCCTGGGTGAACAGCTTGCCAGACCAGATATCGGCCAGCTCGTCTCTCTCAAAGAAGTAGACGCGAGTGCCATCACCACGAATGTAGAAGTTCTCGTCCAGATAACGACCCTTCTTGAAGCGGACCTGGGCCAAGTCTCCTCTTCCATAGTCACGGAAGCACACTTCACCGCCGGGTTTGAGCACACGGTAGACATTCTCGACGGCCTTCTTCCACTGCAACGGGGACAATGCAGAGAAGATGAACACCATGAGGGCGACATCGACCGAGTTCTCCTCAAGGTGAGGGGGCAGCTCGTCTCCGGCCACATCCCACACGTCGGCCTGCATCTGGTCCGTGTTGTAGGCCTCCTGCGAGCGCATGACCTCGACGGCCTTCTTGGAGAAATCACAGGCGTGGAGCTTCAGTTCGGGGTTCTTGTTCTTCGACAGGATGGGGAAGGCCGTGTTGCCCGCGCCGGCTCCTATTTCGAGGAGGGTGCAGGGGCCGTATCCCTCAGAGGTGACCTTGTCCAGAATGGGGAACTCTTGCTGAAGCCACTTGCGATCCTTGAAGAAGTTGGCAGTGTTGTTCTTGTAGAACTGGTTCCACCACTTTGCAGGGTCCGAGTTGAAACGATCTGTTATGGGCAAGTTGAGTTAGCAGACTGCTCCAATGTCTGAATGTGTAAACAACTTGATGTGTTTCAAAGAACCCAATGGTTAAGGGCAAAATCAGATGGGAGCGAAAGACTATAAAATACGTAGTTGTCTTCATAAAATATTCAGATGAACTATGCTTATGTTTGTAAATCATCACGGAAGCCCAAGAGAGGGGTGCAATGGGGATGAACCCCTCTCTTAGCGTGAACCATTGGGGGAGTGAGGTGGAAAAGATGGATGGGTTACTCACGCTTATCGAAGTCCGAGACGGGCGCATTGCGCTGCATCTCGTACTGCTGTTCAGCATACTCGTTGTATGTGTCATCAGTCTCGACATGGTCCCACGCGTTGAACTCAAAGACGTCGTCCTGCTCCTGCAGATAGCGAGATCCGAACTGAAACGGGTCGCTGCGCTTTTGGTTGAACTGGGGATCGTGGGACCGGTGGGGAGGGGCCTGCTCTCCGTTGGCGGGAGCCTGCTGTTCCTCTTGCTGGTGCTGCTCAGGCTGCTGCTGCTTCTCCTCGGCTATTTCGAGCTTGGAGATCTGGGCAGTGAGCTGCTGATCGGGCTGTTGTTGTTCATCGACGACAACCTGTGCCTGGCTAGAGGCGACAGGAGCGACGACACCATTCGATGCCATGGCGAGGACAATGTTGGAGGATCCTAGTTAGTGCACTGGTAGAAAGATGCAGCTAACAATCACCACTGGTCATTGAATGGCACTGGCTTTGTTGTAAGGTTGGTGCAGCATATCGTGCTGGTTCTTGAACCGCGGAGGGAACGAAGAATGAAGAGGAGAGAAGAGGAGAGGAGGGGAAAAGATTTGCAAATTCCGAAACGAGAGAAAAAGTACAAAAATGGCCCAGAGTCTGTGGGGCCAATTGGGGTTGTGGGGGCCCACCCAACTTTGCACTCGGTGGGCCCGCTCCGATTCAGTACCTTATCCTTATCTACCCCTAACCCTTGAAATGACCGTAGGGATGTCACATCAAGGAGCTGTCCTTCACTGGTCCATGGATCTGGATCTGGAGTCAACTGTTGGTCAAATGCTTGGAAGTGATTTGAATCAAGATCTTTCTTTTTTCAAGCTGGAAAGCGACGGATGGCGATGATAAGGACGCTGGAATGAGGACCAAGTGTGTGCAGTAGGTAGGTACCATCCATCGTTCCTTCCTCAACTGAACCGTTCGAGCTTCCGTCGAGTCCGCGGCAGCTGCCGTACTACCTTCCCTACTACTCCTTCATCCGATCTCAAACCCAACCCTAATGACCATATAAGGGACCTGGTTGGTCCTTCTTTCCAACAACAACCGCTTGGTCAGATGGCACAACGGTCTACCGTTTGAGTTCTCAAAACTCAAAACATATTGCTTGTCCGGATCGGGAACGGAGTGCTAAGACACGTAGAGGGGTCTTCACTACCTAGTAGCCGGTCTACCTATATGGTATCTGGGAACACTCCAGTCGACACAAGAAATCAAACGGTTCACCGATGCTCTGAACGAGCGGTTGTTGTTTTTTTGCTCTTTTCCTCTCTTGTTTGGAGAGAGGTGGTGAGTTCGAACCAATCGTCGATAATCTTTTTTTGGTTCTTCTTGAACTCACTTGAACACTACTGTGCATTTCAGTCGATTTCAGTCTCCTTGCCCTTACCCGCACGCTCTTCCCTCCTCTTCTCGATCTTCTCAAGCTCCATATCGATCCTCTTGAAGCTCCAGCTCTTCCAGAAGGGGGGATACAAGAACGGCCTGAGATCAAATCTGTTGTCATCCGGTGCTGTACTGGTGTCAGCTTCAGGTACTCTAGCAGGTGAAACGGGGAGGACCTTACAGTAATCATTGCAATGCAAAGCAGGAGTCAAGGTAGTCATCTTGTGCCTGTTGATGGCATAGAAGTGGAAGAACCTCTTGACCTTCTCGGCAACCTGTCTGGGAGTATAGAAAGGCGCCTCGTCACCCTCGACCTTCTCACGGTCGGCACTCCAATCGTGGACAAGACGCTGGAACATGGCATAGGGACCAAGCTTGTTCAGCTTCCGAAGGCGGCCGAAGACTGTTAGCTCGGCGTATGTCATTCCCATGTCGGCCTCGTCGCTTTGGACGTATTCTTGGGTGATGGGCTCCTACGTTGCAAAGTGTGGTTAGCATCGGAGTTCAAGCTTTGTCAGATACCGGATCACCAATCCTTGGATACTTACCAGCTCAGCAGTAGGAACAGCCGTCAGGAAACCGTGGAGGCAGGGAAGATCAAACTTCTTCTCGGCCCAGGCAATGAAGCGCTTCAAGTCTGCCTTGTCAATCGACCCAATTGGGTTGATATCGGCACTAGAGCAGTCATACTTGGTCAAGTAACCACGAAGACTCTGTCACAAGTATCAGTATCTGTTGACTCGACATGTTCGATGGACATTGTTCGACATACCTCGCCGACATTGGCACTGCCGAGCACCAAAAGACTTCCGCCACCGGGCCTGCCGCGGGCAGTGGGGAGAATCTGACCAAATTCCTATAGCATATCGTCAGTATATGTTTGTCACTGGACCCGGGCGGAACTTACATACATAGGCAGTAACCATCCTGATGCGAGCCTGCAAGCACTGCAGCGTCAAGTTCTCCTGGACTGTACCGCCATGGACCTTGAACTTAGGCTCAAAATTCGTTGTCTGGACGATAAGCTTCTTCTGAGCCTCATACACGTCGTCAATGTCGAGGTTAACATGGTAGCTACCAATGGCGTCGGCAAGCGCCTTAGCACGTCCGCGGGTCTCGGAAGAGCTTTGCTTGCTCATGCCCATGTAAATGGTAGTGAAGACCTGGTTGCAGAGCTCCTGGGGCGTCTTTGGAAGTTCACCTTCCTTGCCATACTTACAGATGCGCCTGACATCCTCAATGACTTGTTGGTTGCCGTCTTCAATGGCTTGGATAACGATGCGGCACATGGAGAAGACAAGGGTAGCCGTGGCACAAGAATCAATGCCTCCGCTCAGGGGAACCAAGTAACCGGCTGTGCCAGACCTTCGGAGGTAATCCCAGAGATAGCAGCCACCACACAGGGCAATCTCCTCCTCTACCGAGTGGTACCTCGGCGGCCTGGGAAGAGTGGGCTTCTTCCAAATGTCGGTATCCTCATCCTCAGGGCTGAACTCGAACGAGGTCTGGATCCTCTGGTACTTGGCATTCGAAGTAGCCGCCTGCAAGCCACGCGAGATCGAAGACCTGTACGCTCTGACTTCTTCCAGATCGACAGTGGCAGTAACGACCTCGACATCGTTAAGACTGAACTGCGAGCCCTGGGCAACGATTTCACCGTTGACAATGATCATGGCGCAGCCGTCAAAGTAGAGGCGTTCACCGTCACAACCTTGTTGGTTGGAATAGAGGTAGACACCGCCCGACTTGCGAGTTGCCTCCAATATAAGCTTGAGGCGAACGTCGAGCTTTTGCAGGGTGAAATGAGAGCCACTGCTGTTGGTGATGATCTCAACACCGTCAAGGGCCATGTCGATGTGCGGGGCCTTGGGGGTGAAGAGCTCTTCGCAAGTCTCTGCTCCGAAAGCTGTTTCGGGGGTTGAGATGACAGCATCGCCGAAGAGAACGTGGGTCTCGCCCTGGATTTCCTGGAGGATCTTGGGAAGATGGAACAGCTCGGTTTCTCTGGGACGCATCCACGGGGTGAAGTGTCTCATCTCTCTGTAGTTTCCGTCGTTTGCAAGCCACATCTTGGGTCTCTGTTCATGGTTGTTAGCAAGCAGTATGTGGTATGGATTTTTAGGTATGTATACTCACGATCAAAAGGATCTTTCCGTTGAGCAAGATTGCTCGGGCGTTATATCTAATATTTCGGTGAAGGATAGGCAAACCGACGTCGATAAGGATGTCATGGCAGCTCTCATCCTCCAAGAGCTTGCGGAGCATCTCCAAACTGTGAGTGTAGACATCGAGCTCGTGGAAGTGATCCAAACCGGAGTAACCGCAAATCTCCAACTCAGGACCAACACGAAGTCTTGCACCAGCCTTCTTGGCGAGATGAATACTCTCAACAATGCGTTGGAGGTTTCCCTCCCACTGTTTGTTTGGGTTAGTATTGACCGGACAAAAAGAGACCAGACAAGGCTCAACTTACATCCAGAACCCATTGGTTCAGACTGCAGGTCGCAACCGTCACCAGGTGACCTCCCATTTTCAAAGACAGATCGGTTCTGTTGTCGATGGCAATGTGTAAGAGAATAACTTCCAAGTGAGGGGTTGCAGAGGGGAGACTGTTGAGTCATAAAGACCTCGACGCCAACTTCCTAAACAAAACGTTCGACTCACCTTGACGAAGAAAAGATCAAATGACCCAAGACCAACTGGTTACCAGAAGAATCGCGGCCCGTTCCTTGTGAGGTTCGGATGACGTTCTCGACGAGGACCGTGGACGGGGAGACTGGGGTCTCGGACTCTCGGTGGAAGATGGGACGGATCCGCTATCAGTCCGTTGTTAGTGATCGGAAAAGATTCGGCATCATGGCCTGTCCTCTTATCACAATCGATCCTTTCTCCATTAGGTAGCCGACGCAGGTTCATTCTTTCTAATTTCAAGCTCCCATAGTTTTTATATCTTTTTGGAAGTCTCTGGTATCTTGATGAATTGGATCAACGGTGATCACAAGTCCTGATGTTGTAGATTAGGTTACCCCGCAAAGGTGCTCTGTTGGGCTAGATTCAAGGTTAAAATAGCAAATCCTTTAGCAATCTACACCCTGGAAGTGACATCTCAGCGCAGGATGCATTCTCATACAGCGGCAATACAGCACAGATTTAGGGGCAGCATATTACACTGTCCAAATAACGACAGCACAACCCCGACCTCGGGATGGAAGTTCCCCGAATTGCGACGGGAATGCCTTCAAAAAGTTCCCAACTTTGTTTATTCCGGCGCATTCGGGTACGCCCAGTGGCCACAATCCCACAACCTCCACGAACCTCCTCATCCTTCTCTTCTCCCTAATTACTCCAGAAACAAAAGTCGCCGGTCTCAAAACTTCAACAACCAACCTCCACCACCTCCTTCCTACTCCGAACCGCAACTACAATACTCGCGGCGCAAACCACCTATCTCGACCGTTTGGCCCTCTCTCTAGCTTTTTACCCAGTCTACGAGACTGCCCCTCGACACAATGCCACCCCGACCGTCCCTCCTCGTCCCCGCAAGCGCAACACGCCTCCTCCTCATACCCCGAACGAGCGTCCGATCACTCTCCTCCCTCACAACCAACAACGCCTTCAACGAACCACCACCCTCACATTCGCGCCGGAAAACATCGCTATCACCTACGCCTCTAACCACCACCCGTCCTTATTCCTCCTGGCTCCTCTCCGCCGTCTCCTCCGCCGCCTCCGCCCTCAACAACGCTTCAGGTTCCCCCGGGGGTGGTAACAGCTCGCCAGAAACCGTCCTCCGCGCGCGGCGCATCCTGCCCTACCCGCCTGCGCACCTCTACAACTTGATCGCGGACGTTTCTTCCTACAGCCAGTTCCTGCCGCATTGTAGTAGGAGTGTGGTTACCGCTTGGGCTGAGCAACCTACTACACAACCTACACAACAACCTACAGCAATAGCGGAAGGGGAGGGGGGACAACAAGGGGCAGCAGCAGGGGAAGAAGGGAAAGAGCAGCAGGCAAGAACAAAAACAAAATGGCCAGCCCGCGGCGACCTAACAGTAGGCTGGGGCCCCTTCACCGAATCCTACTCCTCACGAGTCTACTGCGTGCCAGACGACGGCCAAGGGATCGGGATCGTAGAAGCTGTTAGCGGTGACGCCAGCACCAATATCCCTTCTGCTGTTCTCCGCCAATTCGGGTACAAACCACCTGCACCAAATGGTGACACCGAAAAAATGGAGGGGTTGTTTGAGAGTCTGGTGACGAGGTGGACGGTTAGGAACGTGCCGGCCCCTCCGGGAGGAGGGATAGGGTTGAAGAAGAGCCAGGAGGGGGTAGGAGATAAGTGGACAGAGGTGGCGCTGAGTGTGAGGTTCAAGTTTGCGAATCCGGCGCTGGGGTTTGCGGTCGGACAGTTGGCGGGGCAGAAGGTGGATGAGATGGTTGCTGCTTTTGAGGAGAGGGCTAGGAGGACTTGGAGGCGGTGATGGGGTGATGGGTGCTGGGTGATGGTCTGGTGATAGGATGACAAGCCTGGGTAGACGTCGAGGGGCTGGATGGTAGTTGGTGGTTCACGGGCCGATCTCATAATCTTGGCTGGATAAGTCTCGTAAGAGAGGCTAGATTAAGGTAATTGCCTTGGTGAAGGTCCGACTGAGGAAGAAGGGTTGGAAGTACTAGACTAGACTAGATGGGATGGCGGGCAGTGTTGCTTCTTGATATCTCTGTATTATTACTCGGACTTAGAAGGGCATAGACAGCGTGGCTTGGAAAAGCAAGATATAGACATGCTTTTGTTAGAAATAGACAAGATACCCTAATGTATAACAACGCGAAGGAGGTCTCGAGCAAGCAAGGGATCTGGGGTATTAGAAGAACCTCCCAACCACGGGCATATGTCACAACATCAGAGGCATTCACGCCGAGTTTGGAACACAATCTCCCAGAATCCATGTATTGCTAAACCAAAACCTATACCAACACTCAACCACTCACCCCCCTAGACATCCACATCGCCATCCCCTTTCGACCCTCCCCACCGTTAACGTAATGGTCGTCATCCACACATGATCTCGTATCATCAATCATATGTCGTCAACCTCATCACTCATCATCTCTCATCCATCATCACTCTTCATCCCATCGTAGTACTTTTTTTCGTCATAAGTTTTTGGAACAACGAAACGCGCGTCAGAAAGCCCCCAAAAGGAACGCCTCTGTATCCGCCAAAAGCACAAAAAGAATGTAAAAACCATCAAGCAGAGAAGAGGTATCAAAAGCCAAAACAAACAAACTCAAAAAAACAAACTGAGAAAATTGAATGGAAGAGAAGGAGAGAGAATCAACCAGCGCGGAAGGCTTGAGACCCGGATCTGTGTCGACGACCAGACATGCTGCTAATCCGTCGATGAATTTGGCGGCGTCTTCTCCCAAGTGACTCGTTTAGTGCTTCTTCCTAAACCACACCACACACGTTAGCATCTTTCCTCTTTCCTCTTCACACTCAGGACAAGGGGGGGGAAGGGACTACCTAACAAGGACATACTTCTTACTACTACTCTTCACCGGCTTCCCGCCCGCCATCCACCCAAGCACCGTCGCCTTCGTCTCCTTCCTGCTATGGCTCGACGAGTGCTTGCTCTTATGTTGCCTAACCTCCGGCTCGACATCGACCACAATCGCCGCCGGTCTGGGCGGCGGCGCAGCGTGTCTACTCCCACTACCGGGCCAACCAGGCGGAGGCGGAGGCGGGATACCACCACCACCACCACCACCAAGACCCATACCAGGAGGAGGCATTCCCATAGGCGGACGGACCGGCTGGCCGGGAGGGAACATGTCATGCGCCATTCTGTGCCCGTGAGCGTCCGAGATGCCGGGGGGTAGACGAGAAGCGGGTGGAGCGCCGGGGAACATGGAACGGCCTTGGCCGGGAAGACCACCGAGACTGCCGTGACCTCCTCCGAGGCCACCTGCGTGGGCACCGGCGCCGAAGCCCGGGGGTAGACCACCGGGGGGCATCTGGTTGCGGAGGGGCGCTTTGTCCATGGGCCACATTTGCATGGTGATTTGCCAGTCGGGCTCGATGACGCGCTCCCAGACGGAGGGGAGGATGACCTCGCCGTCGGGGCCGATCAGGTCGTAGTGACCTTCTTGGACGTGGGGGCCGATGACGTCGACGTGGAGGAAGGCTTGTTTGATGAGCTCTTCCATGCCCTGCGGGGATGTGTTAGTACTTGGGTGAGAAGACAGAAGAGGGTTAAGGGGGGAAGAAACATACCTGCCACGTCTGGCACAGACGGAAGGGGAAGCTGAACTTGCGGCCTACAGCGTCCTTAAATCTGATAGGGGCCTTATCTTTCTTCTGTTCAGCCTCCTCCTCCTTCTGCCTCTTGGCCTCCTCCTCGGCCAGGATCTTCTTCTTGAGCGCCTCCTCGGCAGCCTTCTTCTCCTCCTCGGCGGCCTTGGCCTTCTCGGCAGCTTCCCGGGCCTTGTTCTCGGCCTCGTCCAGGAGCCGCTTACGCAGTGCCTCCTCCGCCTTCTTGCGCTCCTCCTCGGCGGCCGCGGCTTTCGCGGCTTCCGCTCTTTCTTTTTCCATCCGCTCGCGGGCTTCGATCTCGGCCTTCAGCTTGGCCTCGGCCTCGAGGTGCTTCTGCCACTCCTCGAACTCCTTCTGCTTGCGCGCCTTCTCGGCTTCTTCGGCCGCCTTCTTGGCCGCCTCCTCGGCGGCCTTTTCCCGGTCGGCCCGGATGGCGGCAGCGATCTTTTCCTCGGTCTCCTTAAGCGCCCGGTCCAGCCTCGCTTTGGCTTCATCTTCCAGCCGTTTCCTCTCCGCGGCCTCCTCGGCCGCCTTCTTCTCGGCCGCAATCCGCTGCAGCTCTTCCTCGGCATGCTTCTTCTTGAGCTCTTCCTCCTTCGCCCTCACAGCCGCTTCGATCCTCTGCTTCTCAAGCTCAGCAGCGATCTTAGCCTGCTCCTCCTCGCGCTTGCGCCGCTCCTCAGCAGCCTTCAACTCAGCCTCGAACTCAGCTCTTGCCTTCCTCTGAGCCTCGGCCAGCGCTTCGGCGTGTTTCCTCTGCCTCTCTTCCTCTTCTTTGCGCGCCTGAGCGGCCTTCTCCTCCGCCGCTCGCTGCGCCTCCTTGACAGCCCGCTCCATCTCGGCGTTCTGCTCCGCTTGGCGCTTCTTCTCCTCTTCGGCGCGCTTGCGGTCCTCTTCCTGCTTTTTGCGCAGCTCCTCCTCGGCTTTTTCGCGGATCTTGCGCTCGATCTCGCGATTCTTTTCCTCTTCTTCTTTGCGCTTCTTTTCCAGTTGGAACTCTTCCAGTTGCTTCTTGAGAGCTTCCATCTCTGGATCGAGCTTCTTCTCTGGCGCGGGAGTTGGCGACTTGCCCGGGTGTTCGGTGGGCGGTGGTGGAGGGGGTTGGAACATTAGTCCGGCCATGTGGCTGGGCCCGGGGGCGCCGAAGCCGCCTCCGGCACCGTAGTAACCGAGAGCGCCGGCGGCGGCGCCTGGTCCTCCTCCTCCTCCGTAGGGCATCATGTCGTAGTGGTGGCCGCGCGGATTATGGCCACGCGGGTCGTGGCCGCCGAAGTAGTCGTCGCCGCCACCACCGCGTCTGGTTCTGGTGAGGGTGTCGTTCATGGGAGAGGGAGAGAATGGGTTATTGTAGTCGTATGGCACCATCTGGTTTCCGTAATGGCTGGGCACGTATCCAGCATGGCTGGGAGCGTAGGCGCTGTGTCCCGCGCCACGGCCATAGTAGCCGGGTTGTGAGTGGTGTCCATGGCCGCGCCCACCATATCCTCCAAACTCGTCCCCGTATTCCGACTCCATGGGGGGAGGAGCCGTCGGGGAGCGGTAAGAGTAAGACTGTCTTCCTGCGGGAACTAGATGCCGGCGCGACGCAGATTCGCTGCGTTCTAGCAGCCGGGGACTCCGGGCGCCGTGGGTACTGTGAGAGCGGGAGTGAGGAGATTGAGGAGGCAATGGTGGATGCCCGTGATGAGGATGAGGATAGTACTCTGCGGTTGCCGAGGCAGAATCCGAAGGATCTATTTCGTCGTAGTGTTCATCCCAATGGTCGTCTTCGGTGGACTCGTCGTCGGTCACCTCCTCGTCGTCCTCGTCATCGACTACCGAGTCGTCGTAACCGTGCCGGTAATTGTACTGTGATGAGTCGTATCCGCTCGATGATGTGGTTGAGGAATACGCAGCACCTGGGTTATTCACAGTAATATTGATTGATCGTCGGCTCCTATTACAGGCGCAAAGAGAGGAGGAAGGGGTCCGGGGTTAGCTGGTTCCAAGAAGGGAGAACAGACACAGGCCAGGTAATGTGGCGCAGTCGCGATATAGAATCGAGGGAATCGAGGATCCGGACCAGACTTACGACATTGGGAATGTATTTGGGTATCACCCTTTGCTCGTGACAATCTGCAGGGAGAAAGCCGGAGCAAAGGGAGCAGCGAGAGAGAGTTGCCTAACAATAGTCGAAGCACCAACTAGCAAACCAAAGTTGGTGCGCTTGAGTGCGGACCAGTGCCGGGACGGTAGTTGCCTTGTTTCCTTGCTTGGTTACTCGAAAGAGTCGGAAGCTGAGGTAAGAGGGTAGCAGACTAGGGACAGAGACGGGCGGTAGGAGTGTAAAGCGGAGGAAGAACGAGCGATGGAGGAGGGTGGGGAAGCGGGAGGGACGATTGAGGGCTCCTCAGCTGGCGCTGAAGTGTCTATGACCTGAACAGTTTGGTAACGGAGTACGTAGCGAGTAACAAGACCCGGGCGGTGAGTGAGTGAGCAACGGGAATGAAGAGCGAACACAACCTGGACGGTGCGGGAAAAGAGACTTAGGAGTGAGTGGTGAGGTGTGGTGGTGGCTTGCGCCTCCCGTGCTATTGCTGGTCGCGGCAGGTTTTGGTGTAATTTCTGGATGGACGTGGATGATTGGTCACGTCTTCTCCCTGCTGGTCAATCTCAAGATTTTTGAGAGTGAGTGACTCTTCGGTACCCTTATGAAGAAGCCGGAGTGAGTAAGCCGAAGTCGAAAGGGTCTCCGTGTTTCACTTGATAGTTGTTGACTTGAGAATTGCAAAGCGCCAGTTCGAGATAGGTGACTGGACTTTGTAATCGTTAGGTGTTCTTGAGGCTTGGATAGTGGACCAAATGACAATATGGCTGAGGAGAGGGGTCGCCAGAGATACCGGCAAGGGTGGATGGAAAATAAGTTGGCTGGGATATCAGGTCAGCATGAGGAAAACAACGGCATTCACAAGCGACAACAGCCAATGTGCCGCCGTTTTGATAGCGAACAAGGGATCTAGATCAGATCGACAACGAGGGGAACGACAGCGGGGCAAGCCGATAGTTGAGGAGCCAGGCTATGTAACAGAGCTGACAGGGTTAAGAAGGCTCGCGGTTGTCTCAGTTCCATGGGCCAGAGGGTCTGGATAGGTGGGTAGAAACGAGAACGCGATTCAAAATGGGCTTAACAGTGTAAGAAGACAGGTCTAAAAACGTACCAAAGGTTATCTGACAGCACAACGTCGAGGTGATGGTCGAGTTCGTACCCTGTGGTCTTGGCTGTTAGTGCCCAGTTGGTCAATGAGGGGTTGATAAACATCTAGAAGCCTAGGAGGTTCTATAGAATTGTCACAAGAGAGTCTGGGGTAGCGTGGACTGCGGGAAGCCTCTGTCTCGCTAGGCCTCCCGATCTCACGCAAGGGGGGCTGGAGGGGGGAAGAGGTAAGAAATTTGCAGCCAACAACGACGACAGTGACTGGCGAGTTGCATCCAGACGGACCGCCGCTGGATTGGCTGGCCTGTTCCTTGTTCTCGTGTGTATAAGCGGTCGATTTCATCGGATCGGTTCGTGTTGAGCGCTTAAGAAACTGAACTGTTCTTACGAATGATTCTTCCACACCTTCATCCTCACACTGCCCTGAAGCTTCCCCGCGACTTTACGAACTGGCGATCCCGCCAAGACGGAGGGGCGAACACTTCCCGCTTCTGCTGATAGAGGGCAGCAGAGGGAAAAGAGAATGCGAGGCGTTCCGCGAATAGCAGACACAGAAGAAGGGGAGAGGCGTGGTTTAAGATAGACCACGAGGAAGCAGTTAAAAGAGATCACCACGTACCGTTGTATTCCTGTAGGATTCCGTGGGTTTCTGGTTGGCCGGCTTTGCTGCGTGGTGGTTGAGAGTTCGTGGCGATCTCGGCGTATTGTGTATGCGAGGTTGTCTGGAATCTCTCAACTGTCGACAATGGTCGGCATAAGGTTGGCTACTTCAATGGTGTGTGAAACTGTTTTTGGATTTCAAGTACGTGTGCCTCCTCTTTGGTTAGTCACAAGACTTGAACCGTATGGGACCACTTGGATCTTGTTAGATGGTCGTAGAGTAGCAGCAGAGGACGCACGAGATGTGTTTACGCAGAACGTATGCACAGTCTGTAGTGCAAGGAGGCAGGGAGATGGTGTGCAAAAAGAGCCGCCTAGTATCGGGGGTACAGAGTACTCCGTATGGCAGGACGGGTAAAAAGATTTGTTTGGTTGAAGGAGGGCAGAGGTAGTGCCGGCGTTGATATTTCGGGTCCAAGGCCAGCGGATGTTGCTGTAGGCGGCCGTCTTGCCGTATGTATAGGAATCTTTCATACGATCAACTCGCCCTTGCAGAGCAAAGATCCTTCGGCGGGATGCACCAAGACGGAATTACATACGGCCCCCTTCCGTGACGCAAGCTGGACGATGCTGGAAGAGCCGGGAACAGGTATCGGCGGAGGGGAACACACATAGGTGCCTCATGGTTGGGCCTGAGACGGTAGTTGAGCAAGGCTGGGGGAACTGCAGCACGACGGAGACCTTGTGTAAAGGCGGAGCGTGTTGTCCTGCCTGCGGTGCCTAGAGACAGGTAACCCTGCCCTCATCACCCTTACACCAAGCACTGATAGACATGGCCTTACTTTATCTGACGGGCGCACCCGGCTTTTTAGGTTGCCAGGCTCTACCGTAGTGTAAGTCGACTGTATCCTGATAGCTGAACGGACAAACATCGACCATAGGTAACGGTCTTTTTGCGGATACTCGATGCCTTTGTGTCCTGGCCGAGTGACTGTACTCACGAGGCAGCAGGAACACAAGCGGCCAGGCAAATAACTCCCGTCCAGCGTGGAGAGTGAGTGAAAGAGGTGAGGGTTTAGTTTCAGAGGTTCTTTGGCCTGAGTTGATGTTCAGGGCAGGGGTATTGAAAAGGTTTAGTCCGCTGGAAACTAAGACTGGGGAGACAGGGGGTGAAGTGGGGATGAGCGACGACTCTCCCCTCCGTTGGTGATACCGCCCAAAGATGCAGAATGTTAGTACTCGTCAGGTCTTCAGACCTTCTTCTACAAGTGAGTCGATGATGTGAGTCTACTGTCTAGCATTGAAAAAGGGAATGTCGTTTAAACAGAATCACTCAGTCTCCTGTCGCAGTTGTGATTTTGGTTTTTCAATTTGTGCTCTGATTGACTTGTAGAGGAGAGAATGGCAGTGTGGTGTTCAGTGCAACTTTGGTCGCATGTACGCTAGAGAATCGCGGCCATGAGGGTGCGCCAGCCACGGAGACAAGAGACAGAGACGCGAATACGCCTCTTGTCGAGCAAATCGCCATGTTGATAAATTGAAGATCTGGTTTATGTCTCTTGCCGTTTCAGTTGAAAGACGCTGAAGAATATCGTCGGCTGCTGTTCCGGATTGTTCATGTATAAGCTATCATCGACTCGGCGCCGGCCATGCGGCAGGGAGGTTGTGAAACCGTTCATGGTGATTTTGGAATTCCATAACATGTCTTGATTCATTATTATTATTACCAATGACCAGCAAGGCATCAATTATCACCAAGGATACCTCGTCTTGAGTCTGTACATGGTGTTGGAAGAAAACGGAAGATGAGCCGGTGTCCTGGCCTGGGCTGTCGGCCGGTAACCATGTTGCGATACCACGCAATTCGGAGGGCCAGTCAGATGTCGTTCCGTGCCGAAACCAGGCCGCCAGTCATGAACACCTTTTCTGCCCAAGAAATAAAAAAAAGGTTTCATGAGAGGTTCGGGAGGTTTCGCGACCTGCATCAACGCAACAGTCGCGGGCTTGGAGGCGTCGTCCTCTTTCTGGTTGGGCTGAGAACGCCCGCGCCGCCCATCTGACCACCAGGCAAAGGATCGCCTTTGGGCATCTAGTGAAGCCACGTGAAGCTGGTTTTCTTGATGCCTTTTCGCTGCCCAAAGACCCACTGCGTCAACTAATGCAGGTAAGAGCCAAAGTACCTCGCAAGGGTACCGCTGACTCCCCAGCCATCGTCAAAAGGCCGTTCCGATTGCGACGACGGCTTCCATCACGCCCGGTGGGTTTCGCTAACACATTCCGATTGTGCCAAACACCATCCATCAAGAGATCAAAAGAGGCAATAGGCATATCGAATCGGTCACTGGACTGGGCGCCGTGCCGTTTGCCTCGTTCAACGGCATCAAATCTCACCTCTCAATTCCATTTTGTGAGAGCAATTCCCGGGCGGCTGCAACCTCACGTTCGTCATAGCCGCGCCAGCCCCTGTCCTTCAGAGTGCTGTGACGAACAATTTCCGATAGCTTGGCTGTCGCAAGCTCGTCGAGACGCTCAATTGTCTTGGAATCAGGCAGAGTGAACTCGCCATCGTCGGTTTGCTTTGCCTGCTTGGCCTGTTCCTTAAGGAGCCTCGTGGTGACCTAGCGGATAGTCAGCATGTGGTTCGCGTATGACGGCTACCGGAAACTTACCAGCTTCAGCCCATAGTAACCACGGAGATAGTCGTCGCACAGCTCAATGCTCCGAGCAAACCGCTTGAGCGCCTCGGCCAAGTATTTTTGCTGGGACCCACCGCCATTTCCGGAAGTCGTGGCAGCCATGTACTGCAACTCTCCCAGTCGTGCATGTATCTAGATGGGATACATTAGTATAGGGTTTAGACTGTCGGATGAGGGAGGAGCGCATACGTTCCAGGCATTGGGCGACAAGAGGAGGACCTCTTCCAACGCGTAGATGGCCTGGGAATATAGCCCTTGTGTGAAGTAGAGATCGGACAGCTCAGACCAGGCCTCGGCATCGGTTGGGGAAAAGTCGAGGAGTTGTACGAGAGCCGATGCGGCATCCGAGACGCGGCCCATGCATCGTAGGAGGGCAATCCGACGCTTTGTGATAGGCTGTAGACGTAGACACGGATGGTTAGCAAATCTGCTGTCCGAGAACAGTTGGCAGACGGTCATGACCCACGATATTGGTGCTGTTTCCTTCCAGAATCGCGTCGTATTGCTTGAGCACCGCTTCCAGCTCTCCGTTGTTCTGGGCCTGGGCCTCGGACAACAAGCCCCTTAGAGCCATCACTCTCTCATTGTCGGCGCCAAACCGTGCCTCTAGTCGATCCATGCATTTTGCGGCAGCTTCATCATCGCCGGTTCGGAGGCATGATAGCAGCAGATTCTCGTATGTTGCCCACTGGTCCACCGTCTCGGACGCTGATGACGATCCTTGCAAGACAACGGGGGCTTGCTGTGCGAGTTGGAGAGCTGCCGAAGGAGGGAGTTTGGCCGGGTTATAGAGAAGCGAGGGCGCCATTTTAGATATTCAATGCGATAGCTCGAGTCGCGATAGTTCGATAATCGTGGGGTTCAGCTCGGACGACGGATTCCGTCGCTTGTTCTCCTTGGGAGAGGAATAACCGTCGACCGGCAGGAGTCTATGTCGCGAGTTCTGAAACGGCCAATTGGGAATCGTCGTAAATATAAGCGAGGCTAGTCGAAGTCTCGGGTTAAGCTTGTGAGTCGGAAGTTGTCGTCGAGTGGTGGAAGAGGTGAAGTTGCTGTGGGAGAAGCTTGATGTTCTCTGGCGTCTTGACAGCGTCACAATCTGTAGACGTCGCGCGGCGAGCAGCTGAGCTGCCGCACTGGATGGCTGTGGGGCAAGCATGGAGCTCTTTGTTGAAATTTACACTGTGCCATAGCTGTGCTCTTTCAGCGATAAAAAGCTTAAACAAACAGTGCGATATGGGGTTTTAGGGGACAGTCGCAAACTGTACGATCCTCAGCTCCACCCACTTGACTCCTCCAAGCGCGGGCAGGCAGAGAGGTCAGAGGTCAGTTCCGCCAGTGACGTGAGACAGCACGACCACGACGGGGAGGGTGCCACACTTACCTCTAGGAACCCACCACGGACATCTCCAGCAGCTTGCTGATGGTCATTACGGTACCCTGGCGCTTCCTTCCAGAACTCCAAACGAAGATCCAGCAACTGTGTTTCAACGACAAGTAATCCCACGGCGTCAAGACGAGAAGCGCATTCACAACCCTCGACCCGGGTGCGCCGACACTATCTCCAAGCTCCCCAGTACGGCCGCGGGCAAGATGCGTCGAGTTGCGATTCAGTCCAAACACAACAACACGTCGTCCCCGTCGCCTCGCTACACCTCCAGCTTATACTAGACTGCTCCTGTCACCAAGTACTACGCGAACCAAGCTCCGAGAAACCAACGATAGCTACCGGTTGCGCCGTCAGTGACAACCCTCAAACTTCCATATAATACCCACAATATCTGGAACACTGGCAGTTGGCCACCACAACCGCAACCATGTGCGTCAAGCTCCGGCTTCCGTCTGCACGAACCGACTTAGCTGATGCCCCCTAGGTTCGAAAAGTCACTGTACGACCTCATCCGAGGTCTGCGTAACCACAAGGGAAACGAAAAGGAGTACATCCAGAACTGCCTGAAAGAATGTCGTTCCGAGATCAAAAGCCAGGACATGGGTTCGTCTCTCTTTTGTTGTTATATACGCATTCGCTAACAGATGCGCAAAGATGTCAAGGCCACGGCCCTGCTCAAGATCATATACCTCGAGATGAACGGCCATGACATGTCCTGGGCTTCCTTCCACGTTCTCGAGGTCATGTCCTCGCCCAAATACCACCAGAAGCGCGTTGGATATCTCGGCGCCGTCCAGAGCTTCAAGACCGATACAGAAGTGCTCATGCTAGCCACCAACCTCCTCAAGAAGGACCTCTCGGCCTCCTCTCCGATAGTCATCTCGCTCCCAATCGCCGCGCTCCCACATATCATCACGCCATCTCTCGCCCTCTCCGTACTAGCAGATTTACTGCCACGTCTCAGTCACTCGCATTCAGCTATTAGGAAGAAGACCATCGTTACACTATACAGACTAGCCTTGGTATACCCAGAGACCCTTCGAGCAGCATGGCCCAAAATCAAGGAGCGACTTATGGACAAGAACGAGGACCCGAGCGTTACAGCGGCCATCGTGAACGTGGTGTGTGAACTAGGTTGGCGGAGACCCCAGGATTTCTTGCCCTTGGCTCCGCGCCTGTTCGAACTATTGGTAGATGGGGGGAACAACTGGATGGCGATAAAGTTGATCAAACTGGTAAAGGGAACCCCGGCATCCCCGCGAACGGCCTCTTTGCTAATTTGCGCAGTTTGCGACCCTCACCCCTCTAGAGCCGCGTCTCGTCCGAAAACTATTGCCACCCCTGACCGATCTGATCCGAACAACGCCGGCAATGTCCCTATTATACGAGTGTATCAACGGCATCATACAAGGAGGCATCCTTGGAGACTCGGAAGACGATGGAAGGGAGGAAATTGCTAGCCTATGTGTTTCCAAGCTTCGGGGCATGATCACTTTCAATGGCGATGCCAACTGTGAGTGCCCCCTCTGTGAGTGTTTCTGTTGTGATTCTAACATGGGTTGTGTCTAGTAAAATATGTGGCTCTCTTGGCCTTCAACAGAATCGTGGTCACGCACCCGTTCCTTGTTGCTCAGCAAGAGGACGTGATCATGGAGTGCATCGACAGCGAAGATATAACTATTAGGATAAAGGCCCTAGACCTGGTACAGGGGATGGTCAGCAGCGATAACCTGGTGTCTATTGTCAGCCGGCTTATGAGGCAGCTCAAGACGTCCACAAACTCGAACAATGATCAGTTGGACGACCTATCAACCGACTCGAGCGAAGAGATGGGCGCGGAACGACGGTCTCGGAAGAGAGATGAGGCTCCTCCTCTCCCCGAAGACTATACAATTGACGTTATTGGCAGGATCCTGAAGATGTGCTCGCAGGACAACTACTCCAATGTGGTCGACTTTGACTGGTACATCGACGTACTTACACAACTCATCCGGATTGCTCCGGCGTCTCGTAAGGAGGTTGACTCGGACGGTATGGCACTGGGAGCGAAATCTACCACAGCCGATATCGGGGAGAGCATTGGCAATGAGCTCAGAAACGTGGCCGTCAAGGCGAAGGCAGTGAGAGTTGCCGCTGTCCGGGCTGCCGAGCTTATAATCGCAAAGTTAGCGATGGAATCCACTTCACACCAAGTGACATCAGGTTCACTGAAGCCTGTTGCTTGGATCGCCGGAGAATACGCATATCACCTATCAAACCCAAGCGACACACTCAATCACCTACTACAGTTAATACCGCGCATCAGACCCCCAGAGGTTCTCGCAACCTGCCTGCAGGCCTCCATGAAGTTGTTCGCGCTGATTGCTGGAAACGACCAAACATCCTGGACAGCAGAACGGAAGTCGATGGTATCTCTGCTCATGGCGCGGGTCATCCATACATATGAGCCCCTAGTGCTTCATCCATCTCTTGAGGTCCAGGAACGAGCGGTAGAGTTTACCGAGCTCCTGAAACTCACCGCCGAGGCAGCATCGGCACAGGCGCCATCAACAGACGAACTCGAACAAGACCCACCACTCCTTCTCACACAAGCGATACCCTCTCTCTTCCAAGGCTGGGAGTTGAACTCCGTTGCAGTTGGCGCTCAGCTGAATGTCCCAATGCCGGAGGGCCTGGACTTGGACGAACCTATTCATCCTAACCTCGGCAGTTTGCTGGCACAAGCAGACTCGCTGATGCTTCCCATCCAGGAAGACGACGAATTCGCGGCTTACTACAACGAAAAGGCGGCCCCGACCAGCATCTCCAGTGAGCCAGCAATCAACAGACTGAGGGATGCGCCCGAGACGATATCTTCCGGTTCCTACCAGCAAGCGACAGAGGATAGCTACCTCGACGCTGACATTATCGCCCGTCGGAAGGCCGAACGAGCAGAGCGCAACCGTGACGACCCATTCTACATCGGCGACCTAGGCAGTCCTTCTCGCTCACAAGGCACTTCTACACCCATACACAACATCCTGCAAAACGAAAACGGTCCAGACCTCGACATCGACTCCATCCCCATCATGAAGCTCGATCTCGGTGCCATCAGCTCCTCCGGCGTCGGCGCCGGCGCCGGCGCTCCCGGAACATATCAGCAACCCAAACCCAAATCACGCCCACAGATCGTCGTCGCAGCAGACGAAACACTTGTCGGCAGCCGTCCCTCCACACCGCGAACGGGAAGCCAGCATGACTCCGACGCCGATCCCTCCAGCACCAGCGCCAAATCCCGCGCGGCCAAGAAACTCAAGCAATCACTTCTACAAGTTGACTCAAGCCACTTGCGCAACCTCAGCTTAGAAGCCAGCCAGTCGGATGATTCCGGTGCTCTCCCGCACGAGAAGCTGGCAGAGACCGATGCCGAAATGGCAAAGGCCATGAAGGAAGTCCAGCGGCTAAGATTAGAGATGCAGAGGGCTAACGAGAGGATACAAGTCGCTCAAGGTGTGCCGACGGAGGGAGTGGTGGTTAAGAGTAAGAAGAAGAAGAAGGATAAGGAGGGCAAGAAGGCGAAGGCGAAGTTGGAAGGGGGTGATGGGATTGATGACGAGAAGGAGAAGAAGGTGAAGAAGAAGAAAAAGAAGGCGGAGGCGGAGGCGGCAGAGGGAGCGGAAGGAGGAGTGGTGATAGAAGGGGAACCGGTGGGTGGAGAGGGAGAGGGAGAGGCGGTGACTGTTAAGAAGAAGGAAAAGGAGAAGGTTAAGAAGAAGAAGCCGAAGAGGATTATACAGCTTGATGATGACGCTGGGACTGGGACTGGGATTGGAGCTGAAGCTGGAGTTGAAGCTGGTGAGCCATAGGTTAAAGGGCGAGATGGAAGGTAGAAAGGATGAGTAGAAGCATTGGAGTCAATTAATGGTTATGAAGCTGCCTGTATGAGCCTTTTCTCCGGTTGGACTTGCTGGTGAGATTGAATAATAACCACCGTGAGCGGGGATAAATACCCAGAGAACCACTCCAAGTACAGGGAGGGAAAAGTCGCAACAAATTCATTCGAACAGAACACCACAATGGTAGGTAGCCTTTCATGTTTCGGATCAAGTCATCGTCAATGTTCGTTATCGAGTCATCATGGCAAAACATAGCCACATGTGCTTTATATCCAAGTGTCACCCCCTCTCATCAAGCTAACCTCCTCCTCCCCTCCTCCTCCTCCTCCTCAACCACCCCCACCAAACCCCTCTTATTCACCCTCGACGGCCCCGGCGCCATCCCAATCCACTCGCCCTCCTTTGTCCACACTCCCGCCTTGGTATAATCCTCACTCTTGTACCCCTGCATCCACGCAAACCTAAAATACTCATTATCTCTCCCCACTTCCTCTCCCTCCCTGGTCCACGTAAAGTTGGAGGGTGCATTCTTGTCAAACTCATCACTGCTGAAATACGTCCGGAATCTTTCGACGTCGTTCACGAGCACGCTGATGCCGTCGTAAACAGAGCCAGGCGGCTTGCCCCAAGTGAAGGTGATGGAGGAAATATTCGTCCCAAGTGAGATCACGGGCGCGGCGAGGGCTGGCAAGGGAGAGCCGAGCTGGGCATCGCCTTGGAGAGCATAAGCCGTTTGGAGGACGGGGTCCCATCCCCAGCGGGCGATGCCGTTGATGAAGAGACCGACCAGCAAGCCTTGGTAGAGAAGCGACGGACGAGTTTGCATGCTCGTTCCGGGCAGGAGGAGGAGAGCCAGGATATAGTGATGGATGCGCAGCTTGAGGTCCGGCAAGATGGCACAGAGGATGAGACCGGCGCCGACGATGGTGTAGAATTTGAGGTAACGAACCAGTCGACCCTCCTGGCGGAAGAACCAGACCTGCGAGGCCATGATGACGGTCAAGACGATGATGATGATGGCCAGAGCGGCCCGCGCTCCAGGCTGTTGTGCCAGGTCGTGCGGCGTCAGGCGCTGGATGGGGATGAAGTCAAATGTGTAGTTGGTTAGGGCGCCGACCCAGCAACCTCCCAACCAGAGCACCGTCTTTTCGAACTGGGCCGTCAGACCGGTTAGGGAGCGGCGGATGCCCATGTGGTCGTACATGACCCAGGCTGCGAGAATGGCGGGGAGGAACGAGCCGAGCTCGCGCGAGATGAGGGAGGGCACGTCGGTGATGTTGGCGGGGTCGGTAGCCAAGCCAACAGTCCAGTAGATTACTGTGAAGACGGGGAAGAAGAAGAGGTGGGGGGATGTGATCAACACCGAAAGTACGGTGGAAAAGACGACGGAGATGGCGAGGAGTGCCCATCTCATGTCCTTAGCTGAGCATTCGACGCCCTCCTCAAAGGTAAAAGACAGTGGGAAGTAGGAATCGAAGGCGATGCTCTCGATTCCGTTCCGGTCCGAGCTGCTGAAGTTTCTCTGCGTCCCGATCAACCGCACCACACCACAGCCGCCATGCGCGTTCGACACGACGCCGGCATGAACGGCAGAACCGCAGAGGTAGGAGTCACCTCGGTAAACCGGAGTGATATCGTCCCCTGTTGCTGGCGGGCCGCCAACGATCAGAGGCCTGTATACAACCTCCTGGTCACCCACAGCGCGCGGGTTCAAGGCCTGGTAGCTTGCGCAGTTGGCAGGACACTTGAAGGCAAATCCAGAGTTGGTGAAGGGCCGACATTGCATGCCTTTCAGCCCGCAACCATTGTCCATCTCCCAGTAGGCAGCGCCGCAGCCGATCGAGACGGGCCTCCCCCATCCCGGAATCTCGTCCACATCCAACTCTTTGCGCATGACCAAGGCGAATGTAATTATCCACATGGCGATCCAGAAAAAGAGTAGCCATAGCCTATGCCTCAACCGTGGGAATTTCTTTTCCAACATTAGGATTGGCGCATACTGGACGCTGGGGAACAGAGGCTTGATCCTGAACCGCTGAGGAGTAACGGGGCCGTGAGCCCATCGAATGACAGCGACAATTGAACGCCGGACCGGATACGGTACCCATTTCCACCTCTTCCATGAGCCGGCATCTTGGATGAATCGGGGAGTGGGCGGGGAGCTGTCGGCCTCGAGAGCTTCGACGAGGGTTACTTCGGGCAGTGGTGCGTCGGGATGGTCGGTTGCGATCAGTATCGTTGCGCTGTTGGCAACGTTCGGAGTGCCGGTGCCGCTGCTGGAACTGCTGCTACTGGCGCTGTTGTCTGAACCGGAGGAGGAAGAGAGGCTCTCGGGATCTTGAAGCTGGTGTACTTGGTGTACGTGGTGAACTGATTTGGGGGACGTCGCCCCATCTTGGGTTCCCACCATGTCTTATCGTGTTTGTAAGTTGTCGTTCGTAAGATTTTGGGTATCCAATTCTTCGTATATAGGCAAATGCTGTTTAAGTCGACTTTTCGAGGTCCTCGCGGGTTTTCGACGGATCCAAGATCACCTCGGAGACCTTGATGGACCGCGTGGAGACTAACGCCGTTCTAAGCAGGCTATGACGAAACGCATCAAAACAAAACAAGAAAAGTCAACAAGACAGTTGAAGTTCAAGATAAGTGATGGGGGTATCAATCAATGCTGTCAAGCCGCAAAACGAGAAGATAAGCAAAGCATCTGCGACCTGCGAGTGTATGAGGCTATGTTCAACATGAAGTGTAAAAAGGTGGAAAGGGAAACAAGAACAAGGTAAAGGGATATGGTTGAGGTGAGATGTTTGTCTTGGAACCAAGTTGATGCGCAAGGTGCCGGATGCACCGCTTTGAGCGACCCGAGGCCGGGGTTGCCCAGAGACTTTTCTTGGAGTGAACATGATTCGAAACATTGGCCGTGATTGGCACACACGGGGCTGAGTACGGGGTACGGCACGGGAATACGGTCATGTTTGTTACCAACGGCATCTTCCAGCAGAGGGAGCACAGGCCTGGTAGGGCAGAATAGGACATGCAAGTACTCACATCACCCGACCCCATTACCAAAGCTTCCTAACCCAAGTGGATACGCTAAGACCGACCCTACACTATGAAAAATCTCTTATCCGACCCTCGCCCTCTTAATATTTTCTTTCCCCGTAGAGAAATAATTAATCGCTCGCTTGAAGTTCCCTATAGAGAAATAATATCACTCGCGTTTTTAAATACTCCTCTTAAATACTAACGATCGTATATCTAAATACGACTATAAACCAACCACGACCGACATCTCCTCATTGCACACAAACAGTCTATAAATTATTTCTAATATATCCTTAAATTATCTTTATAAAATAGCTAACAATAATATTACCAACGCTAATACTTTAACTATTATTATTAAACTCGGTTTAATTAAGTAGAATAATATAATTTTTATTAAATTATTAATAATATTTAATTTAGAATAAATAGATAGTATAACGGCCGAATTTAATCAATTAAAAAAATTAAAAGATATAACCCCTCCTGATATATTAATACTAACCGACCTCCTAATAAATATAATTAATATATTATTAATATATTTTAAATATATTTCTTATTAATTAATAAGATAATAATATTAATTATATAAAGGTTGAAATTATAAGCCTAATATTTATTTTATCCGATAGTATTAATCAATACTTTAACTTCGTTTAAATGATATACTATACTATAATTATTCTAAAATAACCCGAATCTTCCATTCCTAATGTAGTTTACGTTATAAATATTAAGGGCTTAACTAAAGCTTAAATTAAAGCCCTATAGGACGAAATATATAAGGTAAAGTAGTCCAAAATAAATTAGTAATATGTATAGGATTAATTTCTACTTAATCTATAATATTATAAATCTAATATTATAAAAAGAGGAAAATACCTATTAAAGATACTTCGTTTAATTACTTAAATAACGCTATATACCGTTATACTACCTATAAATACTCTAATATTAAATACTATAAATATTTAAACTTATAAATTTAGTAAACGTACTAATAAGGGTTTACTACTATAATTGATAAAGAAATTATAAACCTTTTATTTAAAATCCGCCTTTAATAAAATAAAGTCCCTTTAATTAAGTAAATTATTAAGTATGGATTTATCCTTAATTTATTCCTAAATTATTTTTTATATTCTTTTAACCCAATCGAAAATAATTATGTTCTATTAATACTATTTTAATAATTAGTTAGGTATAGGCGACTAGGACGCGTTAGGAAATATAGGGTTATAAAGAATCGAAGTTATTATATAAATTTATTTAGTATGTAAATAAAGTAAATTTTTATTTAAAATATATCCTTAATAATTAATGTTATATTTAAGATTTATCTCTATTTAAATAATTACCAACTATAATTGCTATTAGTTAAAATATTAAAATTCGAAGCCGGGAAAGAGAATATACTTTTTTACTAGCCTCTCTAATAATTTTAATTAATATTAATCACATATTAAACTAATTATTAAAAGGTATTCAAAGGATTCTACATCCAATGTATTATATATTAAGACGTATATTAAAACGAATATTATATTAATAAAAAGGACGTACTATAATAAATAAATCGTTCCTCAATATATTTAAAACTTATTAAAGATTTATTATTAATAAATTAGAATCCGATTACGCTTAAGGCTATAGTACTATTAAAATTCGAAATTATAATATTACTATTAACTTTTATATTTTAATCGATATTAAAACTATCTTATATATTATTATAATTTCCTATATTCAATATACTTACCTACCCCCCCTTTCTGATAAAACTCTTAAACAGATTATTAATAATTTAATACGGGTATTAGAGCAGGTAGGAAATTCTAATATAATTTAGAGTAAGTAAATCCGGAATATATCGTCGATAGATTAAGAATAAATTAGAAATTAATCCGCGATTTAGCAACTTTAATCCGCAACCCCTACTTTATTTAATTCTTTAATAAATAAAGTACTAATACTATTAACTAAATTTATACGATTCTCAATAATATTAATAAAATTCGATTAGTAATTAAAAATATTATTTTCTTATTTAGCCTTTAGGAATTTCGAACCTTAAAATTATAATATAAGAGTATTAATTAAAATACTAAAATTTAAATATTCGTATAAATTTATATATCTAAGATTTATTAGGGATGAATTATTAAATTTCTTTTAATAGTATATTTAAAAAATCCTTAACGATAGGATCAGTTTTATAAATATTTATTTCTTTAAAGAATAAGTAGAATTCTTTTGTAAAAGTTTTATTAAATCCTTCGAATTGGATATAAATTATGAGTATTTTTCTAATATAGAAAATGGGGAAATTATTTAGGGCTTCTATTCAAAATAGTTAAAACGATACAAATTATTAAATTATCCCGAATTTATCCCCAATAAATGTCTAACTCTAATAACTATCCTTCTTATCCGGATCCTTACTAATACCGATTCGCTGAAAATATACGCCCTTACCTTTAAAACGGTATTTAAAATCTTTAAAATTAATTATAAATATATAGTTAAATAGCGGGAATTATTTAGAAAACGTCTTTATAATATTACTATAAACTAAAACTTTTAAGTAATTATAAGTACATTATTTTATTCTAAAATCCTTTTATAATATATCCTTATTAATTCCTTAATTAATTAATATAAATTTTTCGGCGTATATTTCTAAAATAAATCCTTACCCCCGTAAAATCATATACTTCGCTCGCTATATAGTACAACTTTATTATATTTATTTCAAATATAGTATTAAAAATACATAAAAAATAATCTTTAACTTCGCTAACAAATAGAAGGGTTACTTACATATTCAACCTTTAATAAATATACGTAACTTTATTACTATTTAAAATATAAATTGAAAATTATCTATAATTATTTTTGGATTTATCCAAGATAGATCCTAAATAAAGCCCTAATTAATTATTTTGTAGGTTATTTGTGGGAAGAAATTCAGAATTAGGTTTAAAATAAGAATATTCTAACTATTCGCACTAGGTATAACCGCGTTTACTCTAATATAAACTAAGAAATATAGAATATATTTCGACTAAATACTAATATAATCGAGATGCTATATTAATAATTTTACCGTTAGAGTAATCGGTTTATATTGTTACTTCTTTATATTTACGTATAAATTATTAATAAAAATTTATTATTATTATATTTGAAATTTATTATTAATATATTTAAAATTTATTATTAATACATTATAATTAATTTATTAGTAGGAATATAAAATTCAATTGCTACTTTATAGTATACGAATAAATTTAGATAAGTATAGTATCAAATTCGGGTATCAAATTAATTTACTAATAAATTGATTAAATTGTAATATAATGAGGGTAGATAATAAATTAATAATGAATTAATAATTCATTCGATATATTAACGGTTAATTTAATATAAATAAACCGAAGAGGGATAGTACGCTTATAATGGAAAACGTAGTTAAGAAGGTATTAGTCTTCCTTAATTTAATAACCCCTCTTCGTCTTTTGATTCCTCCTTCTATTTCTACTCTATAAAATAGAGTAGGATTAATATTTAATAATTCTCCGGTTGTATTATTATCTTAAGAGAAACTCTATTTGTACGTGGATAAAACTCTATCTGCACGTGGATCCACTTTTTCCTTCATATATTTCCCTAACCCTCCTCTTTTCCAATTGACTAAATGTACCTTTTGATTCCGATAGCGCATTCGCTCCCCGATACGGCCCCCAATAGCGTATTCGCTCCCCCGATAGCGTATTCGATCCTCGACAAAGTATTCACATTATAGTCGAATTGTACTTACGTAATTATAATCGCTGTCGTATGTGATTCCCTATCATTAATTAATTTTTTTCGTCATTTCAATCGCTCCGAAAGAAGCTATACGTTTTCAAATATTAGAGTCGCGAATACCCTATTCGGTATTGCGAATGTAATGTCGGGGGAGCGAATGCGCTATTGGAGACCGTATCGGGGAACGAATGCGCTATCGAGGGAACGAATACACTATCGAGAAAACGAATACGCTGAGGTACTTTGGTGGAAGGTACAAAGCGGCAGGGTTAGGGTTTTATATATAAAAAAAGTGGATCTACGTATAGATAGAGTTTTATCCACGTGCAGATAGAGTTTCTCTATCTTAAACCTTTAGCGACTATTAACCCTTTGTAAAGGTTATAATTTTTAGTATTACTATTCTAAAGTCAATTTTAAATATATTCTAAACAAATCGGTAAAATATCCTTAGAAATCTAATATATATACTAGACGTTGATTATTTTAAAAGCTTACTCTGTAGTTACAAATATCGGCCTAAAAGGTAAAAGAAGTATAAACCGAAGAAAGAAATAAAAAATTAGCGCGCGCTATCAAATTTAAAAATATATTTATAAAGCGAATAAAAGCGGAAATTATAAATACTAGAATATAAAAAGAGAATATTGAAGTATAAA